AAAAAAGAATTGAAGTCAGTGCAGATATTGAAGATCTAAATATAGTCTGACGGGTAAATCAGAACAACTAACTCGTTTAAATGTCAGATCTGACTAGACGCTGTTTTTGTCACCTTCCACACATAAGGTACCCCATATAGGAAATCCCATAGTCTGCATAGGGAGTACATGTCAATTTACCTTTGACAGCGAGCCTTCAATCATATAAAGCGACTCCCTACGCAGCATTGTGCGCTTAGTGGGCTGTTCATAAATTGTGTCCACATTATAGAGATATGTTCGCTTATACTGTCCGTAGTTAGTAAAGGAGACAGACCAGCCGCGGGGTCGTATTTGGCCCTTGCATGACTCTGAATACAATGTATAGTATCAACAGGGATACGGAGTACCGTGACAGCCATTGATTGGAATAAAGTCAAATGCTGCGATGCATCGAACTATATATAGGTTAAGTTGACATACGAGGAGTAGGTATGTAGCCACTCCGGAAATATACGAAGCAATCGCAGAAAATAGCCCAAACGCGTGGTGAGCGGAAGGTATAGGTAAAGATGAGGGTCACACGATTCCGAACAGCGGTCAATGACCTATACATCCCTACTCCGAGAAATCCCTAGAAATCTCGAAAAGTGGGTTAGAAACCCTCCCAGCTTTGACAGGCGGACCGCATGGACCACACTCTGTGGATCTGAGTCGTTCAACGGTGCCCCAGAAAGTGGTACAGAAAGCTGTAGTATGTAGAAATAAAGTCTGTACATAGTCTTTCTGAGTCAATCATTGATGTATGGTATACGGGAGTGAACACGACGTTGGCCAGCCTCAATATTGAAGTGAAACGGATAAGCCAGGGGTGGTAATGGTATTTCAATATGAACCCAGGGGTTCCACCAATGAAATTGAAATAATTAAAAAATAAACCAATGAAAGCTACAGGAATATTACAGATGGACATCTATGTGTATTAAAAATACAAGGCTGTACAATACTAATGCCCCTTTGACCTTTTAATCTTCTAAATATGGGAGGGGCTGTACTTCGTACCCGTACCTGCAGGTAATATGCTGAAAAGGACTCGAGACATATGTACGGAGTACGCTACATGTTCGTAATGCTCATCATGACTTTAAGCATACTAGCACTATGTACGGAGTAAAAGTAATATACTTGAAAACCTCCGAGACCAATTCGGTCAATGTGGGGGAACTCACAAAAAATCTACATACAATAGTAGGAAATTAACATGTCCCTTATGTCTAATACAATAGATGGAATTTATACAATATAGTTTCTTCCAAAATTTCCATAATATATCTATTTCAATGGTCAAACAGTCGGTGTATGAGGAGGATCGACGGGGCCGAGACTCCACGAGGGGAAAGCTAAAGGGGGGCTAACGAAATAGGTGGGATCTCTCCTTTTTTTTTTTCTTTCTCCAGCCTTTTCTCCTTGTACTGGATACAAGTCTAGATATCTAGGTCCACTTCTGCAGGAAAGAATTGGTTTTCTTGAATACGGAATTGTGTGCATTATGCAGTTGAAACCCGCCTGAAATACTATCCTCCGATATCAAATATTGTCAACAACGCGTCTTATTCGAATCACCATACTCCATTTTATATCGCGTCACAATGGAAGGTCTCGAGCCAACATCTCCCATCGCTAGCCACGCGCCTAACCATGACTCGATGGTCACCGTCGCTTTATCCGATAACCAATCTAGTTCAGAGCACACCCAACCGGATTGGCGCACTCTTGACATCCCTCCAACCCCAGTGGAGATGAGCCACCTCGAGAAGGAGTGCGAGGAGTCTTTTGGACCGGTGCCACTACAAGACGCGGCGAGAACCACCCCTACCCCCGAAACCCCGGATGGAGGCAGGGAGAGACAGGCAGGCGAAATGTATGACAATGAGGTGGATTGGGAGAACCTTGATAAAACAGAAGAGCGAGAACCGCGTGGGGAGGGATCCGATGAAGTAAGTGTGACAAGCTGTCACAGAATTCTAGAACTCTAGAATGCTAACATTCCTAACCTAATTTTAGTCTACAGCCCTACTGCTCGCTCGACTCGAACAAGAAAACAATGCTTTGGCGACCAACCCCAAATCCGGGATAACAGAGGTTCCCGATGGCAAGATACATCAACGGCAATCCCGCTCCGAGTCTCTACACCAGATCAAGCGACTCATTAAGGATCCCGCTCGGGCAGAGCTGCGATACTCGCAGCTACCCCCTCCTCCCATGACCGAGCTAGAATTTTGGGCCGCGCTTGTTGCCGATTACCACCAGACCGCCCAACGTTTGCCGACATTGACCTCGAATAAGATTCAACAAGGTGTACCTCCGCCATTGCGAGGGGTGGTGTGGCCTAGTCTAGCGGGCGCTCGCGATCCTAATCTATTGAATGAATTCCAGAGATTGTCGGGCGAAAGCAGCCCTTATGATGGATTGATTGGAAAGGATATTGGCCGCAGCTTTCCAAATGTTGAAATGTTCCGCGACCCGAACGGTGAAGGTCAACAAATGCTCGGCCGAGTGTTGCGATGCTTCAGTCTTTATGATACTAAAATTGGCTACTGTCAAGGTCTTGGGTTTGTGGTAGGCCCTCTACTCATGCACATGTCAGATGCTGAGGCCTTTTGTGTTCTTGTCCGGTAAGTGTCCTTGGACATATGACTTGGAGAGGTCGTACTAATGCGTCACGTATTGTAGCCTCATGGATCACTACAACCTCCGAACTTGCTATCTTCCAGATCTTTCTGGTCTTCACCTTCATGTTTATCAGTTTCAAAATCTTCTAGCACGGCACAGGCCGGTCCTGTTCCAACATTTGGAAGCACTGCACGTTGAGCCGGTCTACGTATCGCAGTGGTTTTTATCATTCTTTGCGGTGGCATGCCCACTGCCGATGCTTCTCCGAATTTACGATGTTATTTTTTTGGAAGGCGCATGCGAGACTTTGATGCGGGTTGCACTTTCCCTGATGCAGCGCAACGAGAAGAGAATTTTGGCTTGCAGCGAATTCGAAGACGTGATGCAACTGTTATTGTCTCGAAGCTTGTGGGACACGTGAGTTTTAGCCCTTGCACAAAGTACATCTTGGAAACAAAGAACCCCGCTAACCCGTGATATTCAGATACGCCTTCAATGCTGATGACCTTGTTAATGATTTCGTGTCTCTCACCTCTCTCGTGACAAATGAGAGTCTTCGAACGCTTGAAGCCAGCTACCACCAATCTAAAGGTTCACCAACTGGACCTTCCCCGCAGATGCAGGCAACGGCCTCTGGCTTCCTTGGGCGACTATGGGCTGGCTCGTCAAACTCTTCGGTCAAGTCACTCAATCCAAATAGTCCGTCACGTCAGAACAGTACAATTCGTCGCTCTACCTCCAAGCAGAGCCTGACTTCCACCCTCAACTCTATTGAAACCACGTCCGATGCAAGTACTGCTCCCACTGAATTATCAGGCGGCGCAGCTAGCAGCGACAGTCAAAAATCGCGCGTCAAATCCAACATGTCTTCACATCACAAAGACCGGGACCTCCATACCCAAATCGAAGAACTCTTGATGGCGCTCAGCGATCTCCAGCGGCAACAGGCTGACCTCACCCGTGAACTACAGCAGGAGAGAGAAGAGCGGGAGGAAGACCATGCCCTGGCCAAGGAAATGTTGAACCAAATCAGAGAACAGCCGACTGAGACACAACCGGCCGAATTAATAACCAAAGCGCAAACTCGCTTTGACTCGATCCAACCCAAGCGTATTTCAATCACCCAAACCAAGCTACAGCTCAATGATGAAGTTGCCCGATGGAAGGAAATGCACGAGGTGGAAGCCGGTCGTTGTTTGAACCTCACCCGGCGCATCGACGACTTTGAGCAGGAGAACTCCTCACTCAAGGAGCAATTGCGAGAAGCCCGGGGCCGAATCCAAGACGGTCATCGGGATCGACAGCGACTGGAGCGCATGAACCGAGAACTGCGTACCCTCAAAACTCCTATATCCGAAACACCGCTAGATACATCGTCTTCTAACGTTGATTCAGGGGAATCTCAATCACCCACTAGTGGTCTGCGCGAGTTTAAGCTAGCTCGCACCAATTCCACAAAAAGCCCCACATATAACAGGCGGACAAGCAGCCTGGGTCTCCAACGAATTTTGTCAACCGAGAGTAACAAACCTGCTGCTGAAGAGGCATTACTCATGGAGTTGGTTACTGCTAAGACGGCAGAGGCGGTTGCTAAGCAAGAGCTTGAGGAAGTAAAGGGCAAGTTGGATTCATTGCGGAAAATGATTAAGACCCAGGGGGCAAATCCTGAAAGCCGCCATTCCTTTGTTGGACTATCACAGTCGCGGATCAGCTTGGCGAATAAATCCGCCACGGAAGGCCCGAAGACACTTGGGACACCGCCCAGCAACAGTGGCGGTGGATTCTTCAGTGGATGGGGTCGACGAGCTGGGACGGACTAGTGTATGAGGATTCTGGAGAAGATACGTGTAACCATATTGGAATGCCTTGATATACTCTTTTTTCGTGTCACAGGCTGGTATTGGAACTGTGTTTTTGTCCGTTTTATTATTTGAGTACATAGATATCCCTATCAAAACGCGTACATATTCTCCATATTCTGCATATTCTGGCCTGGATTCTCTGAAATTAGGGCTCGAAAGGTCAAAGAAACAGATCCCGGGCGATCCGGGATCCCACCAAGGCAAGGCCAAAATAAATGCCGATACTTCAAAAACAATAGCCCTAGAAGAATGCCCAGGTGTATTCTGACCAAAAGACTAGGAATAATATCGTTGCCTTTTATTATCCCTTTTCCTATTCGGATCTCTCGGGTTCTCTCTCGGCAGTCTCCATGCATTAGCTCTTTATTGGCCGATGGCCGAACAATGAAGCCGAGCCAAGCCACTAGCCATGATGAATCAATATGTTGTACAAAAATTGGGAGGCACCCGGATTAAATGTTTGAATTTCGCAGTTTCTAGCTCCTAATGGGTTTCTTCGTGGCGCTGCGGTGGTTTTTCAGTTCTTCAAAACGTCGGTTTGCCGTGGCCGCCTTGTGTCTGGTCATTTTCTTCATTCCATATTCTAGAGAATCTCTAGTAGTTCCATTGCGGGTGAAACTGTCAAAGTAGAAGATCCCTCTTTTCGTCCCCCATTATTGGTTCATTTCTGATCTGTATCAGCCCTACAGAACAATCCGTCCCGTTCCCGAGCGATTATGCCCAACCTCGAATCTCATCTCAGGTTATCAACGATCCCTATCCTCAATATGATAGTGTGGAATGGAGGTCGACATCAAAGGGATCTTACCAGCCATGCATTGGACCCCAAGGACGACCACTGAGTCGCAAAGATGAAGATATGATGATGAGCGGGTATCGCTGGAATACTTCAGGTGCGAAGAGGAATATTTAAGAGCCGACGGGGAACTAATAGAGACTAGATTTCCCAACACCAATTTTTGGATCCTATGAGGCGTGGAATTTGAACAAGAGTCTCTGTGCAGATCGTTACTCCCGATACGGCGCATATGGTTACCTCCAGGGAAACGAAAGCACTCGAATCAACGATTGGGATGATAAATTTGGTACTAACGAGGCCGCCGAAATAGACTGGGAGAAGGTGGACTGGGCCAATTTGCAAAATGAATGCCTGCAGCGCAATATTGACCGATACCGCACGCAACCATCCGATGGGAAGATATTCGCTCTGTACAAGTCATTGGATGGGGATCCACAGCCTCAACCTTTGAACGAAACAAGCAAGTACCAACCCCGGACAGCGGTTATATTGCGTTCTTGGCTCGGCATGAAATACACCGAGAACGACTTGTATCACATTCGGTCTATGATCATGGAGTTAGCACTCTACTCGGGTGCGGAATATGAACTTATTCTCCTGATTGACTGCCAGGACGAGAAATTGCCCGAAGAGTCTGATCATGCTGCCTGGAAGGCATTCAAAGAGCGACATTTACCACAGGAGCTGCGCAGCCTGGCAGTCTGGTTTAACACAGATATGTTGAACGACTGGTATCCTGCGATTGATGTCCATGTGTATGTGTCCGTGGTCTTAAGAGCTAGACTAGTCCTGCTGACATTATAATAGAGCGATATTGCAGTATTTCCAGCCCACGCAGATCTTCTCACGACTACATCCTCAGTTTGATTACATCTGGCAGTTTGAGATGGACTCGCGATACACCGGCCATATGTACGAGCTTTTGCACAAGGCAACAGAGTTTGCCAAACAGCAGCCACGCAAATATCTGTGGGAGCGGAACTCCCACTTCTATATTCCTGCTGTCCACGGCACTTGGGAAGAGTTCATGGAGAAGGTAGACCAGGAAATGTCTGGTCATGACGACAGCGGTGTTTGGGGCCCTCGTCCTGCAGAAGGTATCGACATCGAAGGACAAGCCATTCTTCCCCCGGTCCCACGTCCGGGAAATGAGACAGGGACATGGGGTGTGGGCGAAGAAGCCGATATGATCACCTGGCTGCCACATTTCAACCCAGTTGGTACGGATTGGCCTTTCCGTGACCGTGTGTTCAATTTCCCTCAGGATCAGGAGACTCCACGCTGGGCAGCTGTCGTGGCCATGTCTCGCCTCTCGGCAAGACTTCTCGGCCTGTTGCATAAGGATAAGGTAGAATCGGGGGTTGGACTCGCTTCTGAGATGTCTCCTATATCCTGGGCTTTGTACTATGGTTTGAAGGCGGTTCAGGTCCCTCAGCCGGTGTATCATGATGTTAAATGGGACCCTGAGGAATTGAACCGTCGTGCTAATCCCGGTGAACCTGGTAAGGTCAATGCTGGGCTCGATAGTATTTGGAGTTGGGGCAAACATGATGATATCATATACAACACGACGTTTATGTTTAACTCTGAATTTGGGGAGAAGCTATACAGAGCTTGGTTGGGATACGACGGTGCCCAAGAGGTGAGTTCTTGCTATTGCGGTGTTTGACATATTCGGGTGCTAATTGTGTGTAGTGGGAGAAGGAACACTCTCGACTCTGTCTTCCTCCTATCTTCCTGCATCCAATCAAGAACCTCGAGCCCGTGAAGTCAAAGGGCGTTTAATTGTCCATCCGGTTGATTCAAAGCGGCGTTTTGTTTTGATCATTGTCATATAGACTAAATTTGATAGATTAATAGATATAGAGGTATTATAGAAATAATAATAAATAGAATATGTACACTATTGCACCGCGGTCCTCTGTATCAGGGGAGTGACTACTCAACAGACTATATGAATAGAAGTAAATAGCGAACCTATAGAACAAAATTGAATGGAAAGAAAGCATTGAGTGCGAACAGACTTTTCATTGCGTTCAAACTACTGGAATCGATGCCTAACGCCGAGACTTTCGTGCTGGTTATTTGCTCTAAATTTGCGACTATAAGAACTTGGATACTGTCTCAACTCACTTTCCTCCTTTCTCTTCCACTTCCAAACAAACCACCTACTACCAAGAGTTCACATCTCAGATCCGCAACCCTCTCATCATTAAACCTTCATTGTTTGAGACACAATGGCACCAAAGGAACCTACCAAAGGTGGAAAACGCTCATCCAAGCCGAAAGAGCCCAGGGAGTCTGAGCTGAAAAAGCTGCTCTTGCTTTTGTGGGACTGTCACAAGGCCTCTGGCGCTCAGGTTCGCGTTTTTTTTACTCACTTGAGCTAACATAACCATGAGTTACGCTAATATCAACAAGATTGCCGTCCCTGCCGTTGCCAAGCACTTTGGCATCAATCACAACGCCGCTCGTCTGAGAGTCTCACGTTTGAAGAAGAAGCTTAATAAAATAGAAGCTTCTACCAAAAGTGGTGGACAGGACAAGGGTGAGGACAGCGACAAGAACGGTTTTTAGGATGAGGCTCAAACCAAGGAGCCCGATGACACCAATGCTGCGGATGACGACGAGTTCATGGACGAACCCCTCCCCGATCTTGACTAAGTGAAGAGTCACGATGAAGGCAAGAGACAATCTGTGGGACTGAGCAGATTGAAGTTCTATGTCATGAAATATTCTGAGATACGCAAAGCAACCGTGAGGTTTGCTGTTTTAATTGCAGTCATTCTTATTTTTCTTTTATGAGCCCAGTAAAGATAAATAAGAGATAGAGTAGCTATTTGTAAGAGTGCAACTATTTAGATATATGGCCCAGAAGAATAAACAATATGTTATCATTTTCGTTTTATGGTATTATCTCAGGCTGTTTCGTTCCAACTCTCCGCTTCTTCTTCCTCTCAATCTCTCCGATCCCCATCTTTCACAATGGAAAATACGAAGTCCAACGAAGCCCTAGCCCTCCTCTGGGCCTACGAGCTCAACCGAGAGAACAAGCAGTTGTTCAAGGGACTCAAAAAAGCAAAACGACGTCTCGATGCCTCTCACCCAACCACATCAGCTAGCTGTGCCAAGGGTTCACACCAAAGCAATGAGAAACCAAACCAACAGCCAAAGACTCAAAGTCACACATAAAATGGAGTGAAGCAGAGTGACGATCTTCAGTAGTATGCCACTTTCGTCAGGAATTACCTTATCAAGTACTGATTGCTGCAGGAGCTGCAGGAAGTCACGATGATTGGAGAACAACATGCGGAGGGCCCCCGATGCGGGGATAGAGGGGTGGCTCATAACCAAGTTCTCCCTTCTCTCTTTTGAATCATTGTATTTAGAATATTCTGTCGAATACAAGCAACAAGCTATTAATACAGCAAAATGGTCCTCGCACAACCCCCAAACCAGCATGTCATGAAAGCCTTCGATCTCACAGGCAAGGTCGCAGTTGTGACTGGTACGATATCTCCCAATCATCACAAAAACCTCTAACGCTACCACAGGCGGCGCTCGTGGAATTGGCCTTGAAGTCTCTCGGGCATTGGCCGAAGCCGGTGCAAATGTGAGCCACATTACATACATCAAGAACCAAACTAATAAACCGCAAAGGTCGCCTTGATCTATCACTCATCCAATACAGCCGATAAAGTTGCAGCTGAGATTGCATCTACCAATAACGTACGTGCAGCAGCGTATAAGGCCAATGTAGCCGTTCAGTCTGAGATCGAGACAGCTGTGCAGCAGATCGCGAAGGATTTCGGACAACTTGATATCATAGTTGTTAACTCTGGTATTGCCTCGAATATCGCTGCTGAAGACTACACGCCTGATCAATGGAGTGAGATCATGAAGGTCAATCTTGATGGTGCTTTCTATTCTGCTCAAGCTGCCGGTCGGATATTCAAGGAACAGGGCCGTGGAAATGTTATCTTCACGGCTTCTGTCAGCGCGACTCTGGTCAATCTCCCGCAGAAGCAAGCGGCTGTATGTTCTGGTTGAAAATGGGTTCTATTCATGTTGCTAATCCTTGTATAGTACAATGCGTCGAAGGCGGGAGTTGTTCAGCTTGCTAAATGTTTGTCTGTTGAGTGGGTTGATTACTGTCGAGTCAACTGCATCTCGCCTGGATATATCGCTACGGAGATTCTGGATGGTTTCCCCGAGGAATGGCGGGACAAGTGGTTTGACTTGATTCCTGCCAAGAGAATGGCTGAATCCTATGAGTTGAAGGGGGTAAGTCTTCACAGATTCAGGTCCTCGAGAACTTGACTGACAGCCCTGTTTAGGCCTATGTGTTTTGCGCCTCGGATGCGTCTAGCTATATGACTGGTGCAAACCTCGTTATTGACGGAGGATACACTTTGCCTTAGATATGGAAAAAGATGCTGCCTGGTGATTTGATAGATCAAGGGACTACTCTATATACTAAAGTTGAAAGTGTGCAAATGAGAATGTTGCCAAATATTCAAATTAAGCCTCAGTAACAGTTATGAATGTAGTATTATAAAGACAATCTCGAACTGCACTGCCATCTCAGCGCAGTTGCTTCTCCGCCAATAAAAATTCAGTGATAATCGCTTAAACTCGGCGGGAGATCCTGGATGCGAGTCCCCCATTCACTCTCCCTAGGTCCCAGAACAAGTTCAAGCACACCACCATCAGTAAAAAAGTCGTGGGTGATCCAATTCTTTGTCCACGGCTTGCCATTCCACTTGGCACTCTGGATATAGATGGACTTGTAACTAGGATCAAAATTGATGTTGCGGATAGTAGCAACCTTTCCATTGAGGGCGTTTCGAATGCTGACTTCCTTGAAGTAAGGCGCAGTGATCAGGTAAACGTCCTGACCAGGCACGGGCCAGAGACCCATCATGCTGAGAACAACATATGAGCCCATAGCCCCACTATCATCGTTACCGGCGATACCATTGACTGTCGTGTTGAACTGGGATGGAATGTAAAGATGGCTCTGCTTTGCCGAGAGACCTGGCCGACCCGAGTAGTGAAATTGATAAACAGGTAAGAATGCCTGCTCGTCTCCCATGTAGAGCAAACCAGAGTCATGGAGATAGCTTAGTCGAGAGGTAAAGGATTCGGCACCGCCAAGCGTCTTGATAAGAGATCCCATGTCGTGGGGTGCATAGCTGTAAGTAAATCATTAGCTACGAATATAAGCAGGATATAGCACAGTTAAGCACTTACAAGGTATACATCCACGCGCTGCCTTCATAAGTCTCATGGCCATCAGGGTTGAGGTAACATGAAGTGAAGTTCAAAAGAGGACTACAGAAGATCGGGTCCTGATAGCCCCATGTGCCGTTCGTGTATCGAGGCTGTAGGAATCCAGTGAAGTTGGTGTCGACCCCATTGATGCTTGACTTCTGATCAGGGTTGAACAAGTGGGCCCAGTTTCCGGACCGTTTCGCGTATTTCTCATAGTCAGCCTGGTGGCCCATGCCATGTGCCATCTCCGCAATGCAAAAGTCGTTGTAGGCATATTCCACCGTCCGCGATACACTCCGAGTGTGTAGACCTTGTCCATCGGGGTCGTAGTCATCAAAAGGAATATAGCCAAGACTCTTCCAACTCCGCAAGCCGCCGCGGCCTTCCACATCCCAGTTCTTGGGCTCTACCTCTGCATCCTTGACAACAGCTTCATATGCAGTGGCCCAGTCGATTCCCGGGACCTTTTTCAGATACGCATCTGCCATAACCACATCTGCGTTCGAACCGCCCTGCGTCCATCCCTTGCAAAGCGACATGCGACAGTCAGGCAGGTATCCTTCGTGTCTATAAGTATCAATCAAGCTGCGGATCATGAGGGATTGTGAGAACGGATCAACCAGTGTTAACATTGGATGAATGCTGCGGAAAGAGTCCCATATACTGAGAGTCTTATTAGTGTGCTATTCATATGTTTCAGAGCGGAGTCAGCTCACCAATAGTAGCTGTCATAATATGGCTCGTCACTTTTCCAGAGAGGGTTTTCACCAGTATAGTCTTGAGGGCTGATGAATGTTCGGTACGCTCCACTCCAAAAGACTGTTTGTAGATCTGATGAAACTCCATCTGCATCCACAGAGATGGTATCCAACTTCTTTCGCCAAGCAGATTCAGCAGCAGAAACGGTGCCCTCGAAGTCAAAGTCGGGTTGTTCGCGCTCCGCGTTCGAGCAAGCCTGCTGAACATTTATGAAGCTGACACCTACGCGGGCAAGGATACTGTTGTCTTTGGGGGCGTGGAATCTGGCAAATGTGCCAGCGGAGAGAGTGGATGACGCGTTAGACTCGAGTGTCAGCGTCCGCTTGCTGGTGTTTGGTTGGTTTCTCTCCCAGACGCCTGTGTCACGAAGCTCTGCTCCTTTGAAATCAACGCACACATATGACTTGTAACTGCCAGTACCGAAGCTCGGCCTGAAAGTACCGCTTCCAGTGAGACGTCCAGTTGATCGGTCCACGTCGGCACTACCACTTGTTCGGCTTTGAGGTAAATCCATTAAATCCAGGAGGACCACTGGACTAAGCGATTGGATGGAAACTTCATTGAACGTAAAACGATATAAAGCAGATCGATTTGTGGCTGTCATTTCCGCGTGAACACCATTTGCTAGTGAAATGCCGAAATATCCTGGGCGAGCTCTAGGTGACTCTCTGTCCCAGGCAGATGCTCTGTCCGATTGTTGCCATTTGCATTGGTTAATATCGTCATGCGGACAATTTCCTTGAATAAATATAGGGAAATTTCCCATTGACGGGGCCTTTGAAGCGAGTTAGATAGAGGGCATGTTGTCCAATAGCCTACGAGAACTTACACCACCAGTCCCAGAATCATGCATGTGTGAAAATCCGGTTACAACCTTCGTATCATAAGCAAAGCCAGCCTGATTCTCGCCTGTTGTGTCTGCCACGGCTTTGGCCATACCTGCATTTGTTAGAGTTGCTGGATGGAAGCACATAGTATGCTATGACATACCAAATGGCAAAGTCGCGCCGGGAAATACATGGCCTAAAAGAGCTGTCAGCCTTCGCTAACAGGGAGACTCATCATATATAAGACAAACCTCCATTCGCAGTACCAATCAAAGGATCGACATATTTCAAGGCATCAAAATCATTAGCTAAAGAATCCTGTGTGGCTATCACTTTGGAAGCATAGAGGGCTGTTACGATGCCGCCGAGGAGCCCCATGCGGAGGGAGGGATGTTGTGATGGCATGATGGACTCAGGGACTATCCACAACCATAAACAAAAAAAACAACCCAATAGCTGTCCAATATACAATTGAGTCGCACAAAAGACGCGTTCCAGTTCAGAATTTAAGCTCCTTATTTATGGTTTTGGCAACATGTCGCGGGGAAAGCATTCCGGAACAGATCGGCATGTGAAGTGCCTTTTGAGAAAGGAAACTGCCAGTCACATCTTCGGACCTCAGACCAAATGACAATATGCAGGAGCAATTCATCCGTGGACGTAACATCGACCCGTGGCTAACATGGTGTCACGTTAACCCCATCTTGTCGCTCCGGAATATACCCTGTCATGCTCGCTCGTTCCCCACATCGGGAGAGGTCAAGGAGCGAAAGTGAGGCGAAGATGTGCACTTGAACAAGGATCCGACAAAAACTTCCTCATGATGTGGGCTTCTGATTGTCGATCGTTGAGGTTAAGGGGGTAAGACACTATTGGCACCGCACTAAAAATTAGGTACTCTTGGCACTAATTTTTCAATACGAGTACCATTTAGTATACTCCTATGTAGTATCAGAGTAAAAAAACATAGCCCCCGAACAACTCCAGCTACACAGTACTACTTCCCTATATCTCTATATCTCTATTAATTTACATAAGCTGGTAGTCAAAGGTTATAAATAGCAAAGTCGTTTACACAAATCAAGTCTTTTTCCGCCGTCAACCTATCTAAACAGAATGATATCTAAGAAGGATACTAAACGTACTACTAGAAAGATCATCGGAAAGACTACTAAAAAGATATATATCATAGGGCCGTGTAAGAGCCGTATAAGCGGCCCTATATTCTTATAGCAGTGTATTTAAAAGGTAGGCGGTACTTATAAAGGACCTAGTTTAGCCCAATATTTCGGAGGTCCTACTACATGTTGCTGGAGTTGCTCAGGGCTGTGTTTTTTACTATGACAATATCAATAATGACACTCGTATTAGAAACCAGGAGTCAAATATGGACTGTACCTAATTCGGCATTAGAGCGGTGCCATTAGTGAAATCGCTGTGCCAATTGTGCCGTACTTGAGGGGAGCTGCGGGGAACGTGGGCTTTCTAGGGATAAGAATGACCCGTGAGTTCCGAGAGGAATGAGTCGAGACTAAGCTAAGGCATTCGCTTTATGTAACCTTCTCCGCGCTGTTTTGCGTCATATGGAGAGGGTGACTAGAGGTGGCATGAGCAACATTGGGATCGGCCGGTCGGGTTTCGGCAAAATGCAGAATTTCCAACGTGCATATAAAATGCGGAGAAATTATGCTCGGCAGATATTGAGGCCATTGAAAGTGATCATGTCGGGTAATTCGGAAACTCAAGACATTCAATGTTTGCGGTTGCAATTTTCATCGACCACATATCCTTCTTTGTTGGCTTCGCGCGGCCAGAGTTGAACAATCAAAACAAGTCAACTGCAATGCTGTCCCAATCCTTCCCCCTTTGCTCCGACGCCGGTCTTGAGATTATGGTGTTTGAAACCGCCGAAGGGCTAGGAACAGAAGAATTTCTTGATGAAGACCTAGAATCAAGATACGCTTTGGTTTGTGCATTTTCTCGTTGTAATTTCGAATATTCCTCTCGGATATTGGTCTTTTCTCGCATTGATGCCCGATTCGATGCAATCTCTTTCATCGCCATTTCCAGTTGATCTTTGAACTGTGGTGATTGGGCATATTGATGTGCCTCAGCGTCTGGCATCGCTAGATACTCCAGAAGTTGTGGGTACGTTTCCGCAACGGGAAATAACTCAGATGGCGTGCCGCAAGCATCGGCTTCATCAATACGATTCAGAGATGGGGGAGGCATCATCCGTGGGACCACTGAGGATTTACTCCGTGATGCTGTTGACAATCTATCACCATGGATTGAAAGATTTCCGACTGACGGGTCTGGATGGCCTTTGGGGGTTGTCCCACCAGTACTTGAGATTGGGGATGGCACGGGGAACTGGGGCGGTGCATCATCCCAAGATCTTGCCCTGCAAGATGGGCAATAAAAGTTATCTGCAGATCGGACCACATCTGATAGACATGCTGTATGATAGGATCTACAGCATGTCTGGCAACCAATCAGACTATCAGGGAGACGACACTCCCAACAAACTATATTATGGGGCTTCCCAGCATCTGCAATAAGCAATTAGCAAGTATCCCCTAATAAGTTTGATATAGTAGCACACCAATCCATTCATGATATACGCGAATTTGTTCTGGGCCTGAAAGTACAGGCTGTGTTGAAGATATTGAGCCCCATCGTATTTGAAAGTTCCTCGGGTCTACATCATTGTCTTCAATAGACCGGATCAATGGAGTAGATGTATCACATTGGCTATCAACGATAAATGACGGTTTCCGTAGCATGATGTATAGTGTTTTGTAGAAGAGAAGTAGATGACGACAGGATGTACAGGAAAAAAGTGACCGAATCCCGAGTTTCAAGCGAAAAATTCCCGGTATATTATGTAATCACCCATTTAGCCAAGCATCTTGCATCATTCATTCTAGATTTCTTGTTCCTCGAATTGCATCTTCACCTGATGTATGTTCGAAATGTGAAATAGTTGTGTGTGTTTTATTAAGAGCCAAAGTGGAAATTCTCAGATGACCTCAAACCCCGAGCACTAAGCCCTGGAGATCGCGATACTGGCACGCAACGCACAATGCCTGGGGTGCCATCTAACAAGGCTTGCGAGCGTTGCAAAAAGAGGCATCTAAAAGTTCGTTTGACTTCAATTGAAATATATTTGCAGATTTTTGCTAACATGTGGCAGTGTGATGAGACTCGCCCTCATTGTCAGCGTTGCACCACCGCGGGGGTAGAATGCCCGGGGTATGTTCAAACCCGCAAGTTCATCGATCAAGGAGCTACAGTAAGGCGCCGTTATGCTCCATATCAGGAGCATCATCCAAAACCAGGCTCTGCGTTCGATTCAGCCAAAGTAGGTGATACTACCCAATATTGTTCTACTGAGGCGCTCATGCTTTGCGATAGGTCCCCACAGAGTTGATATCAGACCCACAGCCAAAAATCTCGCAAGTAGAACCCAAAGAGCAGATTATGCATTGGAACCCACTCAAAGAGCAAGATAATCCTTCTCTTCACTTCCAGATGGGAGAGACGAGGTTAGACTCAAGAAATGACCCGATGATAGTAGATATGTCTGGTCCTTCTAGCCGACCAGAGCTTGCTATGGGGAGTGCTCAGCAAACAATCATGCATGCTCCAGAAAGCCCAGCTATCTCCATTACCAACTCTATTCCTGGCATCGAGGAAAGCAACAGATCTACGAGAAATCCGATCTATCAGTCAATTTCACCAACTGGGGCTGCAGGAGGGTTCCCAACATTTGATAACACCTTCACTGCAATTTCACAAAAGAGCCCCGATTACCAGCCGGTCATCTCCGGAACTCCATCACATCGAAGTGAAAAAGACGAATTCCAAGATATCTTCTCGGAGCTCATGACTGGAACTGAACACGAGATCGCGTTTCTCACTCGACATTACTCAGAGATCATAGGTCCATGGTGCGTACAACTAACATTTTTCTTTGCATGTACAGTGTATTGATAATGTGGTTAGGTTGGATTTGTCGGATACTCAAAAATTCTTCACCGTTCATGTCCCTGTTCGAGCTATCAACAATTTGTCCGTGAAATATGCCATTTCAGCTCTAGCAGCAAAACACCTAGCTCGGTTGAAAGGGGCCAAGGCATCCACGGGTGGAATGTTCACAAGCCCTGCGACTACAGAGATCTACCCAAATGCAACTCAAGTTGATTGGTTTCTTAAGGCTGCCAATTACTATTACTTGGCAGCTTCGGATTTGAATAACATCACGTCCGATGGCTATACCACTGTGTCTAGCTCAGCTATATTGGAATCCCCCTTTGAGATAGTTAGCCGGTGGATCAACTCGCGTCAGACTCAAGCGAGCATAAACCCCGCGAGTGAAGATCCAAACGACGTGGCGGTCATTCGAAAAACAGAGGAGCTATTAGCAACTGCTACGCTTCTTACCATGTACAGGCTTTTAGATATGCCTGGGGAGGAGTGGCACATGTAAGACATGCTCCTCGTTGAGAATAGGTAGCTGCAATTTCATACTAACTTGACCCAGGCAACTTGCTCGCATTCGTCCTTTGTTTGAGTCTCTTCTCAATTTGTATTCTGCAAAATCAGCTCTGTTTTCTCATGGCATTCAAGCAGCCTTCTGGAATTTTGCTCGCCAAGATTATCTCGCCTCTTATTTCACCCGATCACCTACACACTTCGACCCAGAGAATCTGCCCCTTTGGCGGGCAGCTGGAATCTCAATTAATGATCAAAAAGCCTTCCATCTCATCCGGAATGGGTCAACTCTATCGCAGGAAGACCAGGCTACTAATGGCTTGATCTGGCTAGTCTCAAAGGTCATCAACTTCCTCGCAAGATTCAAACAATTACAGCTCGCGCAGTGGACTGGATCTCCACCGGCGGCTTCACCCGAAATCCAAAACACAACGCCAAACACCGCTCAGACGCCATATCCGGACACAGATACCTGGCTCAGACTATCATTCGAATTTCAAACATGGTTTGAAAATGTACCCGAAACCTTCCGTTCCTCTGTACGCATCGAACGCCCCAAGGACCTATCAAAGGCTTCCGAAGGGAGTTACCTGCCATTCCCTGAAATCTTCCATAGCTTGACAGCCTGTGCTGCTACCATGCAACATTACCATTTCGGGCGCATCGCATTATTGCTCAATCGACCAGCAGATGTGATCAGTGCACCATCTACAGCCTTTGACCGTTTACAGGGGTACCGGGAGGTCACGAAAGAGGTCGAGTTCCGTTGCCGTGAAGTCTGCGGCATTGCATTGGGTCGGCCTCAGGGTGGTGTCCGCATATTCATGGTCCCGCTTCTTGTTGCTGTCGGACAATGTCTTGAAAATGAAGAAGAGCATCAGATTATTGTTGATCTGCTACGGGGCGTCGAAGCTGATTTGGGCTGGACTACTGAATATGCCATTCGGAAACTCCAGGATTCTTGGAATCAATGATTTTACCTGTCTTTATGTTGTTACATTGGGACCTACCAACTACACTGTATTTAAATGTCTATAATTAATTCCAAACGCTCTTCCAAATGGGCGAAGTTGACTAATCTGATATTGAAAATATCGCCGCTCGTACTTGATCGGCAAATATTTCCGGAGTGGTGGCTATGACATGAATTGATGGATGATGGTATTCTTCCATCATGCATAAGTGTGTGAAGGCAAATAAATCCCAAAATGTTCGAAAGCCAGCTCATTGTAATAGTATATCAAATAAAATAGAAAACTGTTTCTAGTCTAGCAATGAAGGCCAATTCAACAGAAACAGAGCATGAAGAATGTCTCCATAAAGCAAAAAAGAAGCTTTTGATGCAACGAGTTCCTATATCCTGTATCACAAAATGAATACTCTCTTATCACCGTTTTGATCTGAATCCCAACTCAAGCGACAGCAAAGCTAGAGACATAGACCACCTTCATGTCTCAGTAGTAATTATTCCGAGAGACGTACCCCGGATCTGGTTCTTGTTTCGCTTGAGGAACGCTCAGACAGATACCTTTCAACAGGATCTGGATCACCTGAACCACAGGAAGAAACCCGGCGGCCAGCCTTCTTTCTATCAGAAGCCAAGGTCTGGGCGAAGGGTGACAGTTCCCGAATCCTAGGACCTTTCCAATAGAAGATGTATATCGGAATGGTGAAGACAATCGCCATGAAGCCCAAGAAGGTGGAAGGCCATTCCAGGTGGTGTGTTGTACCCATGTTTGTGTACACTGTATTTTGCGGTTAGGGGATATTCCGTTGTAGGATTTTGGTCACTTACTAGGAACTGAATACATCGCTGCGATACCGGCTAGGAAATCACGCGCGAATCCATTTCCTCCTGTAGCGGAGGCGGCATATGGACCATATGCGGCAATCATGTAGTCAATTGTGGCCATGTAGATAGCATACTTGATCACAGAATGATCTGTTAGTCTGGTATCAAAAGATATACTCTTTCTTGACTCACATTGGCAATTGCTATTAAGGCTGAGAAGATCATTGGCGCAATCCAATGGACATGAGGTGGGCCGAGACTAGTCCACGCAAATCCAAATAGGCCAATTGTCAATAGAGGAGCCACTGTTGCGAGTGAGTAAAGAGACCAACAGACTATATTTGAGAATACTTACCCCATAGCAGCCAGTAAAGACGAGCTTCCGGCTGAAGAGCATCTGGATCTTTCTGTCTAATCTTGCAATGTCGATAAATCCATGGAAGGAACGAGAAATAGGCAATGAAATAGCCCACCAGAAGTCTGTATAATCAGGTTATTAGAACCATCCTGAATTCAAGGTTGTGCATACTCACGGGAGGAAAGAAAGTCCAATGGCAATTGTAGTGAATTTCCACTGCTTGTATACCGGTGTATAAGATTGAAGGAAAGTGAAGATGAGGGAATCACTGAAGCCGCTGAGCAGAGAGAGGCACAAGACGATAGGCTCACGCACGAACATAACAAACGGGCGTACCCAAACCATGAACACCCAGCGGAAGGACATACGAGTTTTCTTCAGCTCATCACCACTCCATACCATCTGGCCGTTTTGACGTCTCCGCCTGGCCTCTCTCGTGACGAGGATGCTGCACCTGGTCTCTGGAATCAAGAAATGCATTAACTGCACAAAGCCTCCGAGGATAAGCTGAATCCAGAAATTCCAGTGCCAATCAAGGAAGGTTGCCACGAACCCTCCAACAACTGGGGCGATGACCGAGCCTGCCACGGAGGATAGCACAATAAAGGCCACAGCATATTGTTGGTCCTCTGGTTCCCACATATCCGCTACCATGCCGAGCGTCACGGAGCCACCGGCGGACGACACACCCCCGAGAATACGGCAGATAACAATAGTACCGAAGTTGGGAGCCAGGGCACATGGGATCTGCCAGATGTTGACGAAGAACAAGCTGAGCTGCATTATTGGCCATCGACCAAACTCCTCACTGAAGGGCGCCCAAAACTCGCAGCCAAATGCATAAGCAACGAGAAATCCCATCTGGCCAACACGCGCAGCCTGCTCTGAAATGCTGAAGTGTTTTGCATACAGAGTAATGCTGCTGGCATAAAAACTGGCGTTGAAATTCATGGATGTTTGGACAGCAAAGATGACGGAGATAATACCCCATTTCTTCCACCAGGGGTAGGAATATCCTAACTTGTCGTAGCATTGCCATTCTTTCAGCTCTTCTCTAGTTTCCCCATCGACAGCTCCATTTGCACCCTCTTTCTTGTGGCGGCTGCGCCTGCCCCTAGGAGAGCGACCATCACTATCATCTTGCTTCTCCACGTCTCCGTCTGCTTCTGTGTGATTGGAGAAAGGGTCTTCGTGGTGACTCATAGTGAAGTATCTGATAAGAATAGTTCAAGGGCTCTCAGCAATATAACACCCAAAAAGATGAGAACCGCCATTCTGGGTATCAGGCATAAACCGGGGTCCCCAGAGTCTCATTAAATGCTTTTGGGGCTTTCCCAGAGAAGTGCCAAGATTCCATCACATCGACTGTGTAGATATAACAACAGTGTTTCCGATTGGTCCGGTTTGCTAGCACAGTCTGGCTCCAACAAGCTTTACCAAGCTTACTCGCGTGTTTCGTGGTGTGGAGATGACATCCGGGGATCATGACTCTATCGATCATCATTGGGCTCATCGAATTTCTTCCCTCCATGGGGAATTAGGGATATGGCCCCCCGCGACAGGCCGCAATTATGATCCGAGATATGTTTGGGTCCAGCCTTTCCATTTTGGACTTCAAATAAAAGGAGTGGGTGAAATGGTCCGGAACATCCTCCGGGTACTCTCCCCGATAAGGTAACAAGAGGGCATGATGGCCAAGCCGGGATAAAGTCCATGAGTATCGAGAAGGGAAGAAGGATATTCTCCAGAGCTGGAGAAAGCGTGCCAAACAAGGCCTCAGGCACGCATCCATAATGTACTCTATACTACATGTACTACGGTATGCTACCCATATTCTAGAGTTTGCTATCTTCTGACATTGAAACATATATATTGTATAAACAACTCTTGTAATCTGAACTATTAATAGACAATATTGAACCTTAAGAATACTCCCTTGCTATTGACTCAGTTTCGCCATAATTGCTCTAAGGCTGCATATGCACGTCTGCAAATAAAGGGTTTCCCCCCTTTTCTTTTCACCCTCACTTGGTTTGAAACTTGATTGAAACAAATAAAACATGCAGGGCTAGGCTATCATATTTCAAGACCATATACTCTTTTCGCCGTCCATGTGCGAGAAGCATCAACGAAGCGCCATAATGAGTGATCTACCGACACGAACAAAGACGGAAAGATGATTCTAATACATAATATACAAAGAGAAGATCTAACCTATAAGAGTCTTAGCATAAATTAAAAAAGCTTAGAGTCTGCGGGGAATCCTGGGGTATTTCTATTTTCACCAATCCAAGAGAATGAAGCTAAGATACATAGAGTAACGGAGCATGTATATCACTTGGAGAAACTCTGACCAAAGCCCTGCTACTGGTGAACTGGAAAGAGACATAACCTACGCTTATGGGCAGGGATACGTTTGCCTTCGGTAGTTGATGACCTTGCTTTCCCGGATTTAACCCCTCTAGGGGTCTAATCTCCCTGATATCTCCCATATTTGAAATATAACTAACAGGGGGCCCCGACTGGCCACGCGATGAGCATAGTTCTTCGAGAATCAAAAGTTCTCTTGAACTTCACATCAGCTCAAGGGATAAACCGAAAACATGGAAATGAATTATGATGAAGGGGTGAGTCTTGATTCATAGATGTTTTATGCGTATTTTGGCTAACAAAATCTCGCTTAGACTCTCCATCAGTATGTCGCATTGTATACCCCGTAATGGCCGTGCCTGCTAACCATCTGCCCAGAATCGAGGAGGAGCTGGGAACAGTAATCTACCCAGGAACGGAGATCATGACTGATGTGGGCTCTCATCATTTCGTTAAATCATCCTCCAAATCCGATCGTGTGCTAGTGCCCCAACCATCGCAAGACCCTCATGATCCTTTGGTAAGATTTCTTCCCCAAGTTGACCGGGACAATCAATAACCAAGTTTGTAGAATTGGAATCGATTCTGGAAAATGAGCGCCATGGCTATAGCCTCCTTGACATCTTTCAGTCAAGGCCTGGGCCCGTTGGCATTGGCTCCTATGTTCCCGCAGTTGATGGAGGCATTTCAGACCGATTTGGCCGCCGTGGTGCAGTTCACAGGTGTCTGCATTCTGGTTCTGGGTTTCAGCAATTTTTTTTGGTGAGGATCGATCAATTGCGGTTGGTAACCATCGCTAACACTGGGTTGATCTAGGATACCCATTCAAACGTCCTACGGACGAAGACCGGTCCTGATATTTTCAACCCTAATCTGCCTGGTCAGCAATATTTGGCGAGCAATGGCGACTAGCTATGGCAGCTACATGGGCGCTTGTGTGCTCAATGGATTTGGCGCTGGTCCCGCAGAGGTGTGTCTCGATCTCCTTCCAACGGATAAAAACTGACCGTTCACCTCTAGACATCTCAACCAGAGATCATCGCGGATATCATGTTCCTACATGAGCGCGGTGCGTACAATACAATGTACTTCACTGCGTATTTCGGGGCTCTCATGGTAAATAATTCGGATCAGAGTATTGGCTGTAACTGACATCCTCCAGGTTGGTCCCATCATCGCGGGCCCTATGGCTGAACATAGTGGATGGCGCAGCTTCTTCTGGCTGAACGTCGGCGTCCTCGGATTCGTGCTCCTGCTTCAGATCCTACTCTTCCCGGAGACCAAATGGCATCGCATTCATCCAGAAGAAGTTGCTCACGCGGTGTCACCTACTCCTTCTGAGTTGGCAACTGATGGATCGGACACAGAGAAGGCAGCCAAGATGACCAGGCAAGAGAACGAGAATGTGGAAACTGACGAGCGCGATCCTTATTTGCACAAAGGCACCCCATCAAAGCAACAATTCAAGCTCTGGCAATTGGATGGAAACAATATCAAGACTTGTATTCTCAGCTTCTGGATTCCATGGAAGCTGTTGACCTTCCCCATCGTCGAACTGGCCGCGTTTGTCGTGTCATGGTCCGCTAGTTGTTTCCTCACCCTCAATCTCACCCAGAGCCAAGCATTTGCAGAACCACCATACAACTTCGGTAGTCAAACGATTGGTTTCTTCAACTTTGCTATTTTGATCGGGAGTTTCATTGGATTGGCTACCAACGGCCTTCTTTCAGATTGGATCTCCATGAAGGCCACCCGGAAGAACCGAGGTATTCGAGAACCTGAAATGCGTTTGCCAGCGATGATTCCGTATGTCATCATCTCAATAATTGGCAACTTCATTGTTGCGTTTGGATACCAGTATAAATGGGACTGGAAGGTGGGTGCAATCATCCCTTGCTCGGCAGATGTTCAACTAACTCGTCCATTCATAGATCATCGTCTTTATTGGATACACTGCAGCAGGAATCCAGGTTGCAGCCCTTCCGGCTATTACCAGCACATATGCAGTCGACAGCTACAAGCCTGTGGCGGGCTCGATTTTCGTGGCTATCACTGTCAACAAGAACCTCTGGGGCTATGGCTTCAGCAGATTCATCACCAAATGGGTGGAAGAGAGTGGGTTTGTCAAGCCAATCATGCTGAACATGTCTCTGACAGCATTATGGTGTTTCTGCGCCATCCCCTTCTACTTCTATGGCAAGAAGTTCCGGGGGTGGACGGCCAAATCTTCGGTTCATAAGATGTGACAGCTGGATAAATGCTCCGAGATATGCAATGAACGCGAAATGAGAAATGGTTGAAATAAGAAAGATTATCTTGAATAGATTTTTGTGCTGTTGTAGCTGGTATCATTATGAAAATCGAATGCAACGCCCGCTTTAAAAACACTCAATCATCATCTTCATCGGGGTCGTAGAGATCAAGGTCCAGCATCGCCTTGGGTTTGGGTTTCGGTGCTGGCGCATGCGCCCGCGGCATTCCAGCGGCCAATGATCCGGCATGAGCTGCAGCCTTCGCAGCCTCGCCCGCCTGCTTTGTGCTTTCCGCAAGTTCGACCGGTGCTGGCGGTTCTGCGGCCCCAAGACCCTCAGCTTCGCGTAACAACCGCTCCACCTCCTTTTCAGAATCTTCACCAGCAGTAAGCTGGATTTGACCCATCAGTCCCATCCGTATCCGTTCCTCCATCGGGTAGGGTAGCATGTAGACCTGGCGCGTAACGTTCGCGGACTCGTCCAACCACTGTGTTGCGTTTTTGGTGACAGATGCCACTGGTTCTGCGCCCTCCTCTGTTGGCTGGTCTCCGTTTGTCCCCGTCATCGTCACGTCTTTATCGGCGAGGGCGGTCCCCTCTTGTCGTTTCACGATGCCTGTTGCGGCATCGGCTGCTGCTTCGTGGTTGTATTTGCTGATGCGACGTGCAAAATCCAAGAGTAACCTGTAGTCAATCTCTTTGATTCCCCGTAGTAATGATTTCTTTCCCCCCAGTTCGTCATCGGAGTCAGAATCGAAATCGCTGTCGCTGTCGCCGTTGTCTCCACAAGCTGTGCGAATCTCTTTGTCGAACCCGTCAATGTCCCCCACGATGCCCTTGACCTGTTCCTCTAGCTGCTGTGCCTCGTTTCGCAGTCGGAGGATCTTTGCGTAATTTTCTTGGTGCTGTCGAAGGGTTTCAATGGCGGAGGTTAGCACATCGTCCGCGTCGAGCAGGGCGACAGCTGCGGCAGGGGCGCCTGCAGCCGTGGGAGACGTGGTGAGGCTAGTCAGAAGAGCATTGAGTTTGGATTCGACATCAGTCAGGGCAGACTGGACAAGTGCGTTCATTGTTGGGTTGTGCTCTTGGGAGAGAGCTTGCGCGTGGATAGAAATGGGCCGAGCTCCGATGACAGGTCACGTGTATGGTATCTAAGATAAATGCAATATATGCTTCAATTGCAATACTATGTAACTATACGATGACTTTTTTGTTTTTTTTTGCCCTGAAAGTGTGTCCGTTGAACAACCAACTTCCATCCTTTTCGTCACTATCTAGGTGGTCTAAGTGGGGGTGAGAGAGCCCCCGGGTATATAATGATCGCCCGGCCACTTTGAAACCCCCGTATTTACTCAACTTCCTTGAACATTTATTTGTTTAAAAATGACAGAGTCTTGTTCGCCTTCCGCTCACGTAGAGTTGAGTCCATATGTGACTATTCAACCTCCTCTTTCTCGGTGCGGACACGGTCCAGGACTGATTCTCATACGACCTCTTTGTTACGCGACATGTCAACAGCAAAACAAGACGCTTGATCCAGAACCACTCAAAAAATGGGCCGAGGAAAGCTTCACGGTGGCACAGATTACCGTAGATGAGAAGTTTGCCATTGACATATCGTCTCTACGAGAGCTTCTCCAAGAGGCTGAGCGTGGCTTAACGGAGAGGCTAGAGTGCGATACGAAGGAAAAGATTGGGTTGATAAGTACGGAAGTTTCAACCTAGCCCTCCGAGTAGCCCATACTGACTTCAAATTAGTTTATGGATCAAAGAAAGACTATGCTCCCCAATTCGAGGACAGTCTGCAAGGTGCACTAGTTCAAGGCACGGCTCTGATCGCCGCAGTATTCTTCGACTCTTGGGACATTCCCTTCTTCCAGTCAACCCTTTCCCAGCTTTCTAGTCCAACGAAAGGCGAGAAGAAGGAAGGACAAACTACCCACGTGTACTCCGACGTATCCTCTTCTAGCTTTATGATCCCCGGCCACCCTGATTTCAAAATATCGACTGCAGGAGTAGCACATACTCGGAGTGTCGGATTTGTTAAAAAGCACCTGGGTGGCCCATTCTTTGACCTTGAGAAGATCTGGGACGAGCACACCTATTATGAATTCGAAGAACGCTCAGTCGAAAAAACGATGGCGACGATGGTCGCAGAGCCTTACGTGAACCATGTGCCAACCCTAACAGGAGGCATTGGACGAGCTCGTTTAAGTCACTTTTATCTCAATCACTTCATCTTCAACAACCCCGACGACACAGCTTTGGAGCTTATTAGTCGGACAGTTGGTACCGACCGGATTGTAGACGAATTTATATTTGTCTTCACTCATGTGAAACAGATGGACTGGATGTAGGTTATTCAATTCCTGTGCTTGAATTGAGCCAATTAACTAACGTGTTCATCTACCTTAGGATTCCCGGTATTCCTCCGACAGGCAAGCATGTTCGCGTTCCATTCACATCTGTAGTCAACATTCGTGGAGATCGCTTGTTTCATGAACACATTGCATGGGACCAAGCAACAGTACTTGTGCAGCTGGGTTTATTGCCCGAATATCTGCCTTTCCCATATGCACTGCCCGATGGATCTGTACCAGGGCATGGGAAACGATTCGAGTATCGCGTGCCAGCGGCGGGCGCCGAGAGTGCCGCGAAACTCCAGGATGAGGATGAAGTCCCATCTAACCAGATGTTCGAGTATAAGATTCGCGAAGTCGATAATTGAGGCATTGATCTATGCTGTAGCAAATGAATATCTCAAGTGCCGTTCTAGGCAACAATTATACCTTTCCGAATATCCGTCTGACGGATGTTATGTTGCAGCCTCGGTCAAATATACCCCGCAGAGTCTGTGCTCGCCAACAATCCTTCTGTACTTTCTACCGAGCCCAGCCCCTGATTTAGTATAGCGTTGACCGATTTGAATACGGATTTCTGGGGAAGCTCATCTCTTATTGGTGTATTATCGCCGAGCTCCAAGGCAATGCCTCGCTTTGACATCATTGCGCATTTTAGGCCGCAAAACGGAACTGTCCGCTGACTGTATTTTCCACGTCGCTTAGCTTGGATTATGATGATTGGTAGGGAAATCTACTTCATCTCGAGCTAAGGCTCTGTTGGGCCATATACACCACTCGGACCTGTGGATAAAATACATAAAACTAGGTTCGTGGCCTGACTTAGTGGTTCCTGGCTAGTATTAATATAAACCCCAGGAGCATTAAGGGTTCTCTCTCTTTCTCCGCGTTTTTACTCCGCTCTTCTGGGGTCAATATGGTCGCTGCATTGTTGTTGACACTGGTTTCAGTGTGCCTGGCCTCCAAATTACCTGTGGTTGATTTGGGATATGAGCGACACCAAGCAATTTCATTCAATGTCAGATAAGACTTCTTCCGTTTGATTTCATAATCCCTGACATTCGAAATAGAGCACCCATGGAATCTATAATTTCACCAATATCCGTTATGCGGCACCTCCAGTTGGCGAGCTGAGATTCCAGGCACCCGAACTTCCCAAACAAAATAGAGAGCACGTCCAGAATGGCTCTGTAGGCAGGATATGCCCACAGGCAGCCCCATTGTGGTCCACAAAAGTCCAACCAGCCTTCATCTTGAGCTACTTCTATGGCCAATCCTTCTCTGGGTCCACCAACATCTCTTCCTATAAGTACAAGCCGGCGGAGCTGGACCCACGCACCACTGAGGACTGTCTCTTCCTTGACGTCGTTGTCCCTAAAAAGGTATTCGATCGCGCGAGGGGTGATGCCCCAAAATCCCGAAAGAACTTGGCGCCGGTGCTGGTGTGGATCTATGGCGGAGGGTATGTGGGGGGAGAGAAGGGCAACTTGGATCCAACTGGGTTGATCGAGCGGAGTATGCGAGGTAGTGATGAAGGGATTGTCTACGTTGCCATGAACTATCGAGTAAGTCATACGATATTCCTAGGTCAATGCCGTGGGGATACTAATGTTTCTGGAAGTTGGGTGCATTTGGCTGGCTTGGTGGTGACAGTATCAATGCCAATGGCACCGCAAACGCAGCGCTTCACGATCAACGGCTTGCTCTTGACTGGGTATACAAGAATATTCACCTGTTCGGTGGAGATGCGACCCGAGTCACAGTTATGGGAGAATCCGCTGGAGGTGGTTCAATCCTTCATCAAATCACCGCCTACGGGGGCAAACGGGGTGCTGTACCCTTCCAACAAGCGATCTTACAGAGTCCAGGTTGGGTCCCAATGATTGGCGAAGAGCAACAAGAAGATACACTGCAGCAGTTCTTGGAGATTCTGGACGTCGACACGATTGAAGAAGCCCGGAAATTACCATCGGAAAAATTGATCGAAGCCAATGCGTACCAAGTTGCGACAAAGTCCCAATGGGGACAGTTCACCTACGGTCCCGCTGTTGACGGCAGTTTCGTCCCTGCTCTTCCGGGCCAGCTTTTGTTCGGAGGCGGTTTCGATCACAACTTGAACATCATGGTCGGCTATAACGCGAATGAAGGATTGGTCTTTACTTCACCTGACAGCGTCAATAGCACCGGCTTAGGACTTCAGATGAAGACCTTGTCACCGAATACTCCAGAAAAGGTATCCGACTATATCTTGGATGTCCTCTACCCACCAGTCTATGACGGCTCCCATGGATACAAAGACTCGATCGAGCGCACGTCGCTCTCTATCGCGGATCTCATATTCCGGTGCAATACAGACTATCTCAGCCGTGCGTTCTACGGTGATATCTATGCGTATGAGTTCAGCATTCCACCTGCGCTACATGGACAGGATGTTGCCTACACCTTTTTCAATAAGGGGGCAGAAGGAATTGCCAATGTGACTGTGGCATTGGCTATGCAGGACTATTTCACTAGCTTTATCCAGCATGGCGCACCGAAATCTCAGCTGGGACCTGTCTTCAAAATGCGTGGCAAGGATGCACAGCTCGTTAAGATTGGCAATCATACCATCCAGCCGGTGCAGGATCCAACCGATAGCGAACGCTGTCGGTTCTGGCAGACTGCGCCCTACTATAAGCCGACCTGAGTCCTGGATTGTCTTATAGACACGACCTACGCAAATTTCTGAGTAAAAAGGCAAGGTCAATTAGTGGAACTCCAGGGGGCTTGATGTGTCCTACTTTACGAGATAATTAATTGGGAATGCAAGATATCCTTCGCATACAAACTCCGTACAAACTCCACGTGGTAGATTGTGGCCGGCTAAACTATACTTATGAAATTAATAGATAGGAATTACCTATATCTGACTCCTGCAGCAGGTCCAACGAGTTGCAATAATAATGGATGTACTCATACTCCCTGAATAGACAATTTCCGGACTTTGAGTATGGTAAACTTCGAATTTGGCGTCGAAAGATGCGGATATTCCTATTATAGGAAATCGAAAACGCACAATAAAAGAGCTGGGGCCGTTTCCTTTGCCAAGTACCCTTCAAAAATCCCATTTTGAAGCTCTTGAGACCATTTCGGCATCCATCACAATTCGGGTAGTAATCTCCTGGTATTGGGGGCCGTGGAACATAGATTTTCAGGCCAAGGTCCAATCATGCATCTAATTTCAACCGTTATGGGACAATAATCTGCAGTTAATTACTTGACGAATTGCCGCATTAGGATTTGGCACTCGCACGTGTTGGATAATATGGATCTATAATCCTGGAGACCTTGTTGGTGATAGAGAGACTGGATTGGTCAAAAAACAACTTCGGCCACTTCCGCTAGAACAAAGCCCCCCGTCAGTGAGTTAATGTCATAAAAGGCTAAACCACTATAGGAAGTAATATATATATCTTATGGGAAGTTGGATCCATTTACTGTTCTTATATATGTTCCGCTCGGAGTTACATGTGGCTCTACGAGTTTGATTGAGGTTGATAAAAATGAGATCGAATTAAAAATCTATTTTTATGACACTCTCGAGGTTCTTAGAAAATCAAAGAAAATCCCAAGACAAAGGGTGGCCGTCGCAAAGGACTGAAACGTGCCCAGGGCAGTACAAACAGACACTAAGCTTTATTCTGGCAATTGCTCTTTATACATAGTATTTTTGTTGTATACAGAGTAGGTAACTGAACATGTATCTATTCCAAAGAGACAAAGAGATAAGAACCTGGCTGGGGGTAAAATTTACTTAGTATCATAAATATCTAATCTCTCGTCTATTCCTCTCTTTTACCTTCTCGTCTCGTCTCTTCTAGCTCGCCTATTCTGTCTATACTCCATAATATCCCAAATTCACGATGAAGCTACTGTGGCCCATACTCTACCTGGGTAGTGCCCTCGCCTTTACTATCGATCACTCCCATTCTAAAATACTTGAACTTCCTTTCGTTCCATCTCCTAATGACCTCATATATGAAGTCACATCAAGCTTCGTGGGTGATATACTATTAGTATATTGTCAACATACTAATGTATCACAGTCTATCAAATTCTCCTTTCAGAATGGGGATCTATACGCCAATGACCACCAATTCTATCCTCCACCAATGACACCGACGCTCCAAGTGCCGCTCTATGAAGGCGAAAACCAAGAAAAACCCCACAAGACTGTGGAATTAGCCTACACGCTCAAATCTCAAACAACTCACACAAACAAAATGCCGACCGCGCCAGATACGACCCATGTACGAGTCGAGTTCCTTGATCTGCAGGGTAACCTAGTATCACCGCACGCAGTAGCCATCAACCTTTATGTCGATCAAGATGGAAAGTACAAATCTGCCTCTTTCCGTGTCGAGCCAGCTCACACCGGCCATCGAGACAATCATCTCTCTCAGGAGACCCAGCCGTGGGTTATAAAGTACTGGGATGGACGACTCGATGCTATCAAGACTACGGTGCCAAGCTCTGATAATGAGAATTCAATGGACATGAACCGCGATATTGTGATTCATACTTTGCTGGGTATCGCCACCGGGCTGGTTGGTTGTTCAGCTGTGTTCCTCATAGGATATCTGGGGAGGTGCTTGTGGGCGCGCGTTCAAGGACAGAAAGAACTAGGCCGCAGATCTCAAATCATATCAGAGAAAGGAACGGTTTATGAAAAGATCCCTATCATTTCGGAAGTTTACGCCACAGACGATTCGGAGTTGGATGTATGACCCGGTCTACGATATATATATCTCACCTTATAATTTTTGGCGTTTTTTTACAGCGTTTTCTTTTGTTAACACTCTCATACCACTGTTTTTCTTTTTCTTTCTATCAAATCTCTTCTTAATAGACTGTCTGTGCCTGTGACTCTATTACATACCTGGAAATGGGCATTATCTGGATGAAAATAGACCCAATTTCTACTTTTGGAATATAGTACGCATTTTGACCAACCAAATATAGCAGGCCGGCTGGCCCAATGGCAAGGCGCTTGACTACGAATCAAGAGATTGCAGGTTCGATCCCTGCGTCGGTCAACATCTTTTTGCTTTGATAAAATTTTGTTCGACTCCACCAGAAGCGGAGCCCGGAGTGATCAATGTGCACCCGGGCAAATGGGAGATCTTTTCCCCTTCTGCATCGAGGCACATTTCGGTTGACGGGGCCCGATAGCTACTCTGCATGCTGCTCCACTGGTGATTCGATTTTGAACATTTTCTTTTGCTTCGTATGTTGTATACATCAACGACACCCTCATTTCTCAACCGATTAAGTGTAATAACCCGTAAATAATGCGATACGGGTATCGAGGTGGAAGGGTGCTTCCAGCAGAACCACCCGGCACTGTGAAGTGGATAAATACTTGTATACATAAAGATCCTTGTCATATTACATTCTAAATAAGCATAAAGAGTGCCAGCAAACATAAGCGGGGTAATTCTGAATTCTTTGTTTGAAAGGACTTGCCAGCGCTGCCTCGTAAATGATATTTACCTACTCCATGGCCCAACCTCAGCTAATGAGATCGAGCCGCCTATGGAAGATGCACCATACCGGAATTCTGTATGTCTTTTTATGGGCGTGATTTTAGCTACTTGTACTCGTTCTTGACCTCCACATTCCCACCGGGCTTTCGAATTTTGGCTACCATGACGGACAAGCATCCTTTCGGTAAACAATTCCTGCTTTAGTACTCACCTTAATTGCTGATTTCGAATCTAGGTACTGTCGAACTTCCTTCTCTACGAGAGCTTCCGCTTGAAAAAGCCTCGGAGGGCCTTCAATCGGCGCATTTTACATCAGTTGATCTTGTCAAGGCATATATTGCGAGAATCCATGAGGTATCCGAGTTCAATGCTGTGTTGCAAATAAATCCAGATGCCGTGACAGATGCGAAAAAGCTGGACGAGGAACGACTTCGGACAGGAAGTAGGGGGTACGTCTTTATTTTTCTGACTTTTCTTTCTCCTCGCTAATTTTTCACATCGCAGTCCGCTCCATGGCATTCCCATCCTTGTGAAAGACAATATAGCAACAAAAGATGAGAAGCTAGATGTTTCTGCAGGCTCATATGCCCTACTTGGAGCAAAACCCACGAACGAGTCGTCGGTGATCGCCAAACTCAGAGCAGCCGGGGCTGTGATCTTGGGCAAAACCAACCTTTCGGAATGGGCCAATTTCAGAGGCTTGGATATCACTGACGGCTGAAGCCCGAGAGGGGGTCAGACTCTGGGTATCTATTATCCAAACTCCTCAACCTCCGGAAGTAGCTCTGGTTCCGCGGTGGCAACAGCCCTGGGACTATGTGTTGCGGCAATCGGCACTGAGGTAGTTAATCCGTCCTTTGAGTTTGACTTATAGCCATTCTAATAAAGTATCCAAGACTTCTGGAAGTATCACGAGCCCTGCCGAGTTCAGCAATGTCGTTGGGTTGAAGCCTACCCGAGGTCTAATTGGAAACGATGGCGCTATTCCTATCTCTACCCGGCAGGATATTATCGGCACTATCACACGCAATGTCAAAGACGCCGCATATATTCTCAGTACAATGGCTGGTCGGAGCGAGCACGACGAGATGACCTGGAACATTCCACAGGACCAAGCATCAGATTATGTTCAATTTTGCAAAGGAACTGATCTGAGTGGAATTAGTATCGGTATCCCTAGGAACACTTTTGATGCGAACAAGGATTCCCCAGTCAGCGCTGCATTTGAGATTGCCCTGCAATCTCTGAGTTCTGCTGGTGCAACGATAGTTGATAATGCAGACTTCCCGGCTGCTGAAGAATTCACTAAGCTGAACGAACAAGTCAAGGGTATCGTTCGATCATCAGAGTTCCGAAGAGACTTCGCCCGGTATATACAAACACTTGAAACAAACCCCAACAGTATCGGCTCTGCGGAAGATCTCATTGAGTTTACCAAAACACACTCGGAAGAGGAGTACCCAGAGAGGGACATTGGCAAATTTCTGTGGACTCAATCCGAGGATATTGACGTGGACAGCGACAAGTATGCTGACATGGTGAAGCAAGAGCGTTACTTTGGGGGTCCAGGTGGTATTCTAGGAGCTATGGAGAAGTACAACGTCGATCTTTTCGCCGTTCCATCATACTAGGGTATCGCAAATGACCTCGCGGCAAAAATGGGGTTCCCTGTGATTTCCATTCCACTAGGATACTTTCCCGAAGGGACTCCTGTGGAGCATGACCGAGGGCTGGTCGTTCAGGCGCCTGGAATGCCGTAAGAACGTCCCATACCACTATACTGTTTTGTTATTCCTACTGACTGAAGCCAAGATTTGCTTTGACTCTTCTCACCAACGCGTTCTCGGATGGAGTTCTCCTTGAGGTGGCATATGCGTTCGAACAACTGAACTCTGTTCGCAGCCGTGAGCCAGCGCCGATCAAACTTCCTGTAACAGAGTTGAGAGATGTCCAACATGAGGTTGGGAAGATATAGTCGCTTTGATTTGCTCTAGCAATTAGTATCGCTATAGCTAGAGGGTAGAGCCAGAATGTATTGGAGAAGTTTCTGCATATTCTCAGATCCAGCTGCAAAATTAGCAGGCGTTTTTTTCATAAACAGTGCGTTAGTCGATATGTTCCTGTTCCAAGTTGACCACTTCCAAAGTTGTAGCCGGTGATTAAGCCATTGTCCATGGGCCAGAAAGCGTTAAATTAACCAGAGTCATTCGTTCAATTTCTTGTTGAATACCTAGTGAAAGAAGTAGGGTGTTTATGTTGTACTTAGTACTCCGTAAATGTAGGTATTAATACTATTAGTCGGTCTTTGGTCTCCACTCGCTCTTGTATTTCCTAATATCTAGGCCCCTAAGCCTGTAAGAATTGATTTCAACGTGCTAGACAGGCCTATCAGTAAAATATAGCAAAACACTTTGCTAGTCTAGTTTGGTTCGTTTAAGAAGGAATTCCCAACAAATCGGCAAGAAAAGGAACATTTTGATTGGTGTATAATATTATATAAGCAAACTCCTGCCTCGGGGCCGGCCTCGGGGCCGGGGCCGGTGTCCCGTGACTGGTTATAACAAACTCGTCTGGAAACCACCGGCCAATCAGAAAATGTGGAAGACTCTTTTCTGTAATTTTGTAGCGACACTGGCAATTTATTTCTTCGCATTACCATGTCTCACTTGTTAATAGTCTTCAATCTATGTATGTAGGTTGACCATCTTTGAGGGTATTAAAGTTGGGATTTTCCGAGGTTGCTATAAGAATTTCTCAATTCGGGTCACGACCTCTTAACTAAAATATATACATGCTCCTCCGTATCTACAGAGTGTCTATGTTGTACAACATATATGGACATAACCAAGCCATCAGGACTTGCGATCGAACCACATCTTCTCTCCGTTCAAAGCGGGTTCCACATCTAGACCCATCGCGGTGGCAATTCCATTGGAACCCACTCTGAACTCCGTTGCATAGTAACCAGAGAGAGACCCAATTTTCTTGGATTGGTAGTGATGCGCCACAAAGAACTCCCCACTCGCATGGGCGAAAGTCATGAGAGAAGGTATGGCACGGTCTAGTAGATCTGCAACCAAATATCCGTTTTTGAGCGATAAAGTAATGGAACTGTATGCAGGATGTTCGTATTTCCCCACATACTGGTTTAACTGTAGAGAATGAGAAATAATAGGATCCGGCAGAGACGGATAAAGCCGTCTGATGGCTTCTTCCATACACTCAGACTTGGCTTTGGTGCTTTTGTTTTCTGGTATCGTCTGGTCCACTGAGCGCGGCACGTGTGATCCACCGAGAATCCGATCAAGAAGGTGCATGTAGATCTCCACCTGCGCATTTCGGGCATTGGTCGTATTACCCATCATGGCGAAGCCGAAGCCCTTGCTCGGTAGGAAGCCCACCATAATGCCGAACCCGGGCCAGCTCCCGCTGTGCCAGTATATAGGCTCGCCGCGGTAACTATCCACAAACCATCCTAGGGCATAGAGATGAGATGGACATGCCGGGGGTCCGACAAGCTCTTCCCAGTTTGAGATAACCGTGCGTGGCTGCAAGAGTTCTGCGTGGCCCTGTGGTGAGATCGGACCCTTTTGGTAGATCATTGCACGTAGCCACTTGGTGTACTCGAGGACGCTGCTTACCATGGCGCCGGCTCCGGTCACGGCGACATCGTTCATGTATGGTTCCGCGATATAGGTATTTGTGTCTGGGTCCCAGGTGTATCCTCGGGCAAGTCGAGGACGAAGAGATGGGTCCTGCGAGACGTCTGTCACGGAGAAATATGTGTCATTCATCTCTAGTGGTTCCCAAATTCGTTTCTTGAGAGTCTCGCCGAGAGTTCTACCTTCAATTTGTTCCAATGCATGAGATACTGCCATGTACATGTTGTTGTTGTAAGAAAAGGTAGTACGGGGAGCATAGGCCATTGGAAGATGGCGCAAGTTTCGCACTGCTTCACGTAGGGATCTCTGGGGAAGAACTAAATTTAAACAAGCATCGTGAGTTGGTAGTCCCGACCGGTGCGAAAGGGCATCTTCTATGGTAGTATGCATTGTGCTATAGTCGTTCTCCAACACAAAATCATCTCTCAGTATGGACGCAATTGGTGTATCCCAACGAAGGGGGGTTTCTGTATCCTTGCTATCGTCGATGGCAAGAGACATGGCTGCTGCGGTGAATGCTTTGGTGGTGCTACAAGTACAGAAAAGAGAATCGGTGGTCATTTTGCGATCAGGAACCTCGGAAAACCCGTACGCCTGAAATGCAGTTTAGTGATCTGTACACCGTACTCAATAGATTATAAATCTCCATACTTTCGACCAGGTGTTGGAGCCATGAACCACTGCCATGGATAATCCTGGGACTTTCCATTTGTCCATCTGTTGCTGTACCAAGACATCGAACTCCGGGGTCAATGGCGAGATAGTACTTCTGAGAACCATTCTGATACACAAAACTGGATTTGCAGTGTAATAATTGGAAATCTCTAGGTCGCCCTGGACATTGAAAGGGGAGAAGTTGGGAGTTGTGAAGCGGGGATGTCCAGATAAGCATCTAGGCAGTAGCGTTGTACTCAATGTAACGTCAATATCACTACTAGTATAGTGCTAGTGCATGCTGGACTTTGTGATCCTAATCTCCATAGAGCAGAGGCAAAAGACCACCGTTATTAACATGGTGGATTGGTATACTGACAGAACCTGAGCTCTGGGGGCATAGGTAGTCAGGGATAGCGGTGTCTGAAACATGTCCAGGGCCCAAGGGAGAGTGCATGCAGACTCCCAGGTAAACAGTCCTTAAAGTGGCGTTGACGTCTGCATCAATATGAGCTTGAACTGTCGCAGGCTGTTGAGACAACAGCGGGAACATGCCAGTGAGGACGGAGTAATTTCTATGTTGTACTCCGTCCAGGTGCATTATTTTTGCTAGGTGTAGAGTATTCCCAACCTGCTTGGTGTGTAATCCTAGGCTATATCAAAATAACAAGATGTGCAAAGAAGAATAGGATTGTTTACCATCGTGGTCATGATTTCAAGTGATGCGTCAAGGTATGAGATTTGTTCGGGGAATTTGTCAAAAGAAATGTGGCTAGGGATGTGCTCCGTGCCACAGAGTTGAATGTTATCACAGGGTCGGAGTACTCCGTAGCTCCATATATTGATTATTATACAGCATATGAATTGATATACAACATACGGAGTATAATCAATTTGATTTATGTTATCTTGACCTACCCATGGACGGAGCACAACATATAATGTGGAGTGGGGGCTATATCACATCCAATGCCGGTGTTTGATTTCGATCTGCGCGAGATTTCAATTTAATAAAAGCAAAAAAAAAGGTAAAAGAAAATCAAAAAAAGGGAAACCAAATGATTGCAATAATTTACATATCAAATCTTCCTAATTCTTAATTCTTAATTGCTACACAAGGGGTATCCCTTGATATCATGACCTTGCAGAATAAAAAAGGGTAATAAAAACCAGCCACAATGTGGCTGTGGCCAGTCAGCCACCAGACTGAGTTTCCCAATTTTTCAATAGTGCGATCGGTTCCTCCGAGATCCACTAAGACAGATTTGGATCGAATGGATCTCTTGATCTCTACCATAATTCGATATAATTTGAGGGGATGAACCACAATTCCGTACCTTGGGCTTCCTATGGATGACTCCGTCGGCAATATTGACAAAATTGGAAAAATGGAGAGCTCCAATTTTGCCAGAACCCGAAAAAACCAATTCCGATGGACCCCCTTGGCGATTGGATGAACCTATGAGATCGACATGGAGAAGGGGTGCGAGCTATCTTTGGGGCGATCATCCCCCATTTCAGAGAGCAGATCCAAGATTTGCTTGCTTGGTGACTTCATAACACACCAGGCAATAAATCTCTCGCAGCCACGTTGGCTGGGTACCATAACGTACCATAACAATCCCAACTGGACCTGGGAGGCAACCCACATGGCCGATCGTTCATGATGATTGGGCTTCACTGCCAGCTTTGTCCACTTTTGTCCCTTTTTGTCCAATATGGAGACTCAATTTATAGTCTGGGGCAGGTGGCTGGTGACTTTTGATGCAGAGTTTGTTTTTCGTTTCCCAGGGCTTTCTCTCTCTGTATAAGAAGAGTATCCCCATCTCAGGATTTTTTTCCGTTTCCACTTTGCCCAGAAAACTTCATCTTCCTTTTTTTAATACTCACCTGTATAATCCTCACATTTCTTATCCGCAATCATGAAGTCCTTCTCCCCCGTCGCTTTCGCCTTGATGGCCACCCTCGGCATGGTCGCCGCTGACCCTTCTGCCTCTGAGTGTGCTGTGAGTACTTTGATACACTATATTATCGTTAATCATGCTCAATGCTAATCCTATCCCGCCTATAGACCATGTGTCTCTCCAACATGAGCAAGCAGGCCGCCGACTTAGGCTGCAAGGCCGGTGACTTGGCTTGCCTGTGCAAGTCCGACAACTACAAGTTCGGTATCCGTGACTGCACCAAGGAGGCCTGCCCTAGCGATGACGCCGAGAAGGTTCTCGCTATGGCCGTCGCTAAGTGCCCTGGTATGTATCAACTATTAGTCATTACGAACACGAAATGCAGTAAACTAACATTCTATCGCAGGCGGTGTTGCTGGCTCTGATGCCGATGACTCTGACTCCAAGTCCAGCGCTGGTGCTGGTGGCGATGCCACCACCTCCGGCTCTGGCTCCGTGACCACCACTGGCGCTGCTGGCTCCAAGACTGCCTCCGGCTCCGACTCCAGCGCTACTGGCTCCGACGCCTCTGGCTCTGCCACCAAGACCGGCTCCGACTCCAGCGCAACTGTAAGATACCCTTCCTCTTCTTCCTACTTGAACCATACTGACCATGTCTCTAGGGCTCTGGTGCTTCCGGCTCCGGCTCCTCCATGGTCACCAAGACCAGCACTAGCACCGGCCCCTCTGGTACTACCACTACCACCACCACCTCCGCTGCCGGCGGCAGCGGCTCTGACTCCGACTCCGAGTCTGGCAACGGCAACGGCTCCAACTCTGGTTCCGACTCTGACTCCAACTCCGGCTCCAACTCCGACAGCAATGCTTCTGGCTCTGCTTCCGGCTCTGCTGCCCCCACCTCCAGCGACAACGCCGCTGCCCCCATGGCCACTCTTGGTGGTGGTGCTATGGGTGTCCTCGGCATGCTCGCTGTCCTCGCTCTGTAAATTTCCCAGATGTGATGACGTAGAGTCTACTCTCATGTCTCTCCATCGTAATTTATGGGTTATGATTCAGATGTCGCCGTTGTCTGGCTTGTACAGGTACAATATGGAACGGGTTCATGATGGGTTCTGTCATGTTTTGTCTTCTCTTTGCTCTGCGGAGCTGTTATTTAATGTCAATTGAGCCTAATGAATGAATCTATATTAGCTATACTACCTGTCTTTGTAAATTATTAGGGTGTGCGTACCAAGTACTCCGTACTGAGCTTTGATAGTAAATCAGATCTTTCATAGCTCAATTGCCTGAACTTGAATACTTATCATAGCTAAATATTTAAGCTAACTCGATGATGGACAAGGTACTCCGTATGTGTTGACAGTTAATGATGTTTGTATCCACAAAGTGTCCCACTGATGGCATGTGGATTTCCATGTGATTGCGACCGGTGTACTATGTAGGAAATTTCCAAGTACTGACGCATGTGCAACGACCCCTATAGTCACTTTATATATGCCTGCATCTCTACAATTTAGGAAGCCCTAAGGCTTTAGAGACATGTAGTAATAGAACCTAGCCTTAATACAGCCATCCTTTATTCCGGGGAAATGTGGCGTGGTTGCGCTCTCCCCCGTTCACCCGGGGTTGACGCACTCGGAGATTACCGACATAAAAGAACAGAATACAACCCCAATTCTCATACGAAAACCACCTTTCATCCTCAAGTCTCTATAATATCTTCTACTACAGTGTTGTAGACTTGCCTTTTACCTGGAAGTCTGTTTTTCCGCTGCCGAGCCGAGGTACACCTTTTTCCGGGGAAGTCCAGTCGGCTTCGGTGTGTCGGGTTGTCTCCATCATTGGGAGATCTTCGGATATTTTTTTCCTGTTGCACTATTAATTACTTTTTTACATCTTACTCTTGGCTCCTCTCCTTTCCTGTTCTCTCTCTCTTCTTCTCTTTCTCACTCTCCATCTCCATCCCTACCTCTTCCCCGCTCCGACCCGCCCACAATGGCCCCCTCTACCTCCCCCACACAGGAGCTGAAAGACGAGATCAAGGTCGTCGAGACCAAGGCCGTCAATCAGACAATTGTACAGCTGCGATCTCTTGCTGCTGGTGCTGCTGGTGGTCTCTGCGCTGTGGTTGTTGGACACCCGTTCGATCTGGTGAAGGTGCGCCTGCAGACGGCTGAGAAGGGCATTTACTCAGGTGCTATGGATGTGGTCAGGCGGACAGTTGCCCGTGAGGGATTGGCGCGAGTATGATTATCACATGCATATTGACTATTTCGCGACCGGACTGACAATGATTTCGTAGGGATTGTATGCCGGTGTCTCCGCACCGCTCGTCGGAGTTACTCCCATGTGTAAGTTGTCTCGCATCAGCTATAATGGCTCTCACGTCAACAATTGATCCAGTTATGAGCTAACAAGTCTTGTCTCACAGTTGCTGTCAGCTTTTGGGTATGTTTTCTTTTGGCTCTCTTGGAGCCCAGAGCTAGCTGCGAGTCCAGTTGGAAGTGATGCTAACAGTACATCAATTAGGGTTACGACGTGGGCAAGACCCTAGTGAACAAGTTCTCCACCGTCCCCATTAAGAACGACACCCCGCAGTACTCCATTGCACAGATCTCTTCTGCGGGTTTCTTCTCCGCCATCCCCATGACCCTGATCACTGCACCCTTCGAGCGTGTCAAGGTCCTCCTCCAGATCCAGGGCCAGAAGACTCTGGCTCCGGGTGAGAAGCCCAAGTACTCCGGTGGTATGGATGTTGTGCGCCAGTTGTACAAGGAAGGTGGTGTTCGCAGCGTTTTCCGTGGTAGCGCCATGACATTGGCGCGTGATGGTCCTGGTTCGGCCGCTTACTTCGCGGCCTACGAGTATATCAAGCGCTCCTTGACTCCCAAGGATGCTGAAGGCAACGTGACAGGCGAGCTCTCCCTGTCTGCCGTTGTGTGCGCTGGTGGTGCCGCCGGTATCGCGATGTGGATTCCTGTCTTCCCTATTGACACCATCAAGTCCCGTCTGCAGAGCGCACCGGGCAAGCCCACCATCGGTGGCGTTATCCGCTCAGTCTACGCTAGCGGCGGTTTCAAGGCCTTCTTCCCTGGATTCGGACCGGCTCTTGCTCGTGCGGTGCCTGCTAACGCCGCCACTTTCCTCGGTGTCGAGCTGGCACACAAGGGCATGAAGAAGCTCTTTGACTAAACTTGATAAGAGTGCTTGTCTGTACATACCGTGATTGTTCTTTTTTTGCAGCGTTTTATGTCCCATCCACGGATGGTTTTCTGTGGCTATGATTTGACCTTGATTGGTTATCTTTCTGGTCACGTCTTGTGTCATTTTAGATCTTTGGTTGATTTCCGATATTCTATAGAAGGCCTTCTTTTATTGCAGGAGTTCGCTATGACATATTAGATCTATAATGTGTCCAAGCTTTGAGCAAAATTCATCAGCCAATATGATTTGTCGAAGGTGGAGGGATACACGCAGCATACCCACTTTGCCTGAAACAATTGAGGCTCAACAGGGTTTTTTCCCACTTGCTACATCCTAATACGAGTGGCAAGGTTCAAGCAAACCGATCTCGCCTATGAGCGCCCTCTACAGCCTGGATTTGGCGCTAGTCGGGGGCCAAAGGTTCCTGGACGGCACGGAGAAATTGGACGCCGACAATCTAAGGGGGTTCTATTTTTATACATGATGATTTCTTGAATTTTTAAGGAATAAATAGTAAGTGAATATATGGCTGTCTCAGTATGGAGTACGGAGTACGGAGAAAGGAGTTGAGAGGAAAGCTTTCAAGTTCCAAATACAACTGGAGTGAGGCTGAACAAAGAGTACCCAGTAGGTACTAGGAACTGCAGGTGGAGCACTAGCAAACTAGAAGTACTGTAAGAGTACCCGCCAACTCCGGCGCTAGTGGTCTGCTGCCTGCTTTGTATCAAATAAAAACCCCCATCTTCCCCTCTATCTCATCCTTACTCTTCCAACCTTGGAAGATTTCCATCTTATTTCCATCGAATATATATATTAACCATCAGTGTCGGCTTCATTATGTCCGTCACTAATGCCCTCATGCGTCGGGGCACCGAGCTTGCTGTCACTCACATGTCCTCGGACAAGCCTGAGTACCAGCAGGCTAATGGAGGCTTGCTGGCTCTGCTTGGCATCACTGCCGTCTTGCTTGCTGTTGCTTTCTGGTCTGTAAGTAATGCCATTTTCTACCTGTAGTTGCAAACTTCGTGGAACTAACGCCAGGTAGATCGAGTATACCTACGGAATGGTGGTCGCTACTCTGGCCGTAGTTGAAGATACCAACCCCGATATCTACGTGCGGATTACTTCCGATATCGATCCCATCAAGCCAGCCAATGGCCAGGAAGATCCTGAGCTGGTTGCTTCTACTCCCGCCAAGCCTATCACCAGTAAGCTGCGCACCACTGTGAAGCACCTGCGCTCCCGTGCTGGCTTCTGGTCTCGCTTCCGTGGAGTGGGCATGTTCTTCGCCTATAACTTCGTCCGTGGCTTCTTCGCATCTTTCTTCCCCACCTCATATCTGGTCCAGTTTATCGTTCAGGCTGCTCTGGGCGTTCTCCTGGCTACTTGGCAGATGGCCTGGGTGCACATTGTCATCTCCGAGCCCTCCCCAAAGCGCTTCTATCAGCGTATCCCCAGCTACAAGACCTGGAGTAAGATTGCCCCAGCTGCTATTCTCCATGAAGTTCTTACCACTCTTGCTTTCTTCCTGCCCATGTCCATTGTCACATCTGCTGGCTGGCTCAAAGTTCCAGCTGACCAGGATGCCCCGTCTATGGTGGCCCTGTGCCGCTTCATGGGCGTCAGCGTGTTTCCTGCTATTCTGGCATGCGTGCTCTCCATTCCCCCTCGTGTTATCTTCATCCGTGTCGCTGCCTCTATGCTGCCCGAGGAGGATGAGACTATTGTGCCGTTTGATCGATCTTTCGGCGGCAAGGTCAGCCCTGAAATCACTGGTGGTAGCGGCAGGATCGGCCTCATGGACGCATGGGCTACCTTTGACTTGCCTGCCCGTGTCCGCCTCGCCAAGGTTATCGGCAAGACATTCGCCATGCAGGTGGCGCTTGCTATCTTCTCCGCTATCGTACTTGGTGTTCAGGTCTTTTTCCTTGTCAAGACTGCCAAGCCCGTTGACCCAAATGCTCCTGGTACTATCCAGATAGGCTTGGAGTAAAAAATCACTGAGGATGAATCTTCGGTGGAAGAATGCGCAACGTTTGTGTAATTGATGCCTTTGCTATATCTATATCACGGAAGGATTGAAATTTTTGCTCCATACAATAGCTCCTTAACTTTCTTCTGAAACTATGTATGAGATTAAAACATAATGATATTCCCAGGGTCCTCAGTTTAGTCTAGAGCGATAGTAACTGATTACGTGCCCACAGTGTATAGTGGACCGCCTCCCCATCTAGGCCATTTACACCCCGCTTTCATTTCACCGCCTTCATTTCTTTTTGCGCCCCTCATCTTCTCCTCACCCTCTCCTCTTTGCTCTCATTTCGACATTGCAATCGGCTTCCGATATTGACCAGGTTTCACATTCCTACCTTCTACTTTCTCTTCCCTCATTGTCAGCATGGCGACTTCACCCGCCGGGCGCATGCTATCCCGCCAACTGCAGCAGATGCAGTCCGATAAGGACATTCCCGGCATTAGCTGTGGCTTGGTCGATAACAACGTTTTCGAATGGGAGGTTATGCTCATGATATCAGACGATGTGAAACTGTATGGAGGTAGGTCATTATTTTTATATCTAGATTTGCAGTCGAATTCCTGGGTGCTGTGGCAAACACAACGCCGCCTGGGGATATATGCTGTCCTGCTGCAAGCCTGAGAATACTAACAAGTTTGCCTAGGTGGTTTCTTCCGGGCTCGTCTCTCTTTCCCATCAGAATACCCTCACCGGCCACCAAAGATGAAGTTTGAATCTCCTATCTTCCACCCGAATAGTATGTGATTCCTGGAGTAATTATAGACAATTTACTCACATTTATTGTTAATAGTTTACGAGAACGGCAATGTCTGCATTTCCATTCTGCACCCACCCGAGGAGGATAAATACGGCTATGAGTCGGCTGCCGAACGCTGGTCTCCCGTGCAGACACCCGAGACGATCCTATTGTCCGTCATTTCTATGCTTTCTAGCCCGAACGATGAAAGCCCTGCGAATGTGGAGGCTGCTCGCCTATGGCGTGAGGACCCTGCGGAGTTTAAGAAACGCGTCCGCCGGTGTGTCCGTCTTACATTGGAAGACTAGTGCACGATTTAATTATTCACGGCAATTTAAGATGGCGGGTTATGATCTCATTTAACATGGTGTTGCCGGGGTTCTTTGTTTTTCTTGTTCGATGTACCGCGGTGAGCGGTGTTTTCTCTTTATTGCATAGAGAGAGCAATGCTTTGCCATGCTCTTGATGTCTGGTTGATTTGCGGTGCATTTCTTTGCGATTTTCATAAGGACTGGAGTTCCATCCTGACATCTTGGTTTCATTGGGTTGGGATTAAATCTATTTCCGAGGCTTCAGAATATTTGACGTAAATTTAGTACATATCAGTACATATGTATATGTAGGGAAGTATTCGTTATTACATGTAGAGATTGCCCAATGGATAAGGCACTCTGATTAAGCAGAACCTATCATCTCTGGCATAGGTAACATGCTGGGAAGAAAGGATCTATATGAACGCCAAGTACGCAAACCAACAGAAAAGTAAATGATTATGTGCTGTTCTTGGGCGCGAAACGCAATGATGGGAGGAAGATTCCGGGGTGGAAGATGGTAAAGGCCAGACAGGCCAGCGCAATCATCCTAATGATATGTTAGCCGGACTTCCCTTAGTGCTTTCAGAGGAACCAAGAGCCAACTTACATTCCATCCAAGACAAGGAACTCATTCTCCTTCTGCATCAGCGGATTTCCCCAGCCACCAGCCATCTCTGGGAGACTATAGATACTGTCAGTAAAGCACATTTCAACCCGAATATAACCTCTTACCGATAAATGCAGCGAATCAAGACAGTGAAGTAAGCAAAGACCTCAGCTCCCACAATGAACGGCATCCACTTAGGAACAATCGTCGAAACACCAGTATCAAGGTTCTTCTCCCCGGCAAACCCATCACCATGCTTGAAGACCCTCCAGAAGAAGACAACAGCAAAGAACGCACACACCACCATAGTCGCAACCTGGAAGGCGATACCAGCGATAATAATATCATCGCCAATTTGAAGCATATGCATATCGCTCTTTCCAGCAGATGCAGCCACACCACCACCTGCCGCCTGCAAAAGGAGGGATCCAATATCGCATCCAATGAAAATCCATGTGAAAAGGCGCGGTTTTAAGATTGAGTGTTCGGGTCCCAAGCTCAGAATGATATGTTTCAATGTCAGGTAAACACCGGCTGCGATGAAGGTCGGCGCGAGAACCAGACACACGATCTGAAGCTTGAATGCAGGTCCAGACCATGGGTTATCGTGCATAAGTACTCGGCCAATGTACCCGGCCATTTCCATAAACGTCCCAACGAGGAGAGCTATCAGGAATGTCCATGTTCGGTAGTAGATGCCGAGGCCGGTTTGGCAGACTCCGAGAAAAGCAAAGAAGGCTGTGAAGAAGATGTTTCCGCCGAAACTGGGGTAATATCCGTATGTTGTGCTTTCGACGGGACATATTAGGCTCACTTCGGAGCAGGTCATGTAGCTCGCCATGTTGAGGGATTTGTAATGGAAAGGAAAGTGAGACGAAGTAGAGGAAGAAGGGAAATGAGAGAGAGAGAGAGAGTGTGTGTGAGAGAGTGTATAGGAGTGAGATGAGTCTGACCAAGAGAGAAGAGGGGTCTAGAGTCTCTTACACCTCATGCCTAGAGAGGAGATGAAGAGATATCAAATCGCGAAATTATCATTCGGTCAGCGCCAAGGGACCGCAGTCACAACCGTTCTAGTAGGTGGAGCCCTAATTGGGATAAACAGGATGAAACAGACTTGAAATGCATTCCTATTGGCTATTTATTGCCATCGTTCTCGTTTTCGTTCTCGTTATCCCCACGTCGCTTACATTTGGATCCACTTGTTTTCTATCATTTCCTTGTCGGAGAATTGTTGCTTTTTGGGCCGAGATCGTTTTTAGTCCGACATTCTTTTCTTCCTTCTAGAATATAATCTACATATCGATCAAGATTGAGTTCATAGTTTAAAATCCTCTCCAGGGGTACATCCAAGCCTAATGCCTAGTTGTTGTATATTGGATAATTGGATGACGTGGGGGCGAAGCGATCATGGCTCTTTTAAGGGTCACATATCAAATGAGAATGTGCCAAATAAGTACATAGAAGGCAGAAGATAAAAAAAGACAAAAACAATACATAAGAGGGAAGACAAGACAAATCATCGTCTTTTTTTTTATAGTTCCAATCCACGTGACTGTCCACATCTTCTTCTCCCCGCGCTTGGACTTTTCCACATCTCGAAGGATCCGAGCCAACCGGTTATATGGACTCTCAGGTACCGAGGTTTCCGAGATGCCTCCTCGCCGAGCGCATACAAAATCTCGCCAAGGTTGCGACCAATGCAAGAGACGTCGCGTTAAGGTTAGTTCCGCTCATGGCCCCATATATTGCTCCGGGCTCCATCGAGACTAACAGCCGTAGTGTGACGAAAAGGGGCCACCATGCTCCAATTGTATCTCGCGGGAACTCTCATGCACATATCTAAGAGCGCCCGCTCGGTCCAATTCACTAGAAAGCCAGACCCCGGCCCCCTTGGCTATTATAGACCAAACTCCCCGGCAGAGAATCCCTAGCCTAGCGGCTTCTGTTTCTATTTCAGGGGTTCGAGATCTGGAACTTATGCATAAGTTTTCTACCGAAACTTTTCAGAGTCTTTGCTCTTCTAGCTCGGAGCATTATGTCTGGCAGATTGCCATTCCCCGCCTGGCTCTTCGGTATGATTTTTTAATGAATGGAATTTTGGCCCTAGGGGCTCTTCATATTGCCGCCACAAGTGAGCCACCCGAGTCGCTGGTGTATATTGACATCGCCCTCCAATATCACAATCTCACATTTGCGCCATATCGCGCAGCTGTCGACCATATCAACCCAATGAACTGCGAGGCTGCGCTGGCGCAGTCAATTATCACGACTGTTATAGGTATTGCTCTACCAAGAGTTACTGCTTCCCGTGGAGAAAGTTCAAGCATAACGGAGAATATTGTCGTCGTATTTGAACTCCTGCAAGGCGTGAAAAAAATCCATCGGATTGGTGAATCGTGGATCAAATTAGAGCTCTTTACCCGTCGAAGAAAATATTGGGAATCTGGTCCAGTCACTATAGATAGTGACACACAGGCTGCTCTGGAGCGACTCGGTACCTTAAATGATGAGACACTCGCCAGTATCGACCCCGATCAACATCGGGTCAATAAAGATGCTATTGTCTACCTGCAGCACTTCTCAGCCAGAGTTGCTGATTCTCTTGACCCTGCCAACGTCTTGGCCTGGCTCGCTACAATCGACAAAGAGTTTGTGGCTAATGTGCGACAACGACGGCCTTTGGCATTATTGGTCCTCATGCACTGGGGTGTGTTGCTTGGGGAGCTTGATGGTGAGCGTTGGTGGGCTCGAGACTCAGGTCGGGCATTGGTCTCTGAATTACTGGATGCATTGCGTTCAAGAGACGTGGAATGGGCTAACGCTTTTGCTTGGCCACGGAAAAAGATGGGACTCTGAAAGATGTAAATCGGATTTTTAACAGCCAATATCTGCACATAATTCCTTGCGAGAGTCCCAAAGTATGGCTTCAACAACCGACTGTATATATTTCCATAATTCTTGAACAATGCAATGTATAATCCAAAGATGCCAGTCTCCATATAAAGTACAAAGAGAGGAAAAGAAAAATAACCGCGAAGAACGGAATTTGATGGCTGTGCGACTATCAGAAGACTTATGGACCCGAATGAAAGCGATGTTGCATGTGTCATGCATGCACTGCAATCATCATAGGCGAGCTGGATTGCCCCTAAGAGATCTACATTGCATGATCATCATTGAATCTCGGACCCCTGAGAATTTGGAGATCCTCCCGAGATCTGCTGTCATCTGCCCGTCGACCCTTTATTTATACATGAAAACCGGCGTTCACTTGAGAAGCTCGTCAATACTATGTATGCATTAGAGCAGCCCACAATCAATTTGACCAACTTCATACATGTCTATACTACAGCCAATCTCCATGCTCCCTGCATCTCATTTCAAATCCGAGCCTTCTCCTTCCCAGTCCCCAGGACATCGCGAGCCCGTATGCGATTTAGAGCATCTACCTCATGCTTACACACCTGCATGCTCAAAGGGCCACCCACCTGCTTGAGCCAGTAAGACCGTCCACAATCGAACAACCAGTTTCGAGTTCCTACTTGAATCAACTCAGCAAGAAAACACTGCGGTGTACTGCGGTCTTGCGTGAATATAATCTTCGGGAACTCCCGCTGGACAGCAGGTGTAGCATTATCAAGGCCCAATCGGAAGAGCTCATCAAAAGTAACCGGGTGATAGAGCTGGGAACCAATCTGGACAATACCCGTTGTCCTTGCTGCTGCATGCAATAAACAAGCGTTCGCTACGAGGTCCACGGGGATCTCATCCAAGATATTGGTACCTGATTCGTAGCCTTCGGTGGCATGCCAAACTTGTGTGGTACCCCGATCGGAGAACCAGAGTCTAGTAAACTTGGTCAGAGGTGTGGAGTCCTCCGATCCATATAGCGGGTAGGGGTGTCTAAATGCAGGACCGAAGATTGTTGGTCGTAGCAGTAGAATTGGAAGGAGAGGGAAGCGGCTGAGTAGTAGCCGTTCCATGAGATGTTTGGCTTGGGTGTAGGTGGAGGAGAATTTGCCTGCGTGTGGCGATGTATCCAGCGTCAACATGGATGCGAGCTCAGCTTCTGGATCTTCTTCGCCTCCCAATTGGTATATACGTTCCAGGACTGGGCCATCGGGAAGGTGACTGTTGACGTATGATGTAGAGATCTGGACGAAGAGTTTCAGTCGGCGGAATTCAGAGGCAATCCGTGCCATCTCCAGCGCTGGGAGGCAGTTGCTTTCCAATGCATCGCGAATGGGCCCTTCCAGCTTGATCTTGGCTGCCGCGTGAATGACCAGCGTTACTTGATCTTGAAGCTGTCTAAGGACAGGAGTCTCAATACCGAAGTTCACTGATTTGATATCGCCAATCACAAATTCGATTTTCTTTGTTGCTAAAATCGCCTCTGTATGATTCGGCATTGATTTTCTCAATTTTCCAATAGCCCGCTGGGAGTTCCCTCGAACTAAGACAAAAACCTTTCGAGTTGGTAGTTGCAGAGCAAGCTTGTACAGGAGACAGCCTCCTAAGCACCCAGTACCTCCTGTAAGGAAGACTGTATGACCTTCGAATATCTTTCCATATCCTCCTCGCACGATTTCGTCGGCATAAGATACTTTTGCGGTTGAAGCTGATGACATTGAATAGAATGGGTAAGAGATTCGGTTGTAGAATGTCGCTAATATCCGTATAGAATTGTCTGTGGAAGAATGACACAGAGGATTGCCTGGGGTTGCGATGATGTCGGAAGGTATATTATGTAGGGTACCGTAACATCTTTTGTTCAGACTAGCAGCCGAGTGGTTGGTAGGACAAGAATCAATGTCACCTACATTTGTACGGACTTCGAAGCTGGAGATAATGCTGGAGGTTATACTTCTAGAGCTGCTGCTCAACAAGTTGGTCATTGACGCCGTTGGCTGATAAGGTCAGCAACTCCCAGGGACATGGAACGGAGGTTTCGCAGAATAATACAATAGATGGAACTGGACCATCGCGCTATGTGCTACCGAGATGCAATGTGATTGTGTGACCTGCAGGAACATCGTGTCGCAATTCCTAGAAATCTGGCCCAAGGGGCATAGGCAGAGCTGCGGTCCATTTGTCTGGGAAGTTTAGGGCTCGGGGCAAGCGTTCTATTCAGGACAGCCCATACCTGATGAACGGGTTGTACAAGTCTCACCCTTAAATGATTCCAGGATAGATTCCGTCTACATGTGATGCGATAGAGAACTGGGTTTCGTAATTGAATCATTGAAGTATATGCCTTCTACTTCTGATGAAGGCCGTGGAGAGAAACTATGTGCTGTTGATTGGTGTAATTTCTCGGCGAACCGATCCAATCCTATCTGTACAAGAGAGATATAGACATCGGCCGGGGCAAAACGATGGTAAACGCACCGTAAATCCTGGCTCCCCCTTGAGAGCAGTTGATAATGGGTGAAACATAGTTGTCACCAATCAAAAGCCCTTGCCTCCACCACCACACCAGCAGCGTGCATCTCCATCACGCTCAACCTGGACAAGAACGTCCATGTGTTTCTCTCGAAGGAAGTCGACAGTCCGTTGACGTACATCTTCCAAATCTGCGCCTCTAGAAGCGACGACGTGAATCACCCCGAGGACGTTCTGGGGTTTCTTCTCATGCGCATGGTCGTGATCGTGACCGTGACTGTGGCCATGGCCATGGCTGTGAGCATGAGAATGGCCATGCTCATGGGCGTGGTCGTGCTCATGATCGTGATGGTGTTGGCTGTGACTATGGCTATGATCGTGACTATGATCACAGTCTCCATGGCTAGAATGGTCGTGGGAATGGCTATGTCCGGAAGATACCGTTCCTGTATCGTCAAGCCAGAATTTAGGCACCGTGTAACTAACCACACCTCTCAAAGTGCTGACTCCTGCTAGTGTTTCCCGAACATTATACTCGGTGTCGCCTGGCAGAGTGAGTAGCAGTGACTTGGCCGTGCTGCTAACTAAAGGAACGGCCGAGGCGAAAATCAATACGGCGATGAAGCATGATGCCAATGGGTCGTAGCCGGCCCAACCGGAGTAATGCACGAGAATGGTTGAAATGACGACTGCCACTGAGCCAAGTGTATCGGCAAGAATGTGCAAAAATATGCCGTGCATGTTCTCATTGCCATGAGAATGATCGTGGTCATGGCCATGATGAGCATGACCATGCTCGAAGCTGAAAATTCCGACCAAGTTGACTGCGAGACCAGCAATGCTGACCATCAATAGCTCACCTAGACGATGCACCTCACTCCCAGATGAGAGCCGTTCCACCGCTTCGTAAATGATCTCCACACTGATAATCCTGCATGGTGTTAGAATTTCCTTGCGCACCGCTTTCACAACACTCACATGAGGAAAATTCCATTGGCGAATCCTGACAAAGTATCAACTTTGCCATAGCCGTAGGGGAATCGAGCGTTCGGGGGCCACTTGCTCATGACAGCGGCACACAAGCCAACAACAAGCGCAAAACAATCGAAAAACATGTGAATACTGTCACTAAGCAGCCCCAGTGATCCGGTAATGAACCCGTAAGATAATTGAATAAGCATGAAAGTGAAATTTAGACTGCAAAATGTTAGTAGTAATTCAAGAGTGACGGGTTTTAGATTCTCATAACTCACCACATAAAGTAAAAGATGCTACGAGAATCCTTCTCCTTAAGAATGCTATGCAGCAACGCATATGGTTCACTTTTACGGAGAAGCCACTTTGATATTCGGGAGGATCCCGAGGCTGTGTGTGAATGTGAATGGCCGTGCGTATGGTTATGCGCATGTGTATCCAGATGCAGATGAATATCGTCCCTTCGAGAGGCGAAGAAAGAGGCTGTAGCCAAAATACCACGTGTTGCATAAACCATGAGCAAGTCATCCTGGGCATGTGGGGCACAAAGCACAGCTGCAGCCCCGGCGCAAATCGCAAGTCCAGCCTTTTGCGGAGAGCGGAGGCTTGGGGGCAGGGAAATCATGAGAGAAATAGCGAAAATACCCGTAGGGATAAGGAGATACATCAGATCCGAGATGCTGAAGATAAATCCTCGGTTAAAAAGTATGGTCAGAAGTGCAAGCGAGGCGCCGCCTATAATGGCTAGTGGCGCATCAGTTGTGATCACAACGGAGGAGTTGCTCGGGTGTGAAGACTTGCTCTGTGCAGCAACAATACCTGGCTCAGGAATAGGCCCATTGTGACGGAGGGAGGGGAATGGGGGAGGGGTAACAAACACAGATCCTAATAGGGCAGCATATCCAATGAATGGAGATACATCCCAAGGATGGTTCAGCCCGAAGAAACTCGACATGATAACCACCACTAGCAAAGCAATGGAAAGAATCTTTCGACTGTATTTCTCTTGAGTGCGTGGGGCCCCATTGATGACGGCTGGGATCCCTGAGGCCGTTGCAAGGAGCAACGCAAATGCAACCAAAAAGCCTCCGATTTTGATCGCTGCAAATATTGGCAGTGCCACTGAGACAATTTGTGAAAGTGAGGCTTGGACGCTCTTCGCATTTAGTTTCGGCAAATTGACAGATGAGAGACTGGACGAGCCAGCCTTGTAATGATTGATCCGTAGAATTTGACCACAGCCGAAGAGCACAAGCGTAATCGCTGTCAAAAAGCAAGTCTTTTGACCAACTTGCCCAACAGGGATATTCGCTATCGTGCCAGGTATGCCTTCACCAGATAACTTTTGGCTTTGGGCATATTGTCTCTGGTACCAAGATAGCGCAACCCACGGTAACATGATGAGTGCGCTAGTCAAATACTCGGGGCTGTAACTAGGGTCAGCCTTGACTTATCGATCGCATTCTAGCCCACATACACTTTCTCTGAACTACGGCCTGCCTGTACAGTGCTATCCGTAGATAACATTCCATGAACACCTCCCTTCAAATGATGGTCATCTAGCACATTATGGTGAAGAGACGACACACTATGGTTATGATTGTGATGTGCACTGGAATGGGAATGCGCGTGCGCATGCGTGTGACCGTGGTCCGATGGTTGACGTGTATGCCCATATGAATAACTCGAGTTCACAGCATTGATTGGTTCCGGGTGTTCATGGAAACCCGCGCCAGCTGGCTGAGAGAGGGGAGGTGGTGGTTGCGCCCAGCGGTTCGATCGAGAGTGGCCATGACCGCGACTATGACCATGATTATGACTGTGTCCAATGGAGGGTGGTGTGAGGTCCACGCTCAGCGACGGTGCCCCCGTCGACATGGTCTTCAGATGCTGACAATGTCAAGCAGCTAGAAGGTCCAGCAAACAGGATAGGAGATGGGGTACTGCCAAGATATCGGGGAGGGCGGAGCGGGTGAGGACAAGGGCTCAGATTAGCGGGCAGATTGTCAGGAGATAAAGCATTGCGTAATGGGATAATAAAGGAAAGTGATATAGGGAAAAGTTATCGCCAGCACAGGCGCACAAAAAGATTGCCACTGTCCTCGAGGGAAAGACCATCTTCCCCCCAAGGTTCTCGCAAGGGGAATCACGTGAAACCTTATCAGATTACGTATCAGATGTCGACGCCCGCGGGCGCTTTCAAAATATTGAACTGTTTGATATTCCACTTCTAACTACTTAGAACTGATATTTAGCTCTCTATGGGCTGCGAACGTGACTGAAAGCTGGTCAATGTCATGAGCGACATAGTTGAAGTGTCATTGCCGTCATGATTGAGACCCTTATCACCATTGTGTTCTGCCTGTCTAGCACCCTCACTGTGTTGATACTATTGCTCCCTTCGCAATACCAGCCAGAACAGGGATCTGCTCCAAGATCCAATGACACAAAAAAGCGCAAGGCATGTGTTCAAATCCTTGTTCTCGGCGATATTGGCCGAAGCCCGCGCATGCAGTATCATGCATTGAGCATTGCAAAACACGGCGGGGAGGTGGTGATCATCGGGTATAATGGTTAGTATGCATTTCTTCATACAGACTGTAAGATAGTACTTCTAACTACCAGTTATGAACAGAATCTGATCCTCATCCCGATATCATATCTAACCCCAACATCTCGATTGTTCCGCTCCGCCCGCATCCCGCCCTCCTACAGACTAGTAACAAGCTCCTATTTACAATTTACGGGCCCTTGAAGGTGCTATTCCAGATTGCTTGTCTTTGGAAGTGTCTCGCATATACCACAAAACCTTCCCAATGGCTTTTGGTTCAGGTATGTTTGAAAAGGAGGTCTCAATAATCATTTGAAGTACTGACTCGCCCTTGCGGCGATAAAAGAACCCGCCTTCCATTCCTACATTGGCTATAGCATCCACTGTCTGTTTCTTGCGGCAAACAAAGCTTATTGTTGATTGGCATAACTTTGGATATTCCATACTCGCGTTGAAACTTGGCCAAAGCCATCCATTGGTGAAAACGTCGACCTGGTATGAGAAGGTATTCTGCCAATCTGCTACGGCTCATTTGTGCGTTACAAACGCTATGAAATCCGTTCTCAAGAAGGATTTCAATCTTCAAGCTCCTGTTCTGCCACTGCACGACCGCCCTGCCAGTCACTTCAATCCTATCCTCGATCCTAATGCACGGACGGAGTTCCTCATGACTTTACCAGAAACTAAAGAATTCCATTCTTCCTCGAAAACAGGGTCTCTCCGGGTTCTGGTCAGCTCAACCTCATGGACTGCGGATGAGGATTTCTCAGTCCTCATCGATGCCCTTCTTCGGTACTCTGAACTGGCCACCACAACACAGCCTCACCTCCCCGAGGTTTTGGCCATAATAACAGGGAAAGGCCCCCAAAAAAAAATGTACTTGGAGCAGATTGCCGCTCTTGAAAAGACAAACAAGCTACAGAAGGTCACAATTCGAACTGCGTGGCTGAGTGTACCAGAATATGCCCAACTATTGGCATCCGCATCTCTAGGAGTCAGTCTACATACTAGCAGCAGTGGGGTAGATCTCCCCATGAAAGTTGTAGATATGTTCGGGGCCGGTCTTCCTGTTGTGGGATGGGATCGTTTCGAAGCATGGCCCGAGTTAGTCACCGAGGGCGTCAATGGGTTGGGATTTGGGAGTTCGGAGGAGTTGGCTAAGCACTTGGTCGATCTATTTGGTGAGAACGACAAATTGGAGAGTCTTCGCCTAGGCGCCCAAAAAGAAAGTTCTCGGAGATGGGACGACGAATGGAATCCTATTGTGGGAAGCCTTCTCGGGTTGACATAGATAGATAGATCTCTGTAGTGATATGAATACGATTATTCGTTGTAATCATTATCTGGCATTATCATGTTACAATTCAGGCTACCTAACATTGCGTCCTTTTTGCAACCGCCGGCCACCAAGGACAGTTTGTGTTATCATTGCAAATCCTATTGCAGGACACTTAGTAACTGGCCTGGAATTTGGCTGCGCATTGTAAGCAGGTATCAAAGGTCTCAAAGAGAGCATCGAATGTTCGACCTTGTTTTCCCCCACGCGTGCATGCCACTCGTTCTTCATCGAGGGCTTCTTTGCGACAGACAAAACAATACTTGGATATCCCAGGTTCCTGAATGGCAAGGAAGGACAGTCCACATCGTTCTATATGAATGAAAAAGGTCAGCATGTTTGGACTATCAAATTCAAACCATAAGATGACTTACCCCAAACATGGCCATTGGCGCACTTGGCCAACTTGGCCGTCGGCCAGCCAATTCCCGCGTCGCAAACTTCGCACTTCTCGTAAATGTAACCGCCTGGGCCATTGAGGTGCTCCGGAGTCCTTGCTAATATTGGGGATGGATTGTTGTTGCATTTGGAAATCTCATCGCTCAGGTCCGCGCCTGTCACTACTGCTAGACGCTCTAGAGACTGCCGAGCGTGAAGTCGAAGCGACTCATCCTCTTCGCCCACAATGGCACGGCAGGCAACTGCATAAACCAGGCGTTGACTCTCCGTATCAGGTTCAATATTACCATCGTCACCAGGTAGCACGAAACGTATCACTTCTCCTGTCTGGTTTTGGCCGGAGGGTTGAGCATCGGGGATGCGGGCCACAAATGGGGCTTCGGTGTTTGCCGTGGGTTCGCCCTCCTCTGAAAAGACAATCATAGACCTGTCGTCAGAGGTGATGCGATACTCGATCATGTCCGTGGGATGCGAAGAGAATATAGCCGCACTGATGTTGCCATAGGCTGCGAGTCCCCATATCCTTGACACTGACATTCCTCCCAAGTCATTCTCCAAGTCATAATCATCCTGGAATTCTTCAATCATGCGTTTCCATTTTGGCTGCTGTAGAGCGTTGCCGCTTTGGAGTTGGTTAAGTTCTATAATTAAGCCAACTCCACCGAGCGTGCCTACATGGAGCCTGCATGTATCGTTTTCTGGGTTCGTGCAAGCGAGCATTGCTAGAGCGGGTCATTAGTGCCGAAAGGGCTTTGTAGATATTGTAAAACATACCAGCAATCGGCTCCAGGTGCCTTACTTGGCGGCCCTTGTTGTCCTCGGTTTCTGGCTCATAGATCGGGTAATCACGGAATTCAATGGCATCGGCATTGGTAACGCTACCCGTGTACGCAGCGTAGGGCATGGATATGGCTATGAAGCCTGCCATGGCACCGACTGCCAGAGAGATTGTTGGGGACGATCTCTGTTAGGTTCTTATTAGCAAAACAGCACATTTTAGCATGGATGCAACAGATCAACCGCACAGTATGGAGCCACCTAAGAGGGCCAGTGATGTTGTGATATGCCCATTTCTCATTCAACTGGTCCAAAGGATGCTCTATGAGATTTGTGACCAACTTGTACTGTTGTGAGGTCTCTCCGAGCGGGCTTCCAATGGTGACTTCGAGTTTCATTAAGCGAAGCTGCGTTCCACATACCGCAGCTATCATGGCGACTGCACAGCCAAAGTTTCCTGAGCTAGTCGCGGGTGAAATCTGCCACGGACCACAGGAAAGCTCAGTAGTACGTTGTCTCTCTTTGATTGCCTTCTCGAATAGTGATCCAGAGCAGACTCGTCTGCCCTTTGTTTCCAGGTTCGTTAGAGAGTGAAGGGCCAGGATTTGAAGATCATAAGGCCTGGAAAGGCTGTTCGTCGGGTCTGATCTGCGGATCTGCAACATCATTACTTCGTTGAAGTCATTCACCACAGTTAGCAGTGGGATTCCCCAGCGACGTTCATGCGAATGGAGGAAGGAAGACCCTGCAGTAGGCGTTGAAGGCTTCAACGACTCGCACCAGGTGAAAGATCGAATATAAACCTTCCGAAAGGCATGCATATCTGGATCCTGTGATGGCAGGTGTGACCGAAGAACATGATTCGCAACGCCAACCCTAGTCCATTGCTTCTTAAGGCCAATGGGCTCCCAGAGGGACAGTACCAGATTCGACGTCAGCACTGCTAGCACACTACGTCGATATTTGCCTAGTCCTGCTGGTGACCAAGCCAGAGCGACAACATTGCTTTCTGAAAGGTCTGCAGCGACCGAAAAATCATCTCGATTTCCTGGAAGGTAGCTCGGCCATTCAGAGTTCGTAAACAAGTTGGCTCTAACACGAGTGACGAGCCAATCTTGGGTTGAGTTGGGAGCAGCATCATCATCGCTGCCATTTTTTGGTGTCTTTCAAAACGTTAGTCAGATTCAAGCCCACAAGATAATTAGATACATGCCAGGATTTGGAAGTATTCACCCGCGGCGATAGCAAGCTCGCCGTCCGGGGACCAGGACATGGCGTCATAGCAGGATGGAGATAACTGTAGGGCCACAGGATTTAGCATGATGTCAGATATCTGATTTTTGCTGCGCTAGCATTGTTGGTAAGTAAAAGGGTAGCGAGAATACGTATGAAGGAGGCAAGCGAGAGATCTGCTTTTGTTTGGGTCGCATTCTGAGTCGATTCCTGAGGAATCAGGCGCCAACCGTAGAACGAACCCTAACAAGAATACGTCAAGGACAACTTCGTAGTCGCAAAATGGCAATAATAAAAGATACCCAGGGTAGAGAAAATATGCAAGGAATGACGGAATTTCTAAAAAGATCTGAGGGAAGAAGAAAAAAGAAGATAAAGAGAGAGAAGGCAGCGCTGCGTAATATATACTCATATGTAAAGTTCCGGAATGGAACAGGTGAGGACTTTTACATAGAAGGACCCGGACAGAAACCAGGTGAGTAAATTTGTTTGTAGGAAAGGTACATGACCCGCTACACCGGATGATATCCAACCCTAGACCGTTCAATGTTTATTTGAGGGTATCAAGTCGTAACTTGCAACTTTTAATCCACCCGATCCAGCCGCTGCACAACCATTGCGGTTGCAGCACCGCCGCCGTTGCAGATAGCAGCCACTCCATACTCGCCGGGCTGCAGTTGGTGGAGCAAGGTCACGAGGATACGGGAGCCTGAGCTGCCGAGAGCATGGCCAAGAGAGATGGCACCTCCAAGCATGTTGACTTTGGCGTTTTGCAAACCGAGGATCTAGAGGGGTTAGATTTGATTTCAAAGTTAAGCGCACGCGGCACTGACCTTCTCATTGGCTTTGATGACTGCCGCAAAAGCCTCGTTGAATTCCCATACTGCCACTTGGTCCTTGGTAATACCTGCACGCTCCAGCGCAATCGGAACCGCTTTAGCAGGGGCAACTGGGAAGTCCACGGGGTCGATGGCGGCATCGGCCGAGGAAACAATACGGGCCAAGACACGGCTGCCAGCGCCATATTGGCGAGCAATATCCTTGTTACCTAAAATCAACGCGGATGCTCCGTCATTCATGGTAGATGCGTTGCCGGCAGTCACGGTACCAGTCCCATCCCGCAGGAAGGCAGGCTTCAGGGTCTTCAACTTATCGGCACGCAAGTTTTCGAAGCCCTCGTCCCGCTCGATAACGGTATCTCCTTTCTTACCTTTCACAGTAACCACGGCAATTTCATCTGCAAACTTGTTCTCCTTCCATGCCTGCTGGGCACGCTCGTATGACTGGATGGCATATGAATCCTGGTCCTCCCGAGAGATCTCGTACTTTTTCGCAGTATTTTCTGCGCAGATGCCCATGTGGAACTTGTTGTAAACATCCCATAGACCATCCTTGATGAGACCATCCTCTAGCTTGATCTCGCCAAAGGGGGGCAATTGACTAGCACGTGCCATATAATAGGGGACACGAGTCATGCTCTCCATGCCACCAGCCACTTGCGCCTCTGCCAAGCCCAGTTGAATATTTTGTGCGGCAAGTGCCACGGCCTTCAATCCAGAAGCGCAAACCTTATTGATTGTTGTAGCTTCAACGGTGGAAGGGAGACCGGCAAAAATAGATGCCTGACGGGCAGGTGCCTGACCTACTGAGCCCTGCAAGACATTTCCCATATATACATCTGTGATCTTCTCAACAGGTACCTTGGATTTATCGAGCGCAGATTTGATTGCAACTGCGCCAAGCTCAGGTGCCGATACGGAAGTAAAAGAACCATTGAACTGGCCAACCAGATGTCAGTGAATTGTTTGTTACTCAGAACATTCCTCCAAATTCACACACCTTTGCTGTTGGTGTTCGAGAAGCACTCAAAATGTAAGCTTCCTGAATCTCCTTGCATGTCGGGCGTGCCGAACTGAACTGTCGCTGGGGGCGAAATGCGGGGAAGGCCCGCTTGGGGAGGCGAGTACACAGGCTTGGAGAAATCATGGTTTTGATTAAGATAAGGATAGGTAGGTGAGTCGACAGTATTGAAGAATGAAAGGGTTATTAAGAGGAGAGATTCAAGAACGAAGGCCGGAAGAATGCTGTTGCATGTGCATATCGGAATCTATCCGCCTTTGTACCCGCCTATAACCGCTAGTCCGCTTGGACCGAGGCTCCCAAGGCGGTCGCCGTGACCATGACAGAATAATTGCTGAGTCAGGAGCTCCTCAGGGACCCGGAGCTCTCCAAAGTGAATCTAGCCCCCTTGGGATGGTTTCTCCATTGGGATATTTCCTCCGATCTTCCCCTCCATCGCTTCACTCCATATCGCCTTACCGTATCAACGACTTTCGGGTTTCCTTCTCCTCTCTTTCCCTTTCCCCTCTCCATTTTCCCTTCTCCCTTTACTGTCTCTGGGGTCTTGATCTCTAGCTACATACGTACAGCTTTAGCAAGCTATTTTAATCACTTTACACCTTCCCCCATTGTTCTATCATGTCTACATCCGCCCGCCGTCGTCTCATGCGGGACTTCAAGGTACGCGTTAATATCATCACCTCACCTTGGTTTATTCGAAAGTTTTCACTGTATCTATAAATGAGCTCGTCTGAAATTCTTTCCATACGTCTTTTGTGCCCAATTTGCTTCTTAGAACCTTTCCCGGTGTTCTGCGTCTAAGATGATTCGCCTCCGCTAACATTCCCATGCTCACAGCGCATGCAAACCGACCCTCCAGCTGGCGTCTCTGCATCTCCAGTCGCGGATAATGTCATGACATGGTAGGTTTCTCTGGAGTATTCTTTGAAGGTCTTGAGAATGGTACTGATGGAATGCCAGGAATGCCGTCATCATCGGCCCCGCCGACACGCCGTTCGAAGATGGCACATTCCGCCTGGTCATGAATTTTGAAGAACAATACCCCAACAAGCCTCCCGGTGTGAAGTTTATCAGCCAAATGTTCCATCCAAATGTGTATGGAACCGGTGAGCTCTGCCTCGACATTCTTCAGAACCGATGGAGCCCCACATACGATGTGGCGGCCATCCTTACTAGTATTCAAAGGTAGGTTTGGCTAGGTTATGGAAGATCACTATACAGATGCTAATACAGCTTGTCAATTCTAGTCTCTTGAATGACCCCAACACCTCCTCTCCGGCCAACGTCGAGGCCTCGAACCTCTACAAAGACAACCGCAAGGAGTACACCAAGCGAGTGCGAGAGACCGTCGAGAAAAGCTGGGAGGACAATTAAGCAATCAAATTCGCTGAGCCGAGTTCGATGGGCTTGATAGTCTTATGAATGACCACAACAGCTTGACCGTTCGATCTGCACAGCGTGGGGTTTGGCGCTTGGTATCTTATTCTTTGAGGTCGTTTATTCCTTCTTTTCTTTGTTTCTTTTTTCTGCTTTTTTCCCCGATATCTCTAGTTCATGATTCTTCATCTTCCGTCCGGTCATATCAGGCGAGTTCATAAATTAGTTTCATAGTTTAGTTTTACGGCATTAGCCTGCTTTTTCTGCCAAGTGTGATCCCTTGACATGTAGATTGTAGAGACTATAAATGGATATACAAGTATAAGCTGTTCAATTACATGCTTATATTAGGTAGTTCCCATGTGTACATTAAGCTTATCGCTGCAAGATGGTTGCATCTCCGAGTCCGGGGGCGGTAAGCCTAAACGGGGTGACTGTCAACAGTTGAAATCCCACTCTTGCGCGTCAACTTCCTCCCCTGCAAAGTCCCGTTGTAGGTCCTCTTGGTTTGGCCGTCCTTTCTTTGCGGCCTGACTGCTGTTTTATCTTTTTCTCCAATTATTGAGCGTTTTGGTCCACGGTGCACGTGGACCCCCTGATCACCCCCTCCGACTACACCGCAACAGAACAAGTTCCCATTTCAGACGCCGTTAACGAGCTCCGAGGTCTACTTACCCCTTCTCGGGGTCTATCTTCTAGATTGCGCGTGCCATAACAAAGTCACATTCTACAAATATGGCGTGAGTATACGCTCCTATCGTGCGTGTGCCGTAACTAATGTGGTTCCACAGGTCCGCGGGGTCGAACACCATCAAGGGTATGCACGAACTGTCACAATAAATCAAGGCGCATTTTATTGGCGATGAGACTAATTAAACTTATATAGTGGTTGCTAGGTTCCGTCCGCAAAACAAGGTTGAATTGGCCTCTGGGGGTAAACCAATCGTCGAATTCGAGAATGAAGAGTCATGTAGCATCAACGTGAGTCTGAACTGAACCCAGAAACAATGAGGGTAATACTGACAAATCTTTCAGTCCCGGGAGGGCACAGGGGCCTTCACTTTTGATCGAGTGTTTCCTATGGACACTGCGCAAAACGACATCTTCGACTTCTCTATCCGACCGACTGTGGACGATATTCTAAATGGATATAACGGAACAGTGTTTGCCTACGGTCAGACAGGTGCCGGAAAATCATATACAATGATGGGTTCCGACATCGATGATGACATAGGGAAAGGTATCATTCCACGCATGATCGAGCAAATCTTCGCCAGCATCCTCACCAGCCCGAGCAACATCGAGTACACCGTACGGGTCAGCTATATGGAAATTTACATGGAGCGTATCCGTGATTTGCTAGTGCCCCAAAATGACAACTTGCCGGTTCACGAGGAGAAAGCTCGCGGTGTTTACGTTAAAGGATTGCTGGAAGTCTACGTTTCGAGCGTGCAGGAAGTTTACGAAGTTATGCGCCGTGGAGGAGCAGCACGCGCTGTCGCTGCGACCAACATGAACCAGGAATCGTCTCGCTCTCACTCTATTTTTGTTATCACGGTCACCCAGAAGAATGTCGAAACCGGGTCCGCCAAGAGTGGTCAATTGTTTTTGGTCGATTTGGCTGGTAGTGAAAAGGTCGGAAAGACCGGCGCAAGTGGCCAGACTCTGGAGGAAGCCAAGAAGATCAATAAAAGTTTGAGTGCGCTAGGAATGGTCATTAATGCCTTGACCGACGGCAAATCGACGCACATTCCCTACCGTGACTCTAAACTCACTCGAATTCTCCAAGAATCCCTCGGTGGTAACTCTCGAACGACCTTGATTATCAACTGTTCGCCCAGCAGCTACAACGATGCGGAAACAATTTCAACCTTGCGTTTCGGTGTGCGCGCTAAGGCCATCAAGAACAAGGCAAAGGTTAATGCAGAGCTAAGCTCCTCGGAAATGAAGCAACTGCTACGCAAGGCGCAAAGTCAAATGACAAATTTCGAAAACTACATCTCAGCGCTCGAGGGCGAAATCGTTATGTGGCGGAGCGGCGATAGTGTTCCCAAGGATCAGTGGACTCCAGCGCGGGGAAGTGAACTTGTCAGTGCTGCGAAATATGAAGCCCGCGGCCCACGGCCAGGTACTCCCTCGCGCTTACAGGAGACTGCGCGTTCAGAAACCCCGCGTCCAGACTCACGGGTTGGGGATCGGTCCAGCACTCCCAGCCTGGTGCTGGAGAAGGATGAACGTGAGGAATTCCTGCGCCGTGAGAACGAATTCCAAGACCAGCTCTCAGAGAAGGAGTCACACATTGTCAACGTGGAGCGCAGCCTTCGCGAGGCGCGCGATGAGATAAGATCGATGAAAGAGAATGGCGCACGAACCGGCAAGGATAATGAGCGTTTGGGAACAGAAGTCAATGAGCTCCGCATGCAGCTCGAGAAGGTCTCCTATGAGAGCAAGGAAGCTGCCATCACCATGGATGGCCTCCGGGAAGCCAACTCAGAACTCACAAGCGAGCTAGATGAAGTGAAGCAGCAGCTTCTAGATGTCCGGATGAGGGCAAAGGAGACCACTGCGGCACTGGACGAGAAGGAAAAGAAGAAGACTGAAAAGATGGCTAAGATGATGGCTGGGTTTGACCTCGGTGGCGATGTGTTCTCCGATAACGAACGCAAGCTGCAGGATCTCATTCAGCGCGTTGATGCTCTACACCAAATCAGCTCCGAAGGTGAAATCATTGCGCCAGACGACCTCTTGGAACTTCGCACGAATCTCCTCGAGGCACAAGGCTTCATCCGACAAGCCGAGCTGACCGTGAACGACCAGAGTGACTTTGGCGAGCTGCAGGACAGGCGCCGTGCAGACTTGGAAAAGAGGCTAGATGACCTTCAGCGAGAATATGAGAGTCTCTTGACCCGCAACTTGGGCGAGGGCGATGTGGAAGAGATCCGGGGACGACTAGAGCAGGTTTACGCGACAAAGAAGGAGGCCGAGACTGCCGCGGCCGAGGAACTTCGTTCTGATATTTTGCGCAAAGATGAGGAATTGAGCAAGTTGCGACAATCTCTTGTCGACACCCAATCCCGGACCTCGACCAATGGTGCCGCAAGCAAGACTTTGCAGCAGCAGATAACCGAGTTTGACGCCATGAAGAAGTCTCTTATGCGTGACCTGCAGAACCGCTGCGAGCGTGTCGTTGAGTTGGAAATTTCCTTGGACGATGCACGAGAGCAGTATAACAACGTTCTTCGATCATCAAATAACCGGGCTCAGCAGAAAAAGATGGCCTTCTTGGAGCGCAACCTGGAACAATTGACTCACGTACAGCGTCAGCTCGTGGAACAGAACAGTAGCTTGAAGAAGGAGGTGGCAATCGCTGAGCGGAAGTTGATTGCAAGAAACGAGCGCATTGCAAGCCTGGAAGCCCTGCTACAGGAGAGCCAAGAGAAACTTACGCAAGCCAATCACCGGTATGCGTCAACTTATTCCTCCGGACTTGGCTTGATGATGCGCAATACTAACTACACTGACAGATTCGAAGCTCAACTTACCGCTGTGAAGGAACGCCTCGAAGCAGCGAAGCAAGGTTCCACCCGTGGCTTACCGAGCATGGATGGAAATGCGAGTTTCAGCTTTGGGGGGTCGCGCATCGCGAAGCCACTACGCGGGGGCGGCGATGGGCCGGCGAATGCGAGCGTCTCGGGCGTACAATCGCAGGAAGCGACGGGGAAGCGCAGCAGTTGGTTTTTTGATCGCCGATAATCCTAACCCAGTCTCAGAAAGCTGCTCGTCCCTTGCACAACTGCTTCTGAGGTTTGATGGCTGTCTACCATGCACCCCGGATCTCGTGCAATTCGTGCTTCTTTCTCTAGCATGTGGATGATATTGGATGATACTGATCTATATTGATTCCTCTTTACGCTGTCTCACGAGTTTCTTCTTTTTCTTCGATCATCTGATCAGCATGCCTTTCTTGTTCTGATGTTCTGATGTGATTCTGATACATATTTTGTTTCCCATATTTCCTTGCATTCTTTTCTCATTCCAGTACATTAGATCGTGCCCTGCATGCCTGGGACTGGCTCTTGCATCTTCATGATACCCTTGTACATCACTTCCAGATAGAATGGAGAAGAGCTGGTAGTTAGTCTGCGGGGCCGACTTGAGGGATTCTTGTGACATACTATGTATACGGTACGACAGTGGATTGATTTGCTCCCATTCCCGCCCTGAAGGTTATAGTCGAGTAAAGAAGAAAAGTAGTCCAAAGCCAAGTTGATAGACACTGTATACATTTCACTACAAAGGTTGTACTTATCTCAAAATATACAAAGACATTTGGGGTAATCGAAAAGATGAAGACAAGAAACGAAATAAACTAGAGAAACAGAGAAAATAAAAAACAGAGAATATGCAATGCATCCCCCTCGCCCATCCGAAAGAGAATGCCTCTCAAATTGCGCCAGTATTCGCCCAAGCAACAATCTAAACCAAACCGTCGTAAAGCGACAAGGCACTGACGATAGTTTCATCCCGTTTGCTGCCTTCTTTGAACTCCTCAATGTCCAGACTTCCATTCTCATCCTTGTCCATCATCCGGAAGATCTTCCGTACACGCTTCTCTGGGGTATCTTCGTCTTCGGGGAGTTTCACCATGGATCCAACCTGTATTCCCGTTAGTTATCGGTGTATGATATTCACTATTCATAAACATGATGCATACCATCTTATAGATCGCCTCGACAATGGCCAGCATTTCGTCATAAGTGATTTTCCCATCGCCGTCAATATCGTACAATTGGAATGCCCAATCCAGCTTATCCTCCATCTTGCCCCGCGAAGTCACAGAAAGCGCGCAGATAAACTCTTTGAAGTCGATCATACCGCTGTTATCCGAGTCGAACACGCGAAAGACATAATTGGCAAAGGATGACGGGTCGCCGAATGGGAAAAACTGTCGGTAGATTTTCTGGAACTCTTCCTTGGTCAAGGTCCCGGATGGGCAGTCCTTGAGGAATCCTAATAATGTCTACAATCAGCGATCGCCCTGGAACCTTCATGTCTCGTAGCGTCTCATCCGCATACCTTTATACCATTGTTGTAGCTCCTTCTTATCGAAATGTGTAGCCCGTTGCAGCTCATCGAGCTGCGTCGGCGAAAGCTTTGATTGACTGCGGAGCACGGGATCAGCGCTGGATTTCTCTCTGTGTATAGGTCACACGATCTTAGACCGAAGGTACAGGGGGCCTTCAGTGTTGATTTGTTTCCCCTGAGAGAAAGGCGCGTTCTGAAATCCGTGGGGTCCGTTCCACCGCCATTTCGAACACAGTGAGAGAATGGTAGAACTTACGACTTGCCCATGGTCAAAAACACCCCTCTAGAATAATATCAAGAGCGCAAAGTTTAAACCAAATCGGGGACTCGTGGCCTTGTAATGAGCTTGAAGTCGTGACGCGGGGTAGAAACAGGCGGGATGTGTGGCTGAGGTGTGGCTGAGAATGTGGCAAGTCTACGCAAGGGGTCCTAGCGATGTAAGATGAGATAGGATGGAATAAGGTGAAATAGAGATGAGAAAATGGACAAGAAATCCAGGTGTTTCTAAAGATAGAGAAGTGGTTAAAGATTCCAAGGTTAAAGTGGCAAGGAGGAAAGTCCAGAACATCCGAGGTACTGGTCTTGGCACTTTCTTTTTTATCAACTTGTCATTACGCGTATATACGTATAGTCCACTTCCATTTCTCCATACAAGGACATTTCCAATCTATCAGTGATGGGGTAGAACTTTCCAAGCAATGAGGGTTTTTTTGGTGAAAGGAAAAAAAAAGAGAAAACTAAAAGACACAACAGGGAGGTCTTCTCTCGTAAAGACCCCAAAATGCAAGGCTAAATGTGAGAAGCACCAATAGGAAGAACTTTAGTCCACCTTGATTGAGCCGTAGATACGGTGGATGAATGCCCAACTGGCAAAGAAACCAATAGAACCTGGACACAAGTCAGCAAGAGAGCCCATCCGGAAGACAGGGGAATGAGAACGTACCAGTTAGAATGAACACAATGAAGGCGATCAACGCCGAATACCCGACATAGAGCACTGCCCCAGTCAATCCACCAAAGCTGACCCGCGTCGCCCAGAAAATGAGCGCATTCACGAAGACATATCCTCCGGTCATACCCGCGCCGATAAATGCGCGCCAATGCCACCGGTAGTTTTCTGCACAGAGCAAGAAATATACCAGCAGGACAGTTGTAGCCGCGGAGGTAATGATCATCAGGCCATAGCAAAGGAACAGGAACCCAAACATGTAGTAGATCTTGTTGGTCCAGAGGGAGGTCATAATGAAGTACAGCTCGACGAAAATGGCACCGAAGGGTAAAATTCCAGTCAGCAGAATCGACGGGATTGTGCGCAGGCTACCAGACATCGGAGGAACCTGTCGGGGGATTTGGTTCGTCTTAGTAGGACCCTCAAGCGGCTGTTGAAAACTGAGGTTAGGTCATTTGAATATATGGATACGGGGTGAGGATTTGATAGTACCGATTGCCTGAATCCCAACCAGCTACCTGCCACACTCAATGGCACACTGATAACAAACCAGATTAAGACCAATGCCAACATAGTCCCGAATGGTACTGCACCGCTAGATCCTTTGGCCCAAACAAAGAGGTTAAGGATGAAGAAAGTACTAAATACAATGCCAGGGATGAATAGAGGTGTCATGATAATGTTGCGCTTCCAAGCATCGCCGCCGAATGTCTTATACACTCGTGCCGACACGTAACCACCGATGGAACCGAAAAGGGCGGAAATCAAGAGAATGGCAGTAGCTAGGAATCCACGGTTGGAAGGAGAGAGGAGTCCAAGCAGGGCAAATACTATAAAAATTAGTACCCCAGATGATAATAGCGTGAGTCGGACTACCTACCAACCGTCACACCGATCATCATAAACAGCTGGGCGCCGTTGCCAACCATCACACTCAGCAGCAATGGAGACTTGGGGCACCGGAAGACGTCACCATGGACCAACTTCCAGCCAGAATCCTCCTGGACTCCATCTTCGATCGCGGCGGAAGTGGAATCCAAATCCTCCAGATTGAACGAATCTAGCCGGTTATAGCGAGCAATGTCCTTCTTGAGTGCGCGCACTAGAATCATGCTGACCATACCCACGAGGAAAACCACAAAGACAGCCGAGTTGATGAGAGAGAACCAGTGAATCTTGGGGTCATAGACATGAAGATACTTGTCCCACCGGGTAGCCCAGGCTGTAGGGGACTCCTTCCAGTACACACTATACGTCCAGGTGACTGTGGTTTCCCCGTCCTCGTTGAGTGCAAGACCATTTCCCGGGGTACCACACTCAGCGGTCCCGTCTTCCAAGGTCCGTGAGTCCTTGCGAGACTCAGGCTGGACAAGCACACCAACAACACGATATTTATCCTTGCCACCGAAGCCCACCTTATGGTAATCAATCACAATGTCGTAGTGATTGTTGAGAAGAGACTGCCCATTGTCGTCTAGATCACCCAGAGAGAAGCCAGGGTTATAGAATTTGGTCTTGGTGACACCGTCATAGTTCAACTGCGCGGCCGGCAGCCCATCCACAATCCAGTTGATGTTGTAGCCCTGAGCTATGCGCCGATTGGTCCACTTTGCGCTGCGGGCATCAAATTTGACCTCTCCACATACCGATTTGCAGGTCTCATTCTTTGCCATGTGAAGCTCGAATGGCGAAGTGCGAATTCGATCACCGAATAGAATGCTCCCGAGAGATTCCCTCACATCTTTAGGGCCGTCGGCAGGTCGACAGAACCCAAATGCAGGATGGTAATAGTCGAACGAGAAGACTGAATGGAGCTGATCATCGCGAGATAGGCTGGGGGTGAGGTGGTTGACATAAAGTGGAACTGCTTGTCCTTCGTCATAGGAGGTCGGCGCAACACCTGGCAGGTAAAAGGCCGCAGTGAAAGAAGGGATTGCTAGTAGGGCCGATGAGAGAAAAAAGGCTCGATCGGTAAACCGCATGGTGTGTGTTTATAGAATTCGGGAGCCTGGACGTCCACCTCAATTGTTTGTTTGGGGGAAGACAGCAGTACAGCTAGCGTCCCAATGGACGATCGCAAAAGAAAAAGGGGTTAGTTACAGCAAGAAGCTACCCTAGAAAAAAACGGAATCACGGTCTCATCCGTGATAAGCTCGCGACAATGGAAAGGAAGTAGAATGTCAAAGTAACAAACTGCGAGTGACAGACTGGCAATGACGATCATTGCATTGCAAGGATGCCTTGGTGCCTTGGTGCCTTGTTATTATCACACGTGACTAGTGTTATCGTTGAAACGGCCAAAAATTTTTGTTCGGGAATTATTGTTCTCTATAAGCCATCGACTCTCAATTATGGCCCCAACACAGGCGTCTGCACGCCCCCAAAGTCTATCGACATTGCTCGAGACACTTAACAACTGTCTATCGACAACTGCCTCCTCTCTACCCAAGACACACAAAGATGCGCCTTCCGATGTTACGATCGAGCCTCCCCAAGACGGCATCTCTCTCCTCGACACTAAGAGCGAAATTCTCCTCTCCTACTTACAAAACCTCGTATTTCTGATTATTTTCCAACTGCGAAATGTGTCAGCGAAACAAAACCCGAAAGAGAAGAACGAATCGACGGATAACTCCCTCGAAGATGATATTCGCAAGAAGTTGATCGAGCTTCGGGTATTCCTCGAGCGCGGTGTTCGTCCTTTGGAAGGAAGATTGAAGTACCAGGTGGACAAGGTCATCAAGGCTGCAGAGGATGCGGAGCGAACAGAGAAGGCCCAGCCGACCAAGGCGACCAAGAAAAGCCGCAAAGTTGCGACATCAGACAGCGAAGCCTCATCGGATGAGGACGAAGATGAAAGTGGTAGCGAGGATGAAGAGGACATTGATGAGATGGCGTACCGACCCAACGTCTCTGCCTTCGCCAAGGGAGTGGCCGAGAAGAAGAAGGCGCAGCCCTCCAAGGGTGCGGCCGAAGGACCTGGAGATGGCATTTACCGGCCCCCGCGCATCATGCCAACTTCCTTGCCTACCACAGAGCGTCGCGAACGCCAGGACCGCAGACCCATTCGATCCAACGTCATCGATGAATTCGTTAGCGCTGAAATGTCGTCCGCACCCATGGCCGAGCCCAGTATTGGTAGCACAATCATTGATGGTGGCCGAACGGTCAAGTCAAAGAAGGACCGAGAGCGCGAGGCAGAGCGTACCACCTACGAAGAGACCAACTTTGTCCGATTGCCCAAGCAGACCAAGAAAGAATTGGCCAAAAAGGGCTTCGGAAAGGATGGCACATACGGCGGTGATGAATGGAAGGGTCTCAATGAAGGCGCAGATAACATTGAACGTCTCACCCGGAGGTCCAAATCTAGTGGATCCGCACTCGAGAAGAGTCGCAAGCGAGTCCGCAATGAGGATGGACAACGTGGTGATGGTGTGGGCATGGGCCAAATCTTCGATAAGCGACGAAAGAAGGTTGACAGCTGGAAGCGGTAAAAAGTGGTTGCAACGGGCAATTTACATGTTCAAAGGCGTTTCTTTCTGGAATTCAATCACTTTGGAGTTTTCTTGATTACCCAAGGTCCATATTGACCAATGCATATCTGTATTTATACTCTACGACATACATTGAAGGATATGATTTCACCAGATCAATTTATCTACGACTGTGAATGTGTATGTATATTATGCCTCACCGCCGGAATACAAACTCGGCATGCCGATAAAGACCCTCCTAAGGATGAAAGAAATATAATGGTTAATATGGCCCCTATAAATCATGTGGAAGAAAACACCTCATTGGGTAGCTTCCAACTTGATAGATCACACTAATGACATTCACATGTTAAAATCCAGGGGAAAATCAAACATGACGTCATTGAAGTACCACCCAGGGCCAACTCTTGATATCTTTGTTTCCTTTTTTTCTACAACACTCTCAAACCATTCAATCAAAATGGAGAACCCAGGTGCGTTGTCAAGTTAGCCTTGTATATTTATCTCATGCTCATCCATATAGTGGCCGATATACCTACCGTCATCCGACGTCTGACACAGTCCCCGCCATCTTTGCAAGAAACCGTCATCCACGAGTATTTCACCAACAATGCATCCTTTGTTCATCCGTTCTGCCGAGTACCCCACTTTGAAGGTAGCAGATGGTGGGTTTCAAGGATATTTCAGTGGTATAAGATCATGTCACCACGGATCGAACTAGAGATCCATTCTATTGGTATGTTAATATGAGTGCCGAGGTTGGCATAATTTCACCTACAAACTCTGACCATCCTTAGCATTTGATGAGGATAAGCTCAAGCTCTATGTGAACATGTCCCAGATCTTCTCTATCTGGCTTGTTCCCTTCCATGTTGCTCCGGTGACTCTCACGACAGTCTTGGATCTGACGCATGAATCAGTTAAGAGCGACGCTACGACCAATGGTGACCATAAGCGTTACTACATTTCCAAACAAGAAGATCTGTATCAAACATCGGAATTTGTCAAGTTCCTGATGCCGCATATCGGGTATTGGATTGTTTTTGTTTGGCATCTCATTGCAACGCTTTTCTGTGTCCTGGGTGTGACTTTGCTATGGCCTATACTGTGGCTGGAAGAGAAGGGTTATATCCCGGGTCGCTTTTTGAGAGGGGGCAATTTGGCTTATAACATGGAGAGGAAGATACCAGAAATTAAAGGGCAATAGTGGAGTTGTTTTTTTCTTGATTCATAGCTGGATATTACTAAATACAAGCGCTATCTCTATCTGCTTTCATATCACATACAAATTGTGTGCTCTTGGCAATTCTCCAAGCTGTACCAGCCAGAAAAGCCCTCTATTCAAATCATAATGAACTTCGTAGCTTTTGCTGCTTATGTATCCTTCATCATGACATTGGCTAGGATCATATTCACTCAATTCAATGAGCTTTCTTTGGCTTGCGTTGTTTCTTCAGCTCCCTGCGGAACGAGTTCTCTTTTTCCACAAACGTCAAGGGCAAGCCACGACCAATACCAAAGAACACAAACAACGCCCACTTCCAGCGGAACGGGTTGACAACAAGGACGAAGAAATACCAGTAGATTAGCTCGGCATAGGTAAAGAAGTCAAATGCTGCCGTGGGTGCCAGACGCTTCATGAACCTGGTGAAGTCGATCCAGGTCTTCATCCATCCTTCAGTGGGTCTGGTCAATGGGTCGGTCAAGAACATGAGCAGGAATCGTGTGTAGATTCCAATATGCATATTACCCACTGTACCAATGGCATCGACGTAGGTGCTGTTATTTGCGCAAATGTCCGGGTACTTGGGTGGGAAAACTTGAAGATACCAACTAGGCGGTCCGTAGGGTTCATCGAAACACTCATCGGGCAAGAAGGTCAATGAAGGTCGTTTGAAACCAGTCGCCATGACGATGATATCCCCCTCGACCAGCTGTTCGTGACCAGGTCCTCCCTTGGGAACGCCTTTAGATCGATGGTTGAATACCACACCCTTCTCTTCCACAGAGACGATATCACCTCGCAACCAGTGGGCTTTACCCTCACGAATCTGGTTAAACAACTCATCATTGGCCATGGGAGTTCCGGTAAAGATTCCTTTGTCTGTCGGCGCAATGTCTTGAAGATCACGATAGAAAAACTTGCGCAGGAACCATTCGGGAATCCAGGAGAATGATGTTTCTTGACCGAAGATATTGCATGCTAGCAGAGACTGTACGAGTATGTTGCGAGGAATGATCCATTTGTCAGACCGAGACAGGACATCAATCTGGGCAGCCTCATTCTTGACGGCGAACTCCAAGGCCTCAATTGCGCTAGCGCCGCCTCCCACGATGAGCACCTTTTTGCCTTTGGCATTCTTGCCATCTAGTTCAGAGGAGTGGTAGATTTGACCCTTGAACTTTTCCTGGTTGGGCAGCGGTGGCATCTTAGGATCTCCGCATACGCCTACCGTGGCCAAGATGCCGTCGAAGAGGCCATACTTCTCTTCGTCGTTGTTGATAATCCACTTGCCATTCTTGTTCTTTTTCACAGAGGTGACTTTAGTCTCAAAGGAAGTGCGTTTTTCCAGGCCGTATCTCTTCCACACTTTGACAATTTGGTCTTTGATCTGTTGCTGTGTAGGGTATGCGCTGTCGAAGTGAACCGAAGGATGGAAACGGTACATAACACTGTGGACTTGCAATGCGGAGGTAGAATTAACTCTCTGTATAGGTGTTAGCGTGTGTTTCTTTTAACCAAAAGGAAAGTAGAACTGACACTCCAGATGCCTCCCAATCCTTGCTCTTTGGGTCTAGATTCAAACAGATGGACATCGAAGCCATGGCCAGCACAGTGGGCAGCTGAGGACACACCGGTCAGGCCTGCACCAATGACTGCAACTCTCTTTCGAGGAAGATTCTCATTCAGAGTATCGGTAGGGGGTGGGGGTATAGGAGAAAATATGTAAACCAACACCCTTTGCATAGCCAAGTAGAGCCATGTGAAGGTCTCTACGAATGGATGCCGGATGAAGGCCGAGAGGGCTGAAATGAAGGACTCAGAACCCATGATTTTTGCGTTGAGTAGAGAGGACAATTGAGAAAAGAATCAAAATATTTGTAGTTTTCCCATCGGAGGTGACGTTATACCTTTTCACATGTGATGTTGCGATATGACATCATTCATGAAAGCTGGATTTTTGGCCAAAAGCGGATCCACGTACACCTATGAGAACTTATACTAATCGTACTATTGTTTATACTCAATCTCACATGAATTACACATAGAATGATGTGACTATGGGCATTTAAAAGGAAATTGGGGATCGTAAACCATTGGCTCGTTATTCGGGGTCGATGTACATATATGCGCGGGATATACCTACAAAATGAATATGAAGTTTAATTTTCGGCGATCAGAATTCTTTAAGATGTATCTAGGTGGTCGTGGTAAGTGCCCTCCTCGGGTACCTTTTGGAATTAAGTTCTTTCTAGTTTTAGAACCCGGCGGGCTCTCTATCCTATCTTCATCCACCCCGCTGGTCACGTTCTCACTCGGCAGAGACCGAGATAGGAATTATCGCTGACAACAACAAATATTGGCTTGCATGCTCTCTGTATCCCACGGCCATTTTGCCTTTCAAATGTCTACGGTTTGTTAAGGACTCCCTTGCTCCGTCATCACCTCTTTCTTGAGTTTTCCATTGCAACCTCGCGCAACTTCCACATACTGATCAGGGTTGCAGCGGGTCCGAGGAACAAACCCGCCATAAAATAACAGGACATATCAGAAAGCCAGTGAGTTTGGACAATGCGTACGCGGCGCAAATCCCAAGTAGTAAAGAAACACCAGGCCATGATGACAAGGGAGAGTACCATCAACTGCACGCCCTCGTATGAGAAAGCCACCGTTGCAACAGAACCGGTTGACAAATTTCGTGCACCGAATTGACTCACGATGAGTATGTGAAGTGTTGCCGTGATGAAGATAAGTATGTTGTATGTTTTGATCAGGTGAGGCAAGTCACGTTTACCATATAATGACTCTGGGATGTTGGATTTAGGCGGGTCGTGCCTTGAAAGCCTCAATCCCAGATATAACACCGCAGGAAACGCAAGATGGCTTGCGGCGAATGTCCAGGTCGTTGCAGCCCAAGCTCCATGATATGTAACCAAAGCCCAGAGGATAGACGGGATGTAAGCGATCAAGACGCCTGCGGGAAGGCTTTCGGCAGCCCTGATGTCGATAGCTCTGGGTGCAGGGTAGTAGAAAGATCGAGACCGACTTGTCCAGATGTACACGAGAAAGTAGATTGGCACCGCAAATTCCCATCCTACCCCAATGCAGACAAGTAGATAGGGGATGGCACTGCTCGTATTAGCACATGGTATAACACAGTGGTTGCAGAGACTTGGATTCACCTGTGTAATGGCCCGGAAAATAAGCCAGGTCGGTATGACTCCACTGTCCACAACACAGTCACGACGGCTCTGATCATAAAAGTGTAAAGCTGTAGTATATTGCCGAGGACCACATTCTGACTTCCAAGACTGGTGTGTCCCACCGCAAACAGACTCAAACTGGCAGCGGCAGCAATGAGAGTAGCCCAAAGAATCGTTGCAGGCAGTGCCCGTTGGCCTGGTGTCGTGACTATATCCGCCTCGCGGGCGATGACACCTCTACGGGATGGCTCTGGCAGATATCTTAAGATATGGCCAGGCGAATGACAGTCAGCGAAAATTGGAGCCATCTTATCTATCGACATTTTCCCCATAACTTTGAGGGTTATGAACTCCAACCAGGGATTCTCGAGGGCTTCTAGCGCTTGCAACGAACTGGCTCCGTCTAGGAAATTTTTGGTTCTGGGTCGCCGTTGTTGCTGGAAGTCGGCAAATGCCACCTGCAACGTGGAACTTGTGGGAGAAGGCTCTTTTTGCAACACTTCCTTTAACAAGTCACCGAGAAAAGCTGCGTCCTCGATAGCGGAGTTTCCACCGTGTCCGGTAAGCGGGTTGAACTGTAATCATAATTAGCTGTAGCTTACCCATATATATAAAATGATGGACATACTTTGTGAAAGGAGTCACCAATCAATATTGCGTTTTTATAAAAGCATTTGTCCAACACATATTCATGCAGTGGAACAAGAACCGCATGTCGACGCCGCTTGTATACATCGCCGAAGGTGACTCCAGGACGAATAATATCTTCTCCATATTCATCCACCACAGCTTGCTCATCTTCAGCCGTGTATCGGGGGATGGATTGGTCAACTGTTTTTTGTTTGTTTTTTATGAAGACAAAGAAGTAGAATTTGCCTTCGCGGCCAGATTGGCACAAGTAAGAGCGGTTCTTGTGGTAAGATTTGGACCCGGTCTCATCTGGTATGCCTTCCTGGTAATCGGCGATGCCGAACATACATTTGTATGTACAGCTAATTGCTAGGAAATGGTCAGCCTGAATAAAGACTGAAAGGAAAATGCGACATGGACACACATTCCGCCATTCGTTTGCTTCCATATTGAGGATCTTCCGACTCCGCAATCCTCCACATCTCCGCTCTGGTCCGGCTGTGAACGCCGTCGGCGCCAACAAGGAGATCTCCTTTGAATGTTGCACCGTCTTTGGTAGTGATTTGCACCTCTCCATCGAGCTCATCAATCTTAAAAATCTCCTTTGACACATGGACTTTAGATTTATCTTGAAGATTGTTGTAAAGTGCTTGGACAAGGTCTTGGCGGTCCAAGAAACTGAATTTGTATCCCGTCCTTCATATTGAGTCAGCACATATAATTTCCAGCGCTTTAGCCCTGGAGAAAGGTATGGTATGCCTTACAAATCTGCCAGGAGCTGACCGAACGCATCCATATTTTTGAGGCGCTCCCCATCAGGCCCAAATGTCTGCATCGTCTCAACTAGTTCGCACACGGATGAGACCTGTTCCGCGATGCCGAGTTGATCCAAGACCTGTAGACCATAGGGTAGAATTCCAATACTAGCTCCAAGCTGAGGTGCAATAACCTTGTATTTCTCAAGGAGAATGTATTCAATGCCATACCTCTCGAAAACATTCGCGAGGGTCAACCCCGCTACGCTGCCACCGATTATGATAACGGTAAACGGGGCCATTATGAGAAACTGAAATGATGTGACTCAAATTAGAACTACGGTGTGCCTTTATATATCCCTGATGGGCCCCTTGCAATTGCTTTTTCGAGCTCAGATCTAGCCTAGGGCTCTACGTACCTAATGATCGACCCGCTGACTCAGCGGCACTTTACACCCGAGCGGGGCCGGGTCCACGGTCGGGATCTGTTCCCCGAACGGCACTGCCCTAGAGAAAAAGCTTAAAATACCGTGCTTCAATTAGTCCACTAATAGCAGAATATCGCCGAACATGCACATAAGCCAAATCGACGTGTCTCCATATTCACATAGTCAAATGCATTCTTCTATCCATAAGCCATTCGTATTGGATTGAGAAAGATCAAATAAAAAAGGCCAAAGGGAAAACGGTATATACTTTGCCTTTGCAAACAGGATTGATGATATTTGAGATTAGGTGGAATGAAGCAAACCTTTTTCAGTTAGAAACATCTCAGAACATTACTACCGGGCGTGTACACGCACTCTCAATAGATATAGTAGCGGCGAGCAAGCCATTGGCTATTATAATTCTTTTGTCAAAATGTCCAATCCTCTATATCGATATAGAAACTTATTAACCATTGTTAATGAGTCAACCACCGTGCCGCTCATATAATCAGATGTCCGATCCCCGGAACAAGCCACCCTTATAATTATTAGTGCAAACCACCATAGTTCTATTGCATATTTCGCGAATCCAGGCTGAGTGGCTGGGCCCACGTCGGCTTTTGCCACCGCTATATCCCAAAGCGCTTTCCATCGCTGATAAGCACGGGGAAGGGCATTCGAAAATAAGGAAGTGAGACAATTTGCCTTCGCAACTGACACAATTAAGCCTAAAGCTAAAGATAGTGTAAGTGTCGGCTTGAGCTGTATGACTGGGTAGTACCTTACAACTAACAACAATGAACAAATCATTGGGTGTGATCCGGCTAAAAGTTTCATCATCTGGTCCTGGCCAGGTATCCGAGAGAAGAAGGAAAACGAAATTTGCTAATGATCGTGACGGAATCTCAGCGGGTTCAAGCGACAATAGTTGCTCGAACTTTTCAGCTGTTTCTGCTTCAAAGAACTCCTCTCGGCAGGGCATATCACCAATCATTTCAGACACGGAAATCTGTGGATTGCAATTGAGTGTGCCTGCCACAAGGCTAGCATAGACCTGAGTCCAATGTGCTAGGCTGTGTCTCTAATTAGTTAAGAACAGTAGATTGATTTCCGAACTCAGTTACCGGATGCAAGTTTCACGTTCAATAAACAGGGACCAATCCTCAGCAGTGTAATCGGTTATTGAGATTCGATGCTTAACCCGGAGAACCCCAGACAATCGGACCGCAGCACTTAAAAGGGGACTCTTCTCCACTCGAATTCGACGACGGGTTGACTGATCGTTTATGCCACTCTGGATGAAGAGAATGGTCAGGGCAGCCTGCAGAACCTCTATAGACTGGATTGTCGGGTCTTTAGGGGTGTTGCTTCCGAGGAGCAACTGTCTGAATGTTGGGTGATTGAAGATAAACTCCTCGGAAACGTGGAAGAAATGGCGGGCTGAGACAGCATGATCCATAGGCGCAGAAACAAGGGCCCCTAAGAGAAATATAGCCAATAAAAGAGGTAGGGTAACATGGTCATAACGAAAGGTGGGGATGTGAAGAATGGGGTGATATGACCTGATCGAATAGGCATAGACGCCAAGAAAGTACTCGAAATTCGGAACGGTAAAGACCGACTTTGCCAGAGACATATCAAAGTCCGGCACATTTGTAGTGTTGTGTTGTGCCATGACCTCATGCGTCTTTGATAGTTGAGCAACCAACTCCTCCACCTGCTTACTGAGCAATGGTGAGCTTATGGGTTTCAATGGATAGCCCTCCGAAAGTTCCACAGTGTCGCTTGGAAAAAGCTCTGGTAGCCAAGTTGCACATGAGCCTTCGTTCTCTGATGTTGGCTCCAGCCAGCCTAACATCGAGGGGGACGGTATGTCACAAAGTTCATTATCAGCAAAGCCCTCCCTTGCAAGTGATTCAGAAGTTCCAAAGGCAGACGGATCAGTGAAATTCAGGAGCCAATTTATCCCGGTTGGTCCGTTCCCGTCTGTCGCGTATGTGGGCGATGCCCGGATATTCACTCGCTGATACGAACACTGCTGGCGGCTAGACAGACATCGCGAGCACGGTGTAGCTGAGTCGCATGACACCCTCTTCTGTGCACAATTGTCACATGCATGGGGTTTTTTTCCGCGTCGTTTAGTTGGTATAGAGAATTCCTGAGCACTCTTGCCACACTTCTGCATATGCCGACGAGCCACGTCCCTATCATTGTTAAGGAAATGCCTAAATGTATCGTGTAGAGGGTGTTACCTCCTGGCGTATGTCTTAGAGCAGGACGGGCAAGATATCGCAGGATAGTCTGCATCTGCCAGGAATTAGTGCACGGACAACAGAGGAAGGCGGGTGTTGTACGAGTGGTTTCGTGACGACGTAAATGACTCCGACTCGAGTATTTTTTCCTGCATGTTTCACATTCAAACCGTGATGAGCCTGGCATGTTGCCTAATATGCAAAGTATATAGCTGAACCAAGGCAGGCAGATATTGTGGGCTTTATTCCGGCTTGTTGTTCCATTGCGTGGGCTTTCTTCCGGAGTGGGCTCTCTTCCGGTTTCGGGCTTTGTTCCAGCTTGTGTGGCGTTTCGGCTTGTGGGGTGTCATCCCCCCGGGGCTATCCAATGAGATTAGGTAAAGCAAGCCCTCAAAGGTACCTAGGTAGGTAAATATTTCTCCAATAGTTTATGCCAACTGGCCCTTCAGTTTGATTTAATATATGGCCTTTTCGGTCTGTTGGATGTGATATCCATTCTATTACACAATATTAATACGACTTTAACATTCGATCCTGGATCGACTTTCGAAAAACACCCATAAGCAGTCTGAGGTCAATATTGCGTTTACTGGGTAATTTGATTACTTAGTGCAGGGTTCCCTAGGCACCTCGGCCGTATTAGTAGAGTTAACATGTTTGATATTTAGTAGCCACTTCATGCTGACTTAAAATATGACGTATTTGACCCGCATGGCTCGTGAAGTTATAGTTGAGTAAATGTTGGGACGGATCTCGCGCTTTGATGAACAGCTTAACTCCGATAAAGCATCATTGGCACTTGAATGCACTCTATTCCGAGATAGCCGGTGTCGTGGGAGCAAAAGGGAATACCAGCAATATATAAAGTGAGTTTAGGTCGTATGCAAGTGTCACATTATTACTATTGCCTACAACAAAATTTGCCTACAAGAAAGACTTATACTATTCTCAATCTCCAAGATGGCTCCTTCCCAAACTCCGCAAATAGATGTTGAGTTCCGTACTGTCGACGGGGTTACCTTGCGAGGATTTTTCTATGCACCTGCTGGAGCTGTAAAGGTCCCGTGCATTATCATGACCCATGGGGTATTTCTCTCCTTCAATATTTCTGTCGTCAATGTTAACGCTAATTTGCTATTTTGTGTAGTTCTCTGGTCTCAAGGAGCAATTCCTCCCCGATTTTGCTGAGCGTTTCCGTGACGCGGGCTACGCAGTGCTCATCTATGACCACCGCAGCTGGGGGACCAGCGACGGTCTTCCACGCAACGAAACTGACCCTACAAGGCAAGCACTGGACTACGCTGATGCCTTGGATTATGTGGCTTCACTCCCGGAAGTGGAACCAACAGATATCGTGTTTTGGGGTAGCAGCATGGGCGGTGGAATCGGTATCCTTGCTGCAGCTTTCGACCAGCGTATTGCGGCAGTTATCGTGCAGGTTCCGTTTGTGTCTGGGGAGGCTATCAGCCCTTTCCTGCAGACTTATTTCCCTGCTATGTACGCCGACCGGAAAAGTATCAAATCTGGCCACCCTCCCGCAATGACCAAGGTCATTCCAGAGACAGCTGAGTCTGCTGAAAGAGGCGACTCGGGAGCCTTGATGGGCAAGCCTGATGTGGCTCCTTACTTGAAGGAACTGGCTCGTCGTGAGCAACCATGGGAACTTGAAGTGACTTTGCAATCCGTTTTCAACATTTCCACCTTCGAGCCGCGAGCATTCATCCATCGAATTTCGCCCACGCCGCTTCTAATGGTGATTGCAGAAAAGGACGCCACCGTGCCAACCTCCTCGCAACTTGAAGCTTTTGCTTCTGCCCGCGAACCGAAGAAATTGGCCGTTATAAGCAATTCGGAGCATTTTGATTTGTACTTCGGCAACGAATTTGAAGAGAACATGGCCGCGCAGCTGGATTTCCTTAGGACTGTGTTCTCGGATCGCCCCAGAAGCTGCTAGATGTTAGCAGACTGAGCGCTTTGTCTGATGTCCGTCTTTGTCAGTTGGACAACTTCGTTTCCTAGATTGTAGGGGTTTTATCCCCTGCCTTTCCATAGATCTAGAAACTCAGATTCTTGCTCCTTTTCTCTCTCTCGTTAGGTCTTCTTCTCCTTTGTCCTTGGTATCCACAATATGTATGTGCAACCCATAGAATAACAATGGCAGACATAGGTAGAAAGAGATAATACGATGGATGGCACTACTTGTCATCACCCAAGATATTTACTAAATTTAAATTTACTGGGTACCTCAATGGAAGTAGAACTATGATATTTTGCCCGGTGATATATTTTACAATGTGAACACACCTTCCATTTTGCTTAGATGCGCTTATCTGGTCCCTACTAGGAGGAAATTTGGATTTGAGGTAAGCTAACATGTAGTTTAGAGCTATTGCCAATTCTCCTTGCTAGAATTCAGAACCGCACCCTCTGGTCTGCACTTTCGACAGGAGCTAACCACGACGGCCTCTGTGGCGAATAAAACTCCGCATCAATTTTTTCATTTAGCTGTGACACATCCGACACCGTTCCCGCCTGAACGATCTTCATTCCTTGCAATCCGGCGTCCGTTGCTGTTTCCCACATCACAGTAGCGCACTCAGGGCAAAAGAAGATTGACAGTATAAATCCCCACTCATGCTGCATTGCGTATGACTTAGGCTGCCCTTTAGTGACAGAAAAATTGGCCTCGGGGACTCCAAGATTGAGGGTGTTCGTTCCTCCGGATATTTTACGACAAGGGCCGCAATGACAGAGTGCCTTGATGGTATTAGACAAGAAACATGCTTGGGAATACTAGGAGTTGACGTACTCTAACAGCGGGATTGCCTTCATATGAGTAGGCACATGCGCCACATAGACAGCCTCCAGTATTTACAGCCATTGTGCCAGAAGAACTTTGTTTTAAATGCAGGTTTTGATATTGTGAAGAGGGTAAGGGACGGTAGGTGGGTTAGGGGGATATAGCGTACTTATATGTATTGTCACACCGGGAGAGCCGGGGTGCAAACCGTAGCACGGAGTGTGGAAATAAATACAGAGTTTTGACCACTAAACCGAGATACCTGTATAGCCCAGTAGGGCCCTACCTGCCGTTCAACACTCCCTCTAAAAGAAAGGTTGAATCCTGAACGCTATAGAGCTTCGTACAATGCAACTCTGCAAAGCCCTGCTGTTACGGTTACTGGTGAAGGGAAGGAAGAGCGAGAAGAATCATTGCTATTAATCTCGCAAAGAGCAAGGTATTCGTCCGCAAGCAAATGATGTGGAGATGAGATCATCCAACACCTGCCTATCACGGTATTAGGCCTGAATCATACCGGTGACTTGGCTTGCATCCTGAAGAGGCTTGAGATAGGCCACACGTCTTTCTATGAATGCCTCCACGTCGATTTTTCCGCCCTCCAATTTCGCTGCGCCGTTGTCAAGTGAACCAGCCTTGATAGACATCATGTCTGGAAGTGAGTCAGGTTGACCATAGAGGGAAGATCCACAGTCCCCGCAGAAAAATGTATGGTATTCAAAACCCGAATCGGCCATATACTTGCCAGATTTCGGTGTACCTTTGGTAAAGTTAAACCACTTGACCAAATAATTGCATGGATAACGGGGATATTGCTTACCTGACAGGACCTTAAAAGAAGATCGTGGAATGATAAAATTGGTAGTGAATGCAGATCCGCTGAACTACATAGCACAATTAGTATTTCAGCTCCGAGGGGCAGTCGACTCACTATGCTTACCTTCTGGCAATTGAGACAATGGCAGACTGCCTTAACAGCAGGCTCAGCTGTAAATGATCAAAGAGGTTAGCCTTTACTAATGGTATCGAGACATTTTGCATACCATCAGCCTGGTACTTGATTTTACCACACATGCAGCTTCCGGTGAGGATCATTTTGGCTAGGAGTGACGATGTGCTAAGTATGATAATTATATTGATTCAATTATATCTGAGAGTGAGAAAAACCAATATATATGTTTATATATTGATGGTCGGTGGTCAATGTGGTGACATATGGGTGAGGCTTTCGGCGAATGAATCAAGTTCAGAGGCCGAAATCCGCCATGTGGCGGTTATGCCACAGGAGGGAGACTTCTCTTACTAGCATTTGGCTATAATAGAAGCTATTCGCATATTCACCCAGATGTTTACCGTATAGCAAGATATAGAATATCCAAGCGGATCGTGTAATTCTTGCTGTTTTTCCTTCCACCACTTTGATCTACTCTATATGATCTGTAACCTGCATAAACAAAGCGCGGAGAACGAGAAGTACATGCCCCAAATTACATAGATCGGTGATTAGCAATGAGCTGTTGATTAGAAATAAAATATTTCTCGTATAGTGAGTGATTTATAATTTGAAACAGAGGCCGACATCATGGCAGATTGTAAAATGTTGCATAGTTCTTCTCCCCATTTACCCGTTGGGCGGGAAGTCCTTTTCTCTCGTATGGCACTACGTGACTGCAATCGAAGATGATTGATTTCTAGAAAGGCCTCCGTATACAATGTAGCACCTAATAGGTCATGCTCTTCGAACTTACTGCATCTCTCTCACGTAGCCCTTAGTAGGATTGCAGGACTACCTGTTTGAATTGAGTGAAATATTCTTGATCGACTTGTAAAATAGTGTTCAATTCCTTTTTTCAGTTTTTTTTTTACAATATCTATGCCTAACTCATCCAAGTCAACTTCTACTCCAAGAGTTTAATTCCGTCTACATCTCTTCTAACTTCTATTGGCATCCATCTGCTTCAAGTCCGACAATTACTAAGTCCCATCTGCAAATCCACTCTTCAGCGCTGTCATCTTCGCACCCAAAACCATCTTTTCACATCATACCAAGACTCAAGAATCATTGATTCCTCTCAACTTCTGCTATAGCGCGATCCTGATCGGCGAGGACTTTTTGAACGGAGGGCCTTGTCTTCATTCTCTCGATCCACGCACCCACACGGGGGAACTTCTCGTAGATATCCTCGCCACCATAGCGAGGGGCCCATCGTTGCCAGGCAATGAATGACAGATCAGCGTATGTGCACTTGTCGCCAACCAACCAGTCTCGGGTCTTCAAGACCGATTCAAGCACTCCAGTAACCCTGTTGATCTCATTGACGTATCGATCAATGACACTTTGGATTTTCTCCGGGTGGGCTCGTTGGAACCACGAAGCCTGACCGTAGTATGGTGCCTGGCCTGAGACTTGGAAGAACAGCCATTGTTTCAACTGCCAATGCTCTGAGGAAGTGCTGTAGCTGATACGATGGTCTTTGTCGTATGTGTCGATGAGATATTCCACAATTGCTCCCGATTCCCAAATTTGGAGGCCAGTGTTGGGATCGTCGATGGTGGGGAGGCGGCCATTTGGGTTAAGCTTGACATAGGGCTCTTTTTTGACTTCGGAGAAGTTGACAAACTGGGTTTTGTATGGAATGTTCAGTTCTTCGAGGATGAGAGCCACCTTCCAGGGGTTTGGGCCGTATTGGTGCGAATACAGGGTAATTGGCTGCATTTTGAAAGAGAGGAGTTGTTTGAGACAAGACGGGAAACTCGGAAGCCTAGAGTTAAGAGAATCAAAGACATAGGAAAAGGTTACTCTACTTATATTTGAAAACAAATATATTGTGATTATAGATACCAATGCCGATATTGCCAAATGCCGTGAGTTTGATCTCGGCATCTGGTCTATTTACACATTAGTCCTGTCAGAGATTCTAGGTTCATTCACCGTCGTCAAGAATCTCATCAATCAATTCCACCACGGTCCTCATTATCACCATTGATTTCCATTGGCCACCTAATTCTGAAACGAATATGATATTGCGATATATGTTCGACTTCGGAGGTACTAAAATCTCTATCGCAGGGTACAACCGTAGCAGTGCTACTTTGGAGCATAAATGCTCAGCATATCTGTCCCCATCCCACACTCATATGTCCGAGCTGGCTTTGCATACAGCACCGTTTTGAACTGACCCATAACCTGGTGCTCGTTCCCGATTTCGGGTGCTATACCAATATTGGCAACTCCATCACCACCTCGCGCTAGCAGATCTCAGTGCACCCCCTGTAACCCCCAAGGGGGACCAGGAAGCTTTGGGTCCTTGTGTAACGGAAATTCACGACAAACCAGGTAGCCATCACACCGTAGAAGCTCCCAGATGCGCTTGGACCATTGATGGCGCATGTCAGGGTGCAGGGCGCAGAGGAACTGAGCAAAGTTAGTTTTTATTTATTTCAGACTCTCGACGACAGTCAGCTACTGACCGTATAATCATAAATTATATCAAACTGAACTCTGCCTTTGTTTGTTGCCAATCCGGCTTGAAGAAATCTCCTCGTAGGATTTAAGGTCTCCAGAAAGTAGCTACTGGTAACAGAGCGCAAAAGCCAAGTTAACAAGTGCAACTTACCGTTCTGCGAAATGGTCTGTAATCTAAGATGATCCATGTGCTTTCTGATTTCCAGGATGCGTCATTGTTGTGAAGTAAATAAAATCGGACTGGAAGACTATCTGGACTTTCTATCGATGATACAGCGAACCGCTTGCTATTTGTACTGTTGCGATACAAGTTTAAACCATAGGCTGACTTTTAGAAAACATTTGTTTATAATAATCCCAACCCCCCGGGGCTACTTCGGTCCGTTTCAGGTTCTAACTCCCCGAATGTGTCAGCAAGGAAGCGGGACCCGGGGGCCTGGGCACCCGGGGTACTCGGTAATTTATACTCTTACTGAAGGCAAAGTATGATTCATAGACTCTTATAAAATGCTCCCCTTGGTTCTCAAACGCTCTTCTACTGCTCCTATGGATAAAATGGGTTGGCTCTGGGTGGAGTAACATTATACTTAAATTGCAAACTTAGTTTCTCTTTCCTGCCATTTCGGTGATTGAAATTATTTGAAAGACACTCTCGCTCTACCAAACACCGACGGCAAATTTGAGGTAGCGCCAATGCAGCGCTATATGAGAGAAGCCGGCGTTTGGCTTTCAAATACAATATTCACAGACCGAAGCACAGTCGGTCTGACTAATTCCCCGTAGGTAGGTAGGTAAGCACCTAGGTATTACAGTGTCTGACGTCGTATGGCGCATGAATAGATATAAAAGCAGGAAGAATCCGGGCAGTAATTAGCATTCCTAATGAAACTAGAATCCTATCTAGTTGACCTTTCGACAATCCTTGAGGGTTATATATATTTCAAGGCAGCAATCAACAAACTCGACAATAATGGCCGCAACCAAGATGATGCAATGGTCTATCGACAAACCTGACAGTGAACTCAAGGGCATGAGTTACACTGAGGTACCAATCCCCCAGGTTGGTGAAAATGATGTCTTGGTGAAGTTCCAAGCAGCCGCTCTCAACTACCGTGATGTTGCTATCGGGAAGGTAATATCAGCCTCAAGAAATCTCATTCAAGATCCTCTAAATTGAATATTTCCTGATCTTTCCTAATCTATTGTTTGTAGGGTACCTTTCCTTTCCCTCACAAGTACCCCATCGTCCCCGGTTCCGATGGCGCTGGCGTGGTGGTCAAAATCGGCTCTCGAGTCACGGAATTCAAAGAAGGCGATGCGGTTTTGACAATTTTCAACCAAGGGCACCAGTATGGTGACATAAATCCTTATGCAGCGTCCACTGGTGTGGGTGGTACTATTGATGGTGTATTGCGCCAGTATGGTGTCTTCAGCGAGCTTGGTTTGGTGAAAGCTCCAAAGAATTTGACTGCTATCGAGAGTAGCACCCTACCCGGTGCGGCTCTTACTAGCTGGAATGCTCTCTACGGCCTCAAGCCTCTCAAACCTGGCCAGATCGTTTTGGTCCAGGGAACTGGAGGTGTCAGCGTCTTCGGGCTTCAGGTATGTCATACCGCCATTTCTAATTATTTTGTAACGGGGGATTGCCTTGGCCCGCACCGGAGAGCTGATAGCTAACACCATATTCTATGTGATAGATTGCTAAAGCAGCTGGCGCCGTTGTCATTGCTACAACATCTTCAGCGGAGAAGGCAGAGAAGCTGAAACAGCTCGGCGCCGACCACGTCATCAACTACAAAACCACCCCGAATTGGGGAGAGATCGTTCGCGATCTGACCCCTGAGAAACTTGGAGTGGACTATATTCTGGAAGTTGGAGGACTAGGTACCTTTGAGCAGAGTCTGAAGTGCATCAAGATGGACGGCATTATTACCGCTATTGGGTTCTTGGGTTCCAGTGACAGCCCTCAACCTGGTCTTATGGAAGCCTTGACCAATATCTGCACCGTTAGAGGTGTCTTCGTTGGCAGTCGTGCCATGCTCAAGGACCTGGTCCAGGCCGTCGAGGCGAACAATCTTCATCCTGTTATTGACGAGGTCAGCTTTAATCTTGATCAAACCAAGGAGGCATTTGAGTACTTGGTAAGTTATTTGAAACCCTTGCCGGGCTATCGCATTTATTCTAACGTTACTTTACACAGGGAGGCCAAAAGCATTTTGGAAAGGTTGTTGTTAAAATTGAGTGATTCTTACGCTTCTTGCAAATATTAGGTACAATAGAGCAGGTTGATATATAAGCTTCTAAGAATCTACTTCCCTTCCCGCAGGTAAAACTCCACATCTTCATCCTCATCATCCACAATCTCCGACAAAGGCTCGCCCTCAAACCAATTCACCGCAATCTGCGCCACCTCCGTGGCCCGCTCACGCACCCTAACCGGAAGGATTTCCCCCCGGTGATTCACCGCCAGGGCCAGCACCCAACCCTCCTCACAGGCCTTCCGATCTGCAACAAGAACCAGCGCCTTCTGGGTCCGATCACTATCCGCTAGCTCCTTAGCCCGCTCCTCCCCCTCAAAATACCGCCAGTCACTCTCTGACATTCCCTCAAACAGCTCAGGGCAGTGCATCAGCGCCGTAAGTAGATAACCCGGCACAGAACCTGGACGGCCTGTCGCAACACCTTCAATTATATCCTGGTTCCGCTGGGTATCTACTATTATTTCCTCCCGGTCCTCAAAGACGAACTCCTTGGGGATACAGAAAACGTGGTTATTCTCGCGGCCCTGCTGTAGGACTTCCTTCCGGAGTCGAGCGTACGCCGCGTCTGCGGCCTCTTGGCTTATTTTATCTATAGGATCGCCGAACCAGGTCCGGATCCATAGGACTGTCGAGAGTAGGCTACTGATTGCGCGGTCTTCTTCTGAGAGGAGGTCTTGCGGTACCCCCTCTGGAATATGATCGATGATTGGGTTATCGAACATAGCGAGGGCCCAGTGCTAGGAGTTTAGTCAGTGGGTGATCATTGAATAAATAGGTTAGTAGGTAGATAGATACGTTTCGCCCATATTTTCCTAGCGCGATCCATTTCTCGACAAGGATTCTTTTTTGCTTGTTTTTAGAGAGCGGGGATGTCGTGTCCCAGTTTGCCTAGGCAAATAGAGAGCTTAGGACTTGCTCTCGCAGATTAGGAACGGGGGTCGCTTACTACGACGAAATGATCGAATGGGAGATACCCGAATTCGGGGAGGTCGAGGCCTTCTCTCATTGTTGTTGGGAGTGAATGACGTCGCGGTAATTGATAGTTCGGTGTCTGAACGCGGAGCAGGACGGTAGGTGGAGAATTACCCCGAGTGGAGTCCCGATTAGCTACGGAACTATAAAGGCCATGAACCTCTCGACTCTTGAGGGATAAAAAAAACCTTTCTTTATTACACCTTGTCACTTGACTCACTAAAATGGTAATAATCCGTCTCATTTCTTCGGTTGTCATTGGTTAATATCAAATCAAGGCAACCGGCTTTCATCATACCATCACATCTGATAGTGATGCAAAATTCTTCGCCGAGAAAGATCGATATGTGCTTTACATTAGTTACATGTGCCCATTCGCGCACCGAGCGACAATAGTGAGATGTTTGAAAGGCCTAGAACCCTTCATACAGCTGGTTGTTCTCGACCCGGAGCTAGGCCCAGACGGGTGGTTCTTCTCTGGTCGGTTTGGAACGGCGGAATGTGATCCTTTATACGGATTCAAATACCTCAAAGATCTTTACCTAAAAGCCGATCCAAACTATGCCGGACGTTTTTCTGTGCCGGTATTATGGGACAAGAAGCACGAGACGATTGTGAACAACGAGAGCGCTGAACTGATGCGGGTATTTTATTCGGCTTTTGATCATATTCTTCCGTCTGAGTTACAGGAGCCCAATCTCCCAGGCGGTGGTCTCTATCCTAACCATCTTCGAAGTGAGATCGATGAGTGGAATGCGTTGATTCACTCCAACCTCAACGCTGGCGTGTATAATGTGGGGATGGCATCTAACCAGGATCAATACAACGAAAGTGTCGACAAAGTGTTCGCCACACTGGATCAGATTGAGCATCGATTGCAGTCCAATGGGCCGTATTTGTTTGGTGATTTCCTGACGGAGACAGATCTGCGACTTTACACGACAGTGTCCCGCTTTGATGTCGCTTACTACCCGATTTTCCGATGCAATCTCAAGATGATTCGCCTTGACTACCCTGCTATCGATATGTGGTATCGCTCATTGTATTACGACAAGCTGGGCCTGACGAGGAATGCGTTCAAAACAACCACCGACTTCTTTGCTGTAAGATCCCGACTTCGATGGCAATGGATTGAAGCTACAAACATGACCGCAGATAGCTAACTTTGCTTTTGTTTACCAGCATAAATTTGGGTATACCAAATTTTTTGCGAGCAAGATGGGTGGTAACGGGGATATTATTCCCGCGGGGCCTGCTCCTGCGATTCTACCTCTCGATAGGGCTAACGAGTAATTGAAATCTATCCAATTCTTGACGGTTTATATGCACCCAGTCACGGCGGAGGCGTTTGCTCTTCCAAGGCAGCGCGATGGCCTTGGTGGTCATTATCTGGGAAAAGAGGTTCAGTTAAACAAGCGGCTGAATATAAAGAGCAGAAGCTATGAAGAAAATGTATACCAAAGTGTGAGGGTTGTTAAGCAGGAAGTAACAGCACAAATCAAAAATAAGTCGAACAAATTGTGGTCCATTCTCGGGATTGGATAGGTTGATCAACTTTGCAGTAGGCCAATCATCATTTGTGGCATCCAAGGAATTGAACATCTTCTATTTTTGTTTTTAATATACAGATCTCACTAGAAATACGTATCACCATGCAAACCTTAGCTTTCTCACAACTCAGCCAAACTGAGGCTCCTGCTTGGCACCATCAACCGCAGTCAGGTAGGCAACACGCTTTGTAGCGAAGAACTCGATATCGACCTTATTGCGCAAGCTCGCCTCTCCGTTATCTAGAGTACCGGCCTTGATGACAGTTTTGTCGCCCATGACATCCAATTCCCCATAAAGACTTGATCCGCAGGTTCCACAGAAAAAATGTCTGTTGTTTTTGCCACTTGCACCTGCAATATCAAAATATTTAGGGGTTCCTATATAATTCAATATCAGCGAACATTATCCTAGAATTGGCCTGATCGTACATACCTTTAGTAACTTTGAAGGTGTCTCTTGGTACCACAACGTTGGAGGTAAATGCACTACCAGTCCACTATTAATAACATTGTTAGTGCTTCAATACAAGATATACAATGTTTGGATATTAACGTACCTTTTGGCAATCAACACAGTGACAGAGAGCCGTCAGAACAGGCTCAGCTGTATAGTCTGTAAGCATTTATATGGTATTAGGTAACCAAGACAGTCGGATAACTCACAGTCAGAGGTAAATGCGATAGCACCACACATGCAGCTTCCGTGAAGAGTCATGTTCACTGATCAGTTGATTTGTCGGACTACGGTTGATTGCTGTATGGGATGAGTTATAGGTCCAGGAAAAGCGACTCCCTGTGCTTTTATACAACGTATTTTCGGTCTGGAATGGTTAGTAATTGCTTTCCTGGTGCGCGATACCCGTATCCGGCCATTGCTTCAAACACCGAATCGGTGACGACATCATCGCATATGTACCAGCCATGGACTGTCAGTTACAGGAATATCATTTGGACCTATCATATTTGTTCGATCAAATGCCGAACCCGCGATCGCACTATTGATGTAGTTAACTGATGCATCAACTAGATCGTTAGCATGGTTTTAAATTTCACCCAGTCATTTCCCCTTGCTAGATTGGGTGCGGTTTGACAGGAAATACAGAAGACTATCACAGGGACCACGGCAATCCAATTCTGTCAAATTCAAATGTTCATTTTACATTGCATTGCAATCAGGCTCCCTAAAAACTAAGAGGAATGACAAATTTATTACGACTACTAGCTTTGCTAAGATACAATCGTGTATCTTCTCAATAAACGACTCTAGTAAGGTGAACAGGATGAATCAATTTCTCCTAGCCGATACTCTGCCTTCGTTTTACGCGAAGAGTTCACGAACATGATTGTGTACGGCTCTCATATCTGCCCCAGTGATCCTAGAAGTCTCCTTCCCATTTTCGAACATGATAAACGTGGGCATTGCATGCACGTTGTTTTTTCGCGAGACACTCCCCATGTGGTCAACATTCACCGTAAGGAATTTGCCCTTGGGATATTCTAGACTCAGTCGAGAGAACTCTGGGCTTATAGCCCGACAGGGTGGACACCAGTCTGCATAGAACTTGACAACACATGTCTCGTTCTCGACAATACTGTCAAATTGCAAGTCCCTAAAAGCAGGATGTGAGACAATTATCGGCAAAGTCACTGGAGATATATCCTTACGATTCGATCTCGATAGTATTTCCATGAAACATCTTTCTTGACTCAAGAAATATTCGAGGGGTTGGTGATGGGTATTCAAACGGTGTGTGTATGGTATATGAATTGGCGGATTATGAAGGTTGCTCAAGATCTTAAGGATTCAGTATAAGGAGATGAAGTAGTTTAGGAGCTGAGATAGATATCGATCAATGTATATATATATATATTTTATCCTCGGTGATTGCTCCCACTTCGGTGACTGCAAGTTCTTGACGAACTTTGTCTATTGACTAATTCCTTCCTGTCCTCAATGCTGACATGTCAAGTGGATAGACCCATGAGAAGGTGACCTGAGAGAGAGACGATATAGGGGATCTAAGAGGAAATGTAATAAAGTTGCCTAGCACGGAACATACGCGTATATCGCGGTATGATCTGCTTGGGGGAAATAGTTTATACGTGGGCGTCAACCTAGCCTATTTAAACTAAATCCAATTATGCATTGTGGATTCGTTTTATCTCTATTAAAACACTCAATGGTTTTAGCACAATTGTCTCCAGTTGACACTTGACACAACCGGGTCCGATATCAAGGGCGGTCGCGGATTCTGCCATCAATGCCATCAACAGATGAGCCTCTTTGGCTCTGCAACCCTTCAAGGGTTTGGTTCTTTTGACCGTTAAGAATCTTTGAATAACACGATGATCGTTCAATCAAATTAATTTATCTGGGGCGACTCTACCAGTCAATCGCTGAGCATTTCGGCCTTTCAAGATGGGTCAAACACCCGTCCTCGACCAATTCCTCGGCAGTTTGCAGGAATTGGTCCAGAACCGCGATGGCGCCAAAGTTCAGGACTTTCTTCAGCTCGAGCCACCGCTATCCGATATCTACCAGCGCATGATCACTGAACTACGACAGAACTATTCCCCTGGGCCCAAAACCGATGCCGAACTTCTTCAACGATGCGAGCCTCTTGTGCCGCGATCGAAGGGTGGCTCATGGACCGCATTTCCGACCTTCGTCAAGCTCTACTTGGTATTCCTACGCGATATGAACACCGATAACTTGTTGGAAACCTACAATCAACTGAAGGCGCTACTCAAGTAAGTTTTGCTGCTCCCACGGAATGATCCTGGATGCATTCTGTCCGCGGACGAGGATGCTATTTATATCTTTGAGCTTGAAAGCTGACTCAACCTTTTCATCAACTACAGTCAATGTGTGCTCGCTCTCGGAGATAGTCAAATGGGCGTGGTCGTCCTTCCTACAGTTCTCTACTTGTCCAAAGTTCTGGCAAAATTGGCAATGGGCCTCGATCGTCGACCGGACCTGATCGCGCATATTCGGCGGATGGAAGGTCTGGGAGCCCAGGACGAGAGCGTCGAGAAAGTGACTTTGGTGGAAAAATCGGCCAACGTGGTGCGCGAGGCTTTCATCAAGTGCCTCACTGATCGCACCGGCACTCCCCATGGTAAGCCCGAGGGCAAGCGCATCGGTATCTATCTCATGGCCAATCTCTGCCTGAAATTGCTGTTCCAGGTATGCTGGCTTATTTTTGACTCTACCCTCTTCCGGAGTTTGATGCTGACGGAACATAGTGCGGCAAACTACGGAACGCTGAGCAGATGTTTGCAAGCATCAGCGCCCAATCACCCCCCTTGGCCTTCTTCCCAGCCTCACAGCGTGTGACCTACCTCTACTACCTCGGGCGCTACCTTTTCGCCAACAACCTCTTTTTCCCAGCCCGTATCGCTTTGCAGGCTGCCTATGACCAATGTCACCGCCAGGCCATTAGCCAACGACGCTTGATCCTCTCATACCTCATTCCATGCAACATTATTTTGGGCCGATTCCCATCCCAGGAACTTCTTCAACGGCCAGAAGCACAAGGATTAGCAGAACATTTCCAGCCACTGTGTCGATTGATTGTCCGAGGAGATTACTTGGCTTTCCGACAACATCTCTTCTTTGGTTCGCCGACCGCGGAATGGTTTGCACGAAAAGGAATTCTGTTTACCCTCCGAAATCGATGCGAGATTCTTGTGTGGCGTTCTTTTGCACGCAAGGTTTTCATGTATGGAGGTTCCTGGGGAGGTCCACAGGCGCAGGCGCAAAAAGGACCCCCACCAGTCCTCAACCTTAAAAAGCTTGTTGTCGCTACACGATGGCTACAAGCACAGCACGCATCATCCGGAAGTGGTCAACTCTCTACCAACCTCTATGGGTCACAAGTCGTTTCTGAACCTATAGATCTCGACTACGCTCGCTTAGAAGGGGCCGATGGAAGAGCTAGTCCCGCTACCGATCAGGAGATACTAGAAAAATATGGTGATTTCTTGGCCCCGGATGGATTTTACACCGAAGGAGGGCAATCACAGCCCAATCAACCGGGTCAACTGGTCGATGGAGATCCGGAAGAAGATTATGACGATTACGAACTTGATCCATACGCGTACGACTTTGACGACAGGACAGAAGCAGACATCTCCATGATGCAAGAGATTGAATCGATTTTCGCATCGTTAATCACACAAGGGTTGATGGGCGGTTACCTACTCCATCGTGAGCCTCGATTCGCCGTCCCTGGTGCTAAAATCAAAGGCATTTTGCCTACAGGATTCCCCAATGTCTGGCAGACCATCTCTGCACGTGAAGGCCATGATTCCAGTGTTTCTGGTTGGGTGCAGCCTCGGGCACCTGCAGTACCTGGAGCAGCTGGAGGTGGAAGGGTAGTCAATCTTGCTGGAGCACGCCCAGTTGGGCTCGGATAAGCTTCAATTTACTATGCCGAATTTCTTTGTTCGTTTTTTCTTTCATGATACCGATATTGTAGTTCAAATCTGATCCCATTCAATTTTAGTCATCTTCGGGCTGCACCGGCCAGCATTCTCCCCGCATTCTCCTCATTCCCCTTGCATCTTGCATATATCTTGCTTTTAAATATTTCCATTTCTTTTTATCTATAATGGATCATACTGCAGCTGTACAAGATATCTCAGCACGGGTAGCCGATTTTCACAATCGCCAACAACCATTTCGTATATATCATGGTTCAACCAACAGCACTCGACCCTCCAACCGATCCCTCTCCAACACTGTCAGCACAGAACCCCTCACGCGCGTCATCGATATCGATATAAACAGATGTACAGCTATAGTCGAGCCTAATGTCTCCATGGGCGCACTGGTGGCTGCCACCAAAGCCCACGGTTTAGTCCCATTAGTGGTCGTCGAGTTCCCCAACATCTCAGTTGGCGGCGGATTCTCCGGGACATCAGGAGAAAGTAGCTCTTTCCGCGAAGGATTCTTCGATCATACCGTCAATTGGATTGAAATAGTCCTAGCAGATGGCCAAGTGGTGAAGGCCTACAACGACCGTGCCGGCCCGGAACACGCGGATAAGCGCTCGGACTTGTTCTGGGGAACAGCATCTTCCTTCGGGACCTTAGGCGTGGTCACGCTATTGGAAATTCGATTGAAAAAATCACAGCCATTGGTGGAATTGAAATACTATGTCGAATCCAACATGAAGGACGCAGTGCGTGTCTTTGAAGAGGCGAGCGCGGATCCAAGCATGGAATATCTGGACGGAATCGTCTATGCACGGGATAAGATCGTTGTTTGTGCTGGGAGACAAGTTGAACATAGTTCCGTTGTAAAGCCTCGATACTTTACTCGTCGACAGGATGATTGGTTTTATTTGCATGTTGAACGGATTGCGAATTCTAAGATTTCCGACCGGGATTCGAAGCCAGATGCAGTGGACTATATTCCTCTGACGGATTACCTGTTCCGTTACGATCGCGGTGGTTTCTGGGTTGCACGTTATGCTTATGACTACTTCTGTGTTCCGTTCACGTTTCTTACGCGCTGGATTCTCAACCGATTCATGCATACCAAGGTGATGTATCACGCTCTCCATGTCAGCGGGCTTGGGCGTCGATATATCATCCAAGATGTTGGTGTACCAGTATCAACTGCTGCCGAGTTCCTGGATTGGTTGGATCGCCCTGAAAATTTTGGTCAATATCCGATTTGGCTCTGTCCGCTACCACCAGGAAGCGCTGGTGGGTTGGAAGGACAGTCGGTAGATAGCAAGGGAGAAAATATAAATCCACAGAGATCACAACTCCTCAATTTTGGAGTCTGGGGACCTGCTGCTACCACTGATCCGGCCGGATTCGTTGCTCAAAATCGACAGCTTGAACATAAGGTTCACAGCCTTGGAGGAAAGAAATGGCTATATGCACATACTTACTATACAGAAGATGAGTTCTGGAACATCTACAACAAGCCCGCGTATGATTCTCTACGGGCCAAATATCATGCACAGCATCTTCCATCCCTTTATGAAAAGGTTCGAGTGGGTGAATCTGACCTCCCTGGTCCGCATCGGGGAGAGTTCGAGAGTGGGTGGAAAGGGTGGATCAAACGTGTCCTTTGGGACGTCTGGCCATTTTGTGGGCTCTACGGTGTTTACAGAGCTTGGAGAGGAGGAGACTATCTGTTGCAAAAAGAGTCCACCAAGAAGAAGGCCGATTGAATGGGATTGGAGTATATTCAGGGTATCGATGCAATCCGGCTACCCAAAAACGCCAGGCCATCTAGCGCATGTGCATGATGCAATATAGGAAAACAGCAAACATGATAGTTGGAGAGGGCAAGAAAACCCCAAAACAAAAACCGGTAGAAGAACCGGAATGAAAGAAAAAGATGGGAGTTAGACGGAGAAGTCTGTCTACTCTATGACAATGCGTCCTTCTAGTCGAGGAGAGATTCCCGAAGTCCAGGCCGGTGTGAATTCCCCTTCGCCGTCCATAGTATTCAAAGTTCTGCACTGCAAACCTGCGTGCCGCATCCACTTTCGGACAACCTTCCGTGCAATTTGTAGCCGATACTCCTCTTCAGCGGATGATTTCGCTGGCTGAGTAACGTAATTTGTGATTGGTCGCGAGGATGTGAGGATGTCTGGGTCGTCATCCGAGTCGGAGTCCATGGCATTGCCATTCATCTCGCTCTCGGCGATAGCGTCCGCAGACTTTTGGGCTTCTTCGGGAAATCGACCATAGTAGTATGCTGCGCGACCTGTCCGTCGCAGAGGAGGCTTGATGTTCAGCCTTTCGCCTGCCTTAGTCTCGTCTTTGGAAGACGCTGGCTTCAGCCATCCTTTACCGTGCAGATTGCGATGTACAGTACTCCAGTGTCGGCCTAAGCTGGCACTCCAGCGATTCCATTTCCCGAGTACTTTGAGACTTAGGAAATATTGTCGCAGAATTGTACTGATGAGCACACCATTTTCCTCAGACACTACCTCTTCAACATCGCCCCCTTCGGCCTGGATAAGCAATGACGAGAACCCATCTTTCCCTCGTGCCATATAACCGCGTGTTGCGAGAAGATACTCACGTTCTAAGTCAATAGGCTCCCCGCCAACACGAGCGAATGTAATGCGCGAGCCCGGCGGTGCGTCTAGCTTAAACCCGTACTTGATATTAGATACTTGCGAAAACCGGCCCTCAAGAGCAGGGAGCGTGCTAACGCCATTCTCAAGTGCCGCCAGCAATGCATGGCCACGAACCCGCACCAATACCACGGGGTCTTCGAAAGGGAAGCAGTTCAGCAAATCTTTCAGCTTCAGTATGCCTGGCGAATAAATTTGATCGCCACGAATTGTTCCGCCCGCCATCATGGCACAATCAGCCGAATAGTAGAAGCGCATCAGATCGCAGACAAAATTGCCCAAATTAGATTCACGCTGCCGCACGGTAGAGAACCGGCCATCGAGGGGGGTGACTGTAAATCCGACTGGCTTTTCTAATTTGGCGTTGAGGCTGGAAGTAAGCCGGGCCACCAATGCCACTGTATCCGGATCTTCGGGAATTGAGCGAACAATATCGCGTCGCATAATGTTGAAGTCCCAACCAGGCAAACCACCGGGTTTGCGGAAAGCCTCGATGTAGCTCAACTGTTTGAAGTCAGTGCCTGATCGCATCACGTGAATTCCATTAACAACGGCATGGGCATAATAGTGATCATGGCCTCCAAGAATGATGTCCACAAGATCGGGTGACAGGTTGTTAGCCAGTTTGTAGTCATTCGGTTCACGTTGGTGGGTGACGGCTACGACGAGGTCTGCTCCCTCATCTCGGAGCTGTTTCGCAAGCACCCGAGCCGTTTCAGATGCGGATTTGTAGATCAGATTAGGGGGAAGAGAGTTTATTGTGCCGAGCCTAAGAGAGATCCGAGTAAGCAAAGAACTAACAGCATCAAACAATGAATTCTAGGAGCGCATACCATTCTCTTTCCCCTAGGCCCAAAACACCAATTTTGAGCCCATTGGATGAGGTCAATATGCGAGTCTTACCGCAGTTAGCTATTGGAGTATCCTCTCCTAGTGCGGGGTCAAGGACGTTTCCTAAAAGCCAAGGGAAATGACATTGACTAGCCAAATGGCGGAATTGAGCTACTCCAAAGTCGAGGTCATGATTCTAGATACTTAGATTAGCGGTGTACATATGCCTGGCGGGAGCACCTGGCTGGAGCACCTGGTTGCCATACTCACACCCACGCACGCTACATCGGTTCCCACTGTGTTGAGAAATGGTACCATATGCCTGCCCTTTGTAATTGTACTTTCGATACTCGGGTTGAAAGCATCGCCGGAGAAGAAGGTTAAAACATCTGGCTGCCCGGCGAACTGGGGGTGAGAACGGTAGTGTTTCACAATGGATTGGAACCGAGATACGCCGCCGACTGGTTCCGCAGAGCCAGATCTATATTATATAATTAGTACCATCCAATTTGGAGTCTTTGCTACCAGAGAGAAGGGAGAGATATGCGCATACTCGACATGGTAGACATCATTATAGTGGATCAGCCGTAGATCTGGAGATCCAGTTCGATCAGAGGAATAAGTGACGGATAGACCGTCTGTTTCTATGTTTGACATGGGAGTCTCAACTTTGATATAAAGATCTAAGTGGAAGAAGGAAGAGGGGAAGAGGAGAACGAGGGGCAAGAGAGTGGCGAAGTGGAGAGATAAACATGAGGGGAACCAAGGAAGCCGCGGCGTTCCAGATTGATGCCTTGATGCCTTGATTGTGTCATCATAATATTGAAATATAAAAAAGCAAAGAAAGACGCCATGCAAGAGGTATCCTAAAATTTAAAATGATTTCACAGTTTTTGTTCTGCCACTGTCCATCGCCGCTTTCCAGCTTCACGATCCTCCAAGGACTGAGCACTCCCCCATAAACCACGTTGTGACTGTGTCCGTTGTGGAATCCAGCCACCTGCGGACTTATCAGACCCATCAGGGACTATTGAATCTTGACTGACCGGTCGATCACCGAAATTCGGCACAGAGTTGTCCTCTGAATCCGGATTATCAGTGGGCGAGGAGATCGAGTTCCATAGTCCAGGGACAACACGGGAAGTAGTTGAACTAGTTGATGGGCGCATCGCCAGTGTCCATGCCTGAGAGCTACTAATAGGTGGCCAGTTTGGGAATGTTTCTTGGAAGACCGATGGGCGAGAGCCAAGACGATTCCGATAGGGGGAGACTGGGGGTGGTGAGAGTACAGGGGGAACGGAGGGAGATAACAGCGAGGTAAGCTGGGAGGGGTTCGTTCCCGGGCGCAGATGGTCTGTTGACGCCACAAGCTGCAAGGAGTATTCCCGTGACACCGATTGGTTCTCTGGGCCCGGAAATTTAGGCGTGTGATCCCTGTCATGTGTGGGTTTATTGACACGGTTGCGTCGCACAGCCATAGTGAGTGAAGCTGTGTTAATATCCAGTAAGACAGAGTGCCCATTCAACGAACTGATCAAAGCATTGCAATCCGCGCCATGTGTGATAATAACGAGGACCGTTTGTGCACTACCATTTGCCTCACCGTTCAAATCCGCTTTAGGGCCGTCTTCAGATAGATCCTGCTCCCGGTACCAGTTAATCATGTGCTGAAATCCATCATGCACCCGTTCATGCATGGTACTCCATTCCTCGCCGAATTCCCCCCCTGTGCCCCAATAAGGCGTGCGCATACTGTCCCACTGGTAGTCGATCCTCGTACATGCATTCCGTGCATGAGCAACATAACCTATCGGAATGGGATCCGAGCTGGAAACGGCATATCCGGGAGTTGGTGGTACGTAATATGCATCTAGAGTAGGCGGCAGGTTTGTTTCCAGTCGACCGAGAGTTTTCTTTGCATGTTTAGATTGGATAGGGTTCTGGAGAGTGTCGTGGGTGCTGGCACGCTGGCGCTGGGATGACGCAGAATGCAAACCGCGGTCTTCATCAATTGGTGAAGTAGGATTTGACTGGCTGCGCCAACCACCAGGGAAGTGGCCTGATAACGCCCTTGTCAAACCATCGGTGGGTGGGATGACCTCGGCACGACGGAGTAATTCCCCTTTGGCAGACGCCACCATTCTATCCGAGCCCGGCGGTGGTGTGATCTCATCGAAGTAGTCAGGTGATAGCCATTCGCCCAGAAATGCGTCGACGCGAAGCAGGCATCGCTGGTCAGGCTGTGATGAAGCTGCGGGGACAGTGGGAGCGGAACTAGCATCGGATGCTTCTGTGGCCGAGGTTTCTTGGTTGATACCAGCACTAACGCCTATTGCAGTTTGCAGGCATCGAAGATAAGGGGATGTATGGACAATGACGTTATATCGACGGTGGGACAGGTCCGAGGATGCGGGGGTGGGTTCTGCCTGTTTATCCGAGGTGGGATGATGGCTGTGCTGACTCTCTGGATCTTCCCCGGTGAATTGTCGGGACTTTAGGAGACTTCCTATACGTACACCAAGTGCCCGAGCCTGCATCCATCCACCGTAGGAAAGAGGTGGGTCGAAGGGGGTTGGAGAGGTTAGGTGCCAATCTTTGTCTGCAGCATCGAGGCGGGCGCCATGTCTAGAAGGCTAGTGAGCAGCGGAAGCAGTGCAATAGAAGTAAATACTGACCTGGCAATGAACACAATAGGTGGTGATTTTTTCATCGAGATCAAAGTGTCCTTTCACCCCACGTCACTTTTTTTTTCGCGGGGAAAATGCAGGCGCTAATACCGTTTTTACGGCTTGTCGAGGATGGCAATCGGAATGGAAACACAGAAAAAGTTCAGCAATAAGCCATATAGCTGGTCAACCAGGTACCGCGACAAACATATTGGGTCTTAATGAAAAGAGGATGCAAAGAAAGGTGAAAAGAGTCAAAGTTGAAAGAAGCAGCTTGATCCTGGGACAGGTTCCCCGGGCGGCATGTGATGCTTACTAAAACAAAACAACCACCCACGTGGTATGCCCCGGCGGGGGCCTTTAGGCTCACAATAAAAAGAGTACAACGTATGTTGTTATAGCATTATTAGCATATAAGGGACAATATTTAAATGTATCAATTTGATGTATGTTGGAGTATTGGAAGACCTGATTTGGTTTCAACATTCGCGTTATATATCTTTGTCTGCAGGTATAGATCAACGCGCTTCCAGGTAATGATTTAGCCTAATAGGAAACTGCACAAACTATTTAACCACATAACGTAGAGTAAGCCCTAAATTTGGGTGCCTCATATCAAAGTTGTAAAATCTTTTTGATAAGTCCGATTCTGGGTGGGGTATGGTGTCCAACAGAATATGTCGGTCTGGGGATTCCACTTTGGTAGCTGAGATATAAATGTACATTGGTTTTTGTCTCGGTTTGTTCCCCACAATTTTTGTCTCTTTTGTACCGTGAATATGATTTTATAGCTATGGCGCACAATACACCGGCCGTATAGGAGCACGATATCAATCTAGAAAGTTATACACGCGATATACAGCCAGAGGACGTTGCACTAGGAACGTGGGGCGCCCCAGAGCCGAGGCACTGGTGCGCAGAGAACCGAATACCTCGTTAGGTTCATCGGTTGAGACCAAGCCGATGACCAGTGGATCCACACAACCGAGCTCGGCTACGCAGACCACTTCGCCTACCACGACCAAACGCGGGGCGAGCAGACTTCATAGACAAGCAACGAAATATATGTCGTTTGTACACTGCACCAGATAACCCTACGCCCTTACCAAGTCCGTCAAAAAAGCACGGCGCTAAAGTGTGGCTTAAGGAACTCGTCAACACCCAAGAAACGGAATTCGCATGCGCGCCTGGAGACCTCGAGGCTTACGACACAATCATGAACAAGCCGGTCAAGGACGCTGAAAAACGCCCCCTTAGGAATATCAGAAAACAACGAGACTTTGAAACGACTCGAAACGTTTCACTCTCAAAAGGGAACTACCGAAATTACTTTGAAGACTGCCTTTGTCAGTGTGGTGGGCATGGCACAATTCATGACCTAGTATGGTCATTACTCCAGTCCCTAGAAACACGTTTGCCATCTGCGTCTGCTGGTTCTGTGTCTGGTCAAATCATATATTCTTTGATTGCTACCGGGCACTTTAAGGGCTTGGTGAGGCGATATATTTCCCAATGCGATTGCAATTTTTGGAAGAGCATATCGGCCGAGCCTGCTTAAAGAAATGATAAACAGTTTATTTAGGGGTACAGTATAAATGCTAGGAACCGTTAGGCATTAGGTCCTCTAGGATAATTCAAATTTATTACTTTTATTGGTTATTTATCTCCCGTTTCTAGGAAGACGCAAGCATAAACTTCCTAGGGATCTTCATAAACTGGCATGTCAATCAAGGAATGTGAGAGGTGGCAGGTGGAATGTGGATACATGCCACTACGAAGTAAGCATAAGAAGATATGCTTCACGCATTCCATTGACGTCAGACCCTTGGATGCAGACGTCAAAATAATAGAGAGGTATGTAGTACATATACAGTGAAGCTTCTTAACTGACTCAGGCTTGCAATTGACTGTCTCCCCACCACCGCTATATCCTCTGACATTTTATCTTCCTTTGGTTTTGTCTACTGAGATTAAAACTGGAAGTTAATTACAACAGTGGGATTCCAGAGATCGAGTTCATTTAAGGCGATTCAGCTCTGTGTAGCTTCTTAGTCTCCATCCGGTCGAATTATTCCATCCGCCTCAGCCCATTCTTGTGAAAGTGATCTCCAGCGCTAGCTTGAATTTGTATTTCAAATTTAATAATCCTCTTAACTATCATGCGTCTGCAATTTATCTATACGCTGTTATTCGGAACCGCGATTGCTATCCCCTATGGCGGTCAGGAAGTAAGTCTTTATAATCCAAGGTTATATTCAATATTGATCCCACTGACTGTTTCTCTTTTAGTATCGACAGGTATGACCATTAATCGAAAATTTCATTTTAAAATCTAACATGTCTTTTAGGATATGAAGCAGCCTACAACTTTGACCACGCCTATACCCATGTCCGCATTTGCACCAATAAAAAGAGCGATTGAAATTGCCCGTACGCCTTCTCGGATGGATGCGCAGAAGAGGATGTTGCCGTATGAATATGAGTTCCTTTGAAACTTTTTAGCGAATATAGGCTTATATGAATTGAACTAGATTTTGAATGGCAGGCCTGTATATACCTCTCTAGGGCTGGTGTTAGTATGGAGTAATCCTCGATCATAGGGAACCTGATTTCCAATATAGAACAACAAACAACAATATTTCCCGGCTCATCCCCGGGACTGAGACCTTTCCCTTTCTGTTTAAGTGCTCACCCCTTGGCGCGTTTTGGCCGAGTAAAACCGAGCACGTCCCTTAATACCCTGATTTCTAAGCTCCGGAGATGATGGGCCAATCAACGTGATTTGCTAACTGAGTGCTCAATGTGGGGAGCACTGACTATACGAGTTAAACGCCCAATCGTGCTCTAGAGAGTATGCGCTAGCGATAGCGTAGTATGCAACCGAGCAACAATGTCAATATGTACACTTGATGTGGATACATTTGAAGGACCCCGGGAACGCGGGATGAGATTAAAATGAGGGGCCAAAAAGTTAAAAGTTATGAAGAGTGAAGAGTGGCTAAGAAGTGGCGAACCAGTAGTTTTGATTTTAATCTGTATTGGTAAATATCGTATTTGAACTCGGTCTTTACGTATGGTGTGCAGACTATAAATACGGAGTTGATAAAGTTAATGGATGTCTCAATTGTTTACTGAATTATAATCTTCATAACGTGACAATAATACTGCTAGTTTAATGAAGAAGGAGTGCATTCTATACAATGAAGCTGAGAAAGCAGTACGTACATAGATCCCAGTAACCCACGTGAGGGAATAACCTTTTTCCTAAAGAAGACTAGTTTGGAAAAGAAAGCAAATGTGATAATGCATGTGATGGTAGATGACCAATACTCTATAGACCTACTTGCTCTAGAATAGTACCTCAAATGGACCTGCAGTAAAGCATGTTAGGTAGTAGATTGGACGGAGAAGCGAAGTATACAGTGGGTATCAGTGGGTAATGGTGGGGCCCATGTGGTGCACGGGCTTGGCATAGATAGATTTTGATGAAGTTTATCGAACCTTGGAACAAAACTAAGCTTATATCTAGTACATCCATGTAGAATAGGCAACAATTTATGCTACTGAGTTGCAATTTTACGTCTACATTACACATTTCAGTAGGCATACCATAGGTCTATAGTTGTGGACGTCTAAATATTTTCTTGTCAGACGCTGGGGGTATGAAAATGCACGGACCTCCAGGGCTACGCTTTAGTAAAATGAATCTTTCTAGTCCTGCAGGACTTCGTACTTAACCCTGTACACCACTTGGATTTACTTTATTCGACGTTAGTTTTGCCGCCAATTATTACCCCTTAATGAATGAATTAATTTCATTCATGAATCTATCATTCAATTGGGCTATTTTCGTTTGAATTGGTGTTCCTGCCCTATGGATTGGAAATTTGGACGGAGATTCTATACCATTATTTAGGTTGTGCCTCATAGAAATATCAGTGCAGCTTGCAGTACATCTAATCAATCCAAATTCATCAGCATTGCAACACGCCAGTGGCAAATACGAGAGAGGGGATGGGCGCCTTCCCGTAGGACTTGCGCCATCCGGCTAGCCTCTCTGTTAGTATTGTAATCTTCATCAATTATGCAAATCTAGCAGAATCATCCTTCTATGATTCTTGCTCCTCACCTGGCCATGGAATCGACCCCAGCTACTTCCCTCCCAGCCCGTCCCAAGCTGCGGGACAGCTGCAACGCCTGTTCGGCCTCCAAGGTGAAATGCAACAGGGACAAGCCGACTTGCGCGCGGTGTGCGAAACGGGGTATGACCTGCGAGTATCTAGTGACTAGATGCGCAGGACGCAAGCACGACAAAACTCGGCCCCGTAGCAGCACCGGGTCCAGCAACTCACCTCAGCATCCTCCCCTACGCACCCCCGAATGGTCTCTGTCAGAGACTCCCATCGCGACATCGAGTGATTTCTCTCAACTGCACTCCTATTCCGACTCAGACCAGTTGGCCGGCTTGACAGTGGATTTTGACACCTTCCTGGGCTCTCCCTGCTCTTTCCCTCTCCTCGATCCCCCCGACAATCTATTAGCCTTGTCCAATCAATCCGCCCAGGGAAGCGCCGATAAGAGCTATCTCGATGCTCCTTTTATTTTCGAGGAAGAATTTCCTTCCCTCACAAATAACTCTATACCAGCCGCCCCCAACCCAGCGGATTCAACCGCCATAACCAGCCCCGATAACTCATCTTGTAGCTGTCTTATCAAAGCCCTCGACCTATTTCGCCAATTACTCCCCCCAGATTCCGCAACCTGCATACGAACACACACTCGAGACCGGGGCCTTACGACGGAATGCGTCGTGGCAACCAATGCAAAGACCGTCGACGCCATAACGCATATGCTGCACTGTCTATGCGCTCATGACGGCTTCTTACTAGTAATGGTGTTCATGGCCGCATTTAAAGTCATGAACTGGTATGCAGCCGCTGCCAGAGGACTGAGCCCGGACACGCAAAGGGACGCTGTGTCTGCGGGATCACTCACTGAAGATCCTGGTCGTCTGACGGCGCAATCGGTGCTTAGTGAGCTGCACCGTGTGCAAAAACTTGTGAATGCACTCTCTGCGAAGTTAAAACGCTACCAATCGGATGATAGCACGGGGGACCGGCCGTTCTCGTCGACGGTGCTGCATCAGCTGGAGCTGGACCTGAGACAGCGGCTGAGGGCGTTATCTTTGGAGATTGTTGACATTCTGCGCAGGTAACCTCTTTGTCTAGAATTGTCTACTCCTCGCTAGAGATAGGGTAATTCACCTAATTCATGTCTTTTGCAATTAGTAAATGAATTATGGCTTTTTTCAGTGACCCTTACATCTTGCGATTTGATAACTACAGGTATTCTTGCAGAACTATATTAGGAATGGAAGACATGTCATGATGCAAAAGGTTATACTTAGAAATGTCGTGCACAAATCCTTTTTCCGCCTTTTGCTGTCGACCTATAAAACTAGCATATCTAAGTAGAATGATATCCGAGAAGGCTATTAAATAGACCACTAAAAAGACCATTGAAAAGATACTGTTGTGGCATTACATGCTGGGTGGCTAGGTTATCATGGCTCAGTATAGCTATTTAGGTAGCTTCCTGTTTGCCTGTAGAACGGAACCTTCTTCTCCACTCTGCTCTTAGTATGAGATACCACAAGCTGGGCGGCTATCCGCCAAAGTTCCTTTCAGACTTCCGACCAGCAGCTAGGTATCTGGACTTCCATTAACGTGAGCAGATACTTTCTGTGGGCGGATGTGCTGGCGACATAGCAGCCTCGGCAAGCCAAGCCAAGCCGCTGCAATTCTACAAGCAGAAAAGGGGAAACCATTTTGGAGGACTGCGGGAAGATACCTCACGCGTACTATGCTCTTGGCTCTCGTTGAGGAGATGGGCCATGAGTATACATTTGTCATGGACGGGGCTACAGGGGTTAGGGCCGATGATGACAAGCTACTACTAGGCCTACTTTTGAAAAGCCACCTGGGAATAAATGAAATTACCGATCAGTACTGTAAGCATGATATCGAACCTCCAACAATACACCCGCCATGTGAGGGGTGCCCATCCGCCGTACAACCCCTAGACGGCCAGTACCATCCCCGATGCTGTTGACGATCTGAATCAGCTCTGCCATCTCCATCGCCCGCTCATTGGCGAGCTGTAGAAGCGACAGGTCGTGCAACCGAGCTACGAGCTCGCCAGTTGACTCCGCCGTGGAGCCGTGGTCATATATCAAGCGAGGCACGAGCATTAAGATCGCCGGACGTCGGGACGCCCGCGCTACAGGTAGGTGGGCGCGGAGCTCAGATGCCATCTGATCGAGGATTGTCAAAACAGGGAGTGTGGGTGAGGGAGATGGCAGTCCTATAACGTAGACATCCGCATCGTGGACATTCTGTAAGGTGCCCTGAGTTCGATTCTGGAGTGTTATGCGTGGACAGACTCTATCGGGTCCTACGTCGCCGTCGGTCTGGACGATGAGGCGGAGGAGGTTCGGAAATTGATTTGCCAGACTACGAATGGCTGGAATCGCGTATGTTCCGGACTAATACCTGTCAGCCTTTATTTGTAGATTTTTATCTTCTAGACCACAGTAGAGAGATATATAGATGGAGAGAGAGAGATAATGATACCGTCACCACAGTCGCACCTCCTAATCCCGCCCAGTCAAATTGATCAAGCGGCTCTAATGCATTAACATCCGTGTGGCCTAGCCCGTACTGCAGGTAGGCAGACGATTGCCGCTGGACCTTGGGCTGCTGTGCTGACGCCGTAGTCATTAATAAAGAGGCGGAGACGGGGTCCCGACTGGTAGCGGGCATCTGTAGGGCAGCCGGGGCGGCCATCTCGGCGAGAAACATGGCTGCATCAAGGTATGACGGTCGTGTCACAAAGTGAGCTGACAGAGTACTATGCGCGACATGGCCTGGTTCCGGCTCGTGCAGGAATCCCGTCGTCGCTACCATGCGGACCACCCGACGCAGATGTGACTCCGGAATCCCGGCTAGTTCGGCCACATCTTCGAAGGGGACACTGTGGGAGAGAGGGATACAGGCTAAGACTTGGAACTCGCCAAGCCAGTGAATACAGGCGAGATATTGATTCTGTTGAATATGTTAGAATTCGAAACATGGGTGGATTGAAAAGAGATAAATAGAAAAAGAAGCCAACCTGCGTCGCTAGCTGCTGGATAAAGGCCCCCGGTTCGTTGAGGAGGATTTGAATCTGGGTCAGATTAGAGAGAATTAGCTGTCGCGACTGTTGTATTTCTGTTCGCGCTTTTGTAAAGAGGGAGGCTTGGGTATGGAAAAGGCGATAGTAGGAGGTTAGGGCTTGGGCTGCATTGGAGAGTTGACTGGCGTATCCCTCGAGTTTTTCCATTTTATTTTACTCTTTCATTCGGCGATTTTAAGTGTAGATATATTATACGTGAGGGGAAATTCTGAATACAATGTTTTTTTTGGCGTCGACTAGTCTACGCCGGAGAGCGACATTGACCCCGACAACTTGTCGGATTCCGGGGGTGGTGGCGGCTCGTACTTTATAAAAGAAGAAATCCCTTTGGCGATCACGTCGAGGATGTAAGGGAATCTTACCATCCTCTCCAAATTCAAATTGGAAGTAAAAGTGCAATGGCAAAAATAGCCGAAATCGACGCTGGCCCTCTGGTCAATGATCATCCCTCGGTCTTTTGGCACATCGAACAGGGGCTACGTCGGGGCCCGCACGCCCCGGCTGTGGTATGCATTCACCAACCTTGGGATCAGCTTATTGATATCGTCCCCATTGGAGAGAATACCGATCAGACCCTGTGTCTCACACTCTCATATCACCAATTACATGAAGCGGCACTTGCGCTGGCAGCTGGTCTTCAGGCCCGGGGTATTCGGCCCGGTACCCGCATTCTCACGCTAATCCCCAATGGTGCGGAGTATGCTATTCTCCTCTGGGCGTGTGCGCTGCTCCATTTACCATTCTCATCACTGGATGTGTCCCTCTTAGACGACCAAACCCAAATACCGATCCTGAATGACCTCCAACCGGGTATCATCGTCACGCCAGATGGACACGGAGCAGAGATCATAAATGCGTGGATTCAACCACCACCCCTCCACATCTCCCTGAGTGCAAGCAGCGGAACCGACAATTATTGCGATTCGTTTTCGCAGCTCGTCACACAGGGCCAAAATGCCCCCCTAGACGAGACCAGTCTCCTCAACATGGCCCGACAGCACGATCCAGACCGCATCCACTCAATCCTCTTCACATCCGGCACCTCTGGCCGACCGAAAGGCTGCCCACAGCGTGTTGCCGCCATGACACACGTGCTCGAGCATCTCTCATGGCTCATTACGCCGGAAAACGCGACATCCGTGCTGCAGCAAGCGCACAACTCGCGCGCCATTGCTCCCGCTCATACTTTGCAGACCTGGCGACAGGGTGGAACCGTCATAATGGCCGAGCAGAGCTTCGCTGTCGCGGATACCCTAACAGCGCTGCGGAACCACGCTGTGACATTTCTCGTTCTCTCGCCCGCTATGGTGCATGCCCTGGCCGGCGAGTTGGACGGCCAGTCGACAATAACCGACTCCGTCCGCACCGTGCATCTTGGTGGCGACGCCATCACACATGATGTGCTCCGAACTTGTGCGAGTCTGTTCCCAGAAGCCCGTGTCTGCATCAGCCATGGTATGACAGAAGGTCTGGGATTTTTCGAGTGGCCATTCAATAAAGATACGGAGGAAATTCCGCTGTTCGGCGAGATCTGTCCGACGGGGGCTGTGGCGGTGGGAACGCGATTGCGGATTTGGGACGCAGATCGACGGACTGTCGCTTCACGGAGTCAGCCTGGTGAGTTGCAGGTCCAATGTGATAGTGTCATCCGCGAGTATCTCTTAGGTGGTGGGGATGACGTATTTTATTCCGGGGACGATGGACGATGGTTCGTCACGGGTGATGTGGCTGTCATGGATGTTTCCGGGCTGGTCTTTATCCTGGGCCGGGTCAAAGATGCCATCCAGAGGGGAGGGAAGACCATTATGCCGGCAGCAGTGGAGAGCTGCCTGGAGAAATACACGGGGGGTCAGGTAAGAAAAGAATGTACGTTTGATCGATATATTATCTGATGATTTTGTAGGCTGCTGTTGTCGCATATCCTACTATCGACCCCAAACCGATTGCCGTGGTTAGTGACTTGACGGGCAAGACCGAAGACCAGATACGCTCTCATGTTGTGGATATCTTGGGTCAGGGCTACTCGCTGGATCGAATCCTGTCGCTGCAGCAGGTTGGGCTTTCAAAATTTCCAGTCAATGCCACTCACAAGGTGGTCCGCTCTGAGGTGCAGCGGGCTGTTGCGGAGCATCTCTCATTTTCCTGAAGGTCTTTGGACTTGATCGAGCGTACACGGAGAACAGGTAGGAATGCAAGTTGAGTTACTATCCTCAGAGAACTCCACCAAGACGTACATATCTGGTTGGTTTCTAGAGGGAATTTCCTAGAATATGTGTATCAAAGGCTATACATAGAAAGGTCGTTTGCAGGAAGCCTTTTCCTGCCTCGACCTATCTAACAGAATGATATCTGAAAAGATGACTGAAATGACTTCAAAATTCCGCTGATGCGTACGACAATTCTTATTGCGCAATAAATAAGAAGTGAAGAGAATGAGGTAGTGCTGCATGATCAGCATGTCAGCTCCTCCAAGGATTCAACCTTGGATGGACTACCAACTAGCATATTTTACGCGTTGAATCCTGGGAGACAAACGATATACCTTATTGGTCACGATTGAATTTACATGTCAATTTCATCCAACTCAAAAGCAAAGGGACTCAAAATCAATTATAATACTCCTCCAACCACGCTCGCAAATCCCCTACTGTGGGATACTCCAAAAACAGACTCCCGCTGACAGTGATACCTAGCTCGTCGCGGAATTTCTCTGAGATCACCAAACTCATCAGACTGTCGACACCCAAACTGGCAAAGTGTGCGTCGTCCGCCAGATCTGAAAGCTCGAGGGCCCCCTCTTTGGCGATAAGGGCGATCGCCTTGGCCGTGGTGCTGTCGGAGTCTGTCTGGGGCATGTTGGTGGGCGCTGGCACCGGCACTGCGGTTACTGTAGCTGCCACTGGAACTGTAGTCACCGTGGGCACAACTGGAGCTGTAGGTACTGGCGGTAGTGCCGTGCCTCCAGCAACCAAACCACCACCAGACACCGCAGGCTTGACAGACTTGGCCACGTTTGGTGCAGATGTCGGTGTAGCACCGGCATCTGGAGCCGAAAAGAAACGATTGAGCAGGATACGTGGGTACCGTCGGAACTTGATACCCCCAACCATGCCGAGAATGAAGCCCCCCTGAAGTATATAAACATCGCCTAGATATACCGACGGATCCTCCGGTGTCGGAATCATCTTGGTATACGAGCGGTAAGAACCACCCGCCACAAGCGGACTCGCAAATCTCATACTCTTCCAGCCAGGAGTGACACAGAAGTTGTTCTTGGTGTCGATCGCATCTGATACGTTCATAATGAATCCCGCCAGATGAGCGACGCTATCAATGAAGAACGGCGGCACAGTCCATGTCCCATGATCATTCTGTGCTAACACTACATCGGCATAGGCTTCTAGCTCGTGCAGCACCACCGACTTCATCCCCCGGTATTGCGGCGCATAATCCACTAGATTGTGAGCGAATAGCTGGTATGCCATGTTATGCGAGAACCGCGTCGCCTGGCCAGTATCTGCTAGACGGCCTAGTTCCACGATCCGACTCTGAATCAGGTGCGCTAGGGGCGCCCATGACATCTTCCACACGCCTGGGTCCTCGTATAGAAGTGTCGCGCTAGCAAATGCCTCGCTGGTGTCCCCGCGGCTGAGGTTGTACCAGTGGAGATTGACAACGCCCGAGTTGATATCGGGTGTGCCTGCGGACACGCGGATGCGCTGCGGTTTACTGCGGTCCTTCTGCGCGACAAGCCCTTGGAGCACTTCGAGGTTTGAAATGTTCATGTGGTTGTTTTTTAGATCGGGCCGCATCTTTTGCAGAAGGTAACGGCCGAGGGTGTACGCAATATCAGCGTGAATAGACTGCTCTTCTGTCAGCCTATCTTCTTGTCAAAAAAAGGGAAATGAAAATAATACATACCGATGTAACAACCCCACAGTCATTCATACGATGGCCATTAGCCGCCTCCAGGAACTCTGTCTGCATCAGGTCCGACTCCATGATGATCTGTCCAGTTATTCCCTGGATAGTTTCCTCGACGATTTGTTGTACTGCCGACGTGAGGGAGCTGCTGGGAACAGGAGAAGGTTCCTTTTTCTCTTCTTCGTAAAACGTATTCCCCTTGGTGAGAGCCCAATTCCCATTATACTGGATCCAGTAATTCTTCTGATTCCAACTATACGCAGGCAAATCCAGCAAACACAGAGCGCGCTCAAACGGACGATGGAATTCACTCCATCCGACTGGGACACCGGCATTGTGCAGCGTTGACAGACTCTGCGCCATGGTACACCAAGCGTTCTCACCGCGACGCAGCGACGGCGCCGCCGCACAAGGACTATCGAGGGTTGCCTTGACAAACCCAAGACACACCGGATGAGGTCCAATCTCAACCCAGACGGTTGTATCGTCGATGAGACCCATATCATGGGCACAATTCAGCGCTGAACGGAAGTTGACAGGCTCACGCGTGGCCCGCCGGACGTACGACGCATTAAAGGTCTTCTCGTCACAGATGACACGGCCTAGCAGGGGCGACACGACTGGCAAAGTTGGTGTCTGGAAGAGCACGCCGCTCGCCGCCAGGGCCTCAAAGTCGTCGAGGATTGGATCCGTCTGGGATGAATGGAACGCGAAAGCGACGTCTAGATTCAGACATCGGAGACCCTTGGACTGGAGTTGCGCCGAGACAGCGTCCATCTCCGCCTGAGTTCCGCTGAGAACTGTATCGGTGGATCCGTTGATACAGGCGACTTCGTAGGATGTGTTGGCATATTCGGCAATGGTCTCCAGGGACGCTCGCACTGCAACCATGCGATGGCTACCCATAGCACATTTCTTCTCCAGGAGGCGTGCGCGCGAACCCACCAAAAATATGGCGTCACTAGCTGAAAGCACACCGGCAACGTGCAACGCAGCGTACTCGCCTAAACTGTGTCCGATAACTAGGCTTGGGGTGATTCCGAGCGTTGCCCAGTAAGCGGAGAGCGCCATCTCGGTGGCAACGAGGGCTAGCTGTGTGACGACGGGTGAGTGTGCGTGGTCCTTGTCGTGACTCCCGTCGATGGCTGGAATGAATGATGGGAATCCCTGGCGCTGGGATAGAGTGTCCAAGTGCTGGATCTGGGCCCGATAGGGCGGGCAGTCGTGGTACAGCTCGACATGCATCGACTTGTAAGAGGCGCCTTGGCCTGTGAAGGCAAAAGCAATGGACGGAGACCCAGTCGTGGACATGGCTTTGTGGGTGTCAACCGACGCCAGAGAGGAAGTCAGCTGCTTCCTGAGTTGAGCCAGGTCTGAGCTTACAACGGCTAAACGGTGGTTGTGGTGCTGTCGACGGGCAGTGGTTGTGTACGAGAGGTCAGCCAAGGACACATCTAGGTGTGTGTCTAGGTACGCGAGGAGATTCTCGATGTTTCCTCGAAGGGAAGCCTTGCTCTTCGCCGAGATAGCGATAGGATGTACCGAACGGGGGTCACACCCTGATCTAGTACGGATGGGAGCATCCTCAATGGCGACAGTGGTGTTGCCGCCTGCGGCGCTGAAGTTGTTTACAACAGCGATACGTCGTCTTTGAGGGAGACGAGGCCATGGCTGCGCCTCGAAGGGGATGCGCAGCTGGCGGGTGTCGAGGTCCTTGGGGAATCCCGGGTTAAGAGAGTTCTTGATCCCGATATGTTTGGGAATGGTATTCTTTTGCATCATCATCAGCACTTTGATTAGAGCTGTCACGCCCGCCACCGCCTCTCCGTGTCCGACGTTGGATTTGACCGCCCCGATATGCAGCGGCTGCTTAGTAGTGCGTCGCCGTATAGCCGGGGCGAACACCTCACTAATAGATGCGATCTCAACAAGATCGCCAGCTTGCGTGCCGGTGCCATGCATTTCAACATAGCTTACGTCTAGCGGATCGACACCGGCACGGCTCATCACCTGGCGGTACAGGTAGGCTTGGGCGCCAGCATGGGGATGTGTGATGGAGACAGCCTCGGCCGAATGGTTGGTGGCTGCCGCGAGAATGACGCCGAGAATGTTGTCATTGTCAGCCTCGGCATCTTCTAACCGCTTCATAACGATGGACCCAATACCATCAGCGCGGCAGTAACCATCGGCTTCGGCATCCCATGTCTTGCAGGCATTGGGCGTTTTTGTCAGGAAGTGGCCGTGGCTGAGGCCAGCAAAAGCGTCCGAGTTTGTTAACACGTTCATCCCTCCGGCGACGACTGTGTCGGTTTCACCATTCCACAGCGACGTACAGGCGGTCTAAAATGTCAGTTAAGGAAGATTTACATACAAAAATGGTACATACCTGAATGGTCGCTAGACTCGACGAACACGCGGTGTCGATGCTGAAGCTTGGCCCAGAGAATTTGAAGAAATAATTGATACGACCCGGTCCGAAAGCCCGACACCCCCCAGGGATGAAATATGTGCTGATTTCTTGCGCTGTATTTACTTCGCGGTAGTCGTCACTGGCCTGACCGTAAAAAGTGCCAATGCGATGCAAGTTGGTAGCCGCCGTGCGGTTGGCGACGTAACCTGCCTGTTCCAGCGCCTCATAGGCAGTTACTAGGGCCAGACGCTGCATGGGATCAGTCTGCTGGGCCTCGCGAGGTGACATGTTGAAAAAGGCCGCATCGAACAGGCCCGGTTCGTCAATGAAGCAGCCGTAAGGTGTATGGCTAGCATTGACGCGCTTGCCTGCCGGGTCATAGTGCGTTTCAACGTCGAATCGATCCGCGGGAATCTTCCTGTGGACGTCCATGCCAGAGGCTAGTAAGTCCCAGAACTTTTCTGTGTCTGTGGCACCTCCTGGCATGCGACAAGACATGCCGACGATGGCAATCTTCGACTGGGCGGGGCCTCGAGGTGTATACGGAATCATCGAGGGCTGAGTTGTCCATGCAATGACGTCCTCCGTCGATGTCTCCAGTTTGGCTGCTATCAGGCCATTGACCAGGTCGCGGGCGGCGAGGGACATACGGAACACAAAGACCCGACAGTCCAATGCGGCGAGGTTATCGGCCTCGTGTACTAGTCCCTGGATTACCTTGTCCCAGAGAATTGGCTGTGTAAGAATTTCCGAGACGATCTCTTTGAATAGTTCTTCCGCCGTCGCTGCGACGTAGGGCTTTGTTGCGCTAGTCGAGAATACAGGAAGGAAGGGACGAGCCATGGAAGACATTGTGTCCGTTTGCACGACTCGGGCCACGTCCTCAGTCTTGTAAATGTGTTTTGCATGACACAGGCCACTATAGACAGGAAGGGCAACAAACTTGCGATCCCGGAAAAAGTCAGCGGTACGAAAGAGAGCTTTCAGTCTCGCTGGTGGGCCGCTAATAGTGACCGAGGTGGCATTGAGGGCGCTAATGAAGATTTTGCTTGCTTCGGGAGTTGACTGCTGGGCGTGGATTGTATCCAATTCTTCTTGGACCTCAGAGACTGCCACGTCTGGAAGAACATATGCCCAGCTGTCTGGGGAGCCGGTGCCTCGGGGCTGCAATGTGTGTGAGACCTCGCCCACGAGGACCCCGAGACGAAACGCCAGTCGAACTGCCTGAGCACCGCTGGAAGGAATGTCGGTCACAGTTGGGGCACATGCTATAGCCCCCGTCACCATGAGGCCGATGCCCAGCCCAGCTAAATATGTCCTGATGGTGGTATGGTCAAACTCGTGGGGTGTATTCTCGTAGTAACTGCAAGACTATGATTAGAGACAGTCTGAGGGAGATGAGTTCCATTGACATACCCGATGAGCGAGGACAACTGGACTACACAAAGGAGCACACCGTCAATGGATCCAGCTAGAGGCCCTTTACGCAAATCGGTATAGTTGGCCAATTCAAGGACCGTTTCAAACGCCGGAACCAAAGCCCGTAATTGGGTGGGCAGCTGGCGCACCTCGTCTCTGACGGCTAAGGTGGCCTCGTGGATAAAACGAGCAACAATAGCATGTTGTGCATTTTTGCTGAGGTTGTGGAGTCGTCGGAGCAGTTTCTGCAAGTCATCCGCAGGGAACTCGTTGCTAAAGTACAAAATCTTCATTGGACGGACCTCCCTCGAGTTTGGGGTAAGGACATCCATGGTGGGAAGGGAATCCCAACTACTTGAGCGGGAATCCAGGACGGAAGATCATCCACGAAGGGGCAGGAGATGCGCGAACAGGATAACAGAATAGAAAGGTCTTGAGAGTTGGAGAGAGTAGGTTGAGAACGAGAGCAATAGCTCATATGTAGGAGATTTGCTACGGCTATCTCGAATGAGTGTAACGTATCCCGACCCCGGGCATTACAGATAATGGATCATGGATGGCCTCGGCAATAATCCATAGGATTCATTCGGAATGCGAGAGATTCGGGGTAGAGAGAGGTGGTCGGGTCAGCACTGATGTTGTATCGGGCTTTGGAGTAGACAATATCATTCCTTTTGACATGTTTGACTCTTTCTCGGTTCAAGCTATTCAACAAAAAATTATGGGTGAAGGTGGTTATCGTCAGATTAACAAGGCCCTGAATATCGGTGCCTTTGAACACTATCTCGTCACGCAGCACGCCCGTCTCCCCGACCTGGCCAATGTGGAACAACTCAGTCCTCGCGTGATACGAGTCCTGGGACAGAACCCTGGAAAAGTATGTCTAAGAGTACTAAATGGCTATAGGAGAAGAGGCTAATAATCTTAGTTCACCCTACAAGGAACCAACACCTATATCATAGGGACAGGCTCGCACCGACTGATCATCGACACGGGCCAGGGCATCCCAGAATGGGCTGATCTCATTGCATCGACCCTGACGGATAACTCCATCTATCTGTCCCATATTTTTCTCACCCACTGGCATGGTGACCATACGGGTGGTGTTCCAGATCTCATTCGGCTTTACCCAGAGCTGTCGCAGTGTGTATACAAGAACACGCCTGGCCGAAACCAACAACCTATTGAAGATGGCCAGCGATTTACAGTGGAAGGTGCCACGATCCGTGCAGTTCATACCCAGGGACACTCCCATGATCATATGTGTTTTGTACTCGAGGAGGAAAATGCCATGTTTACGGGAGACAACATTCTGGGCCATGGGAGCAGCGCCGTGGAGGAACTCGGCGTATACATGACATCCTTGGATAAAATGCAGGCCCAGGGATGTACTATTGGCTACCCCGCTCACGGTATTGTCATCACCGATCTCCCGGCCAAGATTACAGTGGAGCTGGCGCAGAAGAAAAGACGGGAAGCCCAGGTCCTGCGGACGCTAACCGAGAGCCGACGACAATACGGACGGAAGATAGCCAGTATGACGGTCAAAGAGTTGGTCACTAATATGTACGGAGAGGGCATTGCCGATGAGGTAAAGCAGCAGGCACTAGAGCCATTCATGGACGAAGTTTTGAGGAAGTTGGCCGAGGATGGCCAGGTAGCCTTTGAGCTTCGAGGCGGCGAGAAGAAATGGTTTGCCATTGGTATTTAGTTGTCGAAGACAATGTCATTTATGTTCTTGTTTTCCTTTCCTATTTCTACTACATAGGATAAATCTGGATTGATGAAGGAACTAGAAGTTGTTGTATATTCTGCCTATTGCATCCCAATTAGGGTTGAAACATGATTCAACCAGATATAGGAGGAATATACCTCTTTAGCTGCAGTGCCTATCCCGACATCCCCCTTTGTATGATCGAGAGACAGCCCTCGGATTTAGGTAGACATAGCCGAGGAATGTAGTAGAGTCGGATTCCGCTTAGAAAGATCTCCGAATCGCAATCTTTTAAAGACCAGCGTTAACAATGCCTCCTCAAGTAACCAAATCACCAAAATGGCCACACAAGATAGCTCCCTCGAGAATCCAGCTTTGGGTCCTACCCAAAAGCTCCTCTGCCTCACAATCTGTGGTTACCGAAAACCCGGAATGAGTGAAGAAGACTACCGGCACCATATGACCAAAATCTCGGCGCCCATGACCAAAGACCTGATGGCCAAATATGGAATCGTGCGCTGGACACAGGTGAGCTCGGGAATTGCTTACAGGCCTCGGACACCGGCTAATTCCACAGATCCACAACACCAGCGCCACCCGTGCCCTGATGGGGGAGATCTTCGACCCCCAATTTGCCAATGTGGTTGGCTATTTAGCCAGGCAGTGTTTAGGGATATTGAGGACTACAAGCGTATGAAGCAGGATCCCTGGTACAAAGAGCATTTGATCGGGGATCATGAGAACTTTGCCGATACCAAAAGAAGCCAGTAGGTTAATTTTTCCGAATGAATGAGTCCTGACTAACAATTGAAGGATGACTATTGGGTGGGTGGAGGAGTTCGTCAGGGATGGGAAGGCTGTTTAGTCCGATTTTGATATATAAGTTATGTTTTCACGTTCACATTTACATGTAAACGGCTCAGATAATCACCAAGTAACGATATCCTTTCGATGTTAGTTATTCAATCTCGTTATACACCATGGTATTCGATGTCCATCCTGTCATCGGGGCTGAAGCCCTCGCTGTGATCACAGGATCTTTCCTCGCAGGCACGTAGCATAATTCATGGATTTCAATTATGCTCACTAATGGAGACTAGGCGCAATGATGAATATTTCTCTTCTGACTATTCCGGTTCTCCTCGATACAACCCCAGAACCAACACACCTGATCGATCAGTGGGTTCGAGTGTACCACTACGGTCATCGCGTCCTACCCGCGCTATCGGTAGCCACCGGTCTCCTCTACGCCTGGACGGTGGCACAGAAGAGAAAGTCAGGCCATCCATGGCGCATCTTTGCACTAGCAGGTGTGACTACTATGAGCATGTTGCCCTTTACCTGGACCGTGATGCTGCCGACCAACAGTACGCTCTTCGCCACCCAGATCGCGAACCATGCAGGACAAGTCGTGGCTTTTGATGCCGCTGTAGATCTTGTCAACAAGTGGACTGTACCACACACTTCAAGGGCTCTGCTACCATTGACAGGGGCGATTATGGGCTGGGTCGGGACATTGCGGCAGTTGAACTGATTTCATCGGACTTGACAATTATAAGCCCGTGTAGTCCGGAGTTTCTTCTTGTACTCAGTATTTACTAAGATACTGTCAGAATAAACCATTATCATTCATTAATCCGAGTTCAAACAAGCCTCAGTCGTTACGAAGTGGAGAGCTCGAGTTCAATGATGTCGGAATCCGATACCCTAACCGTCGGGACCCGATGATTTCCCTCTTGCAGCTCAACCAACCAAATTGCCATATTTTAAACGTCGGAGATTAGCTAGTCATCTAGTCATCATAGTGCTTGACTGAGGGGGAGAAGTGAGAATTATTTTCCCGAGCCTACCCCGGACTCCGTTCGGCATGGGATACGCAAGACCATCGCGAATGAAGAGCACCATGATGCTCTACAAAGCCACGAGTAATCCATGCACCTTAAAGTCTTACTCCAATAGATGAACGAAGATATGGCGTCTACTTATGCCATCCTCGGAGCGACAGGAAACTGCGGCAGTTCCCTCATCCAGATTCTCCTTCAGAACCCGAATGCCTCAATCCACGCCTACTGCCGCAACAAGGCAAAACTAGAGAAGAAACTCCCAAACGAGGTCAAAGACCCTCGAGTTCAGGTCTTTGCAGGCCCAATCAGTGATGAAAGATTATTGGCCGACTGCATCCGCGGGTGCAAGGCTATTTTCCTCGTCGTCACAATGAACGACAATCTACCCGGCTGTCGAGTAGCCGAGGACACAGCCCGTGGAGTTGTTTCTGTGCTGAAGAATATGGACCCCAAACCCATGCCCAAGATTGTAGTTCTCTCGTCCGCCACTATCGATCCACACTTGTCACGCAACATGCCGTGGTGGTTCCATCCTATCATGATCCGCGCTGGATCTTACGTTTACGACGACCTACGTGTGCAGGAAAAGTTCTTGCGTGAGCAGGAGGACTGGCTGACTACAATCTATATCAAGCCTGGTGGTTTGGCAATCGATCAGCCTCGGGGGTATCGGCTCGACTTTGACAGGGAGACATCTTTTATCGCGTACATTGATCTGGCTGCGGCTATGGTCGAGGCTGTTGAGGATGTTGATGGTCGATATGATTTCAGGAATGTCAGTGTCGTTAACACCGGACGAAGTGCTGCTTTTCCGTCAGGAACGCCCTTGTGTATCCTGTGTGGTCTATTAAGCCATTACTTTCCTTGGCTACATGCTTATTTGCCTAAGTCGGGATCGTAATGGTGCGCAGAAAAGAGGCTTGACAACCAGCAGCCCTTCTCCTTGCTCCATTTTTGGATTACTTCATTTACCTCTCGCCCTCTTTAATATATATTATAGTGTGGAGACCACGTATTCAGCATATTAAGTATACTATCTGAGAAGACCACCGAGAAGACATTACGGGGCCACTCAGGCGACCTAGTATTGTTGCATAATGAATAAAGCGTTAATATAGGCAATATCCTATGTAGTTGTGCCCCTGCTTGAGTAGTCGGTGCATGCACTGGTAAGAGGGAAGTATCTCAGCGCTTAAAGGGCCGTACGCTTTCCATCGAGACCTAGACTTCAAGCTGTTTAAATCCCCCGGACAGAAGACTAATGGCATCTATCTATCCCTTAATGCGCAGAAGCCGTTTAAAGTTCCAATTAGTTGCAGCTGAGCTATTCAACCCCTTCCACTCCCCTCCCAAAGCCCGTCCACCCATTGAAATCTTGAACAAATAGAACAGCACTCGCCAGATACTGACCACTCTTCCATCCCCAAGTTTCCTCAGCAACCTTCAAAGCCCTCAAAACCTTCAGACGATGCGAATCATACCCAAAATCCCCAGAAAACGCCTGGGCCTTCACAAAGTCCCAATCCTTCTCACTCTCCACGACCGACGGCAACTTCAGATGAGAAGTATCCGGCCTCAACTGGGCAATATACAGATACAACACAAACATCCAATATTGCCGGATCACAGGAGTCACCCACTCCGACGGAAAGTGAGGCAGAAGCAGACGGACAGCATGTCCCACGGTCAACATGTGTGCAAAATAAAAATCATATTGATGTTCCGGACTTGGGGTCGAGATGGTCAGTAAGACCGCCAGATCTAGAATTTCCTCCAGTTGGCGGTCCGGATCGCTGACCTCCCACGCCTGCCAGTATTCCAAGAGAGCGGGTTCGGCTGCGCCGAAGATGGCGAAGATGTTGGCGTAGCCAGGAAGATCGAACAGATTATCGAAGCGGGGGTCGGCATGGACTTTCGTTAAGATCTCCCTGAGGGAGAAATTCACAACCGATGATGGCAGGTCCATAAATCTGAATGTATAGTCCCGCTCTGTGCAGGCGAGACTGAGTGCTTCAGTTGCTACCTGAGGACATTGGAGTTCGTAGGCGTAGGCGAGATGGATCAAAGGATGACCCACTAATTTGTTAGTTTATTCTTTCTTTGAGAGGAGAGTACTAACAGCCACCGATAAATCCATTAATTAATGGATTGGATGAGTCAAAGAGATATTGATTCACCACTGATTTCCAGTCTCCATTCGCCTGGGAGACTTCTTGGTCGAAAAACTCGGTGAAAGAGTTGGTATAGCTAAGAGCTAGATTAGTTGCGACTGGGAATGTTGAAGATTACAAAATACCTCTTGTTATTTATCAAGTCCTGCCAATTCTCACGAGTAACACCCTCCCGGATAAAAAGATCGTTCTCTGTTTTTTTCTCGTAGTTTAGTCCCACCGTTTCAGTCTGATACATCTCCTTCATCTGGTCAACAGAGGCCCCAAGACAGTAGGCGGATCCCAATTTCTATTTGATTAGCCGAAAATACCGGAAGGAATATACATTGTCTTACATGGGGAACATGACTGTGAAAGAGGAGTTTTGGCCCAAGCAGCAGGGCGACCTCTCTGTGACCTTGCTGGAGCAAAGCATAGAGGGTCTTGGAACGCTCATCAGATTCGGTTGGGATATTGTAGGACGGTACAGGAGAGAGATTCGACGATGCCATTGTGTGAAAATTTGATTCGCATCAATCTATTGACATCACCGGAGGGAATACATAATTAATCTTATGTATCTGGTCCAGATATAGCGATTCCCTAAAGAATGAATAATACGATTACCGGAGCCCGACATCGAACGCCGAGATTCGGAAGATTCGATAGGTATACACTTAATAGGCCTCCACACTGATCATTGAACGATATCGGATCCCGATATATCTGTCATAGAGATTGTACCGTGCAGTGTAAATAATGAGAATCATCGATGTCTATCTGCTAGGCGAATATCTCCCGCAGCGCGATGCGCTAGCGCATACACCGATGCCTCCGGATGACAAGTTGGCGGATATGGGAAGGTGCTGGAGTCGACAACGCGTATGCCCTTCAAGCCCTTCAGTCTCCAGTTCTTGTCCAGAGACTTACCAATAGGAACTGTACCGGCCGGATGGTGAAACGAATATGATTGCTTTTGGATGGCGGACCAGACATCCTGATCAGACGTGACATTCGGACCAGGATACCACTCTCTGACCACAACCGATTTGAGGGGATCAGAGGCCATGATTTCGCGCAATTTTTTGTAGGCCCAAAGCATAACGGCCCGGTCAGCCGGGGTACCGTAGTAATTGGAGTTGATGATTGGGTGGTCGTGGTAGTCGGAGGAGTTGAGTGTCAAGGTCCCGGCGGCCTCGGGTTGAACTAGACTCGCCCACGCTGTGACGGTACTGATGTTGGGGGTGGCTGGGTGGAAGGGCACAGTACTATATTCCATCAGAACGTGGGGACGGTCCGCAGGTAGGGAGGTATAGTGGGAGCCATTGATGCCATCGAAGACGGAGTCTGGCGCGCGGAAGGTGGCGAAAAGCAGTCCGTTGCATAGGGCCAGGGGACCAGAGGCATTTTCCTCGTACTGTTTCTCTGCCAGGGCGCTTTCTGTGGCATTTACAGCCCATTGCCAGACGGTCATGATGTCATTCGTGACTTCGACCTGGACGGTTGCGAACGGGTGGTCATACAGCTGGGCCCCAACAGAAGGGATGTCTGCCACGAGGGGTATGTCAAACTTGGAAAGCTCTGCGGCGGGTCCGACGCCAGAGAGTTTCAATATTTTGGGTGTGTTGATTGCTCCGCCGCTGACGATGATCTCCTTTGCAGGGAGCACGTGGACCTCGTTGGACACGGTATCAAGGTAGGTGACGTTGATGGCCTTTTTGCCGGCAAATCCGATGCGCTGCACCCATGCATTGGGGATCATTTGCACATTGGGTCTAGTTTCTAAATGAAGACCGAAGGTATTTCGTGCATAGGAGCGCGTGCGATTAGACACGCGAATTGATTGCAGCCCTTTGGTCATACCCAGTCCAGTTCCGTCGGTTAGATCAACCTCATGTACGCCGAGGGAGCTTTCTAGTGCCTGCGCGAAGGGTTCGTCGAAGCCCGTGCCTGTCGGGACTCGGCTAACTTCTAGTGGTCCTTTGCCGTAAGTAGATGTGTTGACAAACTGGGGATAGTCGGCTGGTTGATCGGTATAATGGGTTGTGGCCTTGAAATCCTCTAGCAGCGAGTTCCATGCCAGCCCCGGATTGCCTGACAGTTGGGCCCATTCATCAAAGAGAGAGGCAGAACCTCTACAGTACGCCATGCCATTGACCGCTGTGCCCCCTCCGAAGACCCGGCCCTGGTTGAGGCCTGGTGCCTGACCGTCGAGGTTGGGGTCGGGCTGAGATGAATACTCCCAGAAAGATCCAGAGATCATGGGATAGTATGCAGGAGCTGGAATCACATTAGCTGTAACTCTTTAGTACTTTTTCGACCTGAAACCCACTGTTTATCTTGTCATCGTTGATGCCATCGTGTCCGGCCTCTAGTAGAACTACCTGCGTCTTCGGGTTTTGCGAGAGCTCGTCGGCCAGGACAAAGCCAGCGGGCCCTGCGCCGACAATAACATAGTCTGGACGAGGCCGAGCTGCGGCTGGTAGTACCGCGATGATGGTGAGCAATGCTTGGAAGAAAAGGGCCTTCGGCATTTTTTTATTGTTTTTGGATACTGGATTGCCATTCTTGTGTCTGGGTTATATACAATGAGACACGAATTTAGGAGCTACACATCAGATAGGGTTAGTTCCACGTGAATGCAGGAACAATCAAGATCTAGAACTCCGGGAAACATTTTGAAGCACTCGGTATCCGATGGTGTCATCCATTGCGCTCGGGGCTCGTATAGGTGGGAGATTCCCCGACCTCGCTATTCACTTTAGAATACGAGTGAACATGACACCGAAACATTGGAGTAAGTGATGGTAAATTAATGGCCTGACCATGTCTATTCCCATGTTTATATTCGTTCATCCACCAAATATACGCTGATTCATGGCTTGGCCAATCATTTCCTCTCTTCTTTCCCCGCAACGGCCATCTAGATCTGAGGGGACGGGCCTATTCTCGACAAATTGGGTCGCTTCTATTACTTGTTCTTACTGTAGCCCCATTTTTTTCCTATAAATATATGGAAATGGCCAATAGTTTAGTTAGATAAGGTACGCCTTTGAATTTGCTCAGCTAATACCCCCGACACAAGTATCTAACTAACCAGCACCCTGGAGTGAGCGTAGGTGCCCGCGGGCTTGTAGACCTGACCATTTTCTGCTATGTAGAAAAATTCAAAATTCTGAATATATACAGGCCCAAATCAAATCCCCGAATCCTCCTGTGTCGTATTATTCGGAATATTGTGGTTATTATACCAGTCCGTCCACTCGTTACAACGATCCTCCAACTCGGGCAAAACCCCAGCCTTCTGCATCATGGGCTTTATCCGACTGGGCTGTTCAAGGAACTGGAGTCCGAGTCCGGCACTAGCATGCCAAGCAATATGGCAATGCATCAGCCAGGCACCAGGGTTATTGATTTGGAAAGCAATCCAGAGATACCCCCCAATGGGACAGTTGGCAACATCTCTCCTGGCGGGGTTATCCAGATTGGGAACCAAGTCCTCGGGGAAGGGTCCCTCACCCTGAGCCAGAATGACATAGTCATGACCGTGTAAGTGGATAGGATGAACCGACCGAGGGATGGTTCGTTCCGTGGCAGCATCGCTTAATGTGTAGTTATTCAGGATGAGGAAGTACACCCAGTCCCCAGTCTCAAAGTCTAGCGTGATGGGTGTGGTGTCAGGTGGAAATTCAGAGTCCTCGTCCAAGGTGAGTTTCTTGACACTGGGATCGGTCCAGTCGAGGTAGATGCTCCGGTTGGTTAGTAGCCAGGTGTGGATGCGAGAGTTGGGGTCCGACACGTTAGGCCACGCCTGCAATCCAATGCGCAGATAGTCCGGTGTATCGAAGCTGTTCACGTTCTGGCCCACATGCCTCTTCACAATAGGAACGAGACTCTCTGGTGGGGGATCTTGACAACCAAATCCGTAGTGCTGCTCGCTAACAGGAGGGGTATAGGGATCGCTGGTATCCTGAGCATCGTATCGGATGATTCCGAGTCGGGACTCCCATGTGTCGATGTCACAGTAGTTGGCGTGCATCCAGAAGTTCGTCCCGTTGGTAAAATCGGCATCCGCTTCGATCAGAATCTCATAGCGTTGTCCTGATATTGGTCAGCTTTAAACTTGGATATAGCGCCTACATAACATACCGATGCCAACAATCAAAACATCCGTCTCATACGGTTCGATGGGCACAAAGTCATTTTGGATGACGGTGAATTTATGCCCATCGATCCAAAACTTGTACGTGAGGAGACTTCCCGCATTCACCAGACCAAGTTTGTATGTGGTTCCTTTTTTGAAGACGATCTCGTGTCGTTCCCGCTTTCCAGTGCATCGGGGGTCCGTGGAAGGATCGCAATCAAAGACACCTTTTCCATTCATAACATCACTCGATGGCATGGGGGCGTGTGGTGTCAGGATCTCGATAGGATACAGTCCGAAAGCATCGGCATGGTACCAATCGCTCATAAGAATCGGGCCCAGATCGACATCGTAGTCCATACTACTTGGTCCGTTGATTTTTAGCGCCCCTGTTTGCTTTATTATTTACTGTTCATCATGTAGCAAATAGTGCCTTACCATAGACCCCATTTGTGTCTAGAAAATTAGTCAACAACCTGGTAGAGGAAATGGTAAATTGTCTCTTACACTGGATACTGAAGTGGGAATGATACCAAGAGGTCCCGTATTGCATAGCCCTGAACTCGTAGACTTGTGACGACCCTGGCTAAAAGAGAGTCAGCACTTTGATCAGTTGCAATTGTGAGGACTCACCTTGCTTGGACATTGAGTCACACCTGGAACGCCATCCAACCAATTTGTCATGGATTGGCGGATTCCGTGCCAGTGCATGGCGGTGCCATTATCGTTGGTCAAGTTGTTATGCACCGTGATCCCTAGCCCATGTTTAGCTCCATACAGCAAAAGATATCAATCTACTTACGCAGAGTATCACCCCAATTGGCCTCAATGGTTGGTCCCGGGTATTGTCCTATGAGAGTTAGCAACTGATAACTATAAAGAAAAGCTAACATACCATTGACTACCATTCCATCAGTCAGGTATCCATCCGGAGCGATGACTTGGTTGGATACGGTAAGCTCGTACTGTAGAAGTCTAAATGAGGATTATGGTCATGAGAGGAAATAGAGGCATTACTTCAACTAGTTTACCAGGGGGGATTTTCTTTTCATAGTCGGTATGAATATCGAACCCAGGGATCCAGCAATCTCTCGAGTGTCGTGAATGAACACATTTCTTGGGATTTGGCCGCGCTGAGACGGTCCACAGGAAGATCACCAGAGTTAGTAGTTGCCGTATGAACATAATAAAGTGACCTGTTGGTATCAATGTCCTATACTAAAAGCCTATTAGATCCAATAGACTATATAAGAGAAGATATCCAGGGCTCGGGATCCGATTCGACTCATCGCCGTTCATGATAGTTTCAGTGAGAGAAGATGCGTAGGGCTCGGGTTCCGGCTTTGTTTGAACACCGTTCTCAACATTCTCCAGGGCCCCTTTCGGAAACCTTAAAAGGTATAAGATGCAAACATCTAGCCTAGACGGTCATTAGAATATCTCTAGAAAAGAAACAGTCACCTCCAGTAAGCTTCTTCCATCTAGCCATGTCACACACATCGACTCGGCTCGAGACGCCCTTCACCACCGCCGCCCTAGGCAGCGATGTGTCGTTCTGGAAATCCTACATTGCCTCACGTCCCACCCCATCAGAAGATTTCTTTCGTCTCATCAATAAATACCATGCAAACCACGGTGATGGTCGCATGGAAGTGGCACACGATGTGGGCACAGGACCAGGAAATATCGCAGCCAGACTGGCGCCGTACTATGATCAAGTAGTTGGCTCAGACGTGAACGAGCAGGCCTTGGACGCAGCACCAAAGCTAATCTCGCCGGACCTCTTGAAGAGAATGACCTTTATCCGGAGCCCCGCCGAGGGTCTCGTCACCGCTGGTCTCCCCACGAACTTGCAGCAGACGGACCTACTTGTCGTTAGCGAATGTATGCCCCTCCTCGATGCCCCCAGAGCGCTGGAAGCCTTCCACGCCCTGATGCGGCCCGGTGGAACCCTCGCCATCTACTTTTACGGACGCCCTATCTTCCAAGACCCGGTGTGCGATGCGATCTACGATCGCATGGCGACACGCATCTGCCGATTCCTGCTTCCCTTCCAAGGCACCCCCGGTGAACCATTCCACCGACGCGGAGCTGAAGGTCTTGTTAGTTATCTAGACAACATTGCCCTGCCGGCAAGCGACTGGGAGAATGTGGAGCGCCACAAGTGGAACTGCGACTACCCGCTGCTGTTCAATAGTCCTGAGGGGTTCGACTTTGAATTTCACCCCGTCGATCGCCGCGCAGAAGGCGAAATCACCCATGACATCGTGGACCGAGAGTTCTGGGCGCATGACTGGGACGCCGACGATGTCAAGGCCTACCTTGACTCGGTGTACCCCCACTACCGTAGCCAAGCCGGCGAAAAATATGCGGAGATTGAGGCGATGCGCGAGGAGCTTCGGGCAGCGATGGGCGGGAAGCAGAAGGTCACCTTTTCCGTGGTGCTTGTTCTGGGCACCAGGAAATAATACATCGATACGTTGTTGGATTAAGCATAGTCGTCTTTTGGTCTTTGTTGTCTTCATTTTGCGGTATCTCCGTACTCATTTGACCGCTAAGCAACTTAATATACCTACCTAACCAGACTCACTTAGTTCATCATGAAATTTATCGTATTCATCGTAAATTCAATCAAACAAACTTCACTCACCCAGCTTCGGTTGATTTCTAAGCGCTTGAGACAGGGGTAAGTCTGACTTGGGGTTGCTAAAGCCGACCTGCACCCCCGGACCCCGCATGAATTTCGAGCAGGGAAGAGAGAAATGGACGGACTTCACTCAATCAATTACGGACCACAATATTAATGAGGCGAGTTGGATTGCTAAGCACTTCAAAAACGCGCCGTTAACCCAAAATCCGACGATGTTGACAGGGGTTTAGGATGATTGCTAAGCCCGACAAAAGCCGACCACCCATGCAAGTGACATGCACCATCGGATCCCGACAGATGAACTTCAAACAAACAAAGGGAAACAGAAGGAGTTAAGCATTTAAAGCCGTAACAATACCAAAACACATCTCAAAGGGGACTGGGCAGCCGACGATGGGTTCGTCCAGCGTGCTATTAAGGCGACGCCTCTCCCGAGGTCTCCCTTCTGTGTTGTGGCATTCGAATCAAATCTCGAAGTGCTAGATTAAGTGAACTGAAACTTCAGAGCAGCTCTACTATTACAGCAAACTCCATATCCAAGCTACGCCAATCCAAGAAAATGCCTCCTCCACCTCCTCCTCCTAAGAGCGTCCTGGGCCGCCACCGTCTCCTGGCCCCCTCGGCGTCGGTGCGTGTCAGCCCGCTGTCGCTGGGCGGCATGAGTAATAATTCTTTTCATGTCTATCAGAATGCATACTAACATTGTTATTTAGGTCTAGGCGACAACTGGAAGGGCATGATGGGTGAATGCACAAAGGAACAGGCATTCGAGCTTCTAGACGCCTACTACGACCTAGGAGGTAATTTCATCGACACTGCCAACATGTACCAATTTGGCCAGAGCGAAGAGTGGATCGGCGAGTGGCTACAGAAGACAGGCCGACGGTCCGAGATCGTACTCTCAACCAAGTACACCCTGAGCCCGATCTTCGGCAAGTCCGTGCAACAGAGCAACTACGGCGGCACAGGCACCAAAAGCATGCGCGTGGCTGTCGACGACAGCCTGAGGCGTCTTCAAGTCGATTATATTGACCTGTACTATGTCCATGCTTGGGACTTTGCCACATCCATCCCTGAGTTGATGCAATCACTCAATACCCTCGTGCAGCAGGGCAAGGTCCTGTATCTCGGGATCAGCGACACTCCCGCTTGGGTCGTTACCAAGGCTAATGCGTATGCGCGCGAGCATGGTCTCCGTCCTTTCTCGGTCTATCAGGGTCGCTATTCAGCTATGATTCGCGATCTCGAGCGTGATATCATCCCCATGGCTCGGGATGAGGGCATGGCTATTCACCCGTGGGGTGTGCTCGGCAGTGGTAAGTCTTTTTCCACCAACATATTCATCATTTTATTAACTACGGTAGGATACTTCCGCTCACCTGATGCCGCCCCCAAGGAAGGTGGTCGTCACACGCCTCATATGAAGTTAGGCCGCGAAGAACAGGTTTCGGCCGCCTTGGATGTTGTCGCCAAGCGCCATCAAGTACCCATTACATCTGTGGCACTTTCCTATGTACTGCAGAAGGTAAAAGAACATTGATCCCATAAACCTTTCTTTCACTAACCGGTTCAGGCTCCGTATATCTTCCCCATGGTTGGCGGAAACAAGGTCTCTCAGCTAAAGGCCAATGTCGAGGCCTTGAGCCTCGAGCTCACTCCCGAGGATGTGGCAGAGGTTGACAAGGGCTACGACTTTGATCTTGGCTTCCCACACAACTTCCTCAACTTGGCTGGCTTTATGCCCCAGGGTCCACAGCATGTGTCCTTCCTTGCTGGCTTGGGTCATTTCGACTATGTCGAGCCTACCACTGCAATTAAGCCTCAGAAGTAGTCGAAGCAGTCACACTGTGAATGAATGAAAAGCGCCCTGGTGAGGCAGAACCAGGATCCCGATATGCATTTGACTTGTTTGCTTCGGGGTTCTTGATGATTCCTAAGGATGAACCTTATGATCGTCCTGGGCAATTATGTGTCCCAAAGAGAACTCGGAAGCTAGCTATAACAATTCGGCAATCGCTTTTACTTGAAATAGACATAGCCGGGCCGGAATGAGTGGCCGAGTGGTTAAGGTTTCCGACCGGGGCCGATTTCGGGGCCGGGTTATCAGATCTTCTACGAAGTATATATTTCAATTGACCACCACATTCCGTGATCCTTTTCTTTACTTCGTATTCCAAGCTATAACAATAACTACAATGGCAAACACAAATATTCCTCATTCTTCTCTATGTGTTACTACGACAGACTTTGAAAAGGTCGCAAAGAATGTCCTTTCGGAAAAGTCATGGGTGTATGCATCAAGCTCAGCTGCTACAGGCCTGTCAATGAAGACCAATCTTAATGACTGGTCTCTGATCAACTTCCGGCCCAGGATCCTAAGGAGTGTCGATTCAATGGATACTCGAAGGAACATCTTGGGACATACCTCCCAATTCCCATTCTTCGTATCGGCTATGGGTACACTGGGCAGCTCGCACCCTGGCGCTGAGCCCCTGCTAGTGAGAGGAGCGACCCGCAAAGGCATGCACACTATGATCAGTACAGCATCTACGAAGCCACTTGAAGAGATCATGGATGCTCATCTGGACGAACAACGGCTACTTGGCAATCAAAGCCCTTCGAACTTGTCATTCCAACTCTATGTGCCGGTGGATCGGACAAGAGCCAAATCGCTCATTGAAAGGGTCAAGGCGGCCGGGTATCAAAGTCTATGGGTAACAGTCGACACTTCAACACTAGGAAAGCGTACTGCGGATCGTTACCTCCAAGCACAAGAAAATCTCGACGCTGGTTTGGCTGAAAGTGCAAGGGAAATTCACGATGAGAACGACTTCGCGCCAGCATTTGGGGGGCGGCAGGTTCCCGGTTCGGTGGATGCTGGTCTCACTTGGGAGGATTTAGATTGGATTTCATCAGAGTGGGGCGGGCCACTAGTTCTCAAGGGGATTCAAAGCGTGGAGGACGTGAAGCTGGCTGTACAACATAATGTGCAGGGGATCCTATTGAGCAATCATGGAGGCAGGCAGATACATTCCGCCCCAAGCTCATTGATGACGCTCCTGGAGATTCGCAAATACTACCCAGAGGCTTTCGACAAGCTCCAGGTTTTTGTCGACGGAGGTCTTCGCGACGGAGCGGATGTCCTCAAGGCGTTGTGTCTCGGAGCCACTGCGGTTGGAGTGGGTCGGCCTTACTACTATGCCCTCGCGGCATACGGCGCAGAAGGAGTGGAAAGATGTACAGACAGTAAGTTAGGAGTAGCCCTTAAGTCAATATCAAGCTAACAGACTCGCAGTCCTCGCTGAAGAACTTGAAATCACGATGAAGATGCTTGGTGTCTCTTCTCTAGACCAATTGCGACCGGAGATGGTAAACACCAGCCGACTTTTGAACGAAATGTGGCGTCCTATTAATGCAAAGTCCAAGTTGTGAAAAAGAAATTTGTATCTCTACCTAGGTATCTAATTGAGATTGGTATACTAAAAATGTCATGCTCGTTATATAACCCATTCAAACAGCGCCCCAGCCACCACCGCCGGGAGTATTGATCACAATCCGGTCGTGTGTCTTCATCGACACGGTGTTTTTGCCGCCGATGTTGACACGACGCTCCGCGCCAGTTTCCTCATCCCGCGTAATCCACAGATTGAATCCGGTCTGCGCATCCTCCCCGCCTTCGATTCCGTAAGGCCGGTGGACACGACGCTCAGACAGAATTGAACATTGAATTGGTGAAAGGAATTCGATATCGCGAACCACTCCCTCACCACCAGGGTTCTTGCCCTTTCCGCCAGAGCCCTCACGTAGAGTGAACTGGCGGAGCATCGTCGGATAGCGCTTTTCCAGGATTTCGGGATCGGTAATCCGCGTGTTGGTCATGTGAACATGAATACCAGACTCGCCCTTCCAAGTTGGGCCAGCACCGCTACCACCGGCGATGGTTTCGTAATATCCAAATCCAGGCTTGATGACAGCACCGGTGGACGGGTCAAGCTTGGCGTCTGTGCCGAATGTGAGGTTGTTACAGCAGCCCTGAGATGCGGCACAAGCCTGGAAGGCTTTGAACACGACGTCAGTGATGCGCTGTGATGTCACGACGTTGCCGCCAACGACGGCAGCAGTCTTGCTCGGTGACAGAATGCTGGATGTTGGGACACGAATGTCAATTGGCGCCAGACATCCCTGGTTCAGTGGTACATCTGCATTGATCATGCAGCGTAGGCAGTAAATAATGGCTGAGTGGGTAATGGCAATGGGAGCGTTCCAACTGCCGTATACCTCAGGACCAGTTCCCTCGAAGTCGAAAATCGCTGATCCATCGGTACCATCAATGGTGACCTTAAGTCGAATTGGGGTACCGTCGTCCATGTAGTCGACCGACTCTAATGGCTCACCATTGAACTTCTTATATAGCTCTTTGAGAAGATTGCGGACAGCAGACTCGGCGGTTGCCTGGATGGCGTACATGTACTTTTGCACGGTCTGAGTCCCATATTCGTTGAACAGAGCCTGGATCAAGCTGATTCCACGAGCGTTGGCGGCAATCTGTGCCTTCAGATCGGACAAGTTGTCGCTAATGCAGCGTGCTCCAGCACAGCCGGGGTACTGTGAGGGCTTTGTGACCAGCAATTCAACCAAACGGGCCTCATCCAAGACGCCATCGCTGACAATCTTGTCGCCCTCAATGGCGGCGCCTTCTTGCCACAGCTCGGTGGATTTAGGGGGCATTGATCCAGGCAGGATACCACCAATATCAGCATGGTGGCCACGGGAAGCCACGTAGAACATGATCTCGGAGCCTCCGGGTCGGTCAAAGACTGGTGTAATGATCTATGCAAATATTAGTATCTGATGAGGGTATTCAAAGTGAAGAAGACTAACTGTAATATCGGGAAGATGGGTTCCTCCGCAGCTAGGGTGGTTAGCCACGAGAACATCACCATCCTTCAAGTTGCCAAGCCACTTCTCATGCTGATAGCGCACGGCAAATTGCATCGATCCAAGATGAACCGGCACGTGAGGTGCATTGGCCACCAAACCTCCATCCGGGGAGAATAGAGCGCAAGAGAAATCCAGTCGCTCCTTGATGTTAGTTGAAACGGAAGTCTTTTGCAGTGTACGACCCATCTGCTCAGCGATGGACATGAAGCGGTGTCCAAAGATAGTAAGTCTGATGGGGTCGATACCGGATGACACGGCGCTTCCGGAAGAGGTTGGCTCATCCTTGAGGTCGATGACAACGCAAGTGTCGAGCAGGTTCGCCACTGCGTTAGGAGCCACAACAATTGTTTGAGTCTGGTCAATAATGACAGCCGGGCCATGGATACGGGAATTCTTCTCCAATTCACCTAGAAGGTAAACTGGTGTATCAGTCCGACTCGATCCGCCAAAGTAGGCCGAAGTGGTGTTGTTCGGGGCTGTCACGACATCTCGCATAGTGGCTGCCTTCAGCTGAACCAAGGGGCTTTCCTCCGAGCGCACCTTAGATGAAGCAATAGTTCGCACTCGAACGTCATCAACAAGAACAGGTCGGTCAGAGTTGAAGTTGAATTCGCGGCGGTGACGAATGCGGAACTCCTCTAGGAAATCTGCTGAGTTCTCTGGCTTCAGGATCATCAGACTGGTGTCGGAACCTTCGTAGCGCATGTTCAAGTATTGCTCGTGGCGCACTTGGGTGGAAGGGAAGCCTTGGGATTCCATATCCTTGGTTGCTGATGCCGACAGGTCCTCGAGGTGTTGAAGAAGAGCCGTTTGTGATGACAGGTAGACAGATGAAACAGGCTCCTGTGACTCCTTGACAACCTCTGCCAAAGCAAGACCATATGCTGACAGAATAGAAGAGTACTTGTGAATGATAATGCGGGAGATCCCGAGGGTCTTGGCCACGGAGCAGGCGTGCTGGCCACCAGCACCTCCGAAGCATGCCAAATGATGAGATGCAGTCTCATAGCCACGAGCCTCTGTGAGGTTGCGGATTGGCCGGGACATAGCCTCATCTGCAACATTGAGGAATCCAAGTGCAACTTCCTCTGCGGAAAACTCTGGCTGCCCTTGTTGTTTGCGTTCGATGTTGATCTTTTGTGTGAGTTCATTGAATAGGCGTGTAGTCGTCTCTGTATCCAGGGCCTCGTTCTCATTAGGACCGAAGATCTTGGGGAAGTACTCCGGCAGAAGACGGCCTAGGAACAGATTGGCATCTGTGACTGTGAGGGGGCCACCCTTTCGGTAGCATGCAGGGCCAGGATGAGCACTTGCAGACTCAGGCCCGACATAGAACAGGCCATTGCGCCAGGTGAGGATGGAGCCACCGCCAGCAGCGACAGTGATGATATCAAGCTGAGGAGACTGGATCATCACACCTGCAACCTTGGATGCAAATACATGGTCAAGGTGGCCATCAAATCTGGAGACATCTGTACTGGTACCACCCATGTCGAAACCGATGACGGGGGTCTTCTCTGTGGGATCCCAGCTGGTTGCTGCAAAGCCGACCACTCCAGCTGCGGGGCCGGACAAAATCGCTTTCAATCCGCTGAATTTACGGAAATCGACCAGTCCACCATCTGATTGCATGAACTCAAATCGGCAATCTTGCTGGCTCTCCAAGCCACCTTCAAAGCTGGAAGATATGGAGTCAATGTATGTCTTAATAACGGGTGTAAGGTAGGCATCGGCGGCGGCCGACATGCCACGAGGCACGATCTTGATCATGGGCTGAAGTTTTGAAGAGAGGGTGACCGAGAATCCCATCTCTTGAGCCAGCTCGCCAATTTGACGCTCGTGCTCAGGGTAAGCGTATGAATGCAATAGCGCCACAGAGATTGACAGAATCCCTTCCTTCTTTAGTCGTTGGAGCTCTGCCTTGACCTGAGCGATGTCAAGCTCTTGCACCACACGAAATTTCTCTCCAGTGGTTCCCTCTACTACCCGGCAATCTGAGAAGCAGTCGCTATCAGCAGATGGATGGCAAGATAGCACACGCTCGTTGACTTCGACAACACTCTCCGGGAGTACTCCGGGGCGAGCCATTGATAGGTCGAAAATGGCGGGGCGAGATTGGTCGCCAATTTTTAATAAATCTTTGAATCCTTTAGTTGTGAAGAGGACTGAACGAGCACCCTTGCGCTCGAGCAAGGCATTGGTGGCGACGGTTGTGCCCATGCGTAGGCAACCAATGCGGTCAAGTTTCAATGGTTGGCCTCGCGGATGTGACTCCCCGGTTGCCAACTCTAGGATGCGACGGATACCCTCAGTTGGAGCATCTTGATAGTTAGAGGGATCGACAGATAGGAGCTTCAAAATAATATCGGGACGGCCAGGTTGAATCGCGTGGACATCAGTAAATGTGCCACCACGATCGATGGAGATGGTGATCTTCCCTGAGTCAGACATTGTGACTAATATGAGTGGGAAGATGTGAGGTGGGTATAAATAGGTAAAAGGAGAGAACAACTAGTTAGATGCTCAGAAGGGATCTGTATTCATATATGTCACAAAGCTCGTCCCGATACCCCAGAACATCTCCATGATCATCTCGTGGTTACCAATTAGATGCATATCACGTGTCGGGCCGATGGCCCCGGTTTCGGCTTCGTCGGGCCGGGACCTCCACAGGTTGATAAGCCGCGGGGTTTGGATTGAGGATGGAGGGGAAGATAGGGGCTGAAATGTGAGCTGATATGAGTAAAAATAAATTATAGCCCGCGGGCAGTTTGCGGAGAAATCAATGCAAGTCATATATTAGGCCTTCAATATTAGATTATGTGATGGTAAGTGTTTTATAAACTACATAACTACGATGTATGTTGTGCTAGCTGCTCAGCACACAATATAGCTGTTGAAATATTTGTAAATAATATATATTTTGTCTTTATCGCTTTAAAGTATTTTCAATCCAGTCAGTGTCCATGTCAATGTCGATTTGATCCAAAGCCCCTTCCCAGAGTGCTGGATCATCATTTAGATCAAACTGGAAGGCAATATCCCGGAAAGAGGGGAGATCAGGCTGCTGTGGCCAGTTATATGTAAGCACTTGCGAAGGTGCTAATTCTGCGCTCGAATCTGGAACATTATCTGATACATTTGCGCCATTTTCGGTCATGGGCGTTACAGGGCCCCTGTGACCTACAGCAAGCGAATTTGCTGTATCAGTATTATTTTGTTCGGTGCGTCTAGGTCCAATGGCTGCCTGTAGCTCCAACAATAATCTGTGACGTGAGTCCAAATATGTATTTCCGCGATCTGCCATACCGCGAAGAAGGCTCAGTGCGGTCTCCATGGCCCGGGCGTTGGTCTCATCAGGCGGAAACGCGGCATTCACCATGACCAGCAGCAGTGCAGCGGAGAAGATATATTCGCCGTCGAGGTATCCATATGTAGCTATACAGCTCGTTTAGTCAGATAATTTCATAACAGAAGAAATGTGGTTGTATGGTGATCGCCTACCAACGAGATTATGTTTTGCAGCTGCATCCATGATCACAGTGGTTGCTCGTGCTGCTGTGATGCAGCTGTCAATGACGGCGACAGTATTGGGAGCCAGGCCCTCTTTCCAATCTTCTGTTGCGGATCCAAGGGCTTCTGCGTCAAGTCGCCTTTGGATCACATAGAAGACTAACGGGCGTGCGGTCATGTTCACGCATGAGTAGAAGTGCAAATTGATCGAGACTGACTCTCGATTGATATGGGTATCGAGTGTAGCAAAATCGATACGAAGTCGGTCTGGTACTTGCCGCAGCCAGGCAGAAAGGTCATTTGTAATACTTTGGACAGAAGCAACCAAGTTGGATCCTGATCCTGGTTTCTTTCTGTAGATTTCTGATGTGGCCATCTAGGTCAGCTTAGCTATACAAGGAATATACAAAGGGTTGTACCTTCCCCGATCCGCCCCAATATACGGGATAGTTGGGTATAATGGGTGAGCACGGTTGATGGCCATGGATCCCAATTCGATCCGCCCTAGATGGAGAAAATCAAATCAGCCGATGCCTTTGTAGACATACTATAGGGGGTAACATACCACAGTTGTGGGCCAGGATATCCCAATATCTTCATCATGAATTGTAATAGGATTGCCAGACTTGACCGAGAGTAGCCTATTCAAAGTATAAGTACCGAGTTTGTATCACTAAGAGAATTGGGCAAATTACCTGTCCAAGCTATAAACAGACCACCAAGCCCGACGTCGACGATTGCGATCTTCTTCGGTTATTGAGGGATCAGACACCTCTTGGTGAAGACCTAGCGAGATAGCCATTCGCAGAGCGAGTCCAATCTGACGTCGTTAGCGGTACAGCCGAAAATCAATTGAAGTGATACATACGTATAGGAACGCAGCGTCCCGCCTGTTCAGATTCTGCATATAGTATGCCACATAGCATAGCACCTCCACGAAGAGAATCGAGCCCTCTTCGTGAATATCTGGCAAGAAACGTAACGCATGCTTGAAATATTTGAAACCTGGGGGACCTTCCTCGCCAATCCACTGATTCACACTATACATCAAGCCAAAAGAAATAACTAACAATGTTTGGCAGTATACCAGACAGGATTCACGGTGTGAAAAGTCAAGTGGTTGGTGATAGACTAGATCGAGCCGTTCTTCAAATACCATGGGTTGAATAAGGGAGAAAATGGTACCGATGTAAGCGTACTGTACCCAGAATAGTCGCTTTGCGAACTCGAAAGGTGGTAATTGAGGCAATGAGGAGCCAATTGGTCTTTTCAATGATGAAGGGTCATCGTAAAGTGGGCGCACGTCCCATGCAAGGTTTGTGGAGCCAGGATTGAGCCGTTTCGCGAGATGTGTGGTGGACGAAGCACCCACGAAATCTGAGGAAAGGTTAGCAGAATGATAATAAGAATGAGACATCCTTCCGTAAAAGACGTACGATGTTCTCCGGATCGATTCAAGAACAGATTGTCTGTTCCTTTGTACCACCAGTCGTCGCGTTCTGGTGGCCCCTCAGAGTAGCGATTGGATATAGATGGCTCACTTGACGGCGTCGGATGACTACCTTCTATCCCGGATGGTTAAATTGGCTCCAGGCGACTACTTGAGTAGGTATGAAACCTACCTCGCGATGCAGGAGCTTGCGCTTGTAATTGACGATAGTAGCTGCAAAATGAGTCAGCATTGACCCTTTTTCAACGATCTTGGACGGACTTTACCTCTCCGTTATGGAGACTCGTTTTTCAGCCTCTGAATATACACAATTCTTGCCGGCATCCACGCATGCTGCACAAGGGTGGGGTGGATTGCCAGCGCAGCGAGTTTTTCTAGAACGGCAGCGGTTACAGGCTACCATCGACCTTCTTGAGCGGTCTTCTGATTGACGTGAGATACCTGCATTTCCAAGGACCATTTTTTGAGGCTATATCTCAGATGTTTTAAGATCTGATCTGCACACAGACTGGGGGTAAAGGGTAAAATGACACAGACCCGGACGGAAACCCCCGGTTTCTCCGCTTTTTCCTCTTTATCTTTTCGGCCCGACCTCTCCAGGGCCATATAGTACGATGAAGATATTTATTGATATTACTTTGTGTCATAGGTGTCTAGGTCAAATAACTGTGCCCGATCGATATATTTCAAGCTTATTTAAAGGGGGTGTTGCTGACGCCACCCCACTTGTATTCTGCGCTATCTCCAGAGAGTTAGACTGTAGCACGCGATCAACGGCAGTGGAACAAGAGACGAAAGAACGTGTGATAACTTGTGATCAAAATATAGCGACACCATTCGGAGGGCTTGCAACACCACCAGGAACCTAGAATAATGTGGTCAGTTGGGAACCGGGGAGTAGAATCTATGAACACACACCTTCAAGGACACGCTACTAAAGAAAAAGGTCCAGCGACCTCTCTTGCGACACTCCTGACTGAGCTGCTCGAGATCGAATAATTCTCCGATCGGAACGCCCCAGCCCGCCAGCAACCACTCATGGAGAAAGAACTCCTGATTCTGGCATGGATATGCTTCAAAGCTCGGCATATCTCCCACCACAGCAGCCAGTTTAAGATCCCAAATCCAACGAAGCATGGCCTCGGATGATTCTACTCCAATCACTGGAGGTGCTGCGTAGTCGGCCAGTTGTTGACATTGCGCCTGGGACAGCTGTTCATACGCTCGAGTCCAACCCGTGCGTATAAACAAGATATCTCCCGGTCGGAATGTTGTATTCTGGCTAGCAGCTACCTCTTGGAGTACAGAAGCTGGGATTGACTGTGTTTCAAAGCAATTCACTTCTTTCCCGTTCGCCGCTGCCCAGCCCGCATAGTCCAAGAGAACGCCGCGTCCAACAATACCGCCCTTCTCAGCCCATACTAAAGAACCATCAGTAAAAGCCAGAAATTCTAAAAGTAGAGGGAACTACCGTGAATGCCATTCCGAGTAGAATTCTCAATCTCGTCCTGGGTACACCCATTAAAGAAAGTTCCTTGCTTTGATCCATAATGTCTGAACCCATCCCACTGGCTACTACTTTGTGTGTTAAAAACCAAGATATCATCGTTGACTGCCCGTGGAGCTTTGTTCTTGACAATATGCTCAAAAGCAGATCGTCCAAAGCATGGGGTCGCCATGCTATTTAGAGACCAATCTGTTGAGACACGCACACCATCAACAATCTCGCGAGCAGCGGCGGCGGTATTCTCTGGCGTCAATAGATTGAGCATCCCCAGTTGATCTTGATCCCCAAACATCCCCCACGCATTCCCTGGAGGCCCATCTTTGCGCAAAGGCAGGGCATCAAATGCAGGTCTCTGAAACGACATTGTTATGGAAAGGGTGGAGAAGAATATTTCGTCTTTGATTGAATTGAGAACATCTGGGTAAGTATTTAAAGCGCCTCATGTGTAAACTAGATTATCTACCCCGCATATTGTTCTGTCGTTGTCATATCAAATGACCTCGGGCTAAAGCCTAAGAGCCGGTTGCCAAATCCGATGTACGGAGTATATATTCCGAGCGACATATGTGATGAAAGTTCCATATAGTTGAAACCAAACTGATGCAGCGGATGAAAACCTGCCCCTCGGCACCAGACTTGTCAGTCAAGTTGTTTGAGTATGATATTGGGGTTTCCATCTTCATGAAGCTGAGCTCGCAATGAAGTCCGAGTATCGGAGAAGGGCCGAGAGCGAATGGTAGATTAGAGAAACTCAATAGAAACTACTTTTGTATAGTAGAATAACGATAATGAAACCACAAAAGAAGATACTACATCCGGTAAAAGACATTAAGGGCTTATGGTCTTAGACCGGTGTGGGAATATATATTTCCAGTATTAGACAACTTCCACTTTTAGACTTTGTAAGCGCATTTACTTTAAAGGGTTTAAATATCTAAAAATAAATGATATTCAAGGCAGCTACATAGTATATTTATAGTGTGTGCTGTACGGAGTACTTTTTGTCGTGTGCATCGTGTACAGTGGGACCTCCGAAATATTGGGCCAAACCAAAGTACCCAGATATACCGCCCTGTATACCGCCTTTTATATTATGCTAGCTCTGCCAGTCTAAAACTCCGAATATACTTAGCTTTTATACACATGATGTAGGGCAATATGACTGATAGTCAAATGTTATACATAGAAAAGTGCCTTTTTGCGCCGTCGACCTATCTACATAGAATGATATTTGAGAAGACTACTAAACATACCTCCGAAAAGACCACTGATTGATATTACAGGGCTGCTTATGTAGTATAACTCAAGGGAAGGCGGTATAAAGGGCGGTATGTCTAGTGTACATAGATTTGGCCCAATATTTCGGAGATCTCACTGCATAAGCCCAGGGTACAGTTGTGTACGCGTATATCTCTGACACGTGACCAGTGGACAACACACACATTATCTCACACGGCATGTGTCTCTGTTGCTGTGGTAGCGCTATTCTTTTTTTTCGATTGTATTCCCCACATACCCAATTTATAACGATGGCTGGATAGGTGGAACCGCATGAGCCAGTCGCAGATTCAGAATTCAGCCCCCTGGAAGACATGGCCGATCGTTTCCCGACGCCTCGTCGTCACCCCCCAGCGGTCGCCACCCCCAGCCGCCACGCTGGGATTGCTTGGCAGAGAAGCCTTTTCAGCGCCTGTCTTTGCGAGTATGGAGTATAGACTCCGACAGCGATTCTAGGTCCGTCCCTTAGGGGGGCGTTTCGGATGGTAAAGGGGATACGTATATTTAATTAGGGGAGCCTGTGATGGGTCATAGAATACGTCTGTTGACCAATGTTATGCCGCATTGCGTCGTCGACCCGCAGCTTTTTACATGTTCGACGAGTTATGTTCGTCCCAGCAAGGCGCTGATCACGGAGTCAAATTTGTACCCGCAGACCAGTACCTTGGGATATCAAGAGAATTAATGAAGGGGGGATGTCACTCGGCGGTTGGGACCATGGTGTGGTCACAGCCTCCAATGGTTATGCGATGTATGCGCAGGGGAAAAGCGGTTGGCAATGATATGTATGTCCTGTCTCGGACAGGGGGGGCTCCTTGGTGGATCCTAGAAAGGGTGGATGACGAACGGCAATTGCTGATGCGCTGGGGTTCCACTTCAGTCGCCCTTCACAGCCCGCATCGTTGGCACCTCCAATCAAATTCTGCACCAAAAATATCTCCTGGGTAGATGGCATCTGGATCCCTTCTCCTACGCACATCTCTCTTTGAACGTCGACGCTCGCTCTGTTTTACTTGGGTCTCATATTGTTTCTCACTTTCGATCTCTGGTCAGATCGACTGAAACATATTGTTTTCATACCTCAAAAGTTCATTGCGCTGTCGCGCTGTTGCCAGGTGCCTGATCGTACCTGGAATTGAAACTTCTAGCCTTGATCTTTTCTTTCGATTCACCCCCCACCGGCTAGATCTCTATTTCCTTTCCATCAGCCCCGGCGACACGAGAACCACGCATAATGTCTTTTCCTCAGAGAGGCACGTCGCCTCATTCGCCTCGTTCAGGTACCTCTCATTCACCCCCGGCGAGCGAGACTAGCCTGTATGGTCCACGAGAAGTGAGTGATATCAACAAAATCAACCCACCAAGACAGCAGCAGATGCTAATTTAGTTTGCTCAACAGCAATCCTACGGCTACGAAGAGAAACCCGAGAACATCGACAGCCAGCAGTCTCTGCTCTACCGCAATCAGCCCAGCCCATTCAACGCTTCCTTCGATGACCCATATGCCTCGAGTGATTCCCTCCGTCGTTACACACTACATGATCCTGGAGTAACCGTCTTCCCCGATGGTCCATACCAGGAGTCCGCGGGAGGACTCAACCGTCGCTCGGGTATTCCATCGGGGATTCAATCACCTATGTCTGAGACCCCATCAGAAGCCTGGCAGAACCGACAGGCGCCTGGGTCAGGACTGCGGCGTTATGCTACACGAAAGATTAAGCTGGTCCAAGGCTCCGTCCTCAGTGTGGACTACCCAGTCCCGAGTGCCATTCAGAACGCAATTCAGAAGGAGTATCGGGAATCCGAGGAGGGCTTCCCGGAAGAATTCACCCATCTGCGCTGTAAGGCTTCATCTAAAATATTAGTGACGCGACTGGAGCTAATCGTATATAGATACCGCGGCCACTTGTGATCCTGATGAGTTCACCCTGCGAAATGGATACAATTTGCGACCGGCTATGTACAATCGACACACTGAGCTTCTGATCGCCATCACCTATTACAACGAAGATAAAGTTCTGACCGCCCGAACACTCCACGGTGTTATGCAGAATATTCGAGATATCGTCAATTTGAAGAAGTCAGAATTCTGGAACAAAGGTGGCCCGGCTTGGCAAAAGATCGTGTGCTCCTTGGTTTTCGATGGTATCGATCCTTGCGACAAAAATACTCTCGACTTGTTGGCCACAGTTGGTATCTACCAAGATGGCATCATGAAGCGCTCCGTCGATGGTCGGGAAACCGTCGCACATATCTTCGAATACACAACCCAACTCTCTGTCACCTCCAATCAGCAATTGATCCGGCCCCAAGGCAACGAGTCGTCCAACCTTCCTCCCGTTCAAATGATTTTCTGCCTCAAGCAGAAGAACAGTAAGAAGATCAACTCTCACCGCTGGCTTTTCAACGGTTTCAGTCGAATCCTCAACCCTGAAGTGGTCATTCTTATTGATGCTGGAACTAAGCCGGGAAAGAAATCGCTCCTTGCATTGTGGGAATCCTTCTACAATGACAAGAACTTGGGTGGATCCTGCGGTGAGATTCACGCCATGTTAGGAAAAGGGTGGAAGAACTTGATGAATCCCCTCGTTGCCGCGCAGAATTTCGAGTATAAGATCTCCAACATTCTCGATAAACCGCTAGAGAGTGCCTTCGGGTACGTCAGCGTGTTGCCCGGTGCCTTCTCCGCGTACCGTTATCGCGCTATTATGGGTCGCCCCTTGGAGCAGTACTTCCACGGTGACCATACACTCTCAAAGCAGTTAGGCAAGAAGGGTATCGAGGGCATGAACATTTTCAAAAAGAATATGTTCCTTGCTGAGGATCGTATCTTGTGTTTCGAGCTTGTCGCCAAAGCTGGATTCAAATGGCATCTAACCTACGTTAAGGCGTCTAAGGGCGAGACCGATGTACCCGAGGGTGCAGCCGAGTTCATCAGTCAGCGACGTCGTTGGTTGAACGGTTCGTTCGCTGCCAGTTTGTATGCAATGATGCATTTCGGACGAATTTACAAGAGCGGCCACAATATCCTACGACTATTTTTCCTGCATATCCAGATGACATACAACTTTATGGGTCTTGTCATGACCTGGTTCTCCCTCGGTATGTCTCGAATATTGTGTTGGTGAATCTTTTGACTAACTTATTACTACTTAGCCTCGTTCTGGTTGACTACTACTGTCATTATGGATCTTGTCGGAACGCCTAGTAGCGCCAATAAGGATAAGGGATGGCCTTTTGGTAACGAGGCCACGCCAATCGTGAACAATTTCCTGAAGTATGGATACATATTTTTCTTGATGCTACAGTTCATCCTGGCGCTCGGAAACCGACCGAAAGGGTAAGTCAAGATTTGAAGGAATTACCTTGTGTCAATCTAACCTTTATCCAGTTCACGTCTCGCGTACACGTTCTCGTTCGTCTACTTCAGTATCCTTCAAACTTACATCATCATCCTATCGTTCTACCTTGTCAAGAACGCCTTTACTGGAGGCACCCTTGATTTCTCTATGGACCAAGGTGTTGGGCATTTCATAAAGTCTTTCTTCAGTTCTTCCGGGGCCGGTATCGTCCTGATCGCTTTGGTTTCGACTTATGGTATCTACTTCCTGGCAAGTTTCTTGTACATGGATCCCTGGCACATGTTCACATCCTCCTGGGCATACTTTGCTGGCATGACCTGTTCGATCAATATCCTGATGGTTTACGCCTTCTGCAACTGGCATGATGTTTCCTGGGGTACCAAGGGATCCGACAAGGGTGATTCCCTCCCCGTTGCTGAGACGAAGAAGGATGACGCAAAGTCAAACTTCATCGAGGAAGTCGATAAGCCTCAGGCCGATATCGATAGTCAGTTTGAATCGACAGTCAAGCGAGCCTTGGAGCCGTTTGTTCAGCCTGAAGATAACGATGAACCAAGCATGGATGACGGTTACAAGGCTTTCCGAACCAACCTGGTGTTGATTTGGATCTTCAGCAATCTGATCCTTGCACTGTGTATTACCAGTGAAGGAATCACCCGTCTCTGTCTCACAGTATGTATCTCCTCTTTAACTCTCGGCTATGGCGCAAACTAATATATCCAGAACACTTCTACCGTTCGTACCTCGAAGTACTTCGCCGCCATTCTGTGGACGACCGCCGGCCTGTCGATTTTCCGCTTCATTGGATCCCTCTGGTTCCTGGGTAAATCCGGCATCTTATGCTGTGTCTCTCGTCGCTAGAATTCTTTATGCATTGCCAGTTGTAAATATTCGTTCGGCTTGCATTGGTTTCGGTGGCATTTTCGGTTGAATAAAATTCTTGATGTTCTCTTTTATTCCCCTTTGCAATGACATGTTTTTTTTTGTTTCATGTACATGTGGAAAGGAGTCATGTACGATAGATTTAATTTACGAGATTTTCGTACTTTTGTCATTTCCCCCGCTGTTTCCCGCATATGCACCCCAGTCTCTCACGATGTACATCACTTTGACCCGGTTTTCCGAGAAAGTGGAGTATGATAGTCGATATTGTTCTCTATCATACTCTATATCATTGTCATCTTCCAATGTTTAGATTGAGGGATATTTGGGAGTAAAACCAAACGGACTACAGGATTCCGAGACCCCTGGTATCGGGGAAGTCAATGCCAATTATTAGTCTCATTTCTTCCCGCGTCCGTGTGTGCTTTGGCTGCTTTGGCTACTTTGGCTTCGCATTTTCCATCTGCACATCAGCATCATTGGCTCCAATCCCCGCATCAGACCATATTAATCTCATATATTACTGGTCTTTGCCCATCAGCCCGGCTGCCTACGCAATCGCTCATTTGCTTATTCAAAAGCCCCTGATGGAGACAGCCTGGGCATGCATCCTTGGCCCTCGGCTGAGTTACCGTTATTCCCGTTATTCCCTTGAGAGAATATCCAAACGGATTAGTTTGTTCCCCTCGTTATCTGGGACTTTGTAAGACTTTCCGATTGTAACCCCAAGGCAGACACATAAAAGCCAGCTTATAGTCCCGGCAATTCTCTCTATCAAAATCCTCCACGATCTCTGATCCACCTCAATCTCCCCCACTGATCTCCCAAATGTCGCAGTATATCCCCAACATCCCCACAAATTGCCTTGCCAAAAAGGTCGTTCTCATCACAGGTACCTTGAACCCTCCTAACTTCTCTACTATTATCTAATTCCATATACAGGCGGCGCCAATGGCATCGGCTCAAGCCTAGTAACTCAATGCCTGGAACAAGGCGCTAATGTCTGCATTGGCGATCTGGACAACATCTCCGGCGAGCGTCTACTAAAGCAATGCTGCGAGAAATATCGTCCAGAGGAAGAAGACATGCCCCCGCGCGCAATTTTCCAAACAACCGATGTCACCGACTACCCCTCCGTACTGGCATTATTCGATCTAGCCTTCAAGACCTATAAACGCATCGACCACGTCGTCTCAGCGGCCGGCATCGTGGAAATTGGAAATTGGTTCGATACTTCCCTAACCCTAGAAACCGTCCGCCAAGTAAGCTCTCATCCCCTTTCTTTTATTTATTTAAAAATACCATCTAACAATAAAAGACCCCCACCCACAAAGTCATGGACGTCAACCTCCTAGGCTCAATGTACGTAACCCGCATCGCATCAGTCTACCTCCGCCACAACCGCGGCTCGAACTGCGACCGCTCAATCCTCCTCTTCTCATGCGTATCGGGCTTCAAAGAAAGCCCCTCGCTGTTCATATACCAAGCCTCCAAACACGGCGTGACTGGGCTCATGCGTTCGCTGCGAAACTACATCTCATCGCCCTACAAGCACTATCTTCGTATCAATACCGTTTGTCCCTGGGTGACGCAGACGGATAGTATCAAGAAAGTCGAGGCACAGTGGAAACAGGCGGATCTGCCTATCAATACCTCTGAGCAGGTTGCTACTGTTGCGACGGGTGTTTTGGCGGATCAGTCTCTTAATGGGACGTCTATGTTTGTTGAGGGTGGTCGGGCTTGGGAAATCGAACGGAATATTGAGAGACTTGAGAGTGAGTGGTTGGGGGATGAGCCGTCTAAGGCGCTTGCGGCGGGTCAGGGATTGCTTGATGATGGGTCTATTTGGACTGCGCCGGAGAGACCGCGGAAGAAGAGTACTATTTCTGTTGGGGTGCCGCCTGGGGTGCCGCTTGATAAACTCAATGGGCTTGCTCTTGCTAATGGGGTCAATGGAATGTCGAATGGATTGGCTAATGGGGTGCACTAAAAGGGGTTTGTGGTTTGTTGGTCTTGGAATGTGTGGTACTACATTGGGATCAGACATTGGATACAGGGATGGACTATCAAGTATGATGAATGGCGACTGTTTATATTTTACGTATAGTTTGAATGCAATTGTGATTTTAAACTTCAAGTGAATATGACTTTACTAGTAATATTTCAGTTGAATAAAACAAGATCAGATCTTGAAGTGCAATTATAATTAGTAGTCAACGCGATCTATGGTATATGGAACTCGACAAAAAAAGCAAATTAACATTGGAAAACCTTCGTCCAACTGGACCTTTCCCTGGTATACCAGAGGTCCTCCAAAACGCCCAACTTTCCCACAATCTCTGGCTCATCCGGGATCATTTGAACGACTCCCGCGTATGCACACGGTCGATATTGTAAGGGTTAGCCTCGTACGTAGGCACGCGCTGGATGGGATGCGTAGCATTGGTAGAAGAGCGCGAAAGGGTGTGGTGAATGGAGTTAACATCCGCGGAAGTCTCCTTGATATTCGGGAGTGGAGCGACGTCATCGTCCGAAGCAGATGGGCGCTTCTCAGCCTCAGTCTCGACAACCTCCTCATTAGCCTTCTGGAGACCACGAAGAAGATTCTGAACAAAGGCCTCAGATTGCGCGGCGTACTTGCAGTGGTTTCGAATCGACAATCCGTATTTATAGAGCAGGAAGGGGAAAGGCACGCAGGCAAGAGCCAGGAAAGCCGGAACACAGGATGCCCAGTGGATTCCTAGGTCTTGGTACATGTAGGTTGTGAATAGTGGGAAGGCGAATCCGAACAATGAACGCAGCAGGGTGTTAGCTGCGAGGACTGATGCGGCGAAGATGGTGTAGGCATCGATCAGGTAGTTGAAGACACTGAGGAAGACGAGGAGCATTCCGAAGCCGAAGGGGACTCCGGCGGCGACGCTTGCGAGCCAGTGGATGGATGGGTCGTTGGTCCATGCGAACCAGAAGAGGCCGATAGGGAGGGCGATCGAGGCTAGCATGCACGGCGGGAGGCGGGCCTCGGGGGGTGCATAGCCGCCGTTCTTTGCGAGGAGTTTGGCGTAGCGCTTGTTTTCGGGGATTGAATATGCAACTGCACCGATCATACCAATCATGACTCCGATGAATGCTAAGCCGCCGATACCTTGGCTCCATCCGCGATGGACCTGGTATACAATGGGGTAGGCACCGAAAAGCATGTAGAGGGTTCCGTAGATGATGGCGAGGTATATGGAGAGAAGCAAGACGATGGGTTCTTGGAAAAGAAGGATCATAGGTCGTGAGAGGGAGATTTTCAAAGCAGCCTTCAAAGTGAGACGACCCTGATCAATATCCAACTTGCTGCAGTAGACCTTTCCTGTGAGTTTGGAGAGAGTATTTGCTCGCTGGCGAAGAAGGACGGGGGCGTAGGTCTCTGGTTTCAACGCGGCTCCCAAGAACCACATCACAGCACAGAGGATAGCCAAGAGACCCATCACCCATTTCCAGCCTCCGCTAGACTCACCGAGGAAGCCACCGGCGATGGGTCCAATGACGGGTCCAAGGAATGGAGCTAGAGCAAAGGCCGACAATGCCAGTCCACGTTCGCGAGCCATGAACATATCGGCGATGACACCGCCAGAGTTGGTGAGGGGAGATGAACCGAAAGCACCAGATAGGAATCGGAAGACCAGCATGGTCTCGATGTTCTTCGCGCCGGTACAGGCGGCACAGAAGATGGTCAAACCGCAGTAGGTTGTGACGAAGACAATTTGGCGACCGAACAGCTCACTCATCGGGGCCCAGATCAGAGGACCTAGGGCAAAGCCCAGGACATAGAGGGATACTCCCAATGTTGCAATTTCAGTAGTTGTGCCGAAGTTTTCTTTAATCTGAAGGAGACCACCTGTATAGGCGGACGAGACTAGGGCAACGACCAAAGTCTCGATAGCAGCAACCACAGTGATGAACCATTTCATGGATGGCTTCAGCTGGAGAGGGTTTCGAAAGTCTTTAGGCATCCATTGCACGACATAAGGATCTTCTTCGGTTCCTGACCCCTCACAAGGGTGGTCAGCAACCTCTTGGGTGATAGCACCAGGATAGAGAACTAGTCGCCAGAAAGGGATTGATGTTGGCAACTGCAAGTTGGCAGTCTCGGAGCCCTCCATATTGATCTGCAATCTGTGATCTTCAGGATGAAGTAGAAATAAAAAATTTCCTGGACAGCTATTCTATTCTATTTTATTTCTCTAACATACCATTTATCAACGGAAAAAAAAAAAAAAAAAAAACAAATATCGGAGTGACTACTTGATTTAGATATAGTGGAGAGAGGCCATAGTAATAACTTGCATATTTCCTGCACATTTAATTCCATAACAAAGAAAAAGATAACGAAAATATAGAAAAAGACCTTTCATTGGCTTCAAATATCTTCGAGAACCCGAAAATATCCACTTAATCCCGGCCCGATCAGTAATCGATTCTCGGCTGGCCCGAAATGTTTGAGAATTTTTTTTCTGTTGAGCCGAGGTTCTTTTCTCTTTTAGGGCTATTCTTTATGAACAATCTGATATGTCTATTTATATTGTCATCAGTTGATTCAAGTTATTCTGAAATGTCACTGAGTTAAAATGTGATATCTATATTAGCGCTGTGATTGACCGGGATTACCCTTGCAAGGTGATCAGACATCAACAATCATAGTCAAATCAGAAACTAATGCCTCCACACGGAGTTCACATCTCACAAACTCTTCTCAATCTCAGAAACCTCCGCCATAACCTCCCGAATCACGCCTTTGGCCCCCTCTCCCACCTCTTCATAAGGGTGTCGAGGGGCCAGATTACCTGCTGCATCCGGAATTCCTGCCAATTTAGCAGAATAGCAAGCCACCGCATGCTTAGTTGACGCAATCCCACTTTTAATAGCACTTTCCGCGAGAGCGGCCTTCCGTTGAAGCGTCACCGCCTCCTCAAGTTGACCCTTCTGATACAAAGCATAAATCCTTGCTGCCACTTTAGGAAAGACATTCGCAAAGGCAGCAATACACCCAGCGCTTCCTGCCGCTAGCCCACCAATCAGGAAATCCGACTGTCCACCGAAAGTGGCAAACTCCTCGGGCGCAAACGATGCAGCCAGCCGCGTGATTTTCCCCACAGATCCACAGGTCAACTTGACTCCTACCACGTTGGATCGTCCGCTAGCTGCGGACTCGCGTGCGATCGCAGTGATCGTCTCGGAATCCATGTCGACCCCGTTACACACACCGGGGAAATTGTACACCACGACAGGGAGAGGTGATTTGGCTGCGACTTCGGAGAAGAACCGTTTCACCACGTTCATATTGGTGGCTTTGCCGAAGTATGCGGGCGGGAGGACGAGGAGGTAGTTGGCGCCGGCATCGGCGGCATCCTGGGCGAGCTGGAGGGTTTGCTTGGTTGAGTGTGCGCCGACTCCGGCCATCAAGGGGAAATCGGGTCCGACGGCTGCTCTTGCGGTTGAGATGAGCTGGGATCGCTCTTCGCGGGTGAGGAGGAAGGCCTCTGAGTTTGTGCCGAGGATTACTAGACCTGCTAGACCGGTTGTTGATAGGTAGGCGAAGTACTTGGATTGAGAGTCGAGATCGAGTGTGTCGGTGTCATGGTGGAAAAAGGTGACGGCGGGGCACCAGACTCCTGATACAGGGACGTGAGGTTGAGGAGAAACGGAGACAGAACCCATTGTAGAGGTTGTAGTATGAGTATGTAAAGTGCGTAGTGAGTTAGGTCTGTACAAGTGCCAGTCCTAGTCCTGGTATAACTCTTATAAGATATCCATATCCGACAAGATATCCCCCTCTCGGTTCAAAATGAGGGGCAGACGGTCATATCTCCGATCAAATTAAGCTATTTGGCCGCTGTTTTGACGTTTGAGCTGCCAATGTCGGATGCCGGCACCGATGAAGCCAATCTCGTACACAGATCAATAGCCTAAATGAGTCCACTTTCGGGTCCTCCACCCGATTAACGAATCAAAGTCTTTCGATCTGGTTTGACTCGGCCCTATCTCCGACCAATATATGTTTACTCAAATGCGTTGGTGATGCGGGGAGTATACCTGGGTGACTCGGCCAGGAATCCGAGTATGATATCACGTAAAGTATGATTCCGGTCGGCCTACAGCTTCCTTTAATACTAAATAATAGCCCAGATTGACCATGCAATCTCTCCGTCGTACTCCTAAATTGCATAAATTCTACACAATGACCTCTGAAACCACCCGGAACGTCACTACTCAGTCCTGGTTTGATCAGGCTCGTTTCATCCCACCCGATGCAATTTTCGCATTGACTGCTCAGTATGTAGCAGATCCATCTCCCAAGAAAGTCAACTTGGGCCAGGGTACCTACCGTGACGAGCATGGGAACCCATGGGTTCTTCCCTCAGTCCGCGAGAGTCGGAAGTTGTTATCACAGGAGTTGAACCATGAATATCTTCCCATTATCGGACTGGCAGATTTCCGCAAAGAGGCTGCAAAGTTAGCATTAGGCCCAGATCTATTCCAGAAGCAACAGGAAAAAGTATTTACAGCTCCGACTCCAAACTTATCCACGACATTGAAACAGGAAAAGCTGATTAGTCCATAGCTTGCGACATGTCAAAGTCTCTCCGGTACTGGAGCACTGCACTTGGCCGGTTTGTTGCTAAGAGCTTGCAAAACACCTCTTCCCAAAGTATACATCCCGGAGCCGACCTGGTCAAACCACCATCAAGTTTTTTCGTCCCTTGGCTTCCAATGCGAATCCTTCAGATACTACAACCCCGAGACAAAAGATCTAGACATTGAATCATATTATTCGACATTGAAATCAGCCGAGCCCAACTCCGTCTTCATCATTCACGCATGCGCCCACAACCCAACAGGCTGTGACCCGAGCAAGGAGCAATGGCGAGAACTTGCCCGTCTATTTAAAGAGAGACAGTTATTCCCACTTTTCGACGCTGCCTATCTAGGGTTCAACTCCGGCAATGTTGATAGCGATGCCTTCGCCATTCGACTATTTATCGAGGAGATGGATCTGGAAGCTGGGGTGTGTCTGTCTTTTGCGAAAAATATGGGTCTCTATGGTATTTATCCGTGCGACAATTCATGGTCAAACAGATAATAATTTTTGATAGGGGAACGAGTCGGCTGCTTTTTGCTGTCTACTAGCACCGAAGACGCTGCTGTGAAGACCCAATCAATGCTTGAAATGCTTCAGCGGTCTGAGGTTTCGAATCCCCCGGCTTATGGTGCGAAAATTGCGAGCACCATATTAGCTGATGATACACTTAGAAAGACTTGGCATGATGATTTGATCACCATGAGCGGCCGGATTCGCTCTATGAGGACGGAGTTATATGATAGCCTCGTAGCCTCTGGTAAGCATCTGCCTAGAATAAATGACTAAAGGCTTTTTAGTAACATGACTAGGCGCACCTGGAACTTGGGAACACCTGATCCGCCAGTCTGGGATGTTTGGGTTTTTGGGATTGTCCCCAAGCGTTGTGATAAAGCTTCGTGGTTCGTTTGTCCTTGGAAATGCTCTTTTCGAGGTATACTGACGTTTGGCAACCGCAGAGAAATATCATATCTACATGGCGGACAACTCGCGCATATCGATTGCTGGGCTCAACAAACAAATCGTGGATTATGTTGGGAAGTCAATTACTGACTGTCTGAAGCAAGAATGATAGTGTGATGGATCAAATAATCAAAAAAAAAAAAACACAAGATGAAGAGTCATTTTCCCGGAAATTCTGGTGTAGATAGGCCACTTGATGACATCTGCTATGGACGCTATCAAGCTGTCGTGGGTCTGAGAGTTCTGCGACCTGACAGACAATCATTAGCCTGGTGGAGCCTCGGTGGCCTCATGATGGGTTGTCCCTGGTGTTAACGACCCTGCTGTATTGGCTGTAGATATCTTTGCTTTGATCGTGCCATATAACCAAGGTTCAACGTATTAAACAAAGCGAAGAGATAAGAGCCCGTTGGTGCCTGTCGTATGATCCTCGAAGTGGAAAGGTGCGGAACACTTTCGAAGGACTGAGCTAGATGAATTTGGGCCGCTTTTGGTAGAAATTAATATCGTAGATGAGACCCATTGTGGGTTAATTCACCATGTATTAGTTGGTAGGGTTATATTATGGCAAGAGAGCAATCCTCAAAATACGAACGTGAATCCACTGGTGATAGTTGTAAGAAGTACAACATATAGAGGACACATCTGTATGTTGCTATGTAGTTGTATGGCCATCGGATTACTGGTGGTTGTAGGTTTGAAAAGGGGTTTGGGGAAGGCGTCCCACTTCCATCTGGACAGATTGCCTGAATACTGCGGTGAGCTGTGGGGAACGAAGCAACCCAACAAAGATCGCGAAACGTCGTATTAGCCGGAATAACCGTTGTATACGACAAGATCGTCAGTGGCAATATACCGTTGGGCATGAACAGATCCCATTAAAACCACGCATGTATGTTGAGCTCGAGCATAGCCGACATGACCCGCAGCTTCCGTGTCTTCCGAAGCCGGCGAAGCGGGATGTAGTGGGGAACTAGTCTGGGGATATAAGCAAGTCATGAAGTAGTGAAAGTTGGGGTAATTGAAGTTTTACGTACAGAGTATAATGCATGATCAGCTCTGGGGGAGGAGACTCCATTAACCTGTTTAAGTTTCGGATACAATGGCGAATCATGAAGTCAATATTTGCGGTATTTTCAGGCGGCCCGCGTAGTTAAACTCAATGGCGTTTTGGTGGCGCTCATCTCCTTTGAGGATATCCTTGATGAGGATGTTGGTTGCGGTCTAATAAAGTGAGACAAAGATAAGGCTTATGAACTGCATGGTATACGAGATGACCCGCAGTTTGAAACTCTGTAACATGTTAAATCACGCAAGGGAGGTGACAATCTACGGCGTATTCCGTAGAATGCATGATAGCCCGTTTGCAGACGTCACGTGACTACAAGGCCGAAATCTTATCGGCTGCCCAGACGGGCGAGTTGACGCCCAGCCCAATCCCCGACTCTTTCATTGGCAATTCGGCTCTCGGGATCTACTGTGGCGTGATTAAGAAAAACATTCTATAATTTCTTCTTGAAGATTTCATACTTCGTTTTTTACTGATATTTCTCCCCGCAATCATTAACGCGGGGATATACTCCATAAAGTGTAACATTGTCAAAGCGTGGAGTCTTCAAGTGGCTCTCTTTAGTGGTCCTTTTTCTTCCCTTCACCAATGTGCAATTTCTTTTACCTAACAGTTCCGAACCTTTTCTTATCAAACTGGGGCACTGGGGCGTCGGGCGGTACGTTTCGCCTAAAATTACACCGTACCATTCAGAAACATCCATTTACATCCACTGACATCCACTTCCACACATTCAAATGGGTCAAAACCCTGTTTCCGGTCATCTCGTTGGGTAGCCGATCATTGGTGTGGATCAGCGTCGTACTCCACGTGTTGGACAAAATCTCTTTAGTCATGAAATCCTGCTTTCCCTCCCGATAGTGCCGCATTCGAAGTGCGCGAAATTTGCCTTCTTATATACTCCGGCCTTCCTCCCTCTTTCTCCGGCAGATCAGCCTCCCTTTCATCATCATGGGCTTCGAAGATATCTCTAACAACCATGAGGCCGACAAGGTGATGGGGCCGGAAGCCGAGAAAGATGAGAAGGTCGTATATGCTCCTCCGCCGTTTGAGGGGGATATGGTCGGGGAGATGAGTGAGGCCGAGAGGAATGTCTATGACCACGGCATCAAGAAGTTCAACCGTCTCGGATGGAAGCGACTCACTATCGTCCTGATCGTCGAGGCCATTGCACTCGGCAGTCTGTCGATTCCCTCCACCTTTGCAGTCCTGGGCATGGTCCCTGGTGTGATCTGCTGTATCGGTATCGGTCTGATCGCCATCTATACCAGTTACATTGTTGGAATGGTTAAATTGGCCTTCCCCGAGGTTGCCAATTATGCCGATGCGGGTCGATTGATGGGTCATCGGTTAGGATGTGGTCGATTTGGATATGAGCTCGTCAATGCGATGCTTGGTCTCCAACTAATCTTCCTCACGGCCTCGCATTGTTTGACAGGAACCATCGCCTTCCTCGACATCAGCAAGAGTACCATCTGCTCGATCATCTTTGCCGTGGTTTCCGCCATCATCCTGCTCTTGCTCGCCATTCCTCCCAGTTTCACCGAGGTGGCTATTCTAGGATATGTCGACTTTGCATCCATCATCCTTGCCATTGGAATCACCATCATCGGTACTGGTGTCGCCGCGACTAACTCACCCGGTGGCCTCTCCGGAGTCGCTTGGTCTGCATGGCCAAAGGATAATATCAGCTTTACCGAAGCCTTCATCGCCGTGACGAACATCATTTTCGCCTACAGCTTTGCCATGTGCCAGTTCTCCTTTATGGACGAAATGCACACTCCTCGCGACTTTGTCAAGTCCATCTGGACCCTGGGTATCACCGAGATCTTCATCTACACGATTACCGGTGCTCTGATCTACGCCTTCGTTGGTCAGGACGTGTCCAGCCCTGCACTTACCTCTGCCGGAAGTACCCTCAGCCGTGTTGCATATGGTATTGCTCTCCCTGTGATCTTCATCAGTGGTTCCATCAATACTGTCGTATTTGGGCGTCTGGTTCATGGTCGCATCTTTAAGAACTCCCCCATCCGCTTCATCAACACCAAGCAGGGATGGCTGACATGGCTGGCTGTGATCACCGCCGCCACTGTTGTCGCATTCATCATTGCCGAGGTGATTCCTTTCTTCAACGACTTGCTTTCAATTTCTTCTGCTCTTTTCATCTCCGGTTTCACCTTCTACTTCCCCGCCATGATGTGGTTCATGCTCCTTCGGGAGGGCAGCTGGAAAGAGCCCAAGAATTTGATGCTGGCATTCATCAACGGAATGATTTTCCTGATCGGTATGGTGGTGCTTGTTGGAGGAACCTACTCCAGCATTGACGATATCGTAAGTTTTTCCATCGTTTGCCTAACAGGAATTGTGTTGCTAACTTCCTCGACTAGATTATCAAGTACGACCATGGAGACGTTCGCGGTGTTTTCTCGTGCGCTGCTCCTAAATAAGATGACTTTTGTGTTATTAGCATACCTGAATATGGGCTAGAGCGTGCTCAAGCTGGCGCTTGTACAAATTCCCCTCAGCCCTGGTTTGGTTGATGGGAATTCATTTCTAGGCGTTGCATCTTCATTATTCATAGAATCATGGAGCAAGCGAAATATGTAGATATATTATAATATTCTCATTCAATATTCAATATTCATAAGCCATATGATTCTTTCGGTAAATCTCGAAGTGTTCAACCTCGCCCCTGAAGTGAAATCGAAAGATCCCTTGGGAACGGAGCGCCACTCCTTCAGTGCTATTTTTAGATACAAACGAAGTGAACAGCCACCCCCGAAAAGGAGTCTCAAAACCGGTCTGCATAGTACTTTATTATTACATGATGTTGTAGATGTTTCTCCGATGCAGAAAGACGTTAGATCCCATTGGTCTTGATTCGCATAACGTGGGTATAAATCGGAGAAACATGAAAAAAATGTGGGGAGCATATGAAATCACTCAACGTCTACGACCGACTTTGCTGAGGATTTCCCAGTCTGAAAATTGAGGTTTGAATATATCCACGCTCTAATGGCAATAGTAATTTGGGAACTACCGAGTGTTTCCAATAAATGAATCTGGATTTGGTATATGATGCCCGTTAACACTTCAGGGATAAGACATTGAGTGAACCACGAGAAAGATCGGCAAGACGGCTCCATAAATAGTCATACTGGTGTCATTTTGCGGGACATCCATGTCGTAGTTTAATATAGTCGGTCTCAATAGGTGAGACAACAACCTCGGAGACGGCAGTGGCGCTCAAGTATAAAGAGGAGAAGCATTTCAGCATATTCTAAAAACCATCAACTATCAATCCTCTCAATTCAACACTACATTTCCAAAACCCAATCTTCTCATCTCAATCTTCCCATCCCAATCCGCCATCATGCAGATCAAGAACCTTGCCATCGCCGCCTCCGTCAGCGCCGTCGCCTCGGCCGCTCCTTCCACCGGGTCCTCCAAGACCTTCGGTCTCGTCGCCATTCACTCTGGCAGCGCCGTCCAGTACGCCGCCTTCAACGCCGCCCAGAGCAGCCTCTTCGCCGGTCTCCCCAACCAGGGTGCCAGCTGCGCTCGTCCCAAGGAGCAGCAGGCTACCTTCTACATCAATGACGGTGCTCTGTACCTCTACGACAAGTCCGCCACTCCCCAGGAGATCTACGTCGACCGTTCCGGCATGGGTATGTTATTGTTCCCCACTATTATTCCCCACTGTCCCATCTAGCAAATCACTAATTGGTATACAGGCCAGGGCAAGATCGGATACACCACCGGTGCTCAGCCCACCCCCAAGAACAGCGAGCGCAAGGGCTGGGCCGAGAAGGATGGCCACCTCCAGTTCGATGGAAGCGACCTGATCGCTTGCCCCAACAGCATTGACGGTGCCTGGAGCATCTGGGCTTCTGCTGGTATTGCCAACCCCGCTGGTAACTCCAACTGTGTTGGAATTGCTGCTCGTGTTGTCGAGACCACCGACCCCAACGGCTGCCTCTACACCCAGTCCCAGTAAATGCTAGGATGTCATTTTGTTGATTAGTTGAATATCTACACTATATAGATTAGGCGTGGCAAATGCCGGCAGTGGCTGCGCCTTTTAGGTTTAATTGAAGCTACCTGCACTCTTAACTGATCAATTTGGAGCTTTTGAACTGTGAAATCTGTAGTGAGGGAAACATGGAAACATCACAAACTAACTATTGTGTCTGTCTATTCTGGTTAAGAGGTCTGGTATATAAAGGTAGGGATATGCAGGTCTCAGCGACCTACAATATACTCGGTTCAATGCGCTACCAACGATCTATATGGACTACGTGTTAGTCTGTGCGAGTTTAATGTACAACATAAGAACTGTGGATGTACGACCTCTGTAGTAGGGCTGATGTAAACTCTTAGTTATTTTCTACGGAGTGCACATATAAAGGAACTGAAAAGTAGATGCCCTTCGAGCATATATATATCTCGACAGTATCACTATTTTCGGATCGAATTTGTAGTTTCGCTAAATTAATTTAATCCGTGTTACAATAACGTACTTATTTATTTAAATCAGTCAATCGTGGTTGATATATATATATTCAAAGGACACCGATGTGAACGTACTTTTTCTATGCGTATCCCATAAAAAGGTTACTTGAAATCCTAGTTTTGTATTAGACGGATGCACAATCATTACCCCAGAGATGAAAATAAAGTACAACCAGATGAGAAAATAAGATCAGGTGTTGTTTTCAGCCCCATCTTGTTCCCCAGAAGTTACGGCCCCAAATGGGGCTAAGCGCTGACGCTCCGGAGGCCCTAAGGTCCCTAATTACGTTAGAAATTTTCATTTCCCTTTCTCTTCAGATTTTCATCTCAGGGGTTTTCTGATCTAAGTCTTGCTTCTGGGTAATCGCAGGATGTTCAACAATCTCCAGACATTTGCCGTCGCCCTCCTGGCAGGCTCTGCCGCGGCAATCGATTTGAAGACCGATGATGAGCGTAGGCTATTCTATTAATACATCGTTTCAAAAATTATTGCTGACATAAAATCAGAATCTATTAAGAATGCGGCAGCGACTGCGGCCTTCAACACCATGTCAACATACACTTCCAACAAGACAGGACATGTCCCTGGCAAACTTGATGGGACATGGTGGCTTGGCGCTCCCTTATTCCAGACAATGATCCAATATTGGTATTTTACCGGCGATGCCTCCAACAACAAGGCTGTGAGCCAAGGCATGTATTGGCAGCGTGGCGAGAACGACTACTTCCCTGCGAATTACAGCCAATATCTGGGCAATGACGACCAAGTGGCTTGGGGTCTTGCTGCTATGACCGCCGCAGAACTGGGATACACTGAGGATTCCTCGATGCCCACATGGTTGACATTAGCCGAGGGCGTATTCAGGACCCAAATTGAGCGATGGGATACTAAGAGCTGCGATGGCGGCTTGCGCTGGCAAATCTTTCCGTTCCAGGCTGGTTACGACGTTAAGAATGCCATGAGCAACGGAGGACTGTTTCAGCTCTCTGCGCGTCTGGCCCGATATACCAAAAACCAGACTTACGCCGACTGGGCGGAGAAGATCTGGGACTGGAGTGCTAGGGTTCCGATCTTGGACACCACCGAATGGAGGATTGCCGATGTGGTAGATGTTAAATCCGATTGCGGGACACACTCTGATTTGCAGTGGACTTACAGCTACGGAGAATATATCAGTGGGGCCGCCTATATGTATAACCTGGTGAGTATCTAAGTGTGGATTGAAGATGCGCGACGATCGCTGACATGAAGAAAAGACAAATGGCGAAACATCCAAGTGGAAATCAGGACTCGATGGTCTTCTCAACACAAGCTTCCACAATTTCTTCCCGGAGAGGTACGGTGGCAAGATCATGGTAGAGACCAGCTGCGAGATCATTAAAACTTGCAACCGAGACCAGGAGGCTTTCAAGGGAATTTTTGCATCCGACCTTGCTGGTGTCACTCTTATGGCCCCTTATACCAAATCCGAGATCCTAGAAAGATTGCAGGGCTCTGCCGTGGCAGCCGCCAAACAATGTACTGGTGGAGATGATGGAACTGTTTGTGGCCTACAGTGGTACAAGGAGAAATGGGATGGTACTACCAATATGGAGGCACAGATGAGTGCCACCAGTCTCTTTACCTCCAACCTGATTGCCTTTGAGCACATGAATATAGCGACCCAAAAGACACCAGCATCAACATCGACATCGACTACTCAAAATACGTCTAGCACTACTGAAACTGAAGGTGCAACTGCAAGCCCCAAGGGTAATGGGGCTAATTCCCTGAGAAGCCAATTTGGATATGTTGTCTTATTAGTATCTATTCTAGTTCTGTGATAATTTACAGAGTAGAAATATACAACAAGCGAGATATACATTTCAAGGGCATTGACAAATTCGAAAAAAATAGCCAATCAAAGGTGTGGAGTTGGCAGCAATCGATTTCAGATTGTCCAATCGCAATGGAATTTGATCGGCAATTTTCACCAAATGGCAAAAAATCAAATATACCAACATGACATATTAAAAAACAGCTAAGAAAACAGGATAAAATAGAATAAAATAGGAAAAGTCGCATACCAATTGCATAATATCCCTGTTAAACCGCCACTCGATGCATCTAGTCCACGTCTAGACTACTTTCGCCTTGTTTTTGACTGTTTTTTCCTGTTTGGGACAATTTTGAGCCGTTTGACAGTTTTCATCCCCCCCCCTAATGTCTTACCTTCTAATTTCCATCTCACCTGGGTACCTTTCTTCTGTTCCTTCTCTTCATCTCTCTTCAACTGAAAGAATTAAAAGAGAAAGTAAACAGGTTATACCTGAAGAACTAATGTAAGTGTGACAAAACTTGGTCTTGGCATCGGACATTGACTGTCAATAGGTATCTGGACTCCTCCACGCTTGATCTGTCCTTTGACCGTGATAGCTACCTGAAAAACCTATCTATCCTACCCATCCTTGGTCTTGTGACCGGATGAGGATCCCCATTGCTGTGCAGCTTGGGCTGCTGGTGTTGTTGACTGCAGTGTCGGGGGTCGCGGTCTTAGCCATCGCAACGGTAGAATGTTTGAATCGCAGGACTGAGAATGGCATCTGACTATTTTAGTGGTTTACTACTTACAACTTTGTTGTGGATGTCGAGTATGTGCTGTTTCCTAATATGCCAGCACAAGTCTTAACATTTGAGCAGATCGCAGGGCCTCGAACTCGTTGCGACCACCAAGGCCAGTCAGATTGCTTCCAATTTGGACCTTCTCGAAACAACCTGCAAAACCATCGCCACACGAATCCTGATTCAATCAGCCTTGAAACGTTACTATGCGGGAAACAAGTCCGAAGAGAATTGGACCAACCCGAAAGTGGATGTGCAATCTGCCCTTGATAGTCGCGGATACTTGGACCTTTACCAGGCCATCATTTATTCGAGGGACGACCAAGGAGGAGCTGGGATCTTGTTAAACCAGACCAGCGACACTGTTCCGGATATCACCCTTCCATACACGTACTCGAACGGGACTTCCGTGAAATTGGGAAATGAGGGACTGGGCTACCCGCCTGCCCTGTACCCAAATCTGACTTACCACGCCGGGTCGGGCGATAGCGATTCAACGGTTGTCTATTCATTCCCCGATTACATACTTGGATTGGACTCCGCACTGCTTCTTGGTCCTTTGAAAGTCAACAATTCCTTCTCTCTCATATCATTGACCTTGCCGATTGTCAACAACACTTCAGATACGGAACTCTTGGGATTCATAACGTGAGTATTTGCTTCGAACGGAAAGGAAACACCAGAGTCGAAACTGATCATCCCCCAGTATTGTCGCTAGTGCCGCGAATTTACAGAGTGTTGTTAGCTCGCGAGATGGATTAGGAAATAGCGGACAAGTTCTTCTCATTGGACCGTCGCAACGAGCAAATATCTTCGCTTCCACCGAGCAACCGGCAACATCCACATCTGCCCCTCGTGCCGCCGATCTTCATGGAGCAGAGGTTCACTACGTCTTCGAGCCTACGCCTTTGCCCACTCAAGTTAACCGGCACAATGGCATGTCAACAGATACGCCATTTGTCCTTTCTACATACCCGATCGCTCTACGAGTCATGTTGGAATCATACACGAACGAGAATAATGCCTTGAGTGACCTGTCCGGTCGAAACGAGCGTGGGGCGAATGTTGCTGTGGGCGCAGTCCGTCCTCGAAACGCACTCGTCCAATGGATTCTTCTCGTAGAAAAAGCTCACGCGGAAGCATTTACACCAGTTGCTAGATTACGGAAGATTATTCTTGCATGCGTTTTCGGCACAGCCGGTGTCATTATCCTCATTGTCCCTCTGGTGACACACTTCGCAGTTGCTCCTATACGAAGATTGCGTGCGGCAGCCCAGAAATCCGTCGAGCCTGAGACTACACCACACCGTCCTGCCTCGGAGCCACAACGGATTGGGTTCGAAGTCGACGATGGACAAAGTGGCTCAGTTGAGCAAATTGTGGAACACATGAATGAGAAAGGCTCCCCTGCCACGTGGGCAAAACGCCTGCGACGTCCCTTGGGGCGATTCAACAGTTCCACAACCACGAGCAGTAAAGGAAATACCCGAGGGTTTCAGATTCCGGCTAGGGTCAAAGAAAGAAGACATTGTGTTACGGATGAGCTCACGGAGTTGACCAAGACTTACAATGAGATGTCGGACGAGCTCACAATCCAGTACAATCGGCTGGAAGAGCGAGTGGCTGAGCGCACCAGAGAGCTTGAAAAGGCCAAATTGGCCGCGGAGACCGCCAACGAGAGCAAGACATTGTTCATCGCTAACATATCCCATGAACTAAAGACTCCTTTGAATGGAATCCTCGGCATGTGTGCCGTGTGTATGGGCGAGGAGGACCTATCCCGGATCAAAAAGTCGCTCCAGGTGGTCTATCAGTCTGGCGATCTTCTCTTGCACCTCTTGAATGATTTGCTCACATTCAGTAAGAATCAAATTGACCAGGCTATCCAGATCGAGGAAAAGGAGTTCAAGTTGTGTGATGTTCGAGCGCAACTGGCCATCATCTTCCAAAATCAAGTTAATGAGAAACATATTGATTTTAGCGTCAACTTTGTTTCTGGTTGCGTGACCCAGCCAAAAGGCAGTGTATGTCGCGAGAACGGATTGGAACGGACCTCCTCAGGTCTGGGTTCAACACAGTCTGGCAGAATGGCAGACATGGTCCTTTGGGGTGATCAACATCGAATCCTCCAGGTATTGATCAATTTGGTCAGCAACAGTCTCAAATTCACACCCGAGAACGGGAAAGTGGAAGTCCGCATCCGCCTTGTGGAGGATCATTCGAAAGTTGAAAGCAATGATATGGCTCTGAAAGAGTCACCTCGACGCCATTCACGAATACGGTCCCAGGCCGGCTCAAGTGTCAACTCGTCGATGCAAGGCCCTGCCGATGCGACCGAGAGCCCAACTAAAGCACAACGGGTATCACAGTCCAATCTTCGCCAGCTTAAATTTGAATTTGAAGTTCAAGATAATGGGCCAGGTATTCCTGCCCATCTTCACCGGCGTATTTTTGATCCTTTCGTTCAAGGTGATCTAGGCTTGAATCGGAAGTACGGAGGAACTGGTCTGGGTCTCAGCATCTGTGCTCAGCTATCCCGCATCATGGGAGGTGACATTCTACTAGAGAGTGAAGAAGGCAAGGGGTCTCTTTTCACTTTGAGAATTCCCTTGGGGTATGTTAAAGAAGTGCCCCCAAGCACACATACTTCAAGCATCCCAGAATCTCGGACTCCAAGTGTCCTATCCTTGGAAGACTTCGCACAAACCGTGCGAACACCCTCAAATCACGGATCAGTTAGGAGCGAACCCCCTGCGCCTGGATTCGAGAAGTCAGAAATCCAACCACGTTTGGTTGGATTGAGTCAACCATTTTTCACCCCGACTGTTCCATCATCTCCTGCATCATCGCCTCAAAAGTTGCCATCTAATAAAAGCTCATCCGACACGAAACGGATCCGTGTATTGGTTGCTGAAGATAACAAAGTTAACCAAGAAGTAGTCCGACGGTGCGTGCCGACGAAACCTTCCTTCAGACCTTTCAAATGCTGACTTTGATACTAGGATGCTCGCCCTGGAGGAGGTGTATGATGTGACGATTGTCAAAGATGGCCAGGAGGCATATGACACTGTCAAAACAAATATGGAGAAGGGAGACGTGTTTGACCTAATCTTCATGGACATCCAGGTAAGGATCATGTTTCCGCATGGTCACAAAATGCTAATCAATGTAGATGCCAATACTCGATGGCCTCGAGAGCACCCGACTTATCCGGCAGATGGGATACTCTGCGCCCATTGTCGCATTAAGTGCTTTTGCAGAAGAAAGCAATATCAAGGACTGTATGGACTGCGGAATGGATATGTTCATAAGGTTAGTTGGTGTCGACTAGAATATCCCTCGGTCCCTCGGTTTGTCACTAACGAAAGCAGCAAACCTATTCGACGACCTGCGTTGAAGCAAGTCCTCAGCAAATTTTCCACCATCATTGAGGAAACGGAACATTGCTCTTGAGAATGTCACATCGTCCATGAAAAATACGGAACAGATGATGTAACTTCAAGCTAGCTAGATATCCTTCCATGTAACATAATGTAATGATTTTGATCCAGCGTCCTCTATGGCTCCAAAGACAGGCTTAACTGTTAGGTGATGCAGGGTATCCCAAAGATATTCATAGATAGGATCTCAAATGTATCCTTGTCTATAGATATAGGTTGCAGCAAGGGCCTCAATGTTTAAATCATTCCGAGTCTATTAATGTCGCCCTGGTATTGAGCAAGGAAAATACATGCTAATTTGTTCAATATCGGTATAGAGATGCCGAATGAGGCTCATCTGCAAGGTAGGTCATTGTTACTACATAAGGGAAATAGCAGTGAAATCATAGGAATTATAGTTGAACTATGACTTTGATTTTGGTTGCTTCCGAAAATTGTATTCATTAATAACATTGGCAGTCCCACACCGGTAGCCTGGTGATGACAGTGGCTTGCAGTGATCCCCTAACCTCTATATATCGGCCGTGCATCATGGATCGTGAAAATAACAGAACGAGTAACCTAGTAAGTGATCTGGAAGCTGTAGGCATCATCGTAGTGGATAGCCCAGTAGCCATCCCAGATCTTCTTAGTAACAGGTCCGACCTTTCCATCTCCAACGGGGTTTCCATCAAGAGTGGTAATGGGCATGATACCACCAGCAGTGGTACACATGAAGATCTCATCAGCATCATAAGCCTTCTGAACAGGCACGAGCTCAACCTTAATCTCCAAGCCGCTGGCATGAGCAACATCAATCACACTCTTGCGGGTAACACCCTCAAGCACACCGCGAGCTGGAGTGTACAAGACATTGTCCTTAATAAGAACGATATTGAATCCAGAACCCTCAGTGAGGTTGGTATCGCCATCAGTAAGGAAAGGATATTCGGCGCCACGATCCGCAGCCTCGAAAAGACCCCGAACAAGATCACCCCATTGCAGATTCTTGACAGTGGGATCGATGCAGCCGGGAGGAACGCGACGCACAGTGCGTGCGATAATGGCGCTGCCACCAGTGGGCTGAACCTCAGGCTCCATGCACCAGACATAGGGCTGGATAAACATATAGATACGGGGGACGATATCACCGGGGCGAGCGCCGCGGACACCCTTCAAGCCGCGGGTCACGATAATTTCGACGAATGCGTCGCGGATGCCACTCTGTGCGACCATGTCGACTAGGATCTTCTTGACTTCCTCGCGGGGGAGGGGGAGTTCCATGCGGATCTTCTTGCAGCTGGCTTCTAGGCGGGTGATGTGGTCGTCGAGGCGGAAGAAGCGGCCGTCCCAGACGGAGGGGACGTCGTAGGTCAAGTCGCTGTGCATGAAGCCTTGGTCGAGAATGGGAATGCGGGCTTCGTGGAGGGGAGTGAGTTCGCCCTCAACCCAGGCGACACCCTTTGCGAAGGGGTGGGTGCTGGATGCGAGAACATTTTGGCGCTCCTGGTAGGCGGAGAAGATCTTTTCCATGGTAGCCATGATGACTGTTTTTATGAGGAGGTTGAGGGTTTGGAGGGTTGGATCGGCGCTGTTGCTTGAGGTGAATAAAGTTAGATATTCAGGTAGATATAAGGGCCTTTAAGTGTCTCTGTATGACCTCGACATCGCGATCGCTACAACGGGAAAGAGTTGGGTTGATACTGTAAGTCTCAATTTGGCAGGTGGCTATCGCTGTCTAGAGCCGACGCGGGGATCTCTCGCATTCCCGATCGGGCAATGTAGATATTTCCCGATCGGGAAAGCGATCGGGTCCCCACTTAGGTGCAGGGCATGTGACATCGGGAAAGGAAAAATATTTGGAGATACTTTCAATTCAAGTAGAACAATATTCACTATATTACGATCGTTTTCCCATTTTTAGGGAAGGTTTTGGATCTCGAAGTGGGAAAAAAAAAAACATTATGGCGAAGAACATCGTGGTGATCGGGTAAGTTGATCGAAGATTACCCGGACAATAGAACAGGTTATTAATATTTTGAGCAGTGCTGGTGTCGCTGGACTGACAACGGCACTTCTGCTGTCGAGGAAGTCTGGCTATAAGATCGTTGTTGCAGCGAAGCATATGCCTGGCGACTATGATATCGAATACGCATCACCATGGGCCGGTGCAAATTACATGCCGTACGTCAAACACATGATGTCAACTGAAGATTTTATGATAGTTCTGTACATACCTAACTCATAATTACAGCGTATCTATCAGCGGAACAGATGCCGCAGAGTGGGACAAAAACACATGGGGTCCCCTTGAAGATCTCGCGAGAAACAACCCCGGAGCAGGAGTACATTTCCAAGGTATGTAGGACATACATCTTTCTATTCGCGTCACCTTTGCTAATGATTGGGATAGAATGTGAGATTCACAATCGAGCGAAAGATGTTGGGTCAGCAACGGCCAATTGGTTTAAAGAGCTGCTATCCTCCAATCCTTGGTTCGCCAAGGTTGTTCCAAACGTGAGCTTTAAAGATTTCCAACGTTTCTGCTACCAGGATACTAATTCGTAGCTTAGTTTCGAACACTCCCAAAAGAGGCTCTGGGCGAAGGAATAGATTCAGCCACCGTCTTTACCTCCGTTTGCATCAACACGGCAATCTACCTACCGTGGCTTGTTTCCCAATGCCTGTCCAACGGAGTGATTTTCAAGCGAGCGGTGTTCGACCATATTCTAGATGCAACTGCATCAGGCATCCACCCGAACGGCCGTGTTGATCTAGTAGTCAATTGTACCGGTTTGATGGCCTCTAAGCTGGGTGGAGTTCAGGACACTACAGTTGTCCCTGCCCGAGGGCAGATTGTCATTGTCCGGAACGATGCAGGAAAAATGCTGGATATGTCTGGAACCGATGATGGCGATGAAGAAGCCTGCTATGTCATGACTCGAGCAGCCGGTGGAGGCACTATCCTCGGCGGCTCTTACCAGAAGGGCAATTGGGAATCTCAACCCGACCCCAATCTGGCAATCCGGATCATGAAGCGAGCTGTCAAGATGTGCCCTGCGTTGACGGGTGGAAAGGGTATTGAACATCTAGATATTATCCGTCATGGAGTTGGGCTGAGACCTGTCCGAGAGGGCGGTACACGTATTGAGAAGGAGCGTATTGGAGGAGTCCTGGTGGTTCATAACTATGGCGCTGGAGGTGCTGGGTATCAATCCTCGTATGGATGTGCACAGGCCGCAGTTGACCTGATCGATCAAGCCTGGAATCTTCAAGCCAAGCTCTGAACGCGTTGGCGATCTTGGCCTAGAATGATTGTACTACTAATACCTGATATAACCATTTCGGGAGTTAATTTGCATTAATAATGTTTCGTTTAACGCGAGGCCTCTTGTGTCCAACACTGGACCCGTCGGGTATTATGCGAGATAAGAGAAACCTCGGGAAGGGTAAACGGAGTAAATGGAATAAATTGACGATAGCTCATTTTCCAGGGAATCTAGCTTTTGCATTAGTCTAAATGTAGCATAAAAAGCGAGAGAGATGTGTTTACGGAGTAGAGAGAGAGCCGATATAGAGAGAGATGACGAAAGACCCGCGGTCAATTCCTCGGCAATGTCACCTGCCTAAATTAATTCCCTAATTCAGAAGGAGAGCCGGATCTTTACTTCTTTACAATACACCATGGAGAATGGACTAACTTTCAGCATCTGACGGGATGATTTCTGATCAAGGAAAGAGAACAAATTCACTTGGATTTGCCCAGACAGACTGCCATACTTGTGCTTCTTCGGGCGAAAGGTGCGACCGGCGTCGACCCCGATGTTCAACATGTCTTGGTCAAAATCGCAGATGTGGTGGCTTTGCAATGTCTCTTTCATGGGACCCTAGACGAATGTGGTCAGACAATCCTTCGGCAGCAGGTGCATCTAAAGACCTACCAAATGAGGAGATCGTCAGCGACTCCTCCCCCAAGACTGTCTCCACTGCGTTTGCCGCTCGGTCAGATTCACCTAAGCGCTTCCGCTTTGTCAAGGGTGTGTCTAGACCAAAGAAGCGTCGAAGGGCCAACTCGCCGAAGGATCAAACAAGCCGGCCTGTTGTAACAGAAAGCTCGCCTGAGATCGTGGTTAGAACTACACCCACAAACTTGGAGGTCGTTGAGGATCACCAAAGGGTCAATAGCTTAGCTGGTCTAGGTATGTTCGGTTGCTCAGACCCCTGCAATGTTTCAAAGCTATATATGTTGCTTACCCCTTCTTTTCTAGAGCTGCAAGACGGACATTTCTTCGATGATTTCGGTTTATTTGATTCTCTACTTCCTAACATCTTTGCGTCCACTCCATTCGTCGATATCGAGCCCCAGGAGACACTGACAGCAGAAATGTCGGGTCTGTCACAAACGCCTAGAATGACAATGACACCTCTTTCTCCAGCAGACAAGGCCGTTGACCCGTTACATAATCTACAAACCAACTCAATGGGTCAGAATATCGACCCTATGTTTCGAGACGAACCAGAGCAAAGTGTCCTAGGCAATGTGGTTCCGCGAACTATCCAAGAACCTATAGTACCTTATGCTTCGGCGCGTCTTCAAAGTGTTCCTATGATATCCGAAATCTCATCTAACGACCATGAGAAGCTCCTTGAATTATGTAAGACTTCTACTCGACTAGCCGCTTTATATTAGAGATCACGCTTATCATACCATAGATGACTCCGAATTTTGCGTTCTGCCTCTCACAGGGGACATACCTGGGGCAGTGAATCCGTTTCGTTGCAAACGTCAGACGTCCCAACGATCCCGCCTTCTTTTTCATTCCATTCTAGCACTATGCTGTCAGCATCTAGGACGCTTGGATGGCAGCTGGCCAAGTGAAGCCGCTGAGCATCGCCGGAAAGCCGTTCAGTTGCTTGAATGTGCATTACAAAGTAGCCCAGTACTGAGCTTATTAGAGCCTATACTAATACTGTTTACTCTTGATGTAAGTCACCCACTGCAATACAAGTCGCTGAATTCTAACACTTATCTCTAGTGTGCCCTCTCTGCTACCGGGAATTGGTCAACTCACCTGATGCGAGCCCACTCAGTGCTCCAAGCTCATGGTGGCCCAAATGCATTGACAACACCTCGCATTAGGTCACAAGTTGCAATGTTGATTTGGTAATAACCTGAAATCCTTTTGGCCTGGAGAGTTGTGTTGCTGACTCCCAGAACAAGGTGGGATGCCACACTAGCCTTGATATCTCGACAGAGTCCTATCATGGACCAGGCATATCTGGACTTTTTGGTGCGATGGGAGAAGCAAGACGAATGGTCTTTCTTTGATCTGACCGGATGTCCTCGAGAATTACTGGTTCATCTATTTCAACTTGCCGAGTTAGCCAAGCAGTGCGAGGTCGCTTTAACCATGAAATGGCTGACTTTCAACATGACTCCTATCACACAAATAGAACATGAATTGATGGAGTGGAAGAATGATGCAGAGTCTCCGTCAAGTTACAATGACCCCAACTTGACTGACGATGATGCGATAAAGCAATTCCACGAGCAACAAGATCGTTACCACTGTGCTGAGGCATGGCGATATGCATTGCTCCTATATCTTGAATATATATTCAAAAGCGATCGCAAAAGACGGTCTCTCAGTGTCAATAAACTGGTGCGCAAGACAATTGACCACATTCGGTGCTGTCGACGAACATCCCAGACACAGAAGCAACTCCTTATCCCCGTCTTTCTAGCGGGTAGCGAGACCTCAGATGAAGATATGCGCCATTTTGTGAAGGAATACTGCGCTTACTGGGGTGAGAAATCTCGTTATAGCATGTTTCATTCTGTTCCTGTCCTTTTTGATGAAATTTGGGCCACCGGAAAATGGTGGGGTGCTGTGATCGATAGCAAGACCAGACCTAGTCCTGGACATGGACAAGGAAGTACACAATTATTATTTGGATAGTGCTGGTGATAATACGTGCATTGTTTTCGGGATCTGTTTCTACCTACTGTTGTCCATGTTGTTAGTCAAGTTTTCTAATAGTAAGGTATACTGGCACATGTTATACAAAATATATATCAGCTACTCAAGCACTCAATCGCCCTCTTAAGTATGAGATCTCTACAACGGATATTGATTGTGAGCAATTTGCACCCCTGCCCATATTGCCCGAAGAGAAACAATTCAATAGACATCATGATATTTCTGCAATTATTTATCTAGTTACAAAATTAATCATTCTACCACTATCCATCTACCCCTCTCGGATCCTGTCCTGAAAATGCCGTTGGAAATGACGGTTCAGAACATATATACATGCCTAAAGACAATACAAGCCTCCAAGTAAGGACGCGACTAATTGCAGTATCCTCAGCAGTTAATTCCAATGAACGCCTTGGAAACTTCAAGATAGATAAGCTCGTTTCCAGCACCCTCATAAAAGATGCCGTACCGGTCACCACCGAGGGCAGTGACTGTGGAATAAGAGGTTGTGCCCTTCTGGAAGACTGAACCCGCAGACCAGGTCTTTCCGTCATCACAGGAATAGCGGATTGTGCCATTGCTCCGGCTTGACTGACTGTTTGCGTTGGTGAACAAGAGGATCTTGGCTTCGGCTGAACCCTGCTTTGCATCAGGATACGCTCTTGCGATAGCGCCGTTATTTCCTGGGTCGGGAAGCTGGTTCTCAGTCTTTGGGGTCGACCAGTTCACACCACCATCGGTGGAGATTGCAACCTTGCGATATCCGCTGCCATCACTCGGGCGCGAGTTGAGCATCAAGTTGCCATTGGACAGCTCCACGACCTTGTTCTCATCCATCCCATTGCCGACAACATTTCCCTTCTTCCAGGTAGCGCCACCGTCGTCACTGTAGACGCTGTAGGCTTGCGAGATGACGTTGCCACTTGGTTGGACAACTCTACCGAGGAATTGTTGAACCAGGCGTCCGGCGTGGGCGCCATACTTGAGTTGAATTCCCTGTCCGGATGAGGCAAACAGGCCGGCAATTCCACCGACGTTCTTGACGCCGTTGGCAGTGCTGCCCACCGGCTTGATATTCTTAGTAATAAGAGGGGGTGCACCGGCCTGGGAAGATGCAACAGGAGGCAACTTGGGTTGATTTTCTGGATCGGTGCTCCAGCTAACTCCATTGTCGGTTGACACGGACACTTCGGCGCTCACGATATCGCGGTCGGTATCATCATTCCCGACCTTACTGCCGAGGAATCCCTGGTTCTTCGAGAAGACATGGAAATTGAAAACCTTTCCAGTCTTGGAGTCGACCACGTAGCTTGGGTCGCTGAATCCGTACTGTTCGGCCGACGATGACTTGGGTTGGCCTTTGGCGACATAGGTGGGTTCACCCCAGGTTTTGCCACCATCCGTACTGCGTCGCTGCATAATTGAATTCGGGGATGGGGAGTCTCCTCCGTCTGGGCGGCCATCGTACGAGGCTAGGAGGATACCATTGCCTAGATTTGCCAAGGCAACAATTCGGTAGTGTGCAAATGGTCCGGCTCCATCTTTGGCCAGCGTGGCTTGAGAGGTGATGGCTGCGCTTGCCGCAGGAGTTGCTACGGCGAGGATGGCGCACAAAGAGAGGACTCGCGTGAGGGAGAGCTCCCGTGCAGATTGCATTAATGTGGAGAGCATCTTGAAGTTACTCCACAGAAGATGCCAAAAAAAAGTGGGTTTGAATGAAAATGAAGATGTAGAAAGAACTGTTGAGAGGATGATGAACTGTTATATTTTTGCAGAACAAGGAGCTGTTTATATAGAAGATTCTCTATCTTTAGTTTTAATCTGGATAATTTGGATAATATGGACGAAAGGAACGGATTGCAATCTATCACTATAGACCAAACCACAATGCTCCAGTAGTATGGAGTATGAAAGGGATAGATAGAACATATCGATTTGACTTCCTTGGCATACGTAATTTCCCCGCAAAATCTAAACTTCAGGGGATATCCACTGGTTCCACTGGTTCGCGTGTGTTTATCTTCACAAGGTCTATATGCTGACTGCATTATCACAATCTCGTTCCTGTAATGATGAAGAATCCAAGCGAACTAAGTAAGCCACGCGATGCCACCCGGCGCCACGCGATACCCCCTCTTCATGACTCCACTAGATATATAAAATTGCGATCGCGATGATCGCAATTTGACCGAACCGATCGCGTCGCAATGCAACCCGATCGGGTCACATCACCGACCTCAACCCACCGTTATGTGGAGATATGCGAACATCTACAGCAAAAGGTGTAGTACTTAATAACTGTTAAAATTCGTAGTTATGGAGAAATACTATCATTCGCAATATCACAGTCATCTATTCTACAGCTATGGCATCCACCAAGATTAACAAGTCATTCCCCCCTGGCATTCACGGCCCTTCCATTACCTTCTTCCAGGATGATCAGCAACAGGAGATTGACTGGCCTACCCAAGAACGGCATCTGGAGTACATGATCACTTCTGGCATGCACGGCGGTAAGTTTGATTGGTGCAGATACGAGTTTATGGGGCACAGCTAATCGAATCATAGTTGTTCTCGCCGGCTCCAGCGGTGAATCAGCCACTCTTAGTGTCGAGGAGAAGAGCATGCTTGTCAAGAAGACTCGCGAGATCGCCGATCGTCTTGGAAAGACCGATTTCACTGTCACAATGGGCTGCTTGGCTGGCTCCACCCGTGACATCCTTGTCCAGATCGAGGCTGCCTACAAGAATGGTGCTGATTTTGCCCTCACTTTGGTGCCTTCCATCTTCCACTGGGCTATGACCCAGAAGGCCATTACCGACTTCTTCGAGGAAGTGGCCGACCGTTCCCCCATTCCCATTGTTATCTACAACTTCCCCAATCTCTTGTCCGGATTGGATGTCAACTGCGACATGCTGGAGAAGCTTGGCGCTCACCCCAATATTGCCGCTGTCAAGTTGACTTGTGGTGGAGTTGGAAAGGCCCAGAGAGTTGCAACACAATTTGAGCCTGCTCAGTTTACCAGTTTGTCCGGAATGAGTGACTGGCTTGTAGCTGCCTTTGCCGCTGGAAGTACTGGTTGCATTTCAGGTGTTGCAAACATTTTCCCCAGAGTAAGAGCAGACCCCGTCCGTGGCAATGAGTACCGATTATTGACATACTTGGCAGGTCATGGTTGAAATTTACGATCTTTACATGGCCGGAAAGATGGCCGAGGCCTCTGCGCTGCAGAAGAAGCTCGTCCTTCCCGAATGGGGAATTGGCACATCAGACGTCAGCGGAATGAAGTGGATTATCGCCAAGGAGCGTGGTTACCCCTTGTCCAGTGCACACTGCCGTCGCCCATTCCCCAAGTTCTCCGACAAGGAGAAGCAAGAGCGTGTTGTGCGCCTGGTCGCACCCCTTCTCCCTGTTGAGGAGGAGCTTAAGGCCAAGAAGGTTTAAATATAGATCAAACATTATACATATTGATGCCCGCTAGATGATAGAAGAATGAAAAACAAAATCGCAAAATAACCATTTCCACCACATGTCACGTTCACAAGAGCTGATGAGCAAAGCTGAAAGACTTCAAACAATAGCAAATGTGGTATAAAATAACTCCAGACACACAGAACGAATGTCGACGCGCTTGCCTCCCTCACGTTGTCGCCTTTGCGTCTCTTGTAGTACGTCGGCCGTCATATTTGCGTTGCTGAAGACATGTTGAAGACCACGAATGGTCTCAAGAATCCATTGGAATTCATTATAGTCATCTTCCTCAGTACCCCATAGAAATAATGGCCACAGCATGTTGACCGGTATAGATTGATTATTGTTGACCATGCAATGTACTATTTCCTTGATTTTGGACAGCGCTACCACCGCTGCCTTAGAACGAACCAAATGACGGTGTGCGACTCGATGCAGGTGAATGTAACAGGCGTAAAAGTTAGCCATATACGTCTGGAACGAGCGAACAATAGTGGATGCGAGCGGCTCGGCTAGAGTATCATTGCCGATACTTCCAGCCACGGCATGATCTGTGAGCGGCGGTCTCCGGTCATACAAGGATGACAGGTCTGACAGGATATCTGCAGCAATAGCCATCACTTCAGTCTCGTCCTCTACGCTCCCTCGGCTGCGGTGATTATGTGCGATTCTGGTAATTCGGCCTGTGATGGTCTGGACTTCCATGAAGAAAGCTATCCCCGGCTGGCATAGCAGATCATAAATCACTTCGTGTGCTCCAGGATTTGGGGCAGAGGTCATGCTTTGCGGTGTTGAGCTCGGGGAAGTTGAATTTTGGGGCGAGGTGCATGTATAGATTCCAGATGTGTCATTGACAAGCACCCCTTCCCCACCTGCCGATGCCGCACGGGCGTCTAGCAGGCGAATCCATGAGATGATTCGTAGCTCTGATACGTCGTTTGTTAGCAAGTGGAGAATCGTCTTAGCGGATTATTCTACATACCCGTGGAGCCCAATGCACCCCTCTCGGAAGCTTGCAGCGCATTATGCGCCTTTCCGAGATTCAAATAGGCTAGATCCAATCGTGCAGTAAGGAACTAGATCCAAGTCAGTCAAAGCAAAACAATAAATCAGCACGTGATTGGACTAACATTTATGTATGTAAGGAAAAAGATAGTAGCTAGAACGTATCTGAGTTCATTATTGCTGATTATAATTTCCCCTGGGGATTTTTCAAACTTTTGCGACAACTCAGTCGCAGCGTTGTCGTAGTGTTGCTGGTATTCCGCCATCCCCCCGGCATTTCCGGACTGTATCGCTTCAAAGGCCGCGATCGAAGAGCGGAGCATCGTGGAAGAGGCTGCCATGCTCTCAAGCAGCTCTCGCGCAGAAGCGCATCTCGGACCATTCTCAACCGGGTCAAGAATTGGCGGCAGGTGTAAATGGAGCGAGCTTTCAACATCCGGATTGGCGACTGGGGATTGTTGTGGTGACTGTCGTTGGCGCTGAGAGTTCGGGGAATCTGCGTCGCTAGATCGGGTCTGCTCATAGGAGGTGTTTCCCAAAGTGGTAAAATCACCAAAGTCAGGAAAATAGACATTTTGGAACATGGAAAAGCCCTCCGTGGGGGCTGTCATGGATTGGAAGTCAAACATGTGAGGCGATGGAGACACATGGTTTAATTCCAAAGTGACGTTTGATTTGAAAGGATCGGCGTCGTTCTGCACGGGGGTCTGTCGTGGCTCGATGGCTTTCCAATCGCATTCCAGATTCAGACGCTGGCAATGATAACATCGAGGTCTGCGTTCATTGCATCGAACCTTGCGACGTTTACACGTCAGACAGCCATTTCGCGACCGAGGACCATATGGGCGACGGTGTGTCTCTTCACGAGCGACGATAGGTAAGGGACTCATTATTGGTGTGTTTTTTTCCGGTAAGACTATTGAAGAAGGAGAGAAAAAAAAAGAGGCCAAAGATCAACCTGCCCGATAATCACAGACTCATTCCGCTCCGATAGCGAATGACAAAAGTATTCAACCTCGACCATGCCACCATATCAAGCCCCGCCTATTTTTATTATTGTTTGGACCAATCAAATAAAAGAAACTAGACCCCCGCACGCCAAGACTGGATGAATAGTTTTGAATCCTATAAGCGTAAGGCCGATCCCCACGAAAATGATTGATGTGATACTGCGACGCTACCATAACATTGCTACACTGCTGCAACATTGAAAATCAGATCAATTCCAAATGGGTGTAAATCCATCTGAATTCCGACTAGTAGAATCACTAGTCAGATAAGTAATTCCTAGATAGGGTTTTGCGGGGGACCTGTCAAAGCTTGTGAGATGAATTGTCCTAGTTTCTTTAGTTTCTTTAGTTTATTATTTCACATATTAAGCTATCTCACCCTTGCATATTGACGGATAGGTTCATCAGGTAAAGATGAGCAGGATCAAATTGACAACTAGTAGCTACTAAACACGCTAGTTCTCTAGTTCCATACTACTGCGCCTTCTATATTAACTGTAGATTAGACCACGTGTACTTCGTATGATGCGTATATTTCTTTATAATAATTCGTACCTAATAGCCTAAACAATACCCCGCGTCTTTCCCCAATATAGACATTCTTTATCTGCCTGCCTATTTGAGATAAAGTCGAAATTGCCCTTTTGAGTAGGCGAGCGGCTGTTCCCAGATAGGCAACCGACATCGGCTCGGTTTCATCGGCCCCAAATCGGCCCCAATCGGCCCCAATCGGCCCTGGCCCTTCCCCAACCTCCACGACTCCATTCTCCCCTCCCCCACCATAACCGACCCGACGATCGGATTCTGTAGAATGTAGTGTACATGTATATTGTAGGGATAGTATCAGAAATTATAAAAGGCACGTCAGAACTAATCTGAACAATTGCAAGTTAAGGAAAATTGGAAGTTCAAACCTCAAACCTTTAAAAATCCATCATGTCGCTGTCACACCTTCCCGAAGGAGTTGCCAAGTCCATGGCCGAGACCAAGGTCGAATATAAGCGCCTTGGTAACAGCGGCCTCCGCGTCTCCGTTCCCATTGTTGGATGTATGAGCATTGGAAACCCTGAATGGGCACCCTGGGTCGCTGGTGCCGACAAGGCCCTCCCACTGCTGAAGGCGGCTTATGATCGCGGTGTTAACACTGTTTGTACCCACATCTCAGTTTGTGAGAAACCGAAAGCTAACTGTACCTAGTGGGATACTGCAAACATCTATTCCAATGGCGACTCCGAGAGAGTTATTGCCCAGGCCATCAAGGAATACCAGATCCCTCGCCACAAGCTGGTTCTTATGACCAAGGCATACAGCTGTGTTGGAGAGCAACAATTCCACGCATACCCTATCATTGAGGACTTGAAGAAGACTAAGGATTACGTGAACCAGTTTGGTGAGCTATGACAACTACATCTAAGATGTAAAGGCGACGCACTTACTAACTATATGCAAAGGCCTCTCACGGACGGCAATCTTTAAGGCACTTAATGATTCTCTCAAGCGTCTGGAGACCGACTACATTGATGTCTTCTGGATTCACCGCTTTGACCCCGACACTCCCATCGAGGAGACCATGCACGCTCTTCACGACCTTGTCGTTGCAGGAAAGATCCGCTACCTCGGAGCCTCCTCAATGTGGACTTACGAATTCGTCATGATGCAATCATACGCCGAGAAGATGGGATTGACCAAGTTTGTCGCCATGCAGGTGCGTACAATTCAAAATTTCCGACTAGATTATCCGGAGTGCTAACTATGAAGCAGAACCGTTACAACCTGCTCTACCGTGAGGAGGAGCGTGAGATGATCAAGTACTGCAACCTCACCGGTGTTGCTGTTGTCCCTTGGGGACCTCTCGCCGAGGGACAGCTTGCTCGTCCCCTGAAAGTTCGTGGAACCACTACCAGATCTTCTGGTGGCAATGAGACACCTTCCAGCCTGCGCCCTGAGTCCGAGGAAATCATTAACAGAGTGGAGGAGCTCGCGAAGCGCAAGGGATGGACTATGTCCCAGGTTACACTCGCCTGGCAATGTAAGCGCGTAACCAGTCCTATCATTGGCTTTAGCAGCGTCGACAGACTCGAGGATGCTTTGTCCGCACGCGGTAAGCAGCTTACTGCTGAGGAAGAGAAGTACTTGGAGGAGGTTTACACCCCCGTCGAGGTTGAGGGTCACTTCTAAGCGATCATTCATGTCTTGCCTCCTTGTCTCCGACTTTATGATTCACGTGTCATAGCTCTATAGATCCCAAAGTAAAAATTTCGATCATCAATATTCCTACCATACTTGTAAATAATTCTCAGCAGCTACCTAGTTTTGGATTGGAACATAGTATTAACTAAGCATCGTGTGAAGTTCAAATGCTGCTTTCGCTGCTATATATATTGCAGATTATATGAGGTTGGGAGCATTACTGGTTAGCAGGGATAATGAAACCGACGAAGCAATACGCATATCCTGGAAAGCTGTAAAACTACAGATAAGGGAAGAGGCAAAACTGTCAAGAGCATATGGCACATGACGGTAGTATTCGAACATTAAGAACTGGCATCCCCAGGGCTATATCAAAATGTGTGATACTGGTAACACTAGATTGCAAGTCATATGTTTCGAGTCAGAAGAAATAATTTTGTCAATCACAATTCTTCAAATATGGGATATATATATGACCATCTATCATAAATCTATACTCTAGTTTTATAACTCCAATGATGCAAAAGCACAAAATCATCCACTGCTTCTCGCAGGGGTTCTAACCAACCTTCCGCCTAATAAACATATACAAACTCATCATTCTTGCGGTCAGTCAAGTCCACAAATGGTGCTGCATCCGCCGTACGTGGCTCGTCCACCACCTTCCCGTCGGTCTCAAAGGCATGGGTCATGGATTTATCTTGGAGATCCCCAATCTTTCCATTGCTGATTCTCCTCTTTTTGTTCAGTCTGTTCAACCAGCTTAGATTGAGAACCTGGATGACCACCAAGCCAACCAATGCGATAAACAGGCCGAGAACAGCCCGGATACCGGGGAGATATGATGGAGCTTGCTCTGCAGTGAACAGAAGTGGACCGGCGAGAGCTCCGGCCGAGGTACCGGCCTGGTAAAGTGCCATCGTGACCGAGGTCTTGGCGGCACCAGCGGTGTTTGCCACGACCCACGACAGGAGGAGGGGGTTTGCGGCGAACAAGAAGGCACAGAGATAGTAGGCCAGTAGAAGCGGGCCCTGTTGTGACTTCTCGTGTGGGAGTGCGTAAAGGACTGCAATGCCCGCAACTACAGGGATCATGAAACCGATCAAAATGGCAGACTTCAGTCTCAGTTTGTAAGAGGCCCAGCAACCACTGATGATGACGATGGTTTGCATAGCGCCGAAGGGAATGTTCAGCAAGGAAGTTTCGTATGCATCGAAGCCGAAGCCTTTCACAATAAGAGGGCCGAAAGTGCTCGTCATCGCCGATCCCATGTTTGGCAACAAGGCCATGATAATCCAAATCCAACTCTTAGGGTCAAGAGCAACTTCAATGACTTGGGACCAGTCAAAGTCGTAAGAAGCGGAACCGGTCTGATTTGCGCGGAGGCGCTCGACGCCTTGCTTTCGTTCGTGTTCAGTGAGGAAGCGCGCGGTCGTGATATCGTTGTCGAGTTTCCAATAGATAAAGGGCGCGGTAACGATAGTAACCAATCCTACAACAAGGAAGATACTGCAAAATAATTAGACACGTTCAATTTCAGGATCAATAGTGACTTACGTTTGCCATGGCTTCAGCACAGTAGGGGGGATATGGCCAAGTCCATACGACAGAGCAGAAGCTACCATAGTGGCAGTTCCGTTCATAGAATTCCAAATTGAAACTCGAAGTGGTTGTTCGACACGACGATACCATTGAGCAGTGAGGATTGTGAAGAGAGGCATACACCCAGCTTCAAAGAGACCGAGGAAGAAACGAACGGTGACCAAGCCCGCAAAATTGTGGCATGCGGCAGTACTCGCTGCTGCAACTCCCCAGCAGAGGATCATAGAGGGCATCAGAATACGGGGCGGGACCTTCACAATAAGCCATGCCGAGAATGGCTGCCATGCTACCTGCGCAATAGGAGCAATAGAAGAAACAAGAGAATATTGGCTTCCCACAAGACCGGTGTCTTCTTGAAGATTGAAAATGGAAGCAGTTCCTAGGACACCCTTGTCTAAGATCTAACCGACGAATAATTAGCATCATACAGAAGGAATGATTGGATTGTTTCCCTCACCTGCAAGAAGTATACCCAAGTAAGGATCGCTAGGATCCTTTTATCGGTCTTTCTCCGGATGCGGATGTTCTAAACAGACAGGGATTAGCCAGCTTTCTTTTAGCAAGTATCATCAAGATGGACAAACGTCTTCATTCGTGAGAATCACGAGTTCACCTTCGTCCATATGCCCGGGAGTTGGCGTATCCGAGGGGGCGTTTGCGTGCACTGACTTTGAGTCCGCCACGGCTTCAATATCGTGATTAGCCATCTCGAGCGAATTCCTTCTCTAGGCAATAAAATAATAGAGTGAGAAGTCTAAGACCAGACGGGAAATTAATTCAGGAGATCCTGGTATGATCTTATATTAACTTCCTCAGAAAACGCCCAGCAGCCATGCCACTCCCAAAGATAACACAATCTAGGGAGATTTGATTAACCAACCAATGACTTATCCATTGGTTGCCGATCGCGTATATGAGTCTGGGGTAAACCGTAATCTTGTTTCCCCAGAGTGGGACCAGATCATTAGCGTACAATACCCTCTCTCCTACCGAAGGGGGTAATGTCGTAATCTCCAACTCCATGGTTGCCCAGGTGGTATCGTAGCATCGAAATTCGGAACTTCCCGCCCCAAAATATATTATCACCCCTTCTCCAATTTCCCACTCCTTATTGGAGATAAGATATCTCGGGTAATGTTTGGGATACCAACCATTGGCCACTATATTATTTTAATCCCATTTATCAGTTTATCAGATAGCGTAGTTAAAACACGAGATACGAAATACAAAGATTGATTGGGGTCCACGGGTAAATGCAGACATAATGTAACACCGATAGCCAAGCGAGGCGATAAGAATTAGTTGACGCCACTGGATACCTAGGTAAGTGGGAATGATAGCTCCAAATCCCCCGGCAAGCGATTGGTGGTCTAGATCTGTTTCCCGATCGGGTTAAATAAACGCGTTTAAGATGCGAGCTTAAGGAAAAGTCAACCCGGGGAGCTTGACATCCCTGTCAAGCCATCACCTATTTGGGGTCAGCCGATCGGATATCGGGAGCGGGCTATGATTGTCAGACGTATACTTTATTCCTCTAGCCAATCGGTTTATTGACTACAGCGAAAGATCGAGGGTAGATAAGTGGCACATCTCTGCTCTCATTCCAAATGTAGTAAATCATTCAGTTACCAATCCTGGAATTCAGGTGAGCCTCCTTGAAAATATCGAGCTTTAAAGCTTAACTTCCGGTACTAATATGGGCGGATGAACTCTCAGGTCTCTCTCTGATCTGAGCAAGAACGATCTAACCCCTCTTTTGCCTTTCCCAGTAAGCGCTAACTTCCCGGACTACCGGATAGCCAAGAATCTTGAATTAACCGACTTTTACAGGGATGTCTCAAGAAACTCAAATAATTGGTTATGCTCAACCTTGGATTGTTTCCCCTGGAGACCCGGTTGATATCAAAGTAGGTTATTTCCATCCATGGATCCAGAGTCTGGTTTCCCCGGATCATCGGAATACCTTCCGTACCTATTTAAACGCTAACCCCTTTTAGATCTCAAGTACCGAAAAGGGATATGATCACCGTTTAGTCCGTCTTGTTCAGGGGTTTAGCGGTCCTCATGCTCCCCCAGTTGTGATAGAAGATATCACTGAGGTCCCCGTTGGCCACCACGAGGATGGTTGTTTTCAAGATGCCTGTGCAGGCTCCTATGCTCTTATCCCATCCTGGGCGGATGTGGCCCTTGCAGCGGGAGAGGGCTTCGAAGTAGAGTTCCATGCGCAGCCATACTTGCTTGATGTGGACTACTACTGCCAAACCCTTGTATCATGTCTCGACATCCCTTCTCGGACTGGATTCGCTGTCGTTTTGAAAAACTCAAAGCTTGAATTCTATATCGGCACCGGAGATAAGATCCAGGTCGTCCAGAGCCAGCTTCTCGTGAATCGCTGGAGATGGCTCAAGATTAGCCTCAGTATTGTTAACAACACCTTGACTTCGAGCATTCATCAGTTGAACCGTCTCGCCGAGACCGCTCCCAATGGCGAGAAGATGACTACTGCCTTGTCGGCACCGCTGGTTCTGGGATCGAACTCGCTAATGTTTGGTGCAGGCATGTTCAAAGATATCAATGAACAGAGCTCTAAGTCGGCATGCTATTACAATGGCCGAATCGACTCTCCTTCCTTTACCGTGACGGGTGCATCACGCCGCACAGTCGCGCAGTATGACTTCTCCAAAGACATCTCCAGCGACTCTATCGTTGATGTTTCTGGAAATGGTCGCCATGGTGTTTTGATTAATGCACCCACTCGCGCCGTTAAGGGATATAACTGGGATGGCACTCAGCCAGACTGGACCAAAGCTTCGTACGGATATGGAGCCATCCACTTCCACGAGGATGATCTTGATGATGCAAAGTGGTCCACAAACTTCACTATTACTATCCCATCAACCGCTCGCTCGGGTGCATATGCCGTTGAAGTCAAGACTGCAGACGGAACAAGCGATATGATCACATTCTTCGTCCGACCGAACCCCAGTTCCACGGCCAAGGTGGCCTTGGTCATGACAACATTCACATACCTCGCATATGCCAATGAGAGAATGTACGACGAGAGCAAGTCGTCAGCAATGACAACTCCGGATGGAGTTAGCATCGGCCGTGGTAACGAGTATTATAAGAACCTGGCCCGCCGACCGGATTTGGGTCTGTCGGCCTATGACGTTCACACAGACGGCTCCCCCAATGCATACTCGAGTGCTCTCCGACCGATTCTCAATCTCCGACCTGGATATGTACACTGGGCCTTGGACCGGCCTCGCGAGTTCAGCGCCGATCTCCTCATGGTCGGATACCTGGAACGTTCCGGAATTCCCTATGACATTATCACCGATCATTGCTTGAGCAGCAAAGGTCAGGAAGCAACCGCGCAGTACACCACACTCATCACAGGCTGCCACCCCGAATACCACACTCTTACTTCTCTCGACGCCTTCAGTGCATTCGCCAAATCAGGCGGCAACTTGATGTACTTGGGCGGCAACGGATTCTACTGGGTCGCCGATGTTCTCAATGATCGTTCTCACCGCATGGAAGTTCGGAAGGGCGATCAGGGTTGTCGTTCCGTCACGTTCCCCGCTGGAGAACGTATGCACAGTCTTACCGGAACCCTCGGAGGATTATGGCGCAGCCGCGGTCGTGCTCCCAACTACCTCTGGGGTATTGGGCCATGTGCGTTCGGTACTGGACCCGGAAAGCCTTATACAGCAGATTTGAAATATGCCCAGGATGAGAAATATAGCTGGATTTTCAAGGGTATTGACCCAACTCAGCCGATTGGCGCAAAGGGCTTCGGTGGCGGCGCCAGCGGTGATGAGATCGATCGTCTGGATTTTGCGCTTGGAACACCGTCGAATGCGGTCCTACTGGGAAGAAGTCAACAGCATGATGATTCCTTTGGACTTTTCAACGAGGACTCCATGTTCCCCATGGTGAACACTCTCGGTTCGACTTGTGATATGGTCAGAAGTGACCTGGTATATTATGATGCCTCCGGTGGTGGCGCGGTATTCTCTGTTGGTAGTATCAACTGGTATTGTAGTATGGGCTGGGATGATTATAATAACGACGTCGCTACAATGACTGACAATGTGTTGAGAGAGTTTGTGAAAAGAGGAAAGGGTGCTGGGGAGAAGTGAGCCAAACACCACTCACTTTATTACTTGAATTAAGAATTATTGTTTTTGACCCTCTTTATTGACGTGTGAACCAAATAGAAAATAGATAGCTGGCATGTATGTAAGGGAATTGGAGACCCATCTCATGCACACTTGAATGGAGATGGCTGGTATCCTACACTCGGCGCCGTGGTCCTAGAATATATTGACGAAGCTAATGCCTTAGGTTTAGGGGATAGTTTGCTCCCTTCTCAAGATTGATGTTGTTCCTTTCCTCTTTCTATCTCCCCTAAGAGTGAACACTTTCGATCGACTACTGTGTCCTTTCTCCTTGGAGCCTTACACGTGGCCGACGTGTCATATGTATATTGTGTGGTCTATTGACAAATAACAGCCAAAATACTCCCATTCAGGAAGCCACTAGCGAGCGACAGCATATTTCGCGAACAACGGATCCTTCAGTAGTCGGTTTAAGGAACTCTCTTCAACACCGACCAGAATCTCCATGCCACCATTCGGCAACACTGGGAGCACAACTTGACAACCGTTGATGCAACCAAGATGGGGCACACGTACAGACTCGATATTGTTGCCCAGCAGTGGTCCCCACTCCAACCCGTACAGTTTGAAGTTCACCCATGAGGTTAACACGCAGTTGAAGCCGGGAACATCCAGGAAAGCGGTAGGTACCAGCCGATCGACGTCCTCAAGCTGATCTACAAGAGATACCACGTCATCCGTGAACTGCCCATCGGCCCGCAGAAGCGCCTTCCGAATCTCCGTCGCCAGATCGGCCAAATTGAGCGTGCTAAGCATTTTCCGGATGGGTACAGAGACTGCAACATACTCCAGGAAACACCCCATAGTCTCAGGATGCAACTTGAAATCTGTCCGTTGCCGCCCATCAATAGCGATATTGTATACAGATACAGGGTCACCCTCGAGAGTCTCCAGGGGCGATTGTACTGCCATAACTGTACGCCAGAGCAACGCCGCAAGAGCATCATTGGTCGAGATCCATTTTTGATCAGACGGCTCGGTCGCATTCGCTGGAGACGCTTCCTCCTTCAGCGCTGCTAAGGATTCCGGAGAAAAATAGAAAACCTGACCTCGATGGCTGAGTGAAGTCATCTTTGGCGGGGCTCCCGGGGGTGTGAAAGGAAGAAGGGTATACTCTGGATGGTCTTCTATCTTTCCAGCATTGCGGCCGGAGGGCTTTGTTACTTGCGCGCGGTCTGTCCAAATGGCGTCGGTAAGCTCGATGGGATCTAGGATCTCTAGTCCCTGTGCCCGACGACACCCCTCCGCCCAGATGTTTGTCCAAGTATAGAATGTTGTACCATCCCCCACCATGTGGAAAATGCACCACGTCAGGATGAGCCCTCCGCGGATGAAATTGGCCTGTACAGCTGAAATTGGCAGTCGTTCTCCAGCTGAAGGCCAAACAGAACGGGAACAGAACGTATCGGCGTCAAAGGAGGCCACGGGGAAGGATTTATCTTTCAACTCCGCATAATCGGATTCGAAGGACTGACGTAGGTCCTTGACCACGATGCGCGCTGCGTCGCCATCCGTCTGTCCCTGGAGTTTCATAACGCCCTTTTGTTTTGAATTGCCGTCGGGAACGGCCTCGCATCCGACCTCTGGGATTCTTTGTGTGAGAGCTTGGTATCCGGCTTGAAGAACACGAACAACTTCATTCAAGTCATACCCCTCTTGGAGCTGAAACGGGAAGACATAACGAAGATAGCCCTTTGGCCCGATACGCTCCAAAGCTGTGAGCTCAGGGATCGGTCGGTCGTTCATGATAGATCCCATATTCCAGCAATTGGTTTATGATACTTAGAAAAGGGGGAATTTGAAAGGAGACGTAATGATTGTTAGACTACTGGGATGAAAGGCGGGTATATCCACAATAAAAGTGAACATAAAACATGGTCTCGGCTTGGATGCATGTGCAATGTACAATTGTACTGCTCCATATGGAGCACGGACTAATTTTAAGCGGAGTATAAACTAGTCCTTTTACAATGAATTTAAACATACCGTTGTTTTATTGGCTAGACGACCTCAATGACATTGTTGCGCGTCTCCATTGAAGGATGGTTAGGGCCTGGGACGGGACAGCGCAATTTCACTAAAAATATAGCGCCAACGGCTACACTATGGCTATTGTATTGAGATGTTTATTTGGCCTTATTTTTTTGTATATTTTTGAATCACATATACAATATCTATCATTGCTCAATTATTGGATACCCTCAGCCTTACTACGCAGCATATTGTGTGAGAATTGATAAAACCCTAGAATTGCTAGATAGACTAGTGAAGCAGGTTTTGGCCCTAGAGTCCTAGTGCTAACAAGACTACAACGGCCTGCTTGGCTCACACCGGATGAGGACAATCCCCGGAGATCCTCACTCAGAACACATTTCTTTAGAGCGGTACTTTTGTTAGCCCCCGGGGCCGACGCCGATCGCCTGTCATATAACTAGTCTACGAACTAAGAAAATCCGGATTTGTACCCGTGGACAATATCTTTATGTAGTAAGGTGCCTCTCCGCGATGTACTAAAGTTGTAGTTTCAGGGGCCAGGTGATTTCAATATTTTCTTAGCCGATAGGGACAATTGATTTCGCTTAAGAGTTCATGCTAGGCGCTTTGGCTCGATGTTGTAGATTTTCCCTCATCAACTACGCATTGCCATGAATGAGGACCCGGCCATTCTTGCTCTATTTGGGCCCGCCCCAGCGAATGTCGACCTCACTGCCAGCGATGTATCTGTTAACAATGGCGTGGTCATTGCAATGCTCTGCCTTGCTGCTGTGTTGGTGATTATACGCTTCACTGCTCGAATCGTCCTCCGAAATGCCTTGATGGCGGATGATTGGGCAATCATTGCGGCTCTAGTGAGTTACTTATTGGCGAGTCTGTATCGCATTTACTAACTATATTTGCGCAAAGATTTGTATAGCTGCCACAACTGCAATAAGTGTCGCAGGTGAGAACTGAAATTCAAGGCAAAAGACCAATGTTTGACGAATCAACTAGGCGGCACCACCGGTGCAGGAAAGCACATCTGGGCAGTTAAGCTGGAAGAATTGATGGACTTGTACAGGGTAAGCGAACGCCCTCTAGAAGCCCGGTACACTCTACTAATCCAACCTTTTAGCTCCTGTTCTGTTACACGTTCATTTATGCCTCTGCTTGCACTTGTACCAGACTCTCCATACTTGCTTTCTATAGACGAGTCTTTTCACCATTGGAACCGTCGTTGAAAATGGCTCTCATTTTTGGCTTGTTCCTCACACTCTCATATCCTATTATTATTTGGGTAACAATGGGAAATGCCTGCAGACCAGTCTCCCACTTTTGGACACAATTCAGCGCCACGGAGGGAAAATGCATCAATGTCAACCAATTCTTTCTCGCGTTAGGGATCCTTAACATGCTGAATGACTTCATTATTTTGATCATCCCTTTCCCGCGAATTGCTCGGCTTCAAATGACCCTACGGAAGAAACTCGCAATTTGTGGTATTATGGCCGTCGGAATTTTGTATGTCCACATCCTTTTTCCTTCTAACCCTGATTCCCTGAAGCTGAACTATAGTCACCACAGTGTTTTTGTTGCTAGCATCGTGCGGATCCATTTCCTCTCTCAGTTTATGAAAGCCGCCGACGTTACTTGGCTGATGGGACCTGTATTCATCTGGTCAACCATTGAGCCATCGGTTGCGGTGGTTTGTGCCTGTCTCCCTCATCTTGCACCACTTGCTCGACTCGCCCATCGATCAATCTTACCCAGTTTGAATTCACAAAGCGCTGGTATTTCTTCAGAAAGACTGGGAGGACAGAGTAGTTCGGGGCAAGGTCTCCAAAGGAATAAAATCAGCCATGGTCCAAAATTCGACTACGGGTTCGATAAAATGAAGAGGGGCGCACACAAAGATGAGATTGGGTTAACTAACTACGTCACCGTCGGTCCCAATAGAGGCACGCATCCTTCAAATGACTCCCTGAATGAGGATATTGGTCACAATCAGTCGATTGCTGTTCATTCAAGTCTTGTCCAGTCCGCCTCAACAAGGCCGCCCTGGTAAGGATTTGACGAGTTATGTTACGGAACTATGTACGGCATTATACTAGAATAACACACTTATAGATACGAGAATCGTCGGCCGCATGAGCGGCCTTTTGAAGTATCTTCAGTAGTATACTCACATATCTCTTTAGTGGTATTCTCAGATCTCATTCTGTTGAAATGGCCCACTTTTAGAGTTCGACGGCGAAAAAAGGCGGGAAAGGGCTTAATTTGTGCAGATAACTTTGCTAAATACACCCTTTGACGAGGTCCGTTAGGCGCGTTAGAAGAGTATTAATCCCCTCAATATATATAAGCTTCATCTAAGCAAGTCTGGGATGTATTTACCGTGTTGGAGGGATTGCAAGAGGGCACTCTGGCGAAGGCTTGTTGTCGCTGGATTCTGCATTGTCACGTTGATATATCCGGATAGAGTTGTTAGCACTGCAGGGGCTTGGGTCGTATCTGTGTCCTAGACCTGATCAATGTAGGCCTGTAGAATATTCATTATGTCAATTGATGTTGATACCAAGAGTAGAGAGGAGAAGATTGATTTCTATAGACGAACATGAAGTTACTGAGGTCTGATAACATAGGTACCCGGCTGGATACCACAACAGATCTCTATTCACTACTCTTTTCAGTCCTCTTTTCAGTAGACCTTCCAGTGGTGTCTTTACCAGTCTTCTCAGATATCATTATGCTTAGCTAGGCCGAGACACATTGCCATTTACAACTAGCACCAAACCCGGAACCGGGTGATCCCCAACCAACGTTTGGCGAACGCTTTCCACGGGGTAAAGATCGTCGCGATGTCGCGTTAGTTCTCGCCGTGTAATTTTAACACAGAACGTGACATCTATACGGACCAGTCGCCTATCGGCCAACTGCTAGTGCTATTGATTGGCCTTTGGCATTCCCCCACTCCCTGTATACGCCGATGATCTCGCGCTATGAGACTCCTGCTCCAGAGACTCGGAAACACCCTTTGTGACTACTTTTGATGCCATATCATGTACTTCACGAAGAAAGAAACGCACTAAATCACGCACGTAATGAGCAAATTTACAGCCCCGAATACCTTATTTCTCTAACTACTTTTGGCCAATATTGCTTCGCGAGATTTTGACACGGGGACACTGTTGGTACTTGCTTGCAGAGAAAGGAATGCTGAAATGGTCGAAATCCTTTGGGCCTTAATGCTGCATTTCACAAATCAAATTGTTTGATGTTAGAGCTGCTTCGTAAAGGTTTCCAGGTACTGGACCGATTATTACCTGATATCCGGATCGACACTTCGGAAGTTCATGTGCATGGTCAACTACAAGAAGAGGGTTAAAGTCGACGGTAAAATAAGGTGGAAAAGGGCTTTATTTGTGCAGACGACCTTTTCTACGTATAACCTTTGATGAAAACTGTGAAATTCAACGTCCAACAATCATAGGTCTTAGCGGTCATATCGTGGCAAAGAAACAAAACACTTTCATATCTACAAAGAACCAATCAAGATACCTGATAGACACTTGGGTGTAGGTCCAAAGCTCAGTGTCGGATATGAAGGCTGCGGTCAGCTTTTAGCGGCATATCTTCTAGAGCTTGCATTAGGTACCCCCACAAAGAGTCGTTCATGCATGTCATGCAGGGCAAAAGCAACTTGGAAGATTCAAAGATGAATGCGACAGCAATAAAGCCCAGTTTCATTGGGCTTTCGTGCTTACGGACTAGAAATTGCCGATATACGCACAAATCGAACGTATCATAAGGGGAGATCGAGGGCATCACATGTGAATTTCAATTGTTCCCAGATCCCTCCTCCCGTTCAATAGATTCTAGACTCATCGAAAAAAAGGTCATATGCAGACCAGGATCTGCCTGCTTATGGGGCCCCAGGACTCGATTTTTTCATTATCCCTGACCCAACGCAACATCAACTATCTGTCTATTGAGATATGGATATTCTCTAGAGGCGGTCACGGTTCGAAGGGGTGCTCACCGATTGGTGAGCGTAGCTACAAATCGGCATTCCTCTAATAACGAGAAATAATTGAGCTATGGTTGTGGAGTAATAGAGAGTGCTGTGGTTCGGGTTCCAGCATGAATGCTCGCTCGGTCTTTTGTCTTGAAGTTGATGGTGCCGATCGCTTTTCGGTTGCCCTCGGGGACTGGGGGTTTCAGGTAGGTAGCGATCTAAGTGGTCGGGTGATAGTACATAACTGCCTGGCTTTGTCTATTTGACAAACTTGAATGAGACACTTACAATGAAAGTAGAAACAACGGATGCCTTGGACATCCTCAAACATCCATCACAAAACGAGCTCACCGCTCTTTTACGATAGTGCGGTGCCCCAGGAGAAATTTATCCTTTGTGTTAATATACCCTTAACTACCCACAAATACACTGCCTTTGTTTTCTCCCTACTCTCCAGAAATTGGTTGCCGACGACTATGGAGCAATATCTCTTAGAAAACGTGTCACGATATCAGTCTCTAGTGCAGCGTTTCAAGCCTCAGCGACCGACCACAACTGAGAATAAAAATGTCGGGGAGTCTTCGAACATTGTTGTGGCCATTCGTATACGACCTATATTGAACCACGAGACGGAATCCGGTCAGGTCCCCGCTATTTTCCCTCGCAATGAAAGTGGAGTAGTGGATCTTCATGAATTGAAGAGGGTCGTCAGAGGCCTGCCTACGTTAAATGTTAGTGGGCACAGTTCGGCTTCAGACCCCTAAAAGGATGAGGGAGATGAGAGACGCTAAACCTCCTTACATCTTCCTAGTCGTCTTCATTCCGAGTCGGTAGCGTGTTTGGTGCCGATTGCCCTACGGAGATACTTTATACAAAACTACTTCAACCACTTCTTCCTTCGGTATGGGAAGGAGGCATAGGCACGCTGTTTGCCTTTGGACAAACTGGGTCGGGTAAAACCTATACTATCAGTGGAATGGAACGACTCCTCGCCGATACTTTGTTTGATGAGGCCTGGACAACCGAGCGGAAACTACATGTTTCGATGTTTGAGCTTGCTGGGAACTCAGCATACGGTAGGTGATTTACAAATAGGCGACTCGAATTTCATACTTTACTACCTGCTGACAGTTATTCACGATCAGACCTCTTGGACTCGCGTGCGCCGTTCTCAATCCTTCAAGACTCGTTTGGCGATACACAGCTTGTTGGTGCCCAAGAACTTCCGATCGATAGCAAGTCTGCATTTTTAGAATTGATCGAAAAAGCAACGTCATTTCGACAGACTGCCGGTACAGAGAAAAATGACGGGTCATCCCGCTCCCACGCAATTTGCCGTATCAGAGCTGTGAACATACTACCAGGAGTTTCAGAAGATGGCATCCTCTACTTGATTGACCTCGCAGGGTCGGAGGCAGCACGAGACCTTGCCAATCACAGCGCCGACAGGATGAAGGAGACCCGTGAGATCAATATCAGCCTATCGATACTCAAAGACTGCATAAGAGGTATAGCAATCGCCAACAACGCACCCGAAACTTTGAAAAAGGGTCAAAAGGGATCATACATTCCATATCGTCAGAGCACATTGACGCGAGTCCTAAAGCATGTGTTTGATCCGTCTGGTACTCGAAACTCCAGGACTGCAGTATTAGCCTGCATCAACCCAAGCCTTTTAGACACTGCGGCAAGCAAAAATACTCTTCGTTATGCCAATATGCTTTGCTCGACTGAGGTCAAATATCAGTCGGCGGAGCATAATCCTACGATACCCAAATCATGGAATAACAAGTATCTCCGAAGTTATATCACCAGGGAAGTAAGTTATACCTTTCAAATTTCAAACTTCAACCATAACCCTCCGAAACTATAATGCTAACTTACACAGTCGGGAAATCCCGTGATTTCACCCTCCATTCTTGCACCACACGAGACTGGCCCTCAGCTCTTAAGCATTCCTTTACCGCAATTTGTCGCCCGCTGTCTCCGTACTAAGGGTGTAACGGAGAGGCAAGCCAAAGCCTTCCATTCAAAGCTTTGGCGCCTTCACATTGACTCCACACGCGTCTCGAGGACGGGGCAGAATGGAAAACCCGATTTAATTCAACAAGTCCCTAGTTCCCCGGCGAGCGTGGTATCTGTGAATCGTGTGTCCTCCCGTGACTTGGTGTGTGAGGGGGACATGCGAACATTCAAAGATCGCATTCGGCCTGGTATGGTGGTTCGTTGTAATGCAACGGTGGAATTCCCTGGGATTTCGTGTGAACAGAGAATCGTCATGATTCTGTGTCCACAGAATGTGGTTGGAAAGAACATGAAAGATATTTTTGGCAATGAGGTCAATCCGAGTTATTGTCTTTCATCGCATGAGAAGACAGAACGCTATTTATGTGCTATGATCTTGTCCGGGGGGTTGGCAGACTCGTACGAGGTCAGTATTTGGCGCCAGATTGTTGTGGACCTGGGCTCTATGGAAGCAGAAGTCTCGCTCGAGTATGATCCCGCCACGAGATACTATCATATCTGTTGAGTCGAAGTCAGGGTTAGATTTGTATGCTTGATAGATCGTGACCTCATCCTTGCCCACTGGGCGAATAAAAGCGTTTGCGCTCGTTTCTTGTTTACTGATTTCTCTCTATTTCCGTCGCCAGTCAATGTAAATGCTGTTAGATGTGAGACATTGTGAGTCAGGGCGATGACTAATAATTGTAGGTAAAAATTGTTGGATTGAGGTAAATCGATGTTGATATAAAATTCGACTATGCCATGTTGAATGAACATTAAGAGCAGATAAATTGAAAGGAGTGTGCAGTGAAAGCGGTGTTGAATAGCGATCAAAGTAGGGTACTGTTGAAAGGAGCTATAAAAAAGCTACACTTCCAGTGATTCTCTGAAGTGACCTCAATAGTCGTCTCCACGGCTGATAACTTCCTTGCCTGATTCTCGCAACAAAATGGTCTGGAAGGATTAGCGTTGCGGGTTCTTTTACAATGAAGAAGGGTCACATACATGTTCAAACTGCGCGGAATATGACCCTTTGATGTCCATCAGAGGCTGGTAGAGCTCGACATGGCCGCTAGATACAAGACTGTTCATCTGTTCATTGTAAGTACACGTTTTTCGATGGTAGAACTATAGGAACTCACGCCAGCTAGATACCGTTCGACACCAAGCCGTTCAAGATAGCGACGGCAGAAGACCAGCGACCCAAAGTTTTCGTTGATTTTCTGATAGAGGGACTTGGCGCTAGCAAGATGCGAAGTGATCTTTTTTGGTGCGGACGGGTCTTTACCATACCCATAGACCCCAGGCTAAAGAAATGCATGAGCAGATGATGACGATATATAGGCAAGGATGAAACATACCCCATCAAACAGATAGCCACGACCGGTTGTTCCAAATGTCTCAATAGCGAATATCTCTCCCAATTCCATCTTAGTATTGTCATTGTTCTTGACAAATGGTATAGACTTTCCGGCGTGAATGCGATATTGCTCAATATTGTGTCCACTGATATTGCGCACCGCCTTCACAGGGAACGTGCGACCATTGATGTCAACCTCGTAGCTTTCCATCGCTTCCTGTATGGCAGCGCTTACGTCACTAATTCGAACATCGACCCCGGCATTCTGGCACTTGTCAGTCGTAAGTCTACCATAAAAACAAATTAAAATCGGATACCTTGATGCCAGTATTGGTCGCGTCCTTGACAGCGGCGAGCAGATTATCATAGGTTGGGTCAAAAGACATTGTGAAAGCACTATCGACAATCCAACCATTTATATGAACGCCGAAATCGACCTTCATGACATCGCTTGAGTCGAGGACCACATCCTTTTGGCCTGGATTCGGCGTGTAGTGGGCAACACAATTGTTAAGAGACAGTCCCGTGGGAAAGCCCATTCCGGATAGGAGACCTTGTCCGGTCTCTAGGCCGGCATTGTCGAGCAATGCTCTCACGCCATCCTCAATTCCCACGGCAATATCCGTGAGGGTTTGGCCGGGACGAGCGGTCTCTTGCGTCCAGCGTCGGACTTGCCGGTGAATCTCCGCGGCCTTCCGATAGTCATTCAAGATGGTTTCATCTTCTATGTGATGACGGGACTGGTGTCGAACTTCCTCAGCGGTTGTCCGGGCCGTATTTTCGACCACACACTCATAGGGTTGAGATTCGCCATGTGGATACTGCCGATCAGGGAAGAGATCGGCAAGAGGAACCCGCGGTGGTGAAGATTGCTTCAACACGGACGACTTCTTCTTGGATCTTTTTCGTTTTTTCTTCATATTTGTCGAGGATACAGTTTGCGAGTTCAACGAGGTATCAATGCCGGGGCCATTAGCGCCGTCGGCATCGTCATCTGCATCACCTTCTCCAAGTGTGCCATCACCATCACGGGACCAATGGGCACCCCGTGGTTCTCCACCGGTTGCATTCGCTTTGGTTGAGCTGGGAGGAGCATCTGCCAAATGTTAGCTAACTAATTTGGATGGAGGACAATTGCTGCATAACATACTGCCACCTCCCTCGCTGTCATTCTCGGCTGTTTTGGAGCCCATATCGACATGAAGAAACGTAAATCGCAGTGAACTGTACGGATTGTCTTGGAAGTAAGAAAAGCTCGTGTCCACGGGTGAGGGGCGGTTCGGCCCCGGCCTAATTTTAGTATGTTGTTTGCGACGTTTGCCAGATTTGTTGGGTTTGCCACGTTTGAATGATTTGTTTGTTACATTTGATAGACACTAAGCCCTTTGTAGAAAATGTACCTATGGGTCTGTACCTATGTACCTTCCCCACATTTTCTGGGATCTCGTCATTCGACATGCATATCCCGCAATAACATTAGCCGACCAGCCGATAGTTCGAAATGTTCTCTCAATGTTCACACTACAACAAAAGCCTTTAGGTAAATCGCTAGAATGGGTACGACTAAAAAAACATCGCGATCACGATTTGGTGAGTCTTTCTCTGAGCAGAAATAGTGGGTCCGCTAATATGTTTAGGATGTCGCACCTGTCGTGCTCGAAAAGTGAGAAGCTATCTCTGCTCCAAATGATCTGATTTTCTAAAGCATGCAATTGTAATTTCACAGGTCAAATGTGACGAAAGGCCTGGCGAATGCGCTAACTGCGCTCGATTGCGACTGGTCTGCTCCGGTTACACAACGCCGCTGAGGTCTCCAACCACTGGAGCTGAAATAGACCAAGATTCTGTGAGAGGAAAAAGGACGTTTCGTTCTTGTACAGCATGCCGAGCTTCGAAGACTAAATGCTCTGGTGAGCGACCATGCCAGCGATGCCGCTGGAGATGTTCAACCGAATGTGTTTACGCCGAGTCTACACAACCCACCTGGGTGCGCAGAGTCAACGCGACCCCAATTGGTAATATTGAGTCCTCCCCATCTCTATCTGCTATGCCCGCACGGTCTTTTGAGGATTCACCGTCTAGGCCGGACAATCTGCCTGACTTAATGGGGACGCCGCCTATGTCACAACACGCTTTTCCCTTAGTGGAGGCCACTGGGAATTCATCGCCCGCACTTGACTGGTGAGCTGTCAAGTCTTTCCTAATTTCTCAATATGTTGGGCTTCTGCTAAAGGGTTCCAGGTTGGCTACCAATTATCTCCCCGACTCTTCGAAAATCACGATGTTAGTCGAAGAGTATTTTAACAACATCCACCCTCTGCGCGCATTTGCTTTCATGCACAAACCTTCTTTCCTACAACGATTGGATGGACAGCTTCTGAATAATTACCATAATAATGCTCTTTTACATGTGATATGTGCACTGGGAGCCCAGTAAGCCCAGCCAACTGAATCACGGAAACAAAGTCCGAGAAGCTCATTTATACTCTGAAGGTTCTATGCTCTATCATACAGTGAGACTAGGGCTCCACTTGAGCCTAAATTTATCCTTCTCGCAGGAACACAATGGGCTAAGACTGCCCAACGACTCATTCTTGAAACCATAGATCGTGTGACAATAGAAAGTCTAATGGTGCGCTCCCCGAACCTCAGATTCGAGCAGGCTTCGATGCCGCAATATAGTCACTAATATTGTAGCAAGGCGGCCGTTCTACTTCATGATTATGCGGTTCGACTGGGGAATTTTGCAAACGCTTTCATGTTGAGTGGACTCACCACACGCATGACCCAAGCGCTGCAGATAAATCTTGAATACAACACCGACGTCCTCTGCCAGAACACCGATAGCGGCCTCCCGGTTACAGAAAGGGAATCTCGTCGGCGGCTGATGTGGAGCTGCTATATAATGGATGCCCTTGTTGGCAGCGGAGTAGACCAGCTGATGCTAATGGATGAAAGAGATATCAAGATTCAACTTCCATGCAACGAGCGAAACTTTACTCAGCAAGTCCCCTGCCTCACAGAGACTTTATATCCTGGAAGTTGGCTCAAAATCCTACATGAGGATATAGATACAAAGACTCTGTTGCCCAACATGGGAATAATGGCATATTTCATTCGACAGATCTCAATCCGCAAAAGGGTGTTAAGGTATTTACAGCACAAAATTTGCAATTCCATCTTTTTTTGAAACCGCTAACGTGCAACCAGATACATCAAGCATTTAGGAGACGCTATGGTTCCATGGGACCCTACATCCGAATTTGCGCATTTGGATTCAGATTGCCGGGCATGGTATGACTCTCTACCCGCAAGTCTACACTTCACACCCGACTCGATATATATTCGCAAAGAGACTTCTCAATTAGGCGCCCTGTGTTTGCTCCATTGCACGCACTATCAAACCATCTGTGACCTATATCGACTAGGGGCTCCTGCGCTTTACAAACTCCGAGCCGCCTTCGACTTCCCCCCAGAACAAGCGGAATTCCTTCGGCATTTGCAACAAGTTCTCTTTGATTCCGCTCGGACTTTAGCAACCATTGTTGGTCAGACGGCTGCGCGTGGTCCTAAAATGTTGGCAGACTCATGGCTTCCAACCATCGTGTATGACAGTTGCCGGATCATGGTATATCATTTGACTCACATCCTAGATCCGCGGTTGGAGAATGCAAAGACTCTTGTTTTGGCTGCAATTCCTCTCCTCCGCAGTAATATCAGGGCACTAAAGTCAATGGGATCACTCAATGCAATCGCCAGTTCACTGGTTAGTCCACATTCCTATTTCGAACCTGAAATTTGAATGACACCTTGGATTACTGATTTTTTTTTCTTTCTGTCCCAGGCCTCGGCAGCAGAAACAATGCTTGCTCGCTCTGGTATTGAGTCCCAGGTTGTCACTCGCAACATTATACCTGATGACCCGTATCAGTCAGCTGATGAGGAAGACACAAGGTAAATATGACTATCTCTAAAAGATGGAGTTTACTAATGTGAATTACAGTAGCAACCTTCGAGAAACTCCAGTTCAAAGTGCGCCGGATTACGTTCTGAATCCGCTCACTATTTTCCGAATGGCACGCAAATCTATCCCAGAGCGACATGCCCCCGAAAAGGCGGGCACTACGTCCGCATCTAATAGTGTTATCCCCGAAAATAGCGTCGATATTGATCATTCCCCTTGCGAAGTTGTTAGTGAATCCGGGGCAGACAATGGTGCAGTCGAGTTAGAAGTTGAGCAGCCGAGCCTTGAGGAGCTACAGAACTTATTCATGTCTGACCTTGGATGGGCATGGCAGCCGGCAGACACGGCAGTTGGGTCGGGAACTGAGGGAGCTGGCCTGTTGCCATGGGCAGGTGGATATCCTGTTACTCAGCCACAACCCTGGTTGCCCGTATTTCCATTTCCCCAGCAAAGCTGATAGCATATAGGTTGACTTCTGCGTCGTGTGCCTTATATCTATTATATTACTATCATTGTGTCTTTATTCTAGCCATTGAAATTATGTTCAGTCATCATTACTTCAATACCACAATTTCATGGTCGCAAATATTTTAGTAAAATTAATACAGCGATATATACATTCACTCCGCATCCAAGGGACAAACTGGAGGGGTGTCATTAACCTGGATACCTCCACGTTTCTTCTCCAAGGAGTCGTGGTACGGTAGCTTCCATCCACCTTCTGATTCAGGGGCCGACAGCCAAAGTCGCATTAAATGCCGACGTCGGGCAGGCCGACCATCCTCATCAACCGCTCCAGCTGGATGATCCGTGTACGCAGTTCTCGCGTGGAAGACATGTGAGTTACTGAGGAACTGAATGTCGCCTGGAGCTAGAATCATATGTAGCGACAGCTCCGCACAGGTCTTCTCAAATACCTCCAGCGCGTGTTTCTGTTTGTCTGACAAAGGGGGTATACATGCATCAGGCCCCGAATTGAAGCGTGCCAACGATGTCACGTTATTAGGGTCGAGCCTTGCGTACACTCGAGGAATGGAGCTACTGTTATCGTTTTCGAGGTAGAAGACGCTACCCCGAATCCAGTTTTCTTCGCCTTCAGACACTTCACCCTTCCGGTCGAAATACCAGTTGGGTTCACATAGTGTCTGTGCCACATCGGGATGTCTCTCCTGCAATACATTGAATACATGATGGGTGGACGCGATGTCAGACTCTCCGCCAGAAAGAGACTTGGCGATACACAGAAGGCCAACAATATCGGATCCATCCGTGTGGAAGTATTGACTAGTAATCAGGTTAGCTTTCGCCTAACACAGTTCCATATCAATAGTAGTAACATACCGAGCATTTGTTCGATAGATTCGGACTCTGTCGGTCTTCGTTGGATCTTCTCCTAGATCCTTGACATGACCGAGGACATGACCACGTCCGTTTTGACTGACAAAGTAACCCAAGTATGTGCCAAGGCCCATATATGCTGTTGCACATTTCTGGAGATCCCATTCTTGAACAGGAAGTCCTCTGAAACGGAAGAATCCTTTGCCATTAATCAGATCTTCTCGGAGGTTTCCCATGCGCTCAGACAAGTTAGGCAAGTGAAAATTGGACTTTTCACCGGTTAGTTTCCACGTGTTCGTCATAGCATCTCCGACAATCATACCTTTGATATTCCAGTCAAAGGGGTTCCACTCTGGATGAACTGATCGGTGGCATGGCTGATCTCCGCGACCTCATCTGCGGTGAAATGATGCGTCCAAAGCTCGGGATTTTCGCGGTAGTCCTCGGCTTTCCACACTGTAGGGCCAGTATGGATCTTCGGGAAATCGGCATACGGTCGAACTTGTGAATATATAGGGGGATGTTGGCCAGATGTTTTGTAGCCGTCTGGGAAAACAGAGAGCTTGACAGGTCTCGCCAAGTTCTGGACACCAGTAGCTTCCACTAGTCCGGGGGCCATGGTTCAACGTGATTTGATATGAATGAAGTTATGTGTCAGGATATTTTTGCTAGTGGCCTTGAATAACCAGTTTAATCGACCCTCGGAAATGGGTTCTGATCGATATATATACTGCTACTCCATGTATCCGAGGTCTAGTGGGATGAAGGTGGTTCGGCTCGTCGTGCCGACTGGCTTCGGCCTGTCGCTTTATTGCTGGTCTACCCCCGCAGTCACGATTTGTATGGAAATTACTTCGAATTTTCCAAGATGGAGGATAATAAGATCACAGAACCAAGAAAGCTCGTCGGACCCCAAGCAAAGTTGGGCTGTTAGTAAAACCAGAGTGCGAAACCTGACGCTGGTGGTTTCCAAGAGTCTCACGGCTGGTCGGCTAATGAGCCGACATATACCAAAGCTGGCATCACGCAATAAATTATATGGACCTATATATGTTCTGCGCAGGAAATTTTCCGCTGGGTGGGGGTTTCCTGTCTGGGCTGCCACATTAAGGAGGGCGATCAGCCTCAGGTTCAGCCATGTTCACCGATCGCCCATGGCCAGTCGCCCCGACAACGACCTTGTTTCCAAAATTTCCAAGGATTCCTACCTTGGTTATCATTACCAACGCCTATATATGTAGTCTCGGTTGTGCTAATGCAGACAAATACCAGTGTCGCAGCTCTTTTGAGAGTCGAGGACTGTCAACTTACTTCTTGGGCCATTCTCTGGGACATCAGCGGAGCAAATATATATATCCAATGACATGGCACCTGTGTCACCAATACAGTATCTTCTTTTCTGCACGAAAAAAGAAATTAGCTTGCTGCCTTAGCATTGAGTGGTCTGGAAGTTGCCAGGATGTACACTCTGTGCAGCATAGAGGGACAGAAGAAGGCAGAAGTGGACAGAAGACGACAGAAAAGAGCAGAAGATGATAGAACGCGGCATGCAGCAAACGGACATATGTACTCCATTATTGAGGCTCTTGTCGGTGAGTCACTTAGCCTGCTCAGAACGGCAGTCAAATGGACGATCCAACACACGTCAAACCAATGATGCTCGACTCCTGGCAAGAAGCTGGGGCCAAAACGTGAGCCGAAACGCGGGAAATAGTGAGTGCGACGGATAGAAATGGGACCGAGAAAAATAAAAATCATGAACCGGCATTTAAACAAAGCCTGGAGCCACTTGCCTTCAAGTTCAACTTTCTATATTTTGTTTTCTGGGACGACTATCCTCATCAAACCTTCATCAACGGCAGCCGCCAATGGATCCCTATCTATCCAGAACTCTCCAGTCACTCACCCGGAGCAAGATACATGAGTTAGAAAAGCACCGTAACACCTACGAGTCTCGCAAGGCAGAGATACTGGCAACTGCGTCCAAATGTCCAACACTCCGAGAACGGGTTGCACAGCTTCTCGTGGGAACAAAAAGTCTCTCCCAGGGCGCTGAGTCCGACAGTGAAATTGCCAACATTGAACATTGGGTGGAACAAGCTCGATTTGACTCTTCAATTCCATCAGAAAGGCTGGAAGGATTCGAGCAACATCTGCATGATAGGTTGGATGCATACAGTCGGAAGTTGAACCTTGCCGATGTGTATTCGCGTCTTCTCACTGAATGGATGAATCCTCCTTCAAAGAATGAGGATGCAGAAAATCATCCTAGCGAGGATGAAGACTTCGAGATTGTCGATGAGCAGCAAAAGGAGCGACTGAAGCAGCTATGCGACAAGTTCGAGGATATGGTTTTCAACCCCTGCGAAACCAGCCCCGACGAAATAACTTCTTTTCTCCAGGGTCTCTTCCCGGGAAACGATGGTGTTAAATCATTGGAAAGTCTTCGATCCGAAATCGGCGTGGAATCTCAGTCAATTTGGGATCAAAAGGACCCTTTCACGGTCGATTCGCTACGCCAATGCATCCGAGGAATGCAAAATGAAGCTATCATCAGCGAGCAGAAGCAGCAGACACTGAAGCATTTCTTAGACAACCCAGTTGTTTTGAATGAAATTGCGGATGTGCTTAATATGCGATATGCCGACTTGCGGAACTGGGACTGGCATGCCGATAGTGAAGGTGTTCCTGTGATCCCACGACAAGAGCTTAATGGAAAATACAGAATTTGGATGGATGATGACGTTCTAGAAACAATCTTCCTCGGACACATTTGCATACGACTTTGCAAGGTGCTCAAGGATACTCTGAATAGATTTATCGAGGACGAGGAGTCGGTGTGGGAGAACAATATGAAGCCATACACGACTGATCGCGACAGGCTGCGTCGAAAGTATTATGGCCAGGATTGGGCTTGGATGGACAGTTTAGACGAATATCGAAGAGATGAATTCCAGAATGATTTCTTCCTTGCGACACTTCCAGACGGGCAAGGGGCTGGCTGCGATTACGATGATGAGGAGGAACAGAACATGGAGCAAGGTAGAAAGAAGAACGTCAAGCAAATGTTGCTGAGAAAGATCGTTACGGAGACCCTCCTAGCACATCATCTTGATGGCGGGGCTGTTGTCATTCAGTCGGATCTACATTGGTTCGGAACCTCGATCCCACACAGCACAGTCTATACCGCCCTCAGATTCATCGGATTCTCTGAGGATTGGGTTGAATTCTTTCGAAAGTTTCTTGCGACTCCGTTGAACATGGATAAATCCTTCGAGGGGCATGACCAAGTCGGCCCTCGCGAACGCAGAAGGGGAATTCCCATAGCACATGCCTCTGAGAAATTCATTGGGGAATTGATCCTCTTCTTTATGGATCTTGCTGTACGACGCGAGACTGGGGTCCTTCTGTATCGTCTTCATGATGATATCTGGCTCTCCGGGCAACCCCAGAAGTGTGCGCAATCGTGGGAGGTAATGCAGAAGTTTGCAAATATCACCGGGCTCATGTTCAACAACAACAAGACGGGATCAGTCTACCTGAGCAATTCCATCGATCCTGTGGTTGCCTCGCGGTTACCTAAAAACCCGGTGAAAATCGGCTTCTTGATGTTGGACCCTTCTTCAGGCGACTGGGTTATCGACGATTCGCAGGTCGAAAACCACATTAATCAACTCAAGAAACAGTTGGGCCAGTGCAACAGCTTGCTTTCATGGATACGAACATGGAACAGCTGCATTGGCAGATTCTTCAAGAACACCTTTGGTGAGCCAGCATACTGCTTCGGGCGGCCACATATTGATGCCATCCTCGCCTCATATGAGAAAATGTACAAATCCATATTTGGGACCAAGACAAACAACGGCAACAGTGGCACTTTGACCGAATATCTCAGGAATGAGATCAGTTCTCGCTTTGGTGTGTCTGATGTTCCGGACGCTTTCTTCTTCCTTCCTGAAAAGCTGGGGGGACTTGGCGTGAGGAACCCATTTGTCTCGATTGTTCCGCTACGCCAGCAACTTCAGAAATCGCCCCAAGAGCTAGTGGAACTCTTCCTGAACTCAGAGCTTGCGGAATACGATACGGCAAAAAGGAAGTTCGAGAAGAAGACTCCCAAGGAGCGAGTGAGGCTCTTAAAATCCCTTGAAGATATGACCTCGTCAGAAGAAGAAATTGTCTCTTCGGACGAGGTGCATACATTTATGACCTACGCAGAGTGGACACAATTCCGCCACGAAACAAGTTCCAGTCTGACTACCTTGTACAAACAGCTTATGGATATTCCCGGTCACAAGTCGCCCAGCACCACTGAGAAAGTGGAAACGGCGTTGAAAAAGGCCCGGAGGGAATTTGACCTCCAGCATATTGATGCCGAAACCAAATGGATCTTGTACATGTATGCGGAAGATCTTCTGGCAAAGTTCGGTGGATTGAACCTGGTGGATAAACAGTACTTGCCAACAGGAGTTTTGGACATGATCAAAGAAAAGAAAGTTACGTGGCAGATGGTTTTGTAACAGAGCTACATCATTAGTCGTCGAGCGTGGAATTGAAAACATTAATTTTGGAATATGTACACTTTTGTATTATAATGTAGTCGGGTCTCCCTTGTCAGATCCCAGCTTGTCGTAAACTCTAATCATGAATATGTGGGTTGTGATGTCCAAAGCCTCCAGATGGTGGCTCAACGTGCGGTTGCTTAGTGTTAGCTAGTTCTGAGCTGGACACCGGGGTCATTGAACCACTCCGATCTTTCCGCTCACTATACAATGGCAGAGTATTCAGATCGAGAAGGTACATGTACCAATAGTAAACTCCTATAGTTATGGTCAGCTTGGACGCTCGATGTGCGAGTAATGGTGTTGGTACTGACCACAAAATACACCTCCCCCGATGATGTTTCCTAACAAGGTCGGGATGATACCTTTCCAGATATAGAGACCAGTTGTAATATGTGGCGCTCCGAGCCAGATGCCCAATGGAATAAATGTCATGTTTGCAACGACGTGGTCGAAACCCAGTGAGACGAACGCAAAGGTAGGTAACCAGATTCCAATAATCTTGGATGTCAGATCACGACCTTGGATACCAAGGAAGCAAGCTAGACATACTAGCCAGTTGCATCCAATGCCACGCAGGAAAATCATGTGGAACTCAGGGGCAACCTGCTTCTTTGTAGCGAAGGAAATGGCAGCGGACTTGAATGGCTCGGCGGAGAAGGTATTTCCATCTATAGGTACAACATTAGTCAGATTGGTATATAGAAATAGGGAAGCGAGAGTCAATTGCGTACAGCCGAAGATGATAGCCACGACAAATAATGATCCGGCGAGATTACCAAGGAATGTAACAGCCCAGTGAAGCAACATTTTATACCAAGGCAAGCGCCGATGGAGGGCGGCAACTGTAGTAAACTGGTATCCAAGTTAGTGGTCTTCATGAAGGTCACCATGTCAGTTTCGCGGCTAATCATACCATAAAAGACCCAGTGCAAAGATCTGCACCAGTGAGGAGGATCATACACAGACCATAAGGAAATACCAAGGCACCGATGGTTCGTATCAGACCTGGGGCATTCTCTTGAAACCAGGGTGTGGCATTGGTACTAAGAGTAGTTCCGCAAGCGAACGCAAGTAAACAGCCAGCTGACACTGCACTGAAAAACACCTTGTCTAGTCGCATATTCCCCTTGTGTGCACCTGTGTTTGAGACAGCCTCAATCACCTCTCGGGGGGAGAGCGCATCGAAAGTCATTGTGATCTTGGAGATATTATTGGTTTAGTTGGGAGCAACCCTTCTATGGACAAAGCAGACATGTAACTCTGGGGGTCTAGAAAAATATAATATAACATTTTTGTCCGAGTTTTCTCTTCCTGGCGCAGGCACAGATGGCTTATCTCTCACACTTCTGGAGGAAATCCTTCCTTGCTTGGTTCTTTGCGAATAGTTCCGGGACTCGTTATAATGATCATTGGACTTAGATAAGAGTTTAAGCTTATTGAAAGCATGACTGACTGGGGATCATACGTAGGTATTCGTGTTGCAACGATCTATCGAGTCAAAAGACAATGTGTTATCAGAATTGAAGGTCTTGGCAAGATAAGGATCTGGCTGAGATCCAACATCTCCGCGGATCTCCCTATGTTGTAGCTAATTGTCAATGCTACCCCTGATAGGTCTAACTATTTGCTCCTATTGTATCTTGTCTACGTTATACAACAGTTAGCTCTTCTCTCCTTAATGCCCTCGACATTTTGGAATCCTATCTTTTTAGTGGTTCGAGATATATCTCCTACCAACTACGATATGCATGCTACATACTCCGGACTGTACTGTACACAAGGAAGCCAACGACTCACCTATCATGATTATCTAGCCCTCCGGAAGGTACCCGAGCACAGGTACCAGCCTTCCAAGGTGGTCATCGTGACATAGCAACCTTAGAATACCTAGATATAAGTACTTCCGCCGCTGTTACGACAGTTTTGACTTTGTAACGTTTCTATCCCAATAAATCCAAGGTCAATATTGAGTTCTCAGCAGGATAATGCCGTAGTGGAAACAGTGGAGGACAGAGACATCATAACTGAGTACCTTCCTCCTGACAGATAGGCTTAATAAACGAAAGCGGTTGACAATCCGACAAGCGAGTTCCACAATCTGATGAACATGACTCCAAGTAAGCTTGGTCGAGATTTATGGTTGGCATTCACAATATCAATCACAGGCATCAGGTTTCGTGGGCGGTTCAGGGGAAACTATTGGTTGTGAACGGTCACTCGGTACTCCTTCTTTCGGTTGACCTCGGCCGCAGAGTTTCAGCGGCAAGAAAAGAGAAACGAGAGCTTAAGTTGGGGATAGTGATTAAAGGATTGTGCAGATCCTCGAGGAAAATCCCGCTGCGAGCTCGCCCGACCATACTGATCAAGATATCGACCATGTACCGCGTGGTATCCCATTACAGGCGCGATTTAGCGCAAGACAAACGAGTCAGGCACAGGTTTGCTAAGAGCTACCGATCTCTCAAAAAAAGATGTCATGATGCACTGAAACAGTAGGGTTAGGTGCGCTGGCATATATCAACGCGGTGAAATCGGCACATTTTTCGATTTTGATATAAGGGAAAGGAATAGGAATATATCGTAGTGGTGGACATATTATAATATGGTCAGATAATGGTGATTACATACTACCAAGCACTTGCACGGTATGATTGAATCTCGGATGTCGCAATAATCGTGAGACGCGTCATCCGTTTTGGGACAGTGTGGCGCCTTAATGCCTGAGGCATGAACAACAATTTCATATCATGTGACTAAGGATGACTACCAAAGTCACATGATACAGCATCCATCCATTGGTTGCTCAGGTGGAAGTGGCGCAGATCTAAAATGTCATCTGACCTGGGGATCTGTTCTTGCACCTTGGGGCAACCGTCAACTCGACCACCCTGTTTTGTAAATAATGATACCCACATTTTGAAGACTAATCTGTTTTAATAACCTACTAGATTTTATTAAACCTCCCAAAAAATCCTAAGCTCCTTTTCGACGTTTTCTTGAATGGTCTTCAAATAATACTGGCATGGAGGAAAAGGATAAAGAGTATACTGACCGAAATCCAGGTATGCAGGCACAAGAATAGTCGGCCGCATCAGCGGCATTATGATGTCTTTCAGTAGTCTTTCCATTGGTCTCTTTAGTGGTCTTCTCAGATATCATTATGTTTAGATGTGTTGCCAGAGTTCTAGGTCGACGGCAACAAAAAGGCGAAAAAGTGCTACTTTCCTAAATATAATATATGATGAAATAGAGTGCCGAGGCTTGGGTTTCTCTACTCTGGGGATTCTCAAAATATAATTGTTAAATACCATGAGGCATACAGTTTTACTGTTGATAATACAATTTGAAGTAAATGACAACTTTCAATATATTTATATATTCCCGGCCGGTCATCTACATTTGTACTCTACAGATCAACGGGAAAGGAGCGGCTACAGACATCGGCGATTCACTCCAGTACCCGAATGTCGGATGGAAAACATCTGATGTGATCTACACTCATGTCACGGGTTCACCCCCACGACCCCAGAGTTTCGGTTGGTCTCGCTAATAACGGGATGTCTGAATGGGGATCTCCACCCCGGAGCTCCACGGTGCGGTGTGCGTAGAAAGCAACAAGGATATTTTAATCGATTGGAGGACAAAGAAACTAGTAAGCACTATGCGGCAAAGCTAATTCGCTAAATGCCTTGGCTGGTACGTGCTGGGTTAGATTATGTGGGGGATGATGTGGAGGCGTGGGGGGAACACGGGGAAAACCAGAACCCTTAGAATTGATGACGGAAGTGCCGCCATAAAGACGTGGGGTGATACAACTGACCTATATATATGCTTTGATCCTGGATTCAGTCACCTAAGGCTCAGGGGTTTTCTATTTTCCTACGATGCAAGACCCAACCATGTCCAAAGCAGATGTTGTTCACGATGAAGTGGCAGAGCATCAGACAGGGAATAAACACGTCGATAATAGTGGAATTGTACGCGTCGCCTTGACCGAAGAAGACAGCAAGCGCATTTGCCGCAAGACTGACCGGACGATTCTTGTTATACTTTGCTGGGTCTACTTCTTGCAGATCCTCGATAAGACAGTCCTGGGATATGGTGCAACATTCGGTTTGCAGAAAGACACTGGCCTTACCGGAAATGAATATTCTCTCATCGGCTCTATTTCACCCATTGCGCAACTTGCCTGGCAACCCTTTTCTTCATACCTAATTGTCAAGGTTCCCCACAAAATCCTAATGCCATCGCTATGCCTTGGTTGGGGAATTGCACAGACATGTATGGCTGCTTGCCACAACTTCAACTCCCTGATGGCCGCTCGATTTTTCCTCGGCCTATTCGAGGCCGGCTGTCTTCCTCTCTTTGGCGTCATCACGAGTCAGTGGTACCGCCGCGCAGAGCAACCGATCCGAATCGCTGCGTGGTATAGTACAAATGGCTTAGCAACCATTGTCGCAGCCGCTTTATCGTACGGACTGGCACAAATAGAGTCGGATGTGTTCAAACCATGGCAGATGTAGGGAATCAACGGATCGCCCCCCGGTAGTGGTATAATCTGACTCGCTTTTAGTATCTTCCTCGTCGTCGGCCTGATCACCGTTGCGTCTGCTCCAATTGCCTACTGGCGCTTGGACAACGATATCACCACAGCTCGATTCCTCACGGAGGAGGAGAAAGCTCAAGGAATGGAGCGCCTTCGGGCGAACCAGACTGGAACCGGAAACACCGAGTTTAAGTTCAGTCATGTCCTCGAGGCTGCCTTGGAGCCCAAAACATATCTGTGGATTGGAATGGCAATGCTCCTCAACATTGGCTCCAGCGTGACCAATATCTTCGGTCCACTGATCCTGAGCGGCCTTGGATACGATAAATACAGGACAACTTTGTTGACAATGCCATTTGGCGCGTTGCAATTCATCATCATTCTGGTGGCAAGTTATTTTGCCCAAACTGCTCGTCTTAAGGGTGCTATCATCGCGGCTTTCATGCTGCCTGTGATAGCTGGTCTATCAATTTTGTATGCGGTCCCTCGGACACAGTCAGTGCAGGGGCAGTTACTTGCTGGGTACTATCTACTTGCATTCTTATTCGGCGGCAATCCACTGATTGTGACCTGGATCGTCGGCAACACGGCAGGCACCACAAAAAAGTCCGTCCTGATGAGTTTGTTCAATGTAGCAAGCTCAGCAGGAAATATTATTGGCCCGCTGCTCTTCGATCAGAAGGACAAGCCGGCCTACCACCCAGGCCTACGCGCGTGTCTTGGCATTTTCGTCGCTTTGGCCGCTATTATCTTCATTCAGTGGGCCAATCTATGGTTCCTCAACAAACAACAAGCCCGTCGCCGTGTACAAAATGGCAAGAGAGCTGAAATTGTTGATCTCTCCATGCAAAATGATTACCACGGAATGCAGGATACCCTAGAGGAGGCTGGACACGAGACTGTGCAAGTTGGGGACAATGCGTTCCAAGATCTCACCGATCGGGAAAATGATGAATTTGTTTATATCTATTAAAGCTAGTTGCCATATGCGGTCCAATATATACGAGTTAACTGATACCATAGGCGAGTAAGTAGAGTGTCTGATTTTCCCTTGTGCTATGAACAAACTGGTTATAGTAAAAGAAGTTTAGGCTAAGGCAACAAATTTGATGCCTGAATCATGCATGCGCGACATCCTAGCGCGACATCCGGACAAGTGTTGGTCGATACATGTCGTTTGCTATCATTTCTCTGATTTTCCTGGCTTTTTTATCCTAGGTTCCCCACTATCTGATTTTGTGTTCCAGGATTTTCTGTGCATATTATCTTCGCCAAGAAAGTCTCGCCTTTATTTTCACCCTCTCGCGTACCCTGAGCTGAGTCGCGTCCCATAGGTAGAGTGGGATATATTTTTATCTCCTGCCTATCCTGATCTCAGTTGCATCCGCTAGACAGAGTGGGATATCCTTTTACATCATGCCTAGGGCACATGGGCTAGTTTTTCACCTCCTGCCTATAGAGGGATAAGGAAGCAAACAACACCCTGGACCACGCCAATTTGCTACGCGTTGATCGGTCGAAGTACAATATGCCGCCATTGTCGGATATTATCAGTCGAAATTTTAATAGGTTTGAGGCTAGGGCTCATATTAGCAAAGATTCATCGCACGTGGAAATGTGGTTGACAATTGAAGGGTGGGAATGATCCAGGCAAATGGGCTCTATATTGGATCCTAGCCTAGGTATGTATGCACGTAGTTTATCTTTGAGATGAACTATGGTGCTGGACCTATCGACTTCAGATTCCGTAGGAATATGAGTTCTGAGGTGCAACTTGTCCTTGGCATCTGCTTCTGCAATACCACCTTATCTTGGAACCTATCCGACTATAATCCAAGGGCTCACTATCCATGCGACTATGCTGGCGAGCGGTAGATTGTGTGCCTTATCGCCGATGAGATCTCAAACATGCAAATGCGACAGGGCAATGCTCTTCGGACTCGGACTCGGTCTTGATATTTCAAACCAGACGGACTCGCAACCCCTGGAAGTCCAGGAGCTTGGAGTTTCTAGATTAATAGTACAGCATGAAGCAAGAAAATGCACGAATCTGCTCAGCACACATGGCGAAACACTGGTGGATCCCATAAATTGATCATGATTTGTCTCGTTTCATATGACAACCCCGGAGGCAGCCCTCGGAGTCGGAACCAGCTGAAAGCAATATCAAGCTGACAGCGAGATTGGATGTCCGAAATGTCCTAATCTGACAACCAAAGCGAGCCTCGGCACATTGATATGTACCGCTCCCCGTCGCTGGCAACTGCAGTTTGAATGCCGCGGAGAAAAACTTGTCCCGATTGTCCATTATTGATACCCTATAGACCTTTCATTGCAATACGCGCAGTCACACATTGGTCGTACCAGCCCTATTCAGAGTTAGTGAAACCTGAACTACACAATGACAGGTGATCTTGAGCATATCGGGGAACCGATTGCCATCGTGGGAAGTGCTTGCCGCTTTCCTGGCGATGCAACAACACCCTCCAAGCTATGGGACTTGCTCAAAGAACCTCGAGATGTTCTTAGCGAGATTCCAGAAAGCCGCTTCAGCACCAAAGCCTTCTACCATCCCGATGGCCTTCACCATGGCACTACAAACGTTCGACACTCCTATTTGCTGTCCGACGATCACCGACTCTTTGACGCCCAATTCTTCGGAACCAAACCAGTGGAAGCAAACTCGATTGATCCCCAACAAAGACTATTGCTCGAGACGGTCTACGAGGGACTTGAAACCTCTGGAATTCCCATGGAAAAGCTCCAAGGGTCTAACACCGCTGTATACGTTGGTTTGATGACCAACGACTATGCCGATATGCTAGGACGGGATGTCCAGAACTTCCCGACATATTTTGCATCAGGAACTGCTCGAAGCATTCTATCCAATCGAGTTTCCTACTTTTTCGACTGGCGCGGACCTTCCATGACCATCGACACGGCCTGTTCTTCTAGCCTAATTGCCCTACACCAGGCTGTACAGAGCCTGCGAAGTGGCGAGACTGATGTTGCCGTCGCAGCAGGCACCAACCTTCTGCTAGGACCGGAGCAATACATCGCAGAGAGCAAGCTAAAGATGCTCTCCCCAACCGGCCGCTCGCGCATGTGGGATAAAGGCGCAGATGGATACGCACGTGGTGACGGAATTGCTGCCGTGATACTTAAACCCTTAAGTGCAGCATTGGCGGATGGGGACCACATCGAGTGCATCGTTCGGGAGACAGGTGCCAATCAAGACGGTCGCACCAAAGGAATTACGATGCCAAACCCCATGGCCCAAGCAGAGCTTATTCGGACGACGTATGCTCGAGCTGGACTCGATCTGTCGAAACCCACCGACCGACCACAATATTTCGAGGCTCATGGTACCGGTAAGCGACAATAGAATGAAAATAAGCATTAACAGGGCTTTGCTGACCAGATCAGGAACTCCAGCAGGTGATCCAGTTGAGGCGGAGGCCATTAGCACTGCATTCTTTGGACAAGCAGCCAAATACCAGCGCGATCGTAACCAGGAGGACCCCTTGTATGTTGGGTCCATCAAAACAATCATTGGCCATACCGAGGGCACGGCTGGATTGGCAGCTGTCCTCAAAGCATCGCTTGCTTTACAACATGCTGTCATCCCACCCAATCTACTACTCAACGAGTTGAGTTCCACGGTTCGTCCGTTCTATAACGACCTTCAGATCCTTCAAGTCGCGAAAGAGTGGCCTCAACTGCCAGAAAACACCCCTCGCCGTGCCAGTGTCAACAGCTTTGGCTTCGGTGGTGCAAATGCGCATGCAATTCTGGAAGGATTTGATGCGCGCCTGCTTGGTGGTGGTCGGAACGCCGCACATACCAGCTCGGCGGCTGCATTACCATTCAATTTCTCCGCCGCATCTGAAAAATCGCTTCTCGCCAACATTGCAGCATACTCGGCATATTTGCGAAATCACTCGAATGTGAATATCCGTGACTTGTCGTGGACATTGAATACTCGGCGTTCCACTTTGCCGATTCGGTTGTCGGTATCCGCATCGAGCACAGAAGAGCTTGCTGCAAGGCTGGATGAAGCGGTAGCCTCCTCGACAATAACACCAAGCACGCAGACAAGCAGTATCCGTGAACCAAAACTCCTTGGAGTGTTCACAGGCCAAGGTGCACAGTGGGCAAGGATGGGTGCTGAGTTGGTCGAAAGCTCACCAATGGTCAGTGACTGCATCGCCCATCTCGATCGGTCTTTGCAGGAACTCCCTACTGAGCATCGCCCTAGTTGGTCGCTGAGGGACGAGCTTATTAAAGACAAGTCTTCATCTCGTATTGGAGAGGCGGCGTTTTCGCAGCCTCTTTGTACAGCGGTTCAGATTGCGTTGGCTCAACTTCTCCGGACCGCCAATCTGAAACTCACTGCTGTTGTTGGCCATTCGTCTGGTGAGATTGCCGCAGCTTATGCCGCAGGTTATCTAAACGAAGAGGATGCAATCCGTATAGCTTATTACCGGGGATGGTCTCTTCAATACGCAAACGACCAGGAAGGTCAGAAAGGGGCAATGATGGCCGCAGGAACATCATACGAAGATGCAAACGAGCTGTGCGGGATGCCATCACTCGAGAGCAGAATTTGTGTGGCAGCTAGCAACTCCTCTGCCAGCGTCACACTTTCCGGGGACGCCGATGCGATCGAAGAGGCTAGGGAGATCCTTGAAGATGAGAAGAAATTTGCTCGTATGTTGAAAGTGGATAAAGCTTATCACTCACACCATATGCTTTCCTGCTCAGCTCCTTATATCGCAGCGATCCGCAAGTGTGGTATAAGCATTCAACGCCCACCGAGTGGCAGTCCGACCTGGATCTCTAGTGTGTATGGCGACAATATCAAAAACGTGAATGATAATCTTGCCGACACATACTGGAGCAACAACATGGTGAATCCGGTACTATTCTCTCAAGCTGTTACTTATGCCGTTGCTGCAGCTGGGCCATTTGATATGGCCTTGGAGATTGGCCCTCATCCAGCGTTGAAAGGACCTGCACTACAAACGATTCAAGAAGTGTCTGGCCAGACACTGCCTTACACCGGGACCTTGAACCGTGGCAAAAATGACACCGAGGCTCTGTCATCCGCACTTGGAGCCCTGTGGATTGCCTTGGGTGACAGTGTCGTGGACTTCGCAGGGTTTGAAATGAAGGCAATGCAAAAGCAACACGCTCAAACCCCAGAGCTTCTCAAGGGCCTTCCATCATATTCATGGGATCATGATCGGGTTTACTGGCACGAGTCTAGATCATCTAACGCAATACGCACTGAGAAGGAATCATTCCACTCACTACTGGGTGTCAAATGCCCCGACGGGACAGACAGTGAGCTGCGCTGGCGCAACTATCTTCACCCTAGGGAGGTTTCTTGGCTGGCACATCACCAGGTCCAAGGTCAAATGGTATTCCCTGCAGCTGGGTATATATCTGCGGCGGTTGAGGCTATAATTCAAAGGTATGGTCTGGATTCTGTGCAACTGATTGACTTCCATGATGTGGTCATCGGACAAGCATTAGTGCTTGAAGAGAATGGGGGAGTGGAAACAATTTTCAGACTTTCGATCGATCAAGTTCAGGATAATATTGTGTCTGCATCCTTTGCCTGCCATTCCGACGCCAACAAGGGGTCGTCCAACATGTCTCTTCACGCATCTGCCATCCTGAAAATTATTTTGGGCGACCCCAAACACGATATCCTCCCACCACATGCCAAGCCGCAAGGTTCATTCCTGGAACTAGAAGGCGACAGATTCTACAACTCAGTTTCCGAACTTGGGTTTGGCTACACTGGACCCTTCCAGGCCCTTTCGAGCTTGCGCAGGAAAATGGACGAGGCATCGGGTTTGATCGCTGTCCCAGTGGACCCCGAAACGGAAAAGCCATTGATCATTCACCCTGCCTCTCTTGATGGAGCTATCCAGTCCATCATGCTGGCTTATTCCTTCCCAGGGGATGGTCGTCTACGTACCCTTTACCTTCCAACTCGAATTGATAGGCTTCGTCTCAACCCCAGCGCCTGTGTCGCTCTTGGTGCCCCCGGTGCAGAACTGCCATTCTATTCTGCAGTCACGGATGCCCGCTTCGCCGAACTCTCTGGCGATGTTGACATGTTTTCCGCAGATGGTAGACATACTTTGGTGCAACTTGAAGGACTTCATACTACACCCTTGAGTCCATTAACATCCACCAACGATGTTCCGTTTTTCACGGAAGTGATCTGGGATGTCGATAGACCCACTGTACAACAAAAAAACGAAGCTGGAGACATGCTTTCCCAAGACCGTGCTCTGGGGATTGATCTCGAACGTGTCGCCCACTTTTACTTGAAGAACCTCAGAAATTCGCTTCAGCACTCCGATCGTGCGAATGCTACTTGGAACCATAAACACTTCCTTTCCTATGTGGATCATTGTACAACATCCGTTGCCAATGGCCAACATAAATTCGCAAAGCCGGAATGGGCCAATGATACCATGGACAACATTACTCCAATTCTGAACCGGTGAGAACCGAACTGTCCTTTTGATTTAACAACCCTACATTGAACCACACTAACTTTGCGTACATAGTCACCCCAACAGCCTCGATATCACAGCCCTGTGTGCAGTGGGTGAAAATCTTTCCGCTGTCATTTGGGGAGATATGAATTTGCTTGAAGTCCTGACGCGGGACAACATGCTAGCGAAATTCTATGCCAAAACGCTTGGAATAGATGCATACTTGGATAGTATCGCTCAGATAGCTCGTCAGATTGGACACAGATACCCGCATATTAACGTTTTGGAGATTGGTTAGTGCAGGCACATTTTCGAAACTGCATTCGGTACTAATTATCGTATCATAGGGGCTGGCTCTGGCGCTACTTCGGAAAGAGTCATGCATGCGATGGGCTCATCGTTTGCGTCATACACATACACAGATATTTTGGACTCACAGTTCGACGACGCACGTGAAAGATTCACCGAGTATCGATCTAGAATGGCATTCAAGGTGTTGGACATCGAGAAGGACATCGACGAACAAGGCCATGAACAGGGTTGCTTTGACCTTGTCATTGCTTCTTTGGCCTTGTACGCCACCAGAAACCTCGAGGCGACCCTCACGAATGTTCGTCGGCTACTCAAGCCTGGTGGTTATCTGGTTATGCTCGAACTCACGGACTCTGATGTCATGCGCTTCGGGCTCATTCTGGGTGGCCTACCAGCTTGGTGGTTAGGCTACGAGGAGGGACGGACATTATCCCCTTGTGTATCGGAGGCCAAATGGGAAGGACTGATGCAGAAGACTGGATTTTCTGGTTTCGAAGCCTTGGTGTCGTCTTCTAGAACCTCGCCTTTGCCATTCTCCGTCATGGTCACTCAGGCTGTCGATCACCGTGTCAATTTCCTCCGTAACCCCCTGGCAACTAATCATTTGACGCTGGGTGTGGACTCGTTGACAATCATCGGAGGCAAAACCCCCTTGACTGCTGATATGGTCGCCAATATCGCAACCACGGTCCGTCCCCATTACAAAAGTATCTACACGGCCAGTTCTTTAGGCGACCTTGTCTCAGCAAACCTGCCGGTAATGGGATCAGTGATTAGTTTGATTGAATTGGATGCGCCAGTCCTGAAAAACATGTCTTCTAGGGATCTAAAGTCATTCCAAGAGCTGTTCAAACAAAGCAAAAATGTTCTATGGCTAGGATACGGTGCCCAAGGTGACAACCCCTATGGCAACATGTTTGCAGGAGTTCAACGCACATTGGCTATGGAGATGACTCACCTCCACATCCATTTCTTCAACCTTCATTCGCTGCATGATGCTGATCCCCATATTATCGCAACTAAGCTCCTTCATTTGGAAGCTGCCGAAATCTGGGATCAGAGTGGGGAGCTCGATGGGATCTTGTGGTCCAACGAGAGGGAGCTGATGCTGGAGAATGGACAATTCAAAGTTCCTCGTTTCCGTCTCAACTCCGGCCGAAATGATCGCTACAATTCCTCAAGGCGTCTCATCATTAAAGAAGTTGAACGTGCGACATCTGTGGTCACCATTCTACCAACAGACCTCGGATATCAAATCGAAGAAAAAGACACGCGAGCCTCATCCTCTTTCTTGGAAGACGTGAAGATTGATGTGACTCACTCTTTGCTTCGTGCTGTACGGACCACTCCATCAGATTATTACTTCTTGGTGATTGGAAAGAATGCCTCGAATGGTGACCATGTGATCGCCCTGTCACATACTCTGGACTCTCAAGTCCGTGTCCCGCATGGCCTGTCGGTGCGATGTGGAGATTCCGAAGACCTAGGAATTCGATCAATGCTCACACTCTATTTCCATGTCCTTGCTCTCTCAATGTTGCAACAGCTTCAGCCGGGGAATACACTTGCTGTGTTAGACCCCGACTTCTCTCTGTCACCCGTCCTGACGAAATACGCCAACGAAAAAGGTGTTCAGCTTGTCCTTTTGACCACAAATGAGGGACATTGCTCGTGGCCATGGATTCCAGTGCACCCAAATTCTACTCGGCGGGAACTATCAAGCAAGTTACCCAGGAATATTTCACGCCTTGTCAGTATGGGTGGCACCTCTGATGTGACCGCACTCCTGAAGACATGTTTGCCGACTGGCTGCCAATTTGAAAGCGAGACTACCCTGACTGCAGACTGCTCCCAATCCCAGTTCACCTCAGACAGAGGCCAATCAGCCATGCAGCTCCAAAATTGCTGGAACAGAGCGCAGTATGACCTCATGCCAGTCAATATGCACAAGTTTGCTCCTTTAGGACTCCAGGACCTAATACGTGCACAGTCTCCACTGGCAGAGCAGTCTTTAATTGCATGGGGTGAATCACAACTTGCTGTCCAGGTTCGCCCTGCTACCAAACAGGTCAAATTTTCGAAAGACAAAACCTACTGGCTAGTAGGACTGACAGGCGGGCTGGGTTTGTCGCTTTGCCAGTGGATGATTGGGCAGGGCGCACGATACATCGCGATATCAAGTCGAAATCCAAAAATTGGTGACCAATGGCTGCAGCGAATGGCTGCCAATGGGTGCACTGTCCGAGTCTTCTCTAAGTAAGCTCTTGTTCTATCATTTTCTCGTCTCAGTCACGCACTGCTGGCTAACACATTCAGTGACATAATGAATCGGGAATCCGTTCAGGCAACGTATCGCAATATCAGCGCAACTATGCCTCCCATCGCCGGTGTCGCACAGGGTGCCATGGTGCTTCAGGACACAATGTTCATCGATTTAGATCTCCCCCGCCTCGAGAAGGTGCTAGGTCCTAAAGTCGAAGGTAGTATATTGCTGGACGAATTGTTCCCAGAGGACACGTTGGACTTTATGGTCTTCTTTTCGTCGATGGCTGCTATGACAGGAAACCCTGGACAGGTTGCGTATAATGCCGCGAATATGTTCATGGCAAGTCTGGCAGCCCAGCGCCGAAACCGTGGCTTGGCAGGGCATGCCATCAACATTGGAGCAATCGTCGGTAACGGCTATGTGACTCGAGAGCTTAACATGGGCCAACAGTCATATCTTTACCGAGTCGGCCATGCATGGATGTCTGAGCAAGACTTCCATGAGGTATTTGCCGAAGGCGTCCTCACCTGCTTGGAGCGTAAAGGAACCGCTGAGTTGTGCTGTGGACTCAGAATCGATGATGATGAGTCCAAGAGTTGGGCTTCTAACCCAATGTTCCAACATCTTGTCTACAAGTCTAGCAATCTTGTGGTGGCAGATAAGAAAGGGAAATCTGGCGTGTTAATAAAAACTCGGTTGTTTGAGGCAACATCAAATGATGAAGTTATCGAGATCTTGCAAGGTACGGGCATCCCAAAAAAACTCCATACTAAGTAGAAACTAATATTGTCTTTAGATGGCTTTTTGTTGAAGCTCCAGTCAGCCCTTCAGGCTGACCCAAGCAAGCCTATGTTGGATATGAGTCCAGACGAGCTTGGTGTGGACTCGTTGGTTGCCGTTGACCTTCGATCGTGGTTCCTCAAGGAGTTGGGTGTCGACATGCCGGTGTTGAAAATCTTCAACGCGGCGTCCATTCGCGAGCTTCTGGCCACTGCCGCAGAAACTCTGCCAGAAGCATTGATTCCTAATTTGATTTCAGGCGAACAGTCTGCCAAACCTCCGGGGAACCAACCCAATCCTTCACTGGCTGCCACAGCTCCACCCACAGATTTGCCCGTGGATATAATCATTCCAGATACTAGAGCCAGTTCCGTGGAATTGAAATTTGCGCTCCCAGACGCAACGAACGGGTATAGTGGCAGCTCAGCGACGTCTTTAATCACTGGAGACTCGAATTCTGACCACAATGACGATACTTCCTCATCCGTTTTTACTGACGACGGCGAGATGGGCACACCAAAACGTGAAATTCAAAGGACCGTGCCAATGTCTTACGGGCAGTCGCGCTTCTGGTTTCTAGAGCATCTGGTCGAGGACAAGACTGTATTCAATATTACACCGACGTTCGAGTTGTCTGGTCGCCTAAAGATTGAGGATTTTGCGAATGCTATTCGAACCGCCGGGCAACATCACGAAGCTTTGCGTACTTTCTTCTTCACCGACAATGAACAAAATCACATGCAAGGAATTTGGACGAAATCTTCTTTGCAGTTGGAGAGAGCTGAAATCTCGACCGAGACAGAAGTGGAAGAGGCCTCGAAGCAGATGAAGGCACACGTGTTCAATCTTTCCGATGGCGAGATCATGCGCATTCAATTGCTATCGCTCAACCAAGAAAAGCACTGGCTAATCTTTGGCTTCCATCATATTAACATGGATGGCATTAGCTTCGAAGTATTTTGGTCAGACGTGGAAAAGGTGTATCAAGGTCAAACCATTTCCCAAGATGGGCTTCAATACGCAGACTTTACTATGCGCCAGCTTCGTGAATACGAAGAGGGAGCCTGGGCTGGGGATCTCGCGTACTGGCGGGCACAGTATACAGAGGTTCCACCCACACTTCCCCTTCTTCCATTTTCCCTTCAGCCTATGCGGCCCAAGGTTGCTCAATTTGGGTCTCATACTGCCCAGATTCGCCTCGATTCCAGTCTGTCGGATGCAATTGAACGGTGTTGCCGGATGTTCAAATCCACACCATTCCACTTCCATTTGGCGATCTGGAAGACCCTTCTTCTGCGGTTCTTTGATCTGAAGGATATTTCCATCGGCCTCGGAGATGGAAACCGTACAGATGCCGACGTCTTGCGCAGCATGGGACTTTTCTTAAACCTTCTTCCTGTGAGGTTCTCTGAACAGCCAGGTCAATCCTTCGGAGAATCGCTCAAGGAGGTCCGGAACATCACGCAGGGTGCATTTTCCCACTCGCGTGTGCCATTTGATGTGATCTTGACAGAACTCAATGTTCCACGATCCGCATCACACAATCCCCTATGCCAAACACTCTTTAACTACAGACCCAATGTCGAGCAATCGCGAAGCTTCTGTGGCTGTGTAGCTGATGGAGAACTTTTGGGCGGCGGCGAAACTTCTTTTGATCTGGGTCTGGATGTTGGCAATGTCGGTGCTGGCGAGACGCTGATTTACCTAACAGTTCAGAAGAGCCTGTATGGGGTGGAACATGCTGAAATCCTGCTTAGCTCCTATGTCAATCTTCTCCAGTCCTTTGTCCAAAATCCAGCGACTCGGGTGACCTGGCCAGGATTACATTATAACGGTGACATCCAGAAGGCAGTGGCTGTGGGCCGAGGTAAGTCACTTACCCCTTCCTTGTTCTAGGTATTTTGTTAAATATTGAGGTATACAGGACCGGAGCTCCGAGAGGAATGGTCTATGACTATCGTCCACCGCTTGGATGAGATTGCCTCCCGCTATCCGGACCGTGTCGCATTGAAGAATCACGATGGGAGCTCCCTGACATATGCTGAAGTCCAGCGTCGGGTTGATGTTATCGCCAATGAGCTATTGCGCAACGGGGCTGGCGCAGACACCCGTGTTGCCGTTTTCCAGTCCCCAAGTTCAGACTGGATATGTTCTCTCATGGCTATATTGCGTGTCGGTGGTGCTTACATTCCATTGGACAAAAAGGTGGGGATGGAGAGACTTGCGATGATCATGAAAGAAACTCAAGCACCGGTTGTGTTGGTCGATACAAACTCCATGTCTGACTATGCACTTTTGCACACCTCGGCGAAACCAATCGATGCAGGCAGCTTGAAGGGCTCTACAACACGCGACGTCCGAAACATGGCTGTTCCAAACCAGACAGCAGTGATCATGTATACCAGTGGATCAACTGGTGTCCCAAAGGGGATTATGATTAGCCATTCAGCTTATGCTCACCATGTTCAGTCAGCCAGCGTCGTCTGGAAACTCAAGCAGGGAACCGAGACCATTCTGCATCAATCTTCCTATGCGTGGGATGCGTCTTTGTGGCAGATCATGGTCTCCTTATGCTCTGGCGCGACACTTGTGATTGCGTCTGATCTCACACGAGGCGATCCCGTTGCTCTTACGCGACTAATTGCATCGGAGAATGTGACGTGCACCCTTGCGACACCCACGGAATACCTCGGCTGGGTGCGTCATGGTCGCTCCAATCTGAGTAACTCTCGCTTGTCAACCACGGTATGTGGTGGTGAATTCATGACAAGCGGCCTGATCAAAGAGATTAAGAGTCTCAATCGGCCAGGCCTCAAACTAATAAATGCTTACGGGCCGGCGGAGATCAGTGTTGCATGTTCGGGCACTGAAGTTCCGTGCAACCTGCAGGAATCGACTTCGCAAGCTCTTTATACTCTACCGAACTACTCTGTTTACATTGTCGACGAGAGCTTGAATCCAGTTCCTATCGGGGTTCCTGGTGAAGTTGTTGTTGGTGGGGCAGGAGTTGCCCAGGGCTATCTTGACGGGACCAAAACGACTGAACGCTTTTCAAAAGATCGGTATGCGAGCCGACTTTTCCAGGAGAAAGGCTGGACGACAATCCACCACACTGGAGATCGTGGAAAACTTACTCGTGATGGTGGTCTTATTCTCCTCGGGCGCATGGACGGGGACAACCAAATCAAATTGAGGGGAATTCGCATCAATATTGAAGAAATTGAGAAGGCGATTATCAATTCTTCATCTGGAGCTATCACACAGGCTGTTGTGTCCGTTCGTTCAGGTGCAACTCAATCCGAGGACCAATTCCTTGTTGCCTTTGCTATAATGGCTACCACATATGATTCTAGAAATGCGCTCCAATTCCTCACGCACCTTTCCCAGGAGCTGCCCTTGCCCCGTCATATGCGACCCGCTGCTATCATTCCAGTTGAGAGCATTCCCCAAAACAATTCGGGCAAGACTGATCGCGTCGCAGTCAGCGCACTTCCCATTCCGTTGATTTCATCCCAGCTGCCCAACGACAATACTCTCACCGAATTTGAACAGTCACTGCGTCAGCTCTGGCAACAAGCACTACCACGGGAACTTACTACCTTCCACTCAATCGAATCTCAGTCCGACTTTTTCCATGTTGGTGGAAGTTCCCTCGCCCTTGTCAACCTACAAGCTCTAATCAAGGAGCGCCTTGGTGTATCTATGGAACTTTATCAACTTTTCGAAGCCAGCAGTCTGCGTGGAATGGCCGCGAGAATCCAAGACCTATCTCGCCCCACACTCGAGGAAGAGGTGAACTGGGATACAGAGGTTGAAGTTGCATCCGACCTGAGTTCATCTCTAAATTACGGCGGTACTCTCATTATCCCCTCAGGGGTCAAGACTGTGGTGCTTACGGGAGCAACTGGTTTCCTCGGCAAGGAAATATTGCGAGGACTCATCGCAGATGAGAACGTCTCGTTCATCCATTGTCTTGCTGTTAGGAAACGATCGTCAGATTTACCTGAAATATTTACCCACCCGAAAGTTCATTTGCATTCTGGTGACCTGGGGGCTCCTCAATTAGGACTCTCGGAATCTGAGACCAGATCGATATTCTCCTGTGCAGACATTATCATCCACAATGGCGCGGATGTGTCTTTCATGAAAACATATCAGACTCTCAAGCTGATGAATGTGGCCTCGACCAAGGAACTCGCCAAACTGGCCTTGCTCCGGCGCATTCCATTCCATTTCGTCTCATCAGCTGGTGTTGCCCGACTCGCTGCCAAGGAAAGCTTCGGAGAGATGTCTGTGTCCCCATATCCTCCTCCGTCTCGGCCAACAGATGGGTATATCGCCGCCAAGTGGGTGAGCGAAGTCTATCTGGAGCATGTCAGCCGCCAGTTTGGTCTCCCTGTATGGATCCACCGCCCATCAAGCATCACCGGGACCGATGCGCCGGAACTTGATCTTATGGGCAATGTCATGCGGTTTGCCAAAGAAACCCAGAAACTGCCAGACTCAAGGTCATGGTCAGGGGTCTTCGATCTCATTTCTGTACAGTCAGCTGCCAGCCAACTCCTGAAAGCCGTTCACCAATCTGGTGTAACTGAACTAGCTACAGGGTCTGTGACTTATCTTTTTGAATCTGGCGAGATGAAGATTGGGCGTGATGAGATCATGCCATTGATGGAATCGGGCTCCGGCCAGCAGTTCCAGGTCGTTTCTCTCGACGAGTGGGTGAATGCTGCGGAACAAGCAGGCATGAGCATGTTGTTGGGAGAGTACTTGCGCAGGGCTTCTGATGGGCAAGTCCTCCTCCCTAGGTTGATTAAGTCTTCTGAGTATGAATGAGGGTAGTTCAAGATGTTCGGAAATAGTTAGAAAGTTTTGGAGCCAATCAGTTACCAGCGATCCCTGTGCACAAACAAGTCAATGTGCACTATCTAGGCCGTAGTATCATATAATGAGAAGAAATATATTTTGACCAGTTCTTTGACATTCTCGTTCATCGAAATCATCCCTCATTATCTGCAAACATACGCAACTTTGGCGTTTAGAGTTACTCCTGACGAAGTATATATCCTATATCGTTAAATAACAAATGTCCTAGATCTAAGGTCCATATCCCAATATTCCCTGCCATCACAATCAAAAGAGTACTCCCATGACTTTGATTTTCATGCATATATCAAGGCCAATAACCGGAAATAGGAACCAACTACGCAGAATATTATATGAATGGATAGTACAAAGTCAACACTAGGAGGCATGCAGATCACAAAAGCCGTGAAGTGAATAATAATATATTTCTCTTTGTTTGTTTCCTTTCCATTCCTATAGCCCACCATCAAGACCTGACTATACAGCATCGGGTGTTTTAATTAACCCCATGACCAAGCCCAGGACCTACATATTACTCCCTTAGAATTTTATGATCCTAGTTCTTTTGAATCGGACGAACCTTTTGTTTTATCTCGTAACGGAAATGATCATATCATATTAATGGTCAATAAGCTATACTAATTGTATCCCCCCTTCTCTATTTTCCTCCAAATAACAGACACCTACACCACGGTGCGAATGTATTTGAGTAATTCAGCACAAGTATACAAAGTGATAGTCCGAATTTTAGGCTTCATTTCTCTTTGATACCTACTACAATATATATAAATAGTGCTATATACTATCTCTAAAACGACATGGTATGTATAGATGGGCGTTCTTTACTGCGGATGCTGGGAAGTATCAAGGCGTAAATTGTGATGCTGTCTAATTTATTCGACTCAGAATATGGTCCTATACTTATGGACTTAATTGTAGAAACCCCTATATTCTAATGGAAACAGATAGAATTGCAAACTCGGAATCCGTCGGTTGACAAAAACTAGATGCAGCCCGAGTTGAAATATGTTCCTGTGATACAACACAATGCACATTGTATGTAGGGAAGAGAGAGATGACAAACTTACCGTGAATATTGCATAAAGTGTTACTATATTTGGCCTTGGAATAATCCCAGATCCATGTAAATTGCTTGCCAAGCTTAGGTACGTACGATTATAAACAAATGTATACGTTTTACTACGGACACTAGGGCCTAGTTATTATCCGGGCTATATCTCGCCAAATGTTTCCGAAGGCAGAGTGGTTGGAACTTTGACTAGACTCGCCGATTCTAAACTCATCAAACAACCTGTCTAGGAAAAGAACTGTCTTTTCTATTCTTGCTGGTGCTTTGGGTACTAACAATGCTTTTCATCTGTATTCGTGCTTTTATATAAATGAGTCTCCCAAGTGTATAAGCAGTTGGAATTCTACTAGCGCTTTTCACTACAATCAAAATATGGCATCTCATGATAACTTGCCCTCCACCCAGACTGGAATCATTCAACATGATGGCGGGGTTCTTCAAATTACCGCTGGTCTTCCTATCCCAAAACTCGGTCCCCACCAAATGTTGGTGAAGACTGCTGCCGTGGCCCTTAACCCTTGTGATTTCAAGATGCCATTGCGGTTCCCGACCCCAGGTCTCTGGGATGGGTGTGACTTCTCAGGTACTGTAGTTGCGATGGGAAGTGACGCTGCTGCACAGGGGCGATTCCGTCTTGGAGACCAGGCTTTTGGTGCCGTTCAAGGGTCAAATATGTCAGAGCCAACTTCCGGGGCCTATTGCGAGTACATTCGAACTGAACCGGACTTCGCTTTTCATGTTCCCAAGGGAATGGATCTGGTCAATGCACCCTCCATCTCTGGGACCGCAATTGCAACACTTGGAGTTGCTCTCTTTTGGTCCCTTCAATTGCCCGGAACACTCCTCACACCAGCATCCAAAGCGGAGGATGTTCTGGTATACGGCGGAGGTAGCACTATAGGCCTACTTGCAATCCAGATGGTCAAGCTGTAAGTATTCAATTCCCTTCCTATGACTTTCAGTATACGTAACTAATTCATCATCCTTAGCTGCGGCCACCGGGTAATCACAACATGCTCCCCTCATAACCGCGACTTGGTGATCTCCTACGGAGCAGACCTTGTATTCGACTACAATTCTCCAACTTGCGCCGAGGACATCCGAGCGGCTACAAAAAACACTTTGCGCTATGTCCTTGACCCATTTGCGGAAGCCAAGACTCTGCGAATGTGCTATGCGGCTATCGGTCGTACTGGAGGAAGGTACTGTGCACTTGAGCAATATCAAGAAAGCCTTTGCTCGCGAAAGACAATCAAGCACGAACTAGTCATGGGAGGTGCCATCTCCGGAAAAGGTGTCGAGTTACCTGAGCCATATGGTATTCCACCGCGACCTGAGATCGGAGTTTGGGCTCGGTCATGGTACTTAGAGCTCCAAGGATTGATTGACAGTGGGAAGCTCAAACCCTGTCCAATTCAAACCATTCCTGGCAAATTTGATGGCATCTTAGAGGGGTTGGATATGCTGCGAAATGGAAAGGTCTCGGGAAAGAAGCTCGTTGTCCCTATGATCACAAAATGAATTTTTGCATTGGTTGAGGGCTCAAAGAATTATAGTCCAACCCCTAAGTATGTGCGAAAATATATATTTTGATTATTCGACCCAATTTTGCTTTGCACACAGGAGACTGCACTTTTGGGTTGTCGTCGTAGTCTAGGTTTGGACTAATAAATATATATATATATGATGCAAGGTTTCTCGCTATCTAGTGTATAGGATTTATTATATGTCCACCCAAGTAGAAAAAGAGCTATCTTATTGGAATCAACACATTATATAGCCGCTTGCTACAAGATTGCCAAAGTAAGAATATGGAGATTCAATTGAGAACGCTGTGGTGGTTGCATGTGGTGCATTTCAAGATTCGGTTTGCATTGAAAACATTGAATTATCAACGTGCACAGTAGGTAGGATCTAATTCGGACCATCATAAACCATCTTAGCGATGACCTTTTTGTCCTCCTTGGTAGTCCTGATGTTTCGAGTGAGATATCTCTTTCCATCAAGCTGTTCAAATCCCCAAATCACTTCCGCATCCCACCCCTTGGACGAATTGAGGGCCAATTCTTGAATGACCGTCTTGGTCAAGCTAGCCATCTCCACAATTTGACGGACTGAGTCTTCCAGTACATCAGATTTGTCGATGAAATTGAGCTTCGTTTGGAGGTCACCGAAGATAGGCAGTGAAAGATCTTGTTTGCTTCCATCGATCAGATAAACCCCTTCACTGTCAAAGCCACCTGGATTGACAGTTTGTGTGATACGAAGACTTGTGACTGATTTTAAGTCGGCCAAAACAGCGCTTTCGTCGCATTTTTCGTCTACGCAGGTGGAAGTAGCCTGGCTGATCTGCAACGAAAGTCGGGCGTGTCGCAAGACCTTTCGGATAACCCAAGGGACACCTTGCTATTATTTTTTTTTAGCAAAACAAAGCCAACGTATAAATTCACCAAGGCTGTTACCAAGACCATAATTTCATCTGGGTCAGTCGACAGCTTTCGATTCTAATCATCGTATTAGCACTTGTGTCAGGGAAACAAAAATGGAGACAGCGTACTAATACCCAGGTTCCAGTAAGGTCAGGAATATCTTTGAAATTGGCTGTATCCATTGTCGAGGGCTCAAGTCTGGCAAATGGGTTGGGGGTACTTCTTTTCTCTTGTCAGATGTATATCTCTCTAATTGTGAGACTAATCATTCCTTTTAAGAGTAGAGCTATAATTCAGCCATTATATGGTTTCTAAATTAAGATCGGACTCGGACTCGGTGTCCGAATATGCAGGGGAAACTTGAGCCCAAGTATCCATTCTTGCGAAGACCAGGCAACCTGTCAATACAATAATAGCCGTTGGTTGAAAAGAGTCGAATGTGACGTGGTTTCGTTTTCGCTCTATGGTAATGAATCGGAGGTGTGTTTCCATTCTTTCTTATTAGTTCACACTTTATTACCCTACACTGCCATGTGCTAAAAGCCAACAAGTAAATCTTTTTGAATAGCGTACAGGACTGTGAAGACCATAAATTAAATAATAACCGGGTCTTTAGCAAGCTGCCCCAAAGACTCCATTATTTCCATCAGAGACATTTCGCAAGGGTCTTGTTCTTGCGCTAGGACAATATCGCGAATCGAGGTTGACCAATCCTTCTGGCGAACAGATTCTGGATCGAATCCTCGATCCTCCTGTGGTTGAGGCGAGCTTGACCGCAATTCAAGGGCCCGGTCAAGCTTCCTCATCATTGTCGAGCTGAAATCAACCAACAATTGAACCTGGGTAATGAGATTTCCATCCAAGTGAAGCTGCCCAAACCGTACTTTCGGCAACAACAGAATTGTGGCTGCATCAACCGGAGGGATTATCAGAAACAGCTGATACAAGCGCATGAAAACAGCTCGATATATGCGCACTAGTGAACAATGTGCCTCCAATATGCCAAGCCACAGTGCTATATCGCAATTTGGGGTGGGAGGTGTGCTTCGATCTGGAGATGTCGTTGCGGTGTGATAGCCGGAATCATGTGGGGATACTGTGGCGATATCTTCATCAAAGCCATTGTCGCCGGTATCTGGAAGAATAAACGAAGAGTCCTCATATCCGGTGTTTTCCGATTCAAATCGTTGTGTAGCGAGTGTGGCATCCGAATTCCCTTCTGTCGTGCCACATGATGATCGAACAATTGCCAAAAGCCAAGATGTGTGATCGAGCAAGCGATATATTGGAAGGTCGAGTGTTTCAATTGACAAATTAGAATTCTCGTAGAAAAGGGAGGAAGATTCAAGGAGCATTGAGCCGGTCTCGAATACCTCCAAATCTTCAACAAGTCCCATTCTCAATCTCAACAGACTCTTGCGGATATCTTGTGTAGAGGAGGTGGATTCTTGGTTTGTTGTCACTGGGGGAGGTTTGATTGCGGTTGTAAGATCTGGCTGATTTACCCACGCAGGATCTGGAAAGTTCTTTATTGCAAAGGGCGATTCGTTATCGTCGTAGTTGACATGCCTATTTGGAAAGGGCTGGAGATTTCCCATATCAGTGGCTTGCCTGGAGCCTGGTGGAGCATCACTGGGGAACACGGATGGAAAACAAGAATTTGCCTCGCAAGGGTATAGTTGATCTGATGGAATCCAATCGGGAGGCTATAGTGGTGATAATTAGTAGCTGAGCGGTGCATTTCCCCGTCAGTTCCAACATACCAAGTTATATGCATCGGTTGACCAGTTTGATTGATGATAATTCCATTGTTCAACAGGACCCATGATGTTTCCGAAGTCTAGGGGCATATTAAATCCAATATCCCCCGAGGATGGAAAAAAGTTGCCTTCAGCGAAAACCGGCATTGACGCTACCCCTGCCCAGTAGTTGTGCTCTTTCATATTGTGTCTTCCAGGGAGTACAGTCGGCGAGTGCAATGACTTCTTCACTCTGGGAGCGGATGACTTGTGAAGAATAGACATCGATTCATGCCTTTGATTGAATCCTTGACTCTCACGGTCTTGTCGTGCAACTTGATCATGACCATGGTTTGAAGGCAATATGGCTGGCGCAGGTTGGTTCATACTTGTGATACATACTTCCTGAGCCTTAAGGCATCGCTCACAAGACATGCCATTCATATGATCGCGCTCGCACCGCAGTTTCTGCCCGCGACAACGATCACAGGCAGACCGGCGAGAGTGTCGATAGTTGAGGGTTGGATGCATTGTAATGATCACAAGAGAAACAAGAAAAAATACTTCCTCTGACTGCTCACAATTGCAAAGACAGATTATCGAAGAGAAGCTACCAAGGGCAAATATGTACTTTGTTCTCATACTGAAACTGAATGCAATAAAGGAACCTATCAATTGGTTCGAACCATTCTCATGAGCACATCTAAACAGACTTCAGGCTCGAGGAAACATAGTTCTATTCGAAATCAGAGCCAGGGAAAAGACTAGGAAAGCGCGTGGTTTGGTATCACCACGCCTGTATACCTCTCCCTTGGAACATCATCCACAACATTCCTGGATATCTCTCTACATGGTGATTCGTTGGATACCCTCAGTTTTGCATCTTCAATGCTCAGGTCTGACAAATTCTAAGGTCATAGCAACCTACCCCTTTCACAACATGTGTATAGACATGCGGACATGCGGACATGCAGACAGAAGTTTGAGGGTATTTCCATCACATCCATGAACTAAAGGCCGAGCGCCAGACTCCTGGTACAAGGTGCATCAGGATTCATGGAAGAGGTTACACCATGCTCGAATGGGAGCAATGTATGAGAGAGCATGTCTGCTGTGATACAAAGGAGGTGAATAGTGTCTCACATAGATGTATCTGAAACGTGAGGTCCATTTCATAGTGAATGACCCAGAGTTGAGACGCTTACTGTCCATCGGCCTGCATCGAAGTCTGGAAGAAATCATGATTAGCGGCTTTTGATATTGGATAAAAAATAATACGAAATCAAGTTTCAGGGACACCGGTCATGCCCGGTTGGTCGGAGATATTTACCATGTAGACCCTACGTTGTAGGCAGTGGAGGCGGGCTCAACGCCACAAAGGCCAACTTATGCCTAACGATTGTCAATAATCTGCAATAGACTACCATGAAACTTCCAACTAATACCCAATAGGGCGTAGATCGCTCTGATTTGGAAGATCGCAGATCATGTTAAGCCCGAGGCCAGAAGTTCGGAGAATTAAATCCACCCCAGGGCCCAGCTGAGATTGTTCCGGCTTGTCGGTTCTGGGCCCATGATGTTTTCTTTTCTTTTCCCCTGCTGGATTTCGTATTTTGCCTCCATATCCCGAAATCTACCGATTACGGAGTATTCTGTTACCAACCGTCGAGGGGCAGAGAATGCAAAGTAAGGGGTTGAAAGCCTGACCACGCGCCCCTGGCCAGAGCGCGGCTGGCTTTGGAACATTGGAAATATCTATCGACCATAGGGGAGCAAATAACATGCTATGTATAACTCAAGCATAGGAGTATCCACTAGGCTTTCTCATGTTTCTCGAGTATAGCCCCCACACGCGTTACGTTTGAGGTCAAAGGGCTGATGATATGCATGGGTTATATTGTGCCTGACAACTGCTTATATCCCTGATTTGCGCCTAATTTATCCGCACGACCAGCCCAACATGAGGAAGATCCGTTGGAAGGTTTTGGAATCTTGGCGTAACTTCTGTAGTTGCAATGAAGCAGCCTTCAGTATCTCCTAGCCAATTCACTTTTTCTTGGAGCTGTTGTAGAATGGGACAAGGATTCAAGAGAACAAAGCCATAGAGCCTTTATAGTGACTTGTCACTCTGCCCAGTATGTCCATTTCGATCATGTACCATAACCCGAACGCTCTGACTTTCCTTTCGCGGGTGACCAACAAACATGTCGCGTACGATTCGAACGTCGTCTACTGTAGTCTCGTAGAGCTCCAAATCGAACTCCCGGAAAATGGTGGCGATTCCTAAAAGAATCACCGCCCGCGCGAGACTGGTCAACTGATGTTAGTACACGATTGAAATAGAATCTCGAGAGATTGACCACATACGGGATGCCAATGCACTGCCTTGATCCCTTGCTAAAAGCAACTAGATACTTCTCGAGAGCTTTCCTCTGCGCTGGGTCCATCCATCGCTCTGGGATGAAGCTTTGCGAGTCTGGGAAGATATCCTCATTGTGGTGCATAAATAGGCTGGTCATTCCCACATGTGTCTGGTGCATATCGTCAACATCGGGAAACCACAAAAGAGGAGATAAAGATATCTTACACCAGGAGGAATTACCCAGTCCTTGTAAGTCATAGCTTGATCTGGGGAGCTGCGTTGAAGCCTTGATGATACGGCGTTTGTGATTCTGTATAGAGGTTAAATAAACAGATAGTAAAGTAGGGCTAGATGAACTAGAAGACAGAAGCTCTACATACCTTAGACCCTCCAGCATAACGGATGTCTACTATATTGTTAGATCTTTGGCATTTAATAAGCCCGACATTGGGAATGGAGAAGCTTACCAGGTACGGCATTGCCTCGTACTCTACCAAAGTTGCTGTTCGATCGGGATCGAGTCGGTTGAGCTCGTCACGTAGCTTTTGTAGCTTGTCGGGGTTATCAAGTAGATGGAAGGTGAGTGTCGTCAAATTCTTCGCAGTTGTTTCGCCTCCAGCTGAGATGACAGTGAAAACCTCTTGACTGAGGCGGCCAGCGGCCTTCTCCTCTGGGGGAAGTTTGCTATCGAGCAGCGCATGAAACAATGTACCTTTCGGCACGGTAGCCTTCTCATCTGTCGGGTTCCCGCCAGCAGCCTGACTATCAATGACCAAATTCGCTAGCCGCAAACTTTCGATTCTCTGATCAATTACTGGGCCGACGTGAGGATTGAGAATCAAAACTAGCCACCGTGGAAGCAGCTCAAACAAGGCAAAGACCCAGCGAAACTGTTTGAGTTGCATTCCAACTTCAACAATCGCCCCAATTGTTTTCGACCACTGCGGTGTGAATTCCGGGTCATCCAAATAATGGAACGATTGACCCATAGTATACTCTACAACCACGTCCGTTGTGTAGGCATTGAACGCATGATAAACATGCAGCGGTGTATTTCTCTCCTTCCAGTCTCCCATTCCTTTGCATAGCTTGTCGACCATTTTCCGGATCACAGGCTCCAATTGTCGAATCCGCTGCTGAGAAAAGAATGGGTTCATAGGTTGTCGGCGTATCCGATGACGGTGGTGATCGACTGTCCCGAAAGCAGATGCCGGTGCCCCAAACATCCCAGTCAAAAGTATCGATTTGTTCATGGGTTTGTCTCGAGAGTATAAGATTTCATAGTAATCTGGATCGTCGATGTGTAATTCAAATGGACTAATTCTCACAATCGGGCCGTATTTGCGATGCATCTCAGCGATTCGAAAGGTGTACTGGCCTCCGAGGAAGGAATCGTAATAGAACTCGTACCACATTGTCAGAGCGGCCAACTTTGGTCCAGGGAAAGGAGCGAGTGGTGAAAGCCATAGCCGATATGCTGCCAATGACACTGTATAGATCACTCCAGCCACGGCGATGGCCACAATGGGCTGTGCGGTAATAGCTTTCCACAGTTCCATGGTGCGTATATTTGGGGAGAGAAGAGAAACCCGTTGTAGACGGGGAAAGATGCAAATAAAGCCAATGTTCTAGTACACGGTCGGCGGACCTTTTGCACCTTCTCACATTGTCGCCCCACACCTGTCAACAAGCACATGTGCCACAAGGCCAAATGATTACCAAACGGTGGTTGGAATCCATACTGTCGGTACCACCCCGTGTCGTTCATGGGTGGACGGGAAAGAACCAAGGAAGAAGATATGGGGCGTCATGCAGTAGTAATCTTTTGCAACCTATCGCGGCACTTCCGTGGCGACACAGATAGCCGATCATAAGGCCACTAGCTGGGCCGTGTGTCTAGCCAACTTTTCCAGAGTTCAGGATCATCCCTTTCGGTCCTTAGAAGTGGTTCAGATTGATGACTTCCAAGCCTCGTTTAGGGGCACGGGGCCTCGGTGGAACCGTCACGGATCCGCGCTCTCCCATCCCCGAGAGACAATGCGTTGACGCTAGTTCCAGCCGAAGAATGAGATGGTACGACACTAATGACGATGAGATATACTGATGGAAGGGTGGTTTTTTCGCTTCTTTTCCCCATTATTCCTCTTATGTTCGAAAGGTGAGGTGACAGAGACATCGGTTCTGATGAAGTTAGGATCCCAATTAGGAATAGCGGAACTGTCAGAAAAAGGAAAACCCACAGACAACGCCATTGTTCTCAAAGGTCATCAAACACGAAACCTTCACAAGATATGATATCATTGACGCTTACCAAAAATGCGAAAATGCGGGCATCTGTCAACTGAGGCTAACGAGATATATCATATGCCCACACGCTATGCCAGAACCCCGATGACAATTTTCTCTGATACTTAGCTCAATCGCAGGAAGTGTGAGCCGTGTAAACAAGAAATCCAAGAGCATGGCATAACCCCCCAAATGTGTGTGACGGTAAAATAGGGGTTTCACGCGTAGCCATTTATCTCATATTACTCCGTACACCGATTTGCGCAAAGTAGATTTGTCCCTAGCACATCGTATTTCAAGATGCAACCAGTTTTGGGTTTGCTAGTTCTCACTCTTGACTCGTGTAGGGTGGGGAGGCGCTGGAAATTAGTCCCGTCCCTTCGGCAGTTCCTTAGCTCCCGTGCTTCCGTGCTAGGATTGTCAAACACTTTTAGGGGGTTTCTTTTTCCCCAGGTTGTTTGTATTTGCAAAATAGGGACTGTGGTAAATCCTAACGCACACATTCTCGGGTACTCCATTATGATATGCGTGGTGACCGAGGTCCGAATGCGGGGAAAGTATATAGTTCCTATATCTTACCGGGGCCGTGTACATATGCGCATAGTTAGCCTGCACAGCCTATCATTATTGGCAAACATCATGAATTTTGACTTGCCAGCAGATCTCCAAGCTCATCTAGAATCTATAGATTCTTTTATTCATTCAACTATTCTCCCGTTGCAACATTCCGACGACAATAACCGCTTCTTCGATCACCGCCGTGAATATGCACGCACTGACTGGGAAAACCATGGGAATCCACGAAGAGAATGGGAAGAGTTATTAGGTCGGTTGAATGAAATTTAGAAATGAGCGTGGCTGATAGATCGGCAGGTAAGGCGCGTACTCTAGCTGATTCCTCGGGGTTTTACCGATTCGCCCTCCCTCGGGTCTATGGGGGACAGTCACATCCAGACACAAATCTATGGATGTCCGCCATTCGTTATCACTTAGCCTCGAGTCCTGTGTACGGAGGTGGTTTAGGGCTGGCCAATGATCTACAAAATGAGCATAGTATTGTGGGAAATTTCCCGGATGTGCTGATGCTCCACCACTTTGGCGATGAACAACAAAGAGAAACCTTGATTCCTGCACGTCTGCGAGGAGAGTTCCGAACAACATTCGGCCTTACTGAGCCCGATCACGGAAGTGATGCAACATTCATGTCTACTACCGCGCATCAAATTCGGGGAGGGTTCGAAATCACAGGGGCAAAGAAGTGGCAGACAGGGGCGCATCACTGTACCCACTTTCTCATCTTTGCGCGAACTTCTGGCCAAGCAGGATCAGCACAAGGCATCACTGCCTTCTTGGTTCCTCGTGACACAGAAGGGGTTCGCATCGTTAGTTATGAGTGGACATTGAACATGCCCACCGACCATGCAACGGTGGAGCTGAATAGTGTATGGGTTCCTAGATCGGCGGTTTTGGGATCGGTCGATCGGGGACTAGCCATCGCCCAAACATTTGTGCACGAGAATAGAATTCGTCAAGCAGCCAGCTCCTGTGGGGCCGCGCGATACTGCCTGGACCGAAGCATCGAGCGCGCACGGGCACGGAAGATATGGGGAGAAGGGAAATCTTTGGCTAATAATCAGGCTATTCAGTTTCCGGTAGTTGAGCTGATGACACAGGTGGAGATGTTGCGACTGTTTATCTTAAAGACAAGCTGGGAGATGGATCGTATTGTGGCGGAGTGTCAGTCGTCCGAAACCCAGTGGCCGCCTTGGGTTGAAATTGAGCGTCGTCTTTCCGATCAGGTGGCCATGTGTAACTTCTGGGCAAATCGCTTATGCTGTCAAGCTGCCGACCGAGCAATTCAGGTATGTCCACACCCGACACATTGTTGAGACATGTCTGATCGATCAGATTCACGGAGGTGATGGGTACTCTCGTCATTATCCTTTCGAGCACATATATCGTCATTTCCGTCGGTATCGGATAACGGAAGGTGCAGAGGAGATTCAGATGCGCAAGATTGGGGCATACATATTTGGATTTGCTGGCCCAAAGAAAAAGGACATGGAATATGCCGAGAGGTCCAAGGCTAAGATTTGATCTGGCCCCTAACCAAGTTGAGGTTGGGACCAGGCCATTTTGACAGAAGTACGGCCAAAACCCATCAACATCTTACTTAGGTCACCGGAAGTAAAGTACGTAGTACTAGGTATAAGACATTGTAGTTTCAGAACAGATTTCATGTATACAAACTTTTCCGTAAACATGAATGTCAACCCGCTCGAACTTCGCTCGAAGTTGGGAGTTTGGAGTGAGGCCTTGTGGCCTTATGTCTCAGGCATCATACTTTTGTCAGCATTGGCCTCGTTGCCTGATTCCTAGCGCCGTCAATTTTCAACTTCTGCCGAGATTTCCCCGTGATGAAATTGCACTACTCCGTACTCCGTACATTGAATTGCTTCACCACCGAAGCTTTTCGAAAATATCTATGATATACACCTATATATCATAGTTATCGAAGAGATATACTCGGCGCATATGTAGTTCTTACACATATATCGTCGAGTGTTCAATCGAAGGTTTTCGATGTGGACTTTACCCTAAGTCACTCTCAGATATTTGTACCTATATTTTGTAGTGTTTTACTAGTTATTATTTGTCTTTGATGCTCATCAGTACTTCCATTATAGGTACCACGCGTCATCCGGGCACTTACCTAAAACAATTAAGATTTTTCCAAATTTACTCCACCCATGGATCTGTTCTCGGAGCCTCACCGAGCCCGTTCAAGCTCTGCAGAAAATTCTCTGACAAGGCGAGACAATCTTGACATCGATAAATGTTGTGATAACCTCATCTTATAAAAATAACGTTTGAATCGGATACACTCCGTGGCCCTGCCATGTCCGACATCGTCACCAACGATGCCCCCGCGGCACACGATGATACCAAAACTTCTGCAACTGCAGTCTCTGCAGAGGCGGATACTGATAATGCCTTCAAAGACACTAAGAAGTCTGATGCGGAGCAAAATCACTCCACGAACCCCAATCCTGGGGAACTGAAGCGGAAGCTGAAAAGTAGACATCTACAGATGATTGCAATCGGTAGGCCTTCGCTTTGTTTAATCAAAACAAGCTACAGAAGATGCTAACTTACGTCGGTCATAGGTGGAACTATCGGCACAGGTATACTATCCTACTCTCAGGCCTTCGATTAAATGAATACCGAAATCTAACCTCTACAGGACTCTTTATCTCCAGTGGTACTGCTATCGCAACATCCGGTCCAGCGGGCGCGTTGATCGCCTATATCTTTGTCGGCTCCATCGTCTATTCTGTTATGAGCTCATTGGGCGAAGTTGCAACCTATATCCCAATCTCCGGTGCCTTCACATCCTATGCAGCCCGCCTAATCGACCCAAGCCTGGGATTTTCCATGGGTTGGATCTATTGGTTCAATTGGGCCTCCACGTTTGCCGTCGAACTAACCGCTACCGGTACAATCATCCAATATTGGGATCCTAGTCTGAACATTGCCATTTTCATCGGAGTCTTCTGGGTATTCATCACGGCCATGAACTTCCTCCCCGTCAACTTCTACGGTGAGGTGGAGTTCTGGTTCTCAACTATCAAAGTGGCGACTGTCATCGGCTTCATCATTTTTGCGATCTGCATCGATGTCGGAGTTGGAGAGCAGGGATATATAGGCTTCCGCTACTGGGACAAGCCGGGAGCCTTTGCCTCGTATAGCCCCGACTTACCGGAAGCGATTGGCAAGTTTGTTGGCTTCTGGGCAGTTCTTATCCAAGCTGGGTTCTCCTACCAAGGTACAGAGCTTGTTGGTGTCGCCGCTGGAGAGACCGAAAATCCCCAAAAGACAGTCCCCTCGGCTATCCGCAAGACGTTTGTTCGAATTCTCTTCTTCTTCGTTTTGACCATCTTCTTCATTGGACTTGTGGTCCCCTACACCAACAACCGTCTCACCACTGCGACAACCAACGCATCATCCTCGCCCATGGTTATCGCGGCCGATTTGGCAGGAGTGAAGGTTCTTCCAAGCTTGATCAATGCTGTGCTCTTGTCTGTGGTCTTGTCAGCAGCAAACTCCAATGTGTACAGTGGCAGTCGAGTCCTCACTGGATTGGCACATGAAGGATTTGCTCCCGCCTGTTTCGGTTGGGTCACCAAGCACGGTGTTCCATATATCAGTGTGACATTCACCGCTCTGTTTGGTTTGTTGGGTTTCATGAACGTTTCGAATGACGCTGGGCAAGTCTTCACTTGGCTTGTCAATCTCTCTAGTGTGGCTGGATTCATCACTTGGGCCTCAATCAACGCGTGTCATATTGCATTTATGCGCGTATTGGCAAACCGTGGGATCTCTCGCGATACCCTGCCATATAAGGCAATTTTGCAACCATATCTCGCTTGGTATGGTCTCTTCTTCAACATCCTCATCGCCCTCACCCAGGGCTTCACTTCTTTCATCCCGCATTTCCAAGTCACCGACTTCTTCATCGCCTACATCTGTCCCATCGTTTTCGTTGTGCTCTATGTCGGCCACAAGATCATTTTCCGTCCGTCATTTATCAGTGTAGCCGAAGCTGATATTGACACCGGTCGCTTGAACTACCAAAAGGAAGTTGAGCCCCCCAAGGCATGGTACTGGAGGGTCTGGGGATGGGTAGCCAAGTAAATGTACTCCATGTACATTTATCAATCTTGGATCACTTGTATTTTATATTTCTTCACCGCGAAGCATCTGCGTCATGTTATTTGCAGTACCATATATAGCATCATTTTTCAGATATCAATAAGTCATTGTCACAATCATATATCTACCACCCGTTATACTCTCATAGAACTCATTTAAGATGATACCTCGACGCAGATTTTATGAAATAACCCTAGTCACAACACGATCAGTGCGTGGGACATGGCTGTATGTTGCCAGAGTTTTTTTATATCCAGTTAAGGTGCCGGGCAACCACAGAGAGGCCGCCGATCAATGCAGTTGCGCCAGTGCAGACAACGAGTGTCCCGTAGCCTGTTCCATATGCACCGATCGCGTGTCCTTTCCAAGTATCTCCCTTGAGCAGAGCCTCGCTGAGAGGTCCACTTGCCACATTTCCGATTCCACGTCCCGTTTCCATGAATGGGAAGATGACAGTCGCGTCTGCTAATGGATTGGCTTTCTGCACTTCGTTGGAGACCCCCGCCCATGTGGAGGAGAACCCCCCTGCGAGGAGACCATAGGCAATACAAAAGACATATAAAGGGGGGATACTGTCGGCGAAACCCCAGATAAAGAAGACCGAGAGAACGGTACCCACAGTCGACATGAGAATGCAGGTAGTGACGTGATATCGATCGGAAAGGAATCCCATGATGACAGAGCCGAACACAGCAAATAGGTTGACGAGGATTACAGTGAGAGACGCCATGTAGTCACCAGCGCCTAGACTGCGGGCGTATGTTGGAAGGTAGATTGTCGGCAGGAAGAAACCGATTGCTTCAAGAGTGTTGCCGAGTTGGTAAATGATGAAGACTTTGTTGTACAAGAAATGAAAATTCAGACGGTGGTACGCGATTGCTGTCGTATGCAGTCTCGGTCGATGAAAGTAGAGGAATGGCACAGCAAGGATGAACAATGTCACGGACGATATCTGCAGCGTAGCTTCAATCCCATACTGGTTCAAAAGCCACTGGATGGCGAGTGGGAAGACTATGCCGGAGACACCAGACCCGGCCTAACGATATATCAGTTCGACTTGCCATAAGAAGGGGCTAAGGGTGCAAGTTATTGTTCGCAACTCACCCAGACAATACCAAATGCAAGACCTCTTCGTTTATCAAACCACTCCGACATGAATAGGATGGTGGGAGTATAGGCAAAACAGCCACCAATTCCAAAGCCGATTCCTTGCGACAAAATAAGATGCGTCACGTTGGTAGAAAATGAACTCAGTGCCAAAGACAAACACATGATAAGAACTCCTATGGTTGACACCCAGCGAGCAATCCAAGGCACCAAAATCATCAAAACGATTGCCAAAGGAGCAATCAGGTAAGCTATACCCTAGGTGTTCAGTCAGCGAGAGAAGGGAGACTTAAGTATATGAACAACTAACCATTGCACAGGTACCAATAACTGCGATGTTTCCAGATCCTTTGAATGGCTCGTGTGTGCTATAGTAGTCTTGAAATATACCGAAGGCGAATGCATAACCTGCTCGCGTGTTAGTTTCAGCATCAATGTATCTTCAACCAAAAGAAACGATGATCACGAACCCCAAACTAGAGCTTCGAGCATTGCAGAAGCCATAAGGAACAGCCATGCTTGAAGACCCCCATCTACTGGCGGCAGCTTCTCTTCGTCTTGAATGATTCGGTCGTCGGACTGTTGATCGAAAGGTATGATGGATGTACTCCGGCTGGTGAAGCTGGGAGTATACTCCTTAGCCTCCATGATGCAAAATATCACGACTCTGTGATCAAGGGCGGGTAGGGATCTAGAGGCACAAGTTGTTTACGTGCGAAAGCCACGGGGGAAACCCTCCTTTGAAAAGGGTTTATATTCAACGCGACTATTTGAACAGAAAGGCAGGATCGGCGTGGGAAAAGCAAATAAGCTAATGGAAGCGCTAGCTGCATGACGAAATAAATCTCCCTGACAAGGATCCTTCCAATCAGCATGCCAGGAAGGTAGCTCAAAAGCACATACCTGGAATCCAGGTAGACTGGGGTCTCAGCAATGTGATGGTGACCCCCTAGATGTACTGATATGGTCAGTTTGACAAGTCACGCGTCTAAGCTGCTTGTACTCTGGGGCTTCCTCGGCTTCCTAGGTCTTCTCGTGATGCTAATGGACAATCCTTCGTTGAAGAATGTCTTCTATATCATAATTGACTGCTTGCCGAGGTATTAGGCACGGTGTTGCAATTTGCTGCAATTCGTGGCTGCGGCGATCAGATGCAGGATCTGCTCTAGAAATAGCATGAGAGAAATGGCAAAAGTTCCCTCGACACTTGGCTCACTGTGTGCGTGCACGAAGCGCCCCTCTCATCGGATCAAATGGGAAATGGAATGTTGATCGGGATCACTGCATAGCAGGGCTGGTGGGCTCGGAGAATTCCATGTTGATAAAGGTATCGAGCCCGCTGTCATTGGCAGAGATAAGAAACAAAGGAAAATTGCTTTTTCCCTGTTTGACAAAGCTTCGTGGCTGGGAGTTCCAATCGGTATAGATTCACCTGCCGATAAACGATGTCATGTACAGACCCAATTTTGGACTCATTGCAGGCGTTAAGCTTGTTGGATACTACCACATAGAATGAATATTAGAATCACATGTTTTGATCAAGAGATCTCTAGCAATGAGACGACTGACACCATACAACCTTATAACTTTCAGAAGCAGCCGCGGGGAGGTTGGTCAACATTCCAGCCAACGGAGCTAACGTAAGTTTATCCATCGAGCCAGGCGGCGTTATCTCCCGGTATTATTATGCATTGGAGATTTCATTCATATCGTAGTCGAGGACATTTATGTCCATCAATTCTTCACAAACCGGACCTTCATCATCGCCTGCGGTTACGGCCAGTCCAATATTAGTTATAGCCTGCCCCTGGACTGGCGAGTTACACACTAGGCCAAAAATACCACTATATCTGAGCATTATGCTCAGAGATTCCAGGCTCCGATATATATATAGTGCATGACGTGACAATATTGTGCTGATTCGGGAAAACGACTAGAACTTGTTTGTCGGCCGGAATTACCCTTATTCCGTCTACTCTTTTAGTAATTCACTTCTTGCTTACGGAGTACAAGAACCACCTAACTAGCGAGCGCTTCACACTCTTTGCAATACACACTCATTTTACTTTTTGCTCTAGTACTGCGTACAGTAAGCACTAGTATCAAGTCATCTTTAGTGCACCTTCGTTCAACACATAATCTTCCACATCGCATATCTGATTGCCCGGCGTGCTTGTACAATCGCTAGATTGGGCGAGCCAAAGGTTGCAAAATAGTCGCAATGTTTCCAAGGGTCATAACAGCCTACCAATGTAGTTGCAATGATCTCTCTTTTTAGCGCCTATTCTTCTGACTTTCTCTATAGTACACTTGATTTTGAACAGCTGTCAATTCGCACAAGAGATAATTTCGTGTTCTTAACATAGAGGTACAGGTACCAGATGAAACCCACAACCGTCATGCCTCGAAAAGCTTCAAGTAATCATATTGCCGTGGGGTATACATAAAGTATAAGAGATAAAGTAAGGTAAACAAATAGCATTGCAAGTAAATAACATATACTAATTAAACCTTCATGCCTTCATGACCTTCATGACCTTCATTCTTCTTCTTTCTACAGCCATCTTTCTCTGTCGCGTCCCCTGTCTTCAAGAATCTACACACACTTTGACAATCACTCCACGATTATTGTAGCAAAAGTTGTGTTTATTAGAGAAGCTACCTAAGAGAACTAACGGAGGTACAGAGGTAATAATAAGCTAGAATCCTTGCTGGCCCCACACGAGTCTTGAGATCCGTCCTAACCGATCAGGTGACAGTTCAATGTTATGTTCGGGTGGGACTGGTTGACGACAAAATAATTCTTCAAACTCGATGGTCAAAGGTACTGGTGGCCTGATAGTAATCTGTGAATTAGGTTTGTTTGCGTCGCGGGATACCGTAATGGTCTTCCGTATCTTTAGGACGTAGCGAGGCCGCTGCAGTCGTAAGGAGTTCACGGTCGGGTCTAAAGTAACAGTCTCGAACTTGATGTTAGGGGTCTTTCGACTGATAGACACGATAATCACAAGCTTTATATCTCCCCTCGAGTTCGTGAGCCACCATTCTGCATCTGCCTGCAGCTTTCGATATGACTCTAATACTCCCACTTCGACCACAACGGTCGGCCATTTTGGATTGCGACCTGGAACAGGCTGGGCAGGACCATAAGCTGCGTCGGCCTCTTTTCTGCAAAACACACCTTCGGTGGTTGTAGATCCTAACGGGCAGATCGACTCGTCCAGCCCCATATTGTAGATCTCATTTTGCACTGCACCTTCTAGGCCGCGTGAAGCTGATTCATGGGGCCTAGTTAAGAGCTTGATAATCATGTGTCGGGTGCTACGATTAAACATCTGCCGAGTACTGCGCAAAGAAAACTTGTCCACAATATCTGGTGGGACGTTTGTGAAACGTATATATTTCACGACATCGGCTGTTCCTTTGTTTTCTCTGATAATCTTCCGGATAGCGCTCTCTGTCGACCCGATGGCTTCGACTGTGTCGTCCGGCAGCGCCTTGAAGCACTCGACGTCTGAGCGCTCGACTTCTGCAGAGTCCGAGTCATCAGACATTTCTAAATATCGAGTCTTCGAGGCCAACGTAAGGTTTTCCGAAACGGAATTCACGAGGATAGAAGGTGCAGACATTCTGGCGTCCGAAACTGTATGGTCTTAGTAAGTTTCGGATAACCTTGGAAGATTGGAGTGATGAGTCATCCTTACCTATCAATCGGATGAAACTCGAGAATGATTGGCACACTGCCCAGGTGCGCCAGTTGGCGAGGGACTGGCGGTAGCAATGGTTCTCGTCCTCGTTAGCAATAAAGAGAGCGAGAGGGAGAACAGGTGGTATAGATTAGACCTCCGCACCAGCCCATAAAGCCCAGGGCCCAACCCAATCCAACCCGCAAATGGGCTGGGCTTTGGGCCCGGTCCTTAGGCCCACCGGTGGGCTATGGGCCTAGGGTAGAAGCCCACTGGGCTTTAGTAGGGCATTGGGCCCCAAATAGTACAAACATGCTAAGAATTTAGGTGCCAAGTAAAGTTGAACCCTCCCTTTTCTATCTTTTTAATTACGCTCGTTTTACCTACGTTTCTAGGCCTTATTCCTAAGGTAATGTTCTATTTATCTACATGATTTAGAGCTTACTATTAGTAATTTCTTAATATTACGTTTAAAAACGCAAGAAAGGGCGTTTATAAAGAAATTCTAAAAATTACAGAGCCTTACTAGAAAGTAGTGGTACTCCCGAGGTCCCGTCGAGATCTAAAATATATATCTAATATCAAAATATCAAAATTAATACTTTTGATAATATCTCGTCCTCTACTTATTAGATCTTATTTAAAATTGAAATATATACTAATATAGACACTGTGATTTGATATTCTGAATTTAAACTCTATATAATTGGTAGAAAAGGCTATAATACAGGGATTACAAAGGCTAATACCGATGGGCTTTATTGGGGGCCTTACGGGCCCCCACTAATGGGTTGGGTTGGGCTTTGAAGGTAGGGCCTATAGCCCACTGCGGGTTGGGCTATGGGCTTGAGCTCCGGGCCCAACCCGGCCCATTGCGGAGGTCTAGTATAGATAATCGGCACACTGTACCAGTTAGTAAGGGACTGACGGTAGCAATGGTTCTCGTCCTCGTTGGCAATGAAGAGAGCGAGAACACATGATTGGATGAAGAGAATAACAAGTCTGAAAGAAGAGATGAGAGAGAAGGAATAAGAGAAGAAGAAAGAAGAGAGAGGGGGAGGGGAGAAAACAAGGGAAAGAGAGGTCAGATGAGGAAGGTGCCTAGGTGACATTTCCTGCCTAGTGAAATAAGGAATGAGCAGAGGGGACTCTAGGAAATACCGCTTCTAAGAGATGCTACTCCTTAGTACAACATATAATCTGATTCATTTAACTTAAGATGATATAAGGGCATGACTACAAGGTGAATGTATGCCAACAACACAAAATATCAACCAACAAGCGCTTGGTATAGCAAATTATTTGAAAAGCACTTGGGTTCAGACCTCGGCATACCCGGACAGTGATGATGATGATGATGATGATGATGATGATGATGATGATGATCTCATTAACACGATCTAGCTCGCTATTACATACCTAGGTACATGCTGCTATGCAGGAGTAGCTTCCCCAGAGCCTGCTCTTCGACGATAAATGGTGGTACACCCCCAGTATACAACCACCCGTAGCTGTATAGGATTAGTTAGTTAACTATAATGTAAACAAGATAAAGAGAATCGTAAAGAAAGTCAATTCCTCTATCGATGACTCCCCATATAATTGCACTGGCCCAAAAACGGCATTGATTCGAGATTGATCCTAATTCCGTCATTCCCACAGCTACGCCTTGTATCTATCAGAGGACTATGAAACGGAAACTTATATGTCTCGAATTATAACTAGTAATTACCCCTACAAGCAAAATCACAGAGATCGTTGGCTTTCTTTGTTCTCCGAATGGCTATTCCTACTTAGGAAAGAGGTTATTAGCTCTGCTATTTGATTCCCCTAGGGGACTACTACTTGCTTTCTCTCTTTCATGTCTAGGTCTTTGCTTCTACAGTTTAACTGCTCTCTTTCTTTATTTATCGGATTAGCACATAACGCTATTCCAGAAAAGGGTTTGTTTACAATGTGGGGCGTGGTTTTTATATTTTCGTTATCATTAAATTCAATTGAGCTAGGAGTTCCGGACTGCGACTATTAACAAAAGATATGTAGTTAAGACCTAGAAGTCTGCTCCGTTCGGCAACTTGTTGGGAGTATCCTTTCGGAACTTGTTTGTGATCAAGTTCCCGAAGGAAGCCGACCAGTCCACGCGAGGGGACAGACTCTCTAGACCCCAGAGCTCAGAGACAAACTTGAGGATAGAGGTATGAGTGAACTCGTTCCCGTCGCTAGGCTTGTGCTGGACCAGCCCCTTGGGAACCCAAGGAGAGATCAAGACTGTAGGAACTCGAACCCCGAGACGGTCAAAGTGGAAAGTGTATGGCTCACCATCCCGAGCCGTCGTCGTATAGGTCAGACTGTCGCCAGCGGGGACGTCAATGGGAGGCGGGACATGATCAGCAAAACCACCATGTTCGTCCCAGGTCAGAATGAAGAGGGTCTCATTCCACTGCGGCGAATTGCGCACAGCCTCATAGATGCTCTTGACAAAGTTCTCGCCCATATTGATTGGAGACGGAGGATGCATCGACATATAATTGCAGCACTCAGGGTTGATCCAGCTAAACTGTGGTAGGTTCCCAGCTTTCGCATCAGCATAGAAGTTGTTAATGGGGACCACGTTATCTTTTCCATTCTTCGCGGTCCAATCGTAGAACATGGCGTCGGGCAAAAATGCGGGCTTGGACTGAGTCGAATTCTCGTAGTTCTTCCAAGTGATCCCCTTCTCTGATAGGTGCTCGAAAATAGATGTTTGTGGTAGCGCAGATGTCATGAAGTCGTCGTCATTGTGGCCATGACCATGGGAAGTGCCCGAGGTCAAGTAGGCACGGTTGGGGTTTGTAGGTCCTGGCACTGCAGCAAACCAGCGGTCGAACAAGACAAAGTTCTGGGCGATGGTATTGAAGACAGGGATGTGCTCCGGGGTGAAGTAATTGATCGCCTCTGCTGCCCGCTGTAGGTCGTCCTTTGGGTAGGAGGTTCGCTGTTCAGTGATGAATCCATTCATGTTGGCCTTGGCTCCTGCAAGGGGGTGGTAGGTGCCATAGACCTGCATGTTACCACCCGCAATGCTGTGGTTGGGGTCTTCGGAGGCAATGTTCTTCGCAACAGGATTGGCGCAAACATGGTTTTCGTGTGGGATAGAGACATTGGCAGGATTGCAATATTGAGGATTTCGGGGGCCGTCAATGCTAGAGTCATAGTCAAGACCGCCAGCGAAGTGGTCAAAGGACAAGTTTTCTTGAACCAAAACGACAATATTTTTGATGTTGCTCATACCCGACGATGCGGCGGGCATGGCAGTAGCACCCAGACTTAGGGCAACAAGTAGTAGAGCACGCGCCATATTTGAGATGAAAAAAAAAAACAGATGGACTTGACGAGTCGACTATGTAGTTTATAAGTCTTTCATCTTTTCTTTTTCATTTTTTTCTTTCAACATCCTCTCAGAAAGCCCTTTCATTGCATGTGGCTGCATGACCCCATTCTGCGTGGTTACCACGCTGTTTCTGTGCCGATCAACAAGGCACTGGATGCCCCCCGCGTCAGGGCATGGGCCATGAGCTGACTATCATTGGCCAGGAACATTTTTAACACAAAGGGGTGATCAGATGTTCTTAATTTTTTTGTGCCATCTAATATAATTTACATAGTAAAAACATTCTTATCTTCCGATAGTATATCACGTTGTTCATGTGTTCAACATTTGAATGTTCATCGTCGGATGCATTACAGTATTTTCCTTGGACTCCTTTCCCCCCAACATATCTCCTAGAAACAATCTCGACACCGCATATTCACTCCCTGCGGGAATGGATTTTATACTTTTGTTCACTAGAATAATTACTTGACCAAAAAAGAGTCAGGGTCAAAGCACCTTCCTTGGCCATGGATTTTGCCATGATGAGTCTGTCTTATGACTGTTATACTTCATTGTGAATACCCCTAGCGCCTTCTATGATCATTCGGACTTCACTGTTCCCTTGTTCTCCCGAAAGGTCACATATTGGTATCATCTTGCCGTTTTGACTTGAGCTAAGCTGAGGGGTACAAGTCAGCCGGAAAGACGTTTCTGCCTTAGGTCTCAGGCAACAACGGGACAGACACCTTAATTTCTCTGATTTTTGGAGTGATTAACTATTATTGGACTGTGCTGGAATATGTCAAAAGCTTCCTTAAGCCTTATGGTTGTCATAGTTTAGTGGTGTAGGTTCACCTTTACAGTTGGGCTAACTCTTATTTACTGTCGTTGTATGGTAGACTCTTAGCTTAGCTTGTAGGTGCAATTTTGATGCCTGTCAGAATTGCTAAACTACCTTAACTATTCTAGATATGTCCTTTTACTACTGTTATGGCCTATATGACAAGAAATTTGGTCATCGGCATCACAGTTGATGGGGGTGTGGAATAAATTTCTGACGACCTGGAGAATTTATATATGTGCTATATGATCTTAACATTAAACATTTCTTCCCATTCCCGATGTTTGCTATGCCTATTGCCAGTTTAGATTGAGATCTTTGCTTGCTGGTTTGCTAGATTTACAGGCTATAAGTACCCTACCATTCCATAGATTTTACTACGGATCTATCGTACTCCTTCATCAATCTCCATTTTTGTATCCTAATCAAAAGTAAATATAATATCCATAAACCCGTATCCACTCCACCCCACCAAGTACAATAAAATATCAAACAACATGCTCATAGCTCAACAAACTCGCCACGAAGGAACTCATCTTCCTGAATCCGATCCAAGTACCCGGCAACCTTTGTTGTCAACGTATCAATATCAAACCCAAAGTGCTTGTATGCCGCCTTGCCCGGCAAACTATGACCGAAGCGCGTGATGCAGATGCCTGCATCTGCATACCGCTCCCACCCATTTGGCGCATAGGGCTCAATCACCACAGCCGGTATACCCTGGTGTCGCCGCAGTGTCTTCCGCTTGTACTCAAGTGACTGTTTCTCAAACAAGCGCTGGCAAGGGAAGCTGACAACGCGTGCGGTAATACCTTTCTGCACCTTCAATTGCTCAGCAACCTGCACAGCGAACGAAAGTTCAGCTCCAACACCGATCAAAGTCACAGTAGCAGATTCAGCTTCTGACAGGACGTATGCGCCAAGAGCTACGCCATCACGACGTGTCTGTGGGATCTGGGGCAAGGTTTGACGAGAGGTAGAAATGATACTTGGGGTCTGCTTGGCGCCAATAGCGGCAATCCATGCACCAGCTGTCTCTTCGCTATCACCAGGACGGATATAAAGGAGGTTTGGCATAGCCCGATACAGGTTGGCTAACTCAATAGGCTGGTGGGTTGGTCCATCCTCGCCCATACCAATGGAGTCGTGGGTGGCGACGTGGATAATCTGGAGGTGTTGCAATGCGCCCATTCGGACTGCGGGTGCGGCATACAGGTAAAACATGAAGAATGTTGATGTGACCGGAATAATGGTGTTTGGCGAGTAAGCTGCCAGACCGTTGGAGATGGCAGCCATGGCATGCTCACGGACACCATAATGGATATACCGCCCAGAGTAAGTGCCATTGATGCCGCAGGTTGTGCGAAGTTCAGGCTAATGAGGCAGTTAGCAATGATTTCGGGTTATTTCAATCTCAGTTGTTCTGACTCACATGCTGGAAGTCAACTTTTCCAGGCCAGATCATGTTTACAGATGGCGAGAGATCCGCAGTACCGACCATAAAAGAGTTGACATGTTCGGCAATTGGGTTGAAAACTAAGCCAGACGCGGCACGAGTGGCAGTGGGTTTATCAGGGAAGGTGGTAGGAATATGCTCCTCCCAGTTGGCTGGAAGCTCGCCTCGGACACGAGCCATGAACTCGGCCGCTAGAGCAGGGTGCTGAGCAGCGTAGTCGTTTACTAGCTGGTTCCACTCTTGCACCCACTGCTCTCCGCGCTCAGGAATTCCCTCAAAGAACTGACGGACAGATTCACCAATGACAAAGTGCTCTTCCGGGTTGAAGCCGTAGGCAGCCTTCATATCACGGATACTCTGGGCGCCAAAAGCAGCACCATGGGCAACAGCAGTTCCAGCGACACTGCTGTCCAAACCGATGACTGTCTTGATATTAATGAAGGTGGGCTTTTGCTTTGATAAACGAGCTTGCTCCAATGCAAGGACAATGCCCTCAATATCAAAGCAGCCGTCTGCCACCTCAATCACATCCCAGCCACAGGCGCGCATCTTCGTGTTCACGTCTTCAGTGTTGGTAAGGTCGACGGATCCATCACATGTAATCTGGTTGTTATCGTAGATGACAGTGAGGTTGTTTAGACGGAAATGTCCGGCCAAAGAAATTGCCTCGAGAGCAACACCCTCCTGCAAGCAAGCATCGCCAATCATACACCAAGTATGGTTGCTTACCACATCGAATCCGGGGCGGTTGTAGGTAGCGGCGAGGTTCTTGGTCGCCATGGCCATTCCTACAGCATTCGCAATACCCTGACCCAGTGGGCCGGTTGTCACTTCAATTCCTTCGTGCTCAATCTCTGGATGCCCGGGGCACAGCGCATCGACGCGGTCCGAGTGATATGATTTGAGCTGATCAAAGGTCATGGCTTTGTAGCCTGTGAGATGGAGGAAAGAGTATTGGAAGAGGCAAGTGTGACCTATAGGGCCTTAGTTTAGTATGCATCACTCTCGGATGCGTATCAATTTAGCAGAATTGGAGCTAAACTGACCATTTGACAAGACAAAGCGATCCCGGTTGAAGAATCCTGGAGTGTGGGGTGCATATCGCATAACATATCTCCACAGTGAAACACCGATCGCAGCCATACCAATAGCACCACTAGCACACAATCAGCTTCTGCTCACAGTTAGATAATGCTCTAAAGGCCATACCCGGGGTGTCCGCCATTGAATTGCTGGCAGAGATCTGCAATCAATAGTCGGAATGTCTTCAATACCAAGTCATGGTCCTTTGACAGCTCGCGGACTAGAGGCACCGCAGAGCTGTGGACGCTGTTGACGCCGTCTTGGTAAATTCCAACCGCCATTATAGGAGTTTAACGGAGCTGAACAATTTTTATCAGATCCAAATGTTCAAACTTGGAGGGGAGGCTCCTTGAAATAGTACTGCAAGCGATGATGGTTAATATTTCCTAATCGGGCGATCCCCACACCCAATATCAAATTGGCAATTCCATCCACACCAAAACAGGTATTTCGAGCCACAACTTGCTAGATCGAATATTAGTTGGGCTCCCACGGCACCCTTAAAGAATGGAAGTCGCCCACCTTTGTGAAATTACACAGAAAATATACCATGACTTCGGTACTTCTCGATCAGTCAAACGGCCAGCAGGCCATGACAGCCTCAATGGGCGATCGCATTCCCCTCAAAGTCTCCCATCCCAATCCCTCGTTGCAAGTGACTGCAGACCACAAGCTCAAATCTGTCGACACACCTGTTTACGCTCCCAAACGAGGCGAGGCGCTGGTTCACATAAAAGCAACTGGAATTTGCGGGTCAGATATCCACTTCTGGAAGACCGGCCGCATTGGATCTTTGGTGTTTGAAGGTGACTGCACAATTGGCCATGAAGCCTCGGGGATCGTTCTGTCGTGCGGCGAAGGTGTCAACCATTTAAAGCCAGGTAGGCATGTTTCATTGAGTTTGAAGATCTCCGAGCTGATAGTTTGATAGGTGACCGAGTTGCCGTTGAACCTGGTGTTCCCTGTGCACAATGTTTCCTTTGTGACGAGGGACGTTATAACCTATGCGAGGATGTCCAGTTTGCCGGCGTTTACCCTTACGAAGGTACCATTCAACGTTACAAGAACCACCCTGCGAAATGGCTACACAAGCTACCCGATAACGTCACTTTTGCCGAAGGCGCACTTCTTGAGCCGCTTTCGGTAGTGATGCACGGCATCAAGACGGCTGGTCTTTCTATGGGCCGTGGTGTAGTTGTATGCGGTGCCGGCCCTATTGGACTGATCGCTTTAGCTGCAGCACGTGCTTCTGGTGCTCACCCCATTGTGGTGACGGACCTAGAGCCCTCTCGGCTGGCCTTTGCGAAAGACTTTGTTCCTTCGTGCATTACATATGAGGTGGACCGGACAAAGGATGCCAAGGCTAATGGAGAGGCCATTCGTGCTCTCTTTGGGTCTAGCGAATACGCTGCTCCGGAAACCATACTCGAGTGTACTGGTGTGGAAAGTAGTGTATGCACTGCTGCGTACACTGCGCGGCGCGGAGGCACCGTCATGGTGATTGGTGTAGGAAAGGCAATCATGAACAACCTACCGTTTATGCATATTTCGCTTGCAGAGGTAAGTTGTATTGATGTGCCGTATATTGAATATTTCTTGCTGACTTGCTAGATTGATCTCCGGTTCATCAACCGCTACCGCGACACCTGGCCCCCGGCTATTGCCTGCCTCAGTGGTGGCATCTTGGACCTGAAGAAACTTGTTTCACATGTCTTCCCTCTTGAGAAAGCCGAGGATGCGCTACACCTTTGTGCTGACACTCGAAACGGTAGTATCAAGGTGTTGGTGGTCGATGAGCAGGAGGCTTCGTTATAGTTGTGGTAATAAGAGAAGATGGGTTCAGTCATTGAGAACTAAGTATTGCTGAACTCTGTTGTATGATGATATGATTTGTTTTAGTCCGTCTAAAATAGGAGAATAAATGTTCAGCAGTGATAGGCTTGATCTGATACTATATACCAACTCAAGCCAGACGGAATGCCGACATGAACTCCCAACCCCCACTTCGACCAATGTATTCCTCAAAATGATGGCTGGCAGAATATCGACTCGATGACGGGAATTGGGTCCTTGGAAGAGTGCTCTCCGGGGCTCAAGAATGTGTTGTGTCCGGTGCAGTCGGGGCCGCTGTACTACCATTAGCTAAGGTCTAGTTGCTAGATTGCCACCAGACTTACGTGAAGAGACGACATGGCTTTCTCAGAGACACAGTAAGAACATCCCTGTGACTCGTTAGTCTCGGCCAAAGCACGGTAGTTAGGAATCAGTCTCACTCACTCTTCCTCGATTGGATGGCAATCATTTAACGGCACATCAATACCTCGGCTCTTCTCAGCTGTTTCAATGCCCACCTGGTCTTATTAGCAATCAATCATGGTCTTGAGGGAGAACATGCGCACAGTTGTTCGGTCGGCCTTCTTTGCCGCCGTTACTGAAAGAAGCATCAGGCTTACAATCGACAACTGTTTGAGGCCGTACATGACGCGGATAATGTACAGAGGTCCAATGATAGTAGATCTGAGGATATAGAATACTCGGCAGTGCCTGGAAGCATAACGCAGAAGGTCGACTACTCTTCCTGCAAGGAGATGCCATCTGTCTTTTCCCTGCTATCCCTTGCGTGTGTTTCTCCTGCAAGTGCCAGGGGTTGCGGCCAACTGCGTTGTAAGGTCACATCCCTGTCTTGCAGTGATCTGCACTGTACGGACTGCGTAGGATGATATATCGAGGATCAGAATGTGACTAGTGATTTGAGATAGATGGAGTATATCATGAGCTATGATCGCGGCGTGGTGGCGATATATGAGCACTGTCGAGTCCTCGGAAACTGTAAAATGTGATTGTATTGATATCCATAGAAGAACAAGTAAATATTGGGAGTAATATTATTTAATTAACAAACGGTAGCAAAGTTATCAAAAGACATATGAAGTGCCCGAGGAGTGTCAACGGAGAAGTGTCTTCGTTCTCGGCTCTCCACTTCAACCTCAACTCTCTTGGATATTTTCTTCTTTGCATGTCCTTGATTACTCCCGGATTCACAGTGCAACGGGGCCCGATGATCCGATCCAACTCTCTTCTCTATGAACTGGAACAGTGCGTGTCTCCAGTTACGCCATGAACTGGTCCCGCCCTGACGCGACTCTTTCCAATACCGCCGATGCTGCATTCGCCTCTCCATCAGGCGCCACCAGCTGGCCCGATGAATTCTCCCACGACCCAGGCTTTCTAGCCTCCCAGGAGGAACTACGATGCATGCTTTTCAATCTCGCGCAGTCTGCAGCCCCGACCCGCACACCGAGCCCAGATACACAAGATCAAGACACACAATTGCCCGACAGAGAGGAGACGCAAACGCGTCCTGTGCTATCAAATCTCCGTCGCATTGAGTACTTGAAGAACTATGTCGGGCAGGTGGCGCCATGGGTAAGTGAGGTTGTTTGCGATGTTCTCAACAATCACTGATCCCGACCGTAGCTCGATATGTTCGATTCGCAATGTACCTTTCGAGTGCAAATCCCTGCGCTGGCCCAATCGTTCCCCGCCCTAATGAATGCGATCCTCGCGATATCCGCCCGACAAATGGAGAGGAAGGAAGGGATCCAAAACTCATTTGACAGCCTGGAGCTTTACCAGGAAGCGATTCGCCTGCTGAGCCCGCTGCTACAAATGCGCGATCCTAAAGTTGTAGCCGCCTGCGTACTGCTCTGCTGTCTTGAGATGATGTCTGCGCGGGCGCAGGATTGGCAGCGTCATTTGGAGGGGTGTGCGGCACTTTTTGAAGCCTTCGGAATGAACGGGTTCAGCAGCGGCCTTCTACAAGCAGTGTTTTGGTGCTACGCACGGATGGGTGAGATCCAATATTCATGGGCAGATGACAAGGATATCACTAATTAAGAATAACTAGACCTATGTGGTGCATTGATCTCTGATGGGACACAAAGCACTCTTCTTCGACCTAGCAAATGGCTCGCACCTGGATATCATGAAGACAATGCTGCGCAGCTCTTTGAGGCTGCACAGTCCCCGGACATGCACGCCAACTACGCCGTATACCTTTGCGCAAAATCCTGCGAGCTGGTGGCTGATCGTACTCAGTTTGTGGAGCTGGGCATTCATAATGACTGCACCGGAGAGGCCTTCAATCACCGCTGGCTGGGACTCTGGAATGATTTGCAACACTGGCTTGACAACAGACCACCGGAGCTATTGCCAATCCACACAACAACGACAAAACCATTCCCCCATATTCTTTTCATGCAATGGGCGGCTATATCATCGAACCAATTATACCACACGGCATGCATTTTGTTGCTCAACTTGATGCCCAAATCTATCAAGCTGCAGCCAACACTTGCAAGGTCCGCACTGTGGCATGCCAGGCGCATTTGTGGGATTTCGCTCGCCAATCCGCACCATGGATGCTTGAACAACGCCATCCAGCCGCTATGGATTGCAGGAAGGCTGTTCAGCCATGTATCTGAGCACGCGATAATAATCGACCTGATCCGTCATATTGAAGCTGAGACAGGGTGGGGCGCTTGCTGGCGCATCCGCGACCTCGAACTCGCCTGGGGGTATCATGTCTCGCGTTCAGACCGGACTATTGACAGAGACCCGTTTCCCGTAACAGGGTGAGCATCGGTTGCAACTTTAATGATCACATCAAAGAAAACCTTTACTATATCCCATCAAGGACGTTCCACTCTGCTCGCAGGCTCTGCAAGCAGTTCGTTGCGTTCCACCCTGTCACCGTACGGATACGATCGAACCCTCGCACAATTTCACGTTGTTGCGACTCGTGTGTCATCCGACGAGCAGCCAGCAGAAATGATGCCAGGAGACATGGATCCCAGCACTCTTGACGATCATTGTTGAGGCCAATACTGCATATCCGCTGGGCATGCCACAACGGCGACATAGCAACAGAGTGGAAGTTCGCAATGCGTGCGGTGCGAGGCCGATTGTGTAGTAAGATCAACATGGCTGTATGGTATAGCTGGTTGCCAAACAAGCCTGCTCCATTCGCAAAGAGAACGACCGGGAAACTTCTTTCTGGCCCAGCTAATTGATCATCCAGCTCTAATTCTAGCATCGGTTGAAATTCTTTTGGTCGCTCACGATACCATTGTTGCAGTTCTTCCACCAGCTGGATCCATATATGGAGCGGGGGCCGATCGGGAGAAACCTCTTCGTTGTGCACAAACTGGATCGCTCTTGCGCAGAGCCATAAAGGGCGGTATGCGTAGAAGAAAACCATCTCGAACGGATCAGCCACAAGATCTACTTCTGTGTAGTATGGAAACGATGGGGGAAGCGGTACGCGCATGTCTCCATCGGTCGCTAACGCTGTCGCAAGATCTGACGCGCCGGCATATGTCAGTCCATAGTCAAAACTACCTATTTTGTTTCGGAATCCATACCAAGCCTGAAAAAGAGCCAATAAATCGCGGAATTGATGTCTCTGCCCACTGAGTGGGAACTCAGGGCCCTCATGAGGTCATTGTCGCACCGCCTCTCGGTGTCCGACATATTAGAGATATTCGATATACATTTTTTCACTTGATCTATAGCGCTTATCAGTCCGAGATTTGTAATATCAACCTGCATATCCGAGTCGGGCCTCCGAAGGAATGTCTGTCTCCCCTCTCCAGGTGGCTTTTGTGGATGAAGCTGGTGGAAAGAAGTCCAGGACAGGTCAATAATCGAGTTCCAGATAGGCGATGAGACCATCGCTAACTGGAGTCCCTGGATTCCAAATGATTGCCCAAGGTCACATATGTCCAACTACTGCAGTTAGCACTCTGCGGTCCATGACGATTTCGAAACGCTCACCCAGGGTGCTACTTCATAACGATAGTGCCGTAGCAGGACTTGTATCTCGGTGGATGAGAGTGTCTCGAGACTTGAATCAGGTGGATTTTGTATAACTTGCGAAGGGAAGGGCAAGTGATGTGACAAATTCGATGGTATCATTGGAGTCCCTGGTGATGGAACTACGAGGTCTGACAGGGAGACGTCGGGTTCATTCATACCGAGGGCCAGCAACCCGGCGATGGCCGTTTCGTCTTTGTCATTGAGGCTCGTATAGTTCTGTTCATCTGCGGCACGGGGGGTCAGGGCTGGCCATAATGGCACGGCTTCGTCTCTGACATTGCTAGGTGTTTTAGGGTCGGCTTCTTGTGGTTGTGGAGTCACATCAATGTGAGAGGTTGTTTCGTCCAGCGCATGATCCTCAGTTTCGTTGCAGTCTTTTGAGGTCCCTTGAGTGATGAACTATACATACAATTAAATCAGACCTCTGCCTTGTGATTAGAGCCGGAAAACCTACGCGAATCTCTTCATAGCTAGCAGGTGGTGCTTCGACTTCTGATGTTTGCACGGTACGTGCATTCTTCGATAAAAAGGACAATTGGGTACCATAACTGCATTGATAGTTCCGCTCAGTGCAGTTTCGACATCGCGGTTTGCCTTCGTCGCCTGAATCCTATTAGACTTGAATATTTTACATATCCGGAAATACATACATTTTCGGCGTCGAACCCGACAGCGCATGCATCCGGTGCGACACCGGGTCAGGCGGGTTTGTTTCCTGCGCTCCATGGCAGGCGAATATAGGAGACTCCAGGGCTGTGAGGGGGGAGACCGACGGTTTCTAATCGGGAAGGTGCACGGGTGGCCAAGCCTCCATATTAGGAAAGCGCAAGCGCCATGACATGACAGCCCATGTGCCACATGATTTGCTTTGTCATCGTGCTTACCCGGGCGGCCCTAACTGCCCAGTTGATCACAGAGACATGGGTGTCAAAACCGACCGCTAATAATAAATTAACTTGCAACTAGCAAATTATTACAATGAGTTATCAACACTTGGCGCAACTACATTTTCTTCACTGCCAAACTCTGACCCTTCCTCCACTCATCCACAATTCCAGCATACACCGAAGGCCCATATACCCCTGTTAGCTCAGTGTAGAACCCACCCCCGAGTCGGTGTGGGTTCAATCCCAGGTCGCGCAGAAGAGTGTCATTGTACTGTTGCATTGGTTAGCTTACGATGTTCTCCGGGTTTCGCGCAACAAAAGTACCTGGATAGCCTCAACTTCAAGGCCAGTCCCAGTCAATGAGCCCAAGACCACATCCTCGGAGGTAGCATTCTCCATATCCTCCGGCGAAAGACTCCCAAGCCAGAGACCCTTGCCTGGGGTCGAATTAATATCCACCGGGGAGTCAAGCCCTCCCGTCAAAAACGCCGCCACCCAGAGAGCTTGAACCTCCGCAACAACAGCAATAGTTGATGATAGAATAACACCGAGTGTTGCAAACGAGCGGTCGCCTTGTGCGACTAATTCAGGTGCAACCATGCGACGGAATAGGCGATATGGCACCAGTTTGTGAAACTCGGTCCATGAGGGAGGACCCCGATCTGTGAAAGTGCACCTTGTCGCATTCAAGGTCTTCCTGACCGTAACCTCCAAACGTCGATCTAGATCTTCCCAATGCTGGATGCGGTCATTTATGGTGGATTCTAGTGGTCCATTGATCATCTCCGGTGTTCCCGTTGGAATTTCACGGTTCTCGGGAATGTCCGCGCCTCCCGAGTCCACTAGGGCCGAAAGCCCCAGTTCTAGGCGGAGGCTTGGTGGCTCGAACCGAATCGGAACTATTGGCTTATATCCCGTCGCATGGATGGCCAGATCGACTTCATCAATGCAATTGCCGTCTGACAAATGAACCGACGCTTTTGTTGACGAATCCGTGGTTTTCTCCGCCCTGGTAGCGACGATATTTGTGATGGCTGATCGGTACACGTTCACATGGGGTAATCTGATTGTTTCCCAGAGGTCTCCTTGATTTGCAATCCCAATACCAGATGCGCACGACACAACACTGAAAGTTATTAGTTACCGTATACTGCAAATGACGTCTCATTGAACTCACCTATTGTCTGGGCGCAGCTTTCCCATCTTCGGATCTGAGCCGTATTGTGCCGTCTCCTCCAAGCCTTTATCAATCGATCGCCAGAGCCACCGAATCCACCATCGACCTACAGGGTTGCCATGGAATAGCCGAGCTAGCCATGAGCCTTCCCAGTGCAGACCCCCGGATGGCCCAAGAGACAGGCGTTTTGGAGTCTCGTAGCAGCACGGAGTGAGATGGGTGAGCAACCGGGTGCTGGCAGCCTTATCGCTTGCAACGGTGTCGCCATTTGGGAGAGTAGACATTGGCGGCACCATCCACGCGGGCCCTGCACCTCGATCACGGATGATCCAATGTACTTGCACAGGATTCTCCTGTGTAGACTTGAGGTGCAGCTTTGCGTCGTTGCGATGTAGAGTCGCAAAGAAATGGACCAGATCAAATGATGACTTCGCACCTCCATAAATAGCAACCGATCGCAGTTGCGGGTAAGGAAACTCTTTTGCTGTCATGCTAACGGGCTGGGGCTCAGGTGCTTTCAGCGGCTGATATCCCAGGTGTTCTCGAGCCCATTCTCCAACATCCTTGGCATGAATGACTGGAGCAGAATCATCAGAGGGATGTGATGGCCCCTTTGTGTCTGGGATATTTGGCACTGAGGTTAATCCTGTAGCCAAAACTAACTTGTCGCAGATAATGGTAATGCGCCGACCCGGGGGTGTGGATACACTAATGTTGAGCTTCCATTCTTTGGTTTCTAGGCGACTGATGTCGTCGACCTATAGATTATTTAGAAATGCCGTAATCATAGAGCAGACTGATGGTGATCTTACCTTCCAGTTCAATCTTATGTGTTTTTCGAGCTGCCATTTCTCAACCCATGCACGGAGATAACGATTGATCTTCCAGCCTGCAATGAACTGATTGTGTGTATCATCCGCCTGTTCCTCCGGAACCACATCGGAAAGAGGAAGGTCACTGAATTCATAAAGACCATACGAGTTCTGGCTCAACAAATTTGGATAAAGCCGTTCTGCCGCCCAAGTACCTCCAATATCCGAGGCAGAGTCAATCACAAGAAGGTGACTGTTGGAGGTTGTTCGACAAGCCTCGATGCTCTCCGTAAAACAGACAGGAACTTCGGCGATTTCATTTGTGCTTTTGGTTGTATTTTCACCGTCGTATTCTCCGACGATTTGTAGATACGTTTTAGCTGCGATGAGACCGTAAAGACCTAATAAGTTAGCTAAGGCCAATCTGATTGTCATCTACTGCGAACCTGCTCCGACGATCACGACTCGTTCCATGACTGTAATGATTGCATGAGGGAGAGAAAGGGGGAAATAAAAATAAAACGGAGTTTTTATTCCAAAGGTGTACAATGAAATGGCAACAATACGAAGAATAGCTCGGAGATAGAGGATCTTGATATTGTTCTTGTGGGGTCGCGACAACAATAGGAAATCCATCTATTGAAAGGGTTTTTTTAAATATTTGGTGATAACTTGCAATTCGCTTAACTTTCCTTAGAAAAACAAATGGCATCAATGACATAGAATTGCCACATGGTAGCAACTATCCAAGTTCCTTTAGTTAGTCGTTTTGAGCATAAATCACGCGAACGGAGATCCAAACTTCCTCGACAGATGATATTATACATAGTCCCATTAGATATTCTCCTTCATATCATTTCGATTCATGTGAAACGCATCAATAATCTTTTCTTCTCCCGCTTTGAAATCGATTCCTTGCGCTTTAGCTTTGATCGTTTTTCGGCTGTCCAACACTTTGGTCATAACATCCATCCACTCAAGCTGCTGTTTGCTCGATGTCAAGTTCAGAGCAGAAGTAGGAGCGTCCGCGATCGAAACAGGCAGCAGTTTTCCTCCTTCCTTTCTCACAACGCCGTCCACGATAACGGTTTCAACATCCCTCTCACTGGAATGGAGTACGATAGCAGAAACTGGGTCTTCCTCAGCAGCCGCCAACATTGACGGACTCTTCGTATCGAAGATAACCAAATCCGCTTTGGCCCCGACCTTGATCTGGCCGATCTCCCCAGCCATTCCCATCGACCGAGCACCGCCGATCGTGCCCAGATTGAATACATGTTCAACCAGAGGTCCAACATGCCGACTCCACTTCCCTTCCTTCGCTAATATGTCCGAGTAGTTTGTTCTGGCATGCTGAAGTAAGAGACGCATTTGTCCAGGCATGAATCCGGTTCCCCAGCTGTGACAATCTGCTCCAAGACTAGAAACTGGTTGAAATTCAGGCATCAACGCTACAGGAGGATACCCCATTTGGAGCTCTGTGTTGGGTGTTGCAGAAACAGAGGCGCCGTGACTAGCCAAAAGCGCGGCATCACCATCCTTCGGGAAATTCGCATGAGAGATAAGGATATCAGGGCCAAGTAAACCAGCATTGTTGAGAAGTTGCACAGCAGACGGAGGGTTGCCAAAGGATTTTCCTGCCACACCATGCGTGGTGATGATCTTTGCGTGCATTGATCGGAGCTCGGTGTAGAGCTCCTGCAGCTGACTGGTGGGTAGATATAGATTATCCACGGCAAAGCCAAGGTGGACTCTACCATCAGCAAAAGGGGCAAACTTTGCAAGTTCTTTCCAGCTGGTGAGTGCGGATGCAGGGTCATAGTCGTCCGTGACTGTCAAAGAACTTCTGTCCACGATTCTCGGCACGCATTGACAGTACACAGCTCGTAGGCCAGAAGTAATCAAGGCATTAATCAAGGTCGGTGCTATGCAAGTCAGTATCGCTTGTAAAAAAAAGGCAAGAATATGGGTTTCTTACGGTACTCGGGGCCAAGATTGAGGTGTGAATGGTCGACAACTGATGTTGTACCAGCATCCACAGCCTCCATTGCGCCACTAAGTTGACCCCAGAAGGCGTCCTCGGGTGAGTAGAGCGCTCCGATGAAATTCATGCATGGTAGGTATTCCAGAAGACTATGGTTGCCGTGTTGGCCTTTTTGCTGGGTTTGCCATAGGTGGTGGTGGGTACTGATGAAGCCAGGCGATACTATTTTATCCTTGCAGTTGATAATTCTGACGCTTTGTTCATCTACGTCAATATTTTCCTCAATTTGGACAATGGCATTCCCATCGATTAAAAGATCGAGCCGGCGCGGTACCACCCTCTCGTCGACATCATGTACTAAAAGAGTACCGCCATGTAGAAGGATCTTGGAAGAAGCTGCCATCTTGTTTGCAATCGAATTCGGGGACCGGAAATAATAGGATAAAAAGGGGAGATGTTTTGAGTTCTGTCCACGCAGATCTAGATCCATGCCCATTTTATAGACCGAGCCGGATGCCCAAAATAGTGAAGTTCTCGCGTTTTCGCGAGGAGAAACAGCCCGAACAATAGCTCGAACGGACGGAGTTACAGCCGAAGAGCCCGAAGGAACGGAGTTAATGAACAAACTCCGCGTCCTGAGATCCAGATCATGGTCTAGAGATATTAGAGGTATGTGGCCGGTAATTCTTATAACTATGCTATCGCATCGTCGATATCACATACCTTACTTAGGCCTATATGAGCTAAACATCACATACGGTTAGTATCATGCTACTCTACCATGCACCACTACAAGTGGCAGCGGACAATCCGGTTCTACGATGGACTTGGCACGAGAAGAGTCGCCATTGGGATGAACTGAAAAGTGCCTCCCAAAGTATGTGGTCGCCGGTATCCCCGGAACCCGGCATGATAGCAAGGGACCAAGACAGGAAGATAGCGAGGGAAAAAAAAAAAAAAAAAAACAATTCTTGATTCTAAAGAGGAGGCTCTTGGCAATCCCCTCCAGCTTCTTCGGGCAGTTTATTGAGTCTTAGTGGCAAAGACTCGTCTGCAACATCCAAGAGGACTTGGGCTTCAAGGATCCTAAGGGCAGCGTAATTTCGGTTAGATCGAGCAGCACGTAGAGCATTGCCGCAGAATCCGCCCTCCATACGCACATCCGCCCCATGTTCCAACAACATGTGAATGATTTCAGTATGTCCACCTCGCGCAGCTGCCTGTAGGGCAGTGTTGTAATAACCACCAACAGCATTCGGGTCCGCACCTTGTTCCAAAAGCTCTATAACAAGTTCTTCATGGCAATATCGCGATGCAGCCTGTAAGCATGTACCAAATTGTCCTGCTATTAGATTGACATCTGCGCCTAATTTGATGAGATGAAAGGCGGCTTCTGGCCACCCTCTCGCAGCAGCTGCTTGGAGAGCACACCCATAATATCCCCCAGCGATATCAACATCTGCGCCGTGAAGAAGCAACAGATTGAGCACATCAAGACTTTGTTGCACACAAGCAGCCTGTAGAGGTGTGTGATAGAGGCCACCCTGAATATTGACATCTGCGCCATGCTCTAACAATATGTGAACAACCTCTATATGCCCCTCTAGGGTGGCACCTGCAAGTGGTGATCCATACATGCCGCCGATAGTGTTAACATCAACACCTGACGCGAGAATTGTGCGAACCATGGATGATAAACCCAACTCCGCGGCATAATACAATGGACTTCCAGGACTGTATTCATCTTCACCTCGGCGATAGATAGATAGCCAATGGTGAAAAGCGAGGTTGTCTTGGTCCAGGAGACGCAGAATCATCGGTTCAATTTGAGCCTGGTATTCTGAAGGGAGAAGCCGTACATGAGCATGCCATTCGGATGCGGAGTACGCTATCAGAGGATAGCTTGTTTCAAAGGGGTCATCCAACGCCTTGTGAAAGTAGTCGGATAGTGCTGACTGATCAAATGACAGCAGGTATGTCAAGCAACGCTGTGCGATTGCTAGGTGTGCTTCGGACTCTTTTATGGCAAACCGACTGGCTGGGCCTTTGCAGATTCGCTCCGATGTCAAACATTCCCGAACAGAGTAGTGTGACAATTGAACCGAATATGTCCTAGAGGTGGTAACAAGACTGGAGCATACAGTCAAGATATCTGCAGGATCAAAGAGTCGATCGATTTCGACGAGAACACTAATTCCAGGCTTGATAGCCACCATTTCAGATAGCTCATCCAAGTTGACAGGACGCGACGAGATTGTTAGAAACTGCAACGCTGTGAAAGCGATAGAGCGGGACTCTTCGTCTATTCCGCACAGAATACGTTCATATATCTCGTCCAGTGTTTGTGGAAGGCACTGTAACGTTTTCCGCACTGCTGATGGGGACAAACAAGAACGTAAGGCATCGAGTTGACATGCTGCCAATCGGAACCTATGCTAACCGTGGTCAATGATAGGACATGGTAACGGTTCACACAAGGTCTCTAGGACATACATTCCACTGGCTCCATTCATAATGGCGATTTCCATTTCTTTCTTCATCTGGATTGGGCGCTTCCTCAACACGGGATCTGATTTGAGCACGTGGCGGACCAACGTCTGAATATCCTCGTCTACTTTTGGCCCACGAAGAGGAATCGACCTAGTAACCATATCCTGCAGCCCGGTCTCGATCTGCCGTTCCATGCGACTAGTAACCAGAATATTTGCTAACCATGCGGTGCCCTCCTTGATCCTCAGAATTAGGTCGAATATCTCATTTTGTGCTAGGCATTCGTCCAGAGCGTCAAGGATAATATATGTCTTTCCAGGTTGCTTCAAAAGCATCAGGAGTGTCTCAACAAGAGTCGCTTGGCTCGGGTCCTGGCCCTTTTTACTTTTGTCCTCGTACAGATTCATCACCTCTCGGGGAAACACCGTGCTTTGTTGGCATATTTGAGCAATGGCCGATCTGATAAAGCCATCAAAGGTTTGCCGTTTCCGATCTTTGAAGTCAAAGTAATAATAGATGCAAAGAGAGGCTGATTGGTCGTCATTTTTGCAGATCTTTTGTACATGCTCAATGATTGTTGAACAGTGTACTAAAACGGTTAACATCTCCCATGGACTTACTAAACTAACGTGACATACCCGTTTTGCCTGCGCCTGGGATTCCATACACCCACATTATCTCCCTCGTACCAGTCAACCAAAGACCAAAGTCTTCTGACTCGAGCAGCCATTCACCAGTCCCCTGCTCGTGCTTGGCGCGGGCAGAATGGTGGCACTCGGCAGCATCGACGGTTGACAGCCATTCAAGCGCCATCCGTTGATCGCTCACTAGATGAGTTAGATAAAGAATCCTATAGATGTGTGCAGTTAAGACGGACCATCCTGCCTCAGTAATGCTTTTTGAGAGACTTCATGGATCTGCTTGGTGTCTTGTCGGATTTCTTTTGAGATGGCCCTGATTGATACAAGCTTCAGAAAAGTTCAAAAATAAATCAGGTACCGCAAAGCGTTGATTGAGATAATATGGCGTAACCAGAGATAAAATAATTCAAGGATATCTAGCTATGGAAAATAAGTACTCACAAATGATCCACGGCCAGAGCCCCAGCAAGCAACCCTCTAGCCTCCCTTGCGACTTTTATCATTTCCCGCGTGTCATCGGCTCGCCATGGCCAGGTTAACTTCTTCCTCAGCTGCCCTGGCTCACCTTTAGTTCTCACTTCCTGGCCCAAACGGTGCTCCAGCTTTGACAAAAGCGAGTCTAGCATTCGCATAGGACCATCATTAGTCATCAGTTCTCGTAAACTCTTGTTCCATGTTTCATCTACGCCGGCAATATCAACGATGCTCGAGAGGAGAGCACGAGTGGTAGTGATCTCAACCACAAGACAACGTATTTCAGCTGATGCGTTGGCTATCGTTGAAATGAGATCAATGACTTTGCGGGAAGCATGTAGGAGGGCGAAAACACCGGTGGTGATGCTCAAAGGATCCATAGTTAAAGCGGCCTCTGACCTACATAGATTGATCTGGTAAAATAGGCTGCTTTCTCGATCATGAAGCTATTGGGCCCAACTCACAGGGGTTGGGCCGTGCGTTGGGCTGAGGACATTGTGCAGATGCCAAGAGATTTGGTCATCGGAGCACTATCACCAGCTGAAGGGCCCAGTGCGGCAGTCGCGTGGAGTGATTTTCACCCATTTTTCACCCGGGCGGCACTCACCCGAATAGCTGCATTCAAGTAGTAAAGGTACATGTCGGAAATGGCCACAAGAGGAGAATCGATATCCTGCCCAGGTGGGGCCCCGGGACCGTGATACCTGCTGCGTCAGTAGTTGAAGAATGGCACCATTGGTCTTTACCGAGTACAGTAGCCGGACCGTACCCGGGCCGTTGGCGGTGTTCTTTCCCTCATCCATACACTATAGAACATGGTAGTACACGCACCTATTGGTATTATTCAAACAGGATCCAATAGACGTATTGCTTGTTATTTTTGGACAAGGAAATAATTTCCTATGATTAGAGATCTAGAAGACTTCTATTCCCGATGTATTTCTTAACGGACCGTGAGGAACGGATCCTGGCTTCCGCCCGTCAAATATATATTCCCCCATAGTGTTGTTATATTGACTATACAGAATCTCATTATCTCAAAATTGACTGTCATAATGGATACGGACCAACGAGTCGTTATCATTGGAGCTGGAGCCTTCGGTCTCGGTACGGCGCTGAGACTAAAGGAAGAAGGCTACAAGTCAGTCACCATCCTAGACCGCTCAGTGCCTCCAGTCCCTGACGGATCGAGCAACGACATCTCCCGCATTATCCGATTCGATTACGGAGACCCCATCTACGCTGAGATTGCGAAAGAGGCATTCGACCTTTGGCAGACCGGGGATTATCAAGAAGCCTTCCATCAGACTCCCTGCTTATGGGTCTGTCAAGATGGCACCCCAGAGCAGCCCGTGCAGCCTCGAGCACAGGAGTACAGCTGCAAAACAAAGCAAGTCTTGACTGAGATGGGACAAGAATGGGTTCCGGTCGGCAGTGTAGAAGAGGCGAAACAGCATTTCCCCAAATTGAGTGGCCGACTAGCCACTCCTGGGTTTGACGGGTTCTACAACAAATCCGCTGGCTGGGCGGATGCTGGCCTTGCCTGCGCTCGTCTGATGTCCCGTTGTGCTTCAGCAGGTGTATCGTTCATCACAGGTCCGAATGGCCATGTTGAAGAATTCGAAAAGCGGCCGGATGGAACGATCAAATCTGCCCGTACCAAGAACGGACGGGTTGAGGGCGACCAATTCATCGTCGCCACTGGTGCATGGACTGCGAGTCTAATCCCGGCTTGGAACTCAATGCTTGCTGCTGGACAGGTTGTTGGGTATCTGCGCCTTACCCCAGAGGAAGTCACCCAGCTCAGGGATCTGCCTATCTACTTCAACTTTTCGACTGGTTTCTTTGCTTTCCCTCCTCACGAGCCAACTGGATACCTGAAGGTTGCCTGTCATGGTTTTGGTTATACCCGTGCAGAGCACTCGGTCACATCTGCACCGCCTAGTTCAGCAGTTACTTCGCGGGCGAATTACATCCCCGCCGACGGATTGAAGCGTCTGACATCTGGGTTGATGGACCTTTTCCCCCAGCTGGCACCAAGGGGCTTTGAAAAGGTGGGAATCTGTTGGTACAACGACACTCCGACCGGGGATTTTATCTTTGATTTCCACCCAGAGCACAAGAACTTGTTCATTGCTACTGGAGGAAGCGGACAGTAAGTGAACCAAAAGCATATTTCGAGCACATCAACGCTAATATTCTCGCTTCTAGCGCTTTCAAATTCCTACCTGTCATTGGAAACTACATTGTAGGAAGCTTCCAACGCAAGCTTTCGCGGGAGTTACTTGAAAAATGGAAGTTCCCTACCCAATTCAGTGAGCGTTTCCAGGGAGAAGTATTCATGGGAGATGGAAGTCGTGGAGGACCAGAGCGAAGGGAGTTGACTGCCCAAGAGCTCGACGCATTTGACACGGCATTGAAAGCTGCTTCATCCCGACCAAGCAAGATTTGAAGACATTACGGGCACTATAAAAGCAGTATAACACGTTATATATAGGAATTTTATCGACATATATATTTAGTACATACTTTTACAAAGCATACTTTCGAGATGAAGGCCATTCTATTTCTTCGTCTTATATCAATCAAACTTACACTATCCTACACGACTCACAGACTTCCCTTAATTATCTCACAGATGCTCTGCCATATAATCTCCCAAGATCATCCAATCCGGAATGTCAGGCATTGCTGCCTCAATCCCATCACCGCCCCTCGTTTGAAATGGCCACTCAGGTAAAGGGCCTTCGTTGATGGATTCGGATACTTGGTCAAAATTTTCAAGGTCTGCGGGAATTCCCCCTCTCTGGTTATAGTTGTTCATCTGACCTGTTCTTGAGGAGGTTCCGGTTTGTGCAACATGGCCTTCATTTGTTTGCACTCTGCTTTCTTGAGGGATAGCCAGATCCCCGAACTTCATCGCCTCGTCTCCCCCTGATGAACAGCCAAAATCGAGGATTTCCCACATAAGACCCTCATCTTCTGCCGACATTCGGGGCATAGTCGAGGGGGTTGGCATTTTGGATAAAGCGCCCGAGAAACCTTCTTGATTATAATATAGTGATCCATAATTTTGATGACGAGCGGCCAGGTCATTCACTTTGTTAACCTTGAAAGAGAAAATAATTAGCACCCTGATCCAATATTTTGCTAGCAGACTTACCAGCACGCCCATATTTCCCCAATACACCGACAGCTCCGTCATGAAGTCAACAAGGATTCGAAATTCTTTATTGAGCAGAAGAGCAATTTGCGGGTTTTTGCTGCTAGTATGCTCCAGCTGAATTGTGGCTGCGATCGCAGCCAAATATCCGAGAAAAGGATCACAAATCTCAAAGTCAACCTCTGACATTTCCTTTATGAACCGGACTATCCATCGAGAGTGCAGCAGCGAGGTCTCAAACGACTTTTGCAGAAATGTTGCCGACAGATTCCCGTTAAAGTTCCGAAGCTTGGTCATGATCACGAACGGGTGGTGCAATATGCACTGGATTGAATGAAAAAGAAATTGAACACACACCCAGGTCGAGAGGTATGTACGCGATTGTGGATCTTCTCGGGCGCGGCGTTTGAAATCAACGTTAATATATCGATGCGCGTCCGCGAAATGTGTTTCAAATTGCAACCATTCTGATTCAAGTATCGCAAGAGCGGATCCCGTTTGCCATGGAGGTAGCGAGTTCTCGGAAACGGGTTCAAAGACATACTCTGTGGCTTTTCCCCATAATGAGTACAGCCTCAGGAGACATGCCAGAATCCCATGATCAACCTTTTGCCCTTGTCTTCCAGGACCGTCATGCAAAGATCCGCAGGCTAGTGTCCCATTATCACTGGACAGCGCATCCGTCTCTGGGAAAGGAAACGGAAGTGTGAACTGCTTGTCCGAGAGGGAGAGTGAGTAGTTTCTGGACGCACTATAAGTGCGATCGAGCATAAAAAATGCCCAAGTAATTCGTTTCCTATTTTCGATCTCTATGTCACTCGAGAGATACGAGTCACTTTGTTTGTTCAACCCTACGGATTGAATAGCACGCAATCCAAGAGCAACGGACGCATACGCTCGATGGGATTTTCCATCAGCAAAATCTACCTGGGCCATAAGAAATGTACCCTGGAGAAATGAAAGACCCATTTTGCCATCTTTGTATTGACTTGACAAAAGGTGCCATGCTTTCTCTGCGAATGTTTTGACATTAGGTGAATTTTCATGCAAAGGCCCACGAAATCGCTGAGGCAGACGGGAAGTGAGGGCCACTAATGGGAATGCGACCTCAGGTGGCAACGAGCCGGTATATCTCAACAGCCACTCTTTTGAAAAAACACAATATAGTTGGTTATGGAAGTAGGCAAGGTACGTCTCTACTTCCCGCTCGATAAATCCAACCGGAAAAAACGTTCCGCTTGATTGCCATTAGCATGTTTGCGGTGATCAATAAGGCGGAAATTCAAACGTACTCTTGAGAAGCTAGCGAGTGACCCTCTGGGCAATTCATTATATCAAAGTCGTCATAAGAAGGCTCTTGGTTGCGATCATCATTAAGCTGGTTATTATTCGACACTTCTCGTAATGAATTAGATATTGGTAAGCCTTCTCTAAATAAATAGAAAACCATTTGATTAGCAACTTGTGAGGTTCGGATACGAAGTGTGTTGCATACTGAAGTAAAAGTGCCATCGCATCTAATCTTTCTTCGATACGCTGAAGCCTCCCAGAGCTCGAGATATCCCCTTGGATCTGATGAATTTAGCATGATTCTAAGATTTACCCTAGTTTCAGTAGCTCGGGTAGGACGGGAAGCATAAATACCTCATTGGTGCTGTGCTGTGTTTCCTGGCTCTGAACAGGAGGAGCCGAAACCGAATGGCTTTTCCCACGGGACGCCTGCGGTCCATATGAGCAGCGTTGCCCAAGTCTATGGCAAAGCGAGCATGATGGTTTCTCTCCTGGACAGCGTGCCTTTTTCCGGCTGACAAGATGTCATATTAGAAATCGATTCGGCAATCCGTCGAGTATCCTGACAGTCTCGAGATTTTTTTTTTTTTGATCGGGGGCTTGGCACCTACCGACAAGGACCACAAGCTTGCCGGGTTCGCTTTAATGAAACTTTGTGTATAGTGTAGTTGTCGCCGATTGAGCTCATATTAGGCAATTGGTTAATACAAGGAGTTTTTATCTCACTCCTAGACTAAGACAGGTTGACGGTGGCGTTGAGTGGTTGAGTTGGTCCCGTTGCGGGGTACATTAGAACTGGGACCAGCTCGGTTGTTGATACTCTACAATTGGCAGGAATCCATTTTCAACGCATCTCATATTCTCCAGTCTCTAATACAGTATGACGCAATCCTCAAGAGTGTTAGCAATTTGTTCAATTGTAGTCAAAAAAAAAAAAAAACAAAAAGAAACGCGAGGTTTCACCTACAAAAGAGAAGAGGAAGAAACTAGGCTTTACCCCAATAGTTCAACGATAAGCACATACCCCCCCGCTCATGTGATCGGCTGAGAACTTATGCGGGGAAGTTAAGACTATCCTGCCTTTATCCCATTCGAAAACCATTTGATATCTATTTTTGATCAAATTCAATAAATATAAACACCCAATTGAATTTGAGGGTACACCTCGTAACTGCAATGCACCATGATATACCCCTATTTGGGAATAAGGGCTTATATGCATAACCTCCGAACATTGAAACTCTACGTTACAGAGGTTTTCCTTTCTGCATTGATTTACGAGCTCGGCAGGAAACCCGACCATCCGAGTGGCGTTCACCCATCGCGGCAATTGCAGCCCGTCAACCGATCTCCCTCTGATCGTCAGGTTCTAGCACGGTCTATACCATCTTAAATATGTCGGGCGATAAACGGCTTAGCCTCCGTTCCGATCCTGTGATCGGTCGACACTTGTACATCTGATATCCTCATTGGGAAGTATGAACTCATGATCGTGGTAATTGTCATTGGGATGGTGATCGATACATATATTAAGGGACTCACATTCTGCTCTAGATGACAGAATTAACAGAATTCCAAACCAATATTTCTCAACTAGTCTTTCTACGTAAAGTTGTCTTTGAGCCTTCAACATGTCGATGCTCAAGAATTACCTCGGACTTGGGGGAGCAGAGACATCTCCCAGCCCCGCCGATGACAATTCCCCAGCACACCCTCTCCCTGCTTCCTGGTATTCTTCACAGGATATACATGAACTAGAGCGACGGGCCATCTTCTCCCGGAAATGGCTTTTGACCACACATAAACTGCGCTTCCCTAAAACAGGCGACTGGCTCCGATACGACATCGCCGGATACGCCTTTATCTTGGTGAAAGATCGTGAGGGAAATATCAATGCTTTCCACAACATTTGTCGGCACCGTGCATTCCCAGTGGTTACCGAAGAGGGTGGCAGCTCCGGGATTTTCTCTTGTCAATATCACGGATGGTCGTACGGCCTTAATGGCAAACTTGCTAAGGCCCCTGGCTATCAAGATCTCCAAGGCTTCGATAAGAGCAAGAACGGCCTTCTTCCGATCCATGTTCATATTGATGTCAACGGTTTTATCTGGCTCAATTTGGATGCCGGTGAGAAGCCCGAGATCTCGTGGGAAGATGAGTTCAAAGGAATCGACCTGCAGCCACGTTTCGACGATTTTAACTTTGATGACTATAACTTCGACCACGCTTGGGAAATGAGTGGGGAGTACAACTGGAAGATTCTGGCAGATAACTACAATGAATCTTACGGTCCCTCGATTTCCAATCACAGCTCGGATGCCGCAGATACCATAGACGGCAACTCCACAACTGAGGAGGTAGTCAATGCGCTGAAGATTGCCAGCACATATTATTTCCCCAATGCTGTCATGACTGTCTTGTAAGTGTATTCAGTGCCAATGTTTCAGGTTGATGCTAATTCTGTGAGCAGGCCCAACTTCTTCGTCATGCAGCGAATCGTGTCTACAAGCCCCACCACATGCTCAGTGCGCTATGAAGTCTATCGCCACACGGACTCCAACGACGAAGAGTTTGAAACCATCAATGAAACATACAAGCGTATTATGTCCGAGCACAACGATATCTGTGTTGAAACACAAAAGAATCTCAACTCAGGAGCTCTTGTAAATGCCCAACCCCACTCCAGGGCGGAAGAGGGGCCAGTCTACTTCCAGAAGGTCGTTCGTGACCTGATCATGGGGCATCATAAGCGGGAAGAGGACGCAGGGGAGGAGATTTGGCCCGCACGACAAAGAATGCCCAAGGAAGAGGCAGTGAGCAAAGAGGATATGGACTTTTGTTCCAAGTTGACACGCAAGGACGGATCAGCTTTGACCTCGGGGGGTTGCTGTGGGGGAGGATGTGGGGGTGGACCTCCTACTATTGAAGCAACGGCACCTGAAACTATGGTGGTTTAATGATGTGCATATAATTCGGAGTAGTTGTTTTAGCTTTGCATCACGATGATGACATGTTACATGCAAGAATTCATATCACGAGACAACTTGGTAACTTGGAACTGCTAAGCATCAAAGGTCATGTGAACACTATCTCTAGACACTGCTAAACGGCCAACTCCACCTATTGCATAGTAAAGATAGACTATTATACTTCTGGATGCATAGCTATGCAGGCCGTTTTGAAGTAGTGCGCATCAACAAATGTTAATTTTTACCAAAATAGAGAATCTAGAGAATTCTAGACAATTTAGACGATGTCCAAAAAAGAAATCACGCGGATTATTTAACCTTTTTGAGCATAAAATATCAGGGCGAGAGGGGGGAACCTATGAAAGAGGAGATTCTTCCGATTACTCCAAGGTCTGGACTTTTAACCTGCATTATCTTATTTTCTCATTATCTCTTGGACTATTTCCCCTCTTTTAATTGTGACGATCTATCTTGAACTATCAAAATACGGACATACCCCGCATCTAATTCCCCCAATTTTCTATTTTCATTCCAATGATGCCACGAGAGAACACCCGCGGAAGGCTGCGTTCCCATGAGGCCTGTCTAAATTGCCGGTAGGTGATTCATTATCTATCTGTAGCGGGAGGTGGAACTGATATCCATCCAGAAGAAAGAAGACCCGATGTCCAGCGGAGAAACCATCCTGCTCCAGCTGTGTCCGCCTGAATCAACCATGCCTGTATACCACAATACCCAGGGGGTCACGGGGAGGGCAATCTGTATGTTTTTGACGCGTCGGTATCAGTGACCAATTTTTGACTATTTTTTTTCTTGTCCTCTACAGGACGACAGACTAGCATTCCTTGAAGAGAAAGTAAATCTCATTCTGAGCGGAAGACCAACTCAAACACTTCCGTCGGAAAAACCACAAGAAACAGGAAATGGTATCTCAGGAGCATCTTATCCTGCCACAACTCGTCCATTATCCATCGAACCGAGCACAGTGAATGAACCATTCTTTCTTGGGTTTGACTACGAGGACTCGAGCTCGCAGCCATCATCATCTGCGATCGCCAAAGCTATTGATCTTTATTTCCAGTATTGCCATCGACAACCAATTTGGTGTTTCGATCGCGAAGATCTTTCAGACCCAAGTTATCTATCAGAGGAGCTCGTTTGCTGTCTACTAGCCTTAACCTCACGATTCTCAAGAGATCGTGAGCATTTACAACATTATGGAGATAGTGCCAGAAGCTTGGTGATGCTTCGTATGGCCAACGGCACAGTGGAGCTTGAAACCATTGAGAGTCTCTGTCTGCTCTCCTATTCCTCATTTCTAGGTATGACCCCTCTAGCGCTAAAAGAGATTCCGAATATTGAAATTTTTTATAGATGGAGATATACACCTCGGTCGCTTCTATCTCGGTCTCGCTTTACATCTGTGCCGATCAGCAACGCTGGATCTGGAATCAAGTCATGGAGGCGAAGGTCCCATGGCCGAGCGAAAGAAGCGTCTATTTTGGAGTCTCCAATCTCTGGAGCAGTCTTATGGACAACAAAATGGCTTTCTCTGTATACCATCAGAGGTAATGCGCACCTTCTATATTGCTTCCAGTAGCGACCGTGCAAAACAGGATGGAACCGAAGCCAAACCTCCACCGCTGCCGAGAGATGATCTTGGTTGCTCGAAACCATCCGATCTAGGTATTTGGAGTTTAGCAGCCCACTTTGGTTGGGTCTGGAGCAAAGTGCGAACATATGTTTCCGATTGTGCTCGTAATAGGCTCAAAGAGCCCTGGCGACACGATTCCATGTACGCCATGGTACTCTCTGACCTGACAGAAATCGAGAACAAACTTTCCCAGTGCCATCGATATGACACAGTCAAATTTTTCGAGCGAACAGCAGACGAGCTGAGATCAAACCGAAACTACTGGACACCATGGCTGAAATTGCAGTTCACATACCATTGCATTTTAACTGTTTTGAATCATCCCTTCCTCTACATTGTGGCATCACAATACAACGATAATTTGGCAATCCCGAACGCTTTCTGGAGACGGTCTTCCGAATTGGTCTTGTTACATGCTACCTGGCTTGTGCGCATGATAGACATGGTGTCTGAGAAGAAGATGCGACTGATCGATCCATTCTTCGGACACGCTGCCGCCATTGCAGCTACGGTGCATTTGTACTACTGCTGTGCTGCGGACCCCCGACTAAAATACAAATCCAAGGTTGATTTCACGAAATGTCGACGGTTCCTGAAGAGCTTTGTTTCCTTTTCGCCTGCTTGTGGAATCTTGGTAAGTCTCATGAAACCAAAAAACAGCTACAAAACTAACAAACGCACAGGATCAAACACTGGACAAGATGACTCGAATCGCTTCCGGTTCGCAAAACATCGATTACGATTGGGAACCCGAGAAGATTCATCTCAGTATACCTTTAATGTGGGATGTTCTTCAAGTCAACTGTAAACCCAAGCCACACGAAGTGTCGACAGGTGGTCTACTACATCCATCATTGACCCCGACCGTCTGTACCGAAGAGGAGGAGGATAGTCCAGCCTCAACTCTAGAGGTTATTGTCGCAATGTCCCCCAATGTCACAGTTAACACTGCGGATGGTGGTCAAGCCGCCCACATACCACCAATGATGCCGCACATATCTTCCACACCAACTTCCGACCTCGACCTTGGTGACAAGCTCGTTGCGCCACCCGACAGTTTAATGACCAATACCCCATGGCTATGGACAGACCCCTCCCAATTTGTTGATATGGAGAACAATGTGGGCTACGCAGATTCCGAATCCGCCTTTGGAAACATTGACGGATTCTCGACATGGTGGGACTTTGGAAACTTATAGTAATATGTTCATTGACTTCTACTACGGCCGTTACCGTCTCCTCAGGCCGTAACTATCTCCATCTCCCTCGGTTATATTTACCCAGGAGCCCTATGCGAAAATACCCTTGTGCGGAACCTAACAAACCCCAGATCCTCGAAGCCCACGCGATCAGTCATGCCGCTGCGACCTTCTTCTGCAAAGCAGCAAATTTCTGCCTCATAGCGCGTTCAGTAAACTGAGCCCCACTGACAACCGGATACTTCTTCAACAGCCCCTGGATCAAAACATCCTTACAGGGCTGATTGAAATAAGCAATACTGTACCGATCGAAATAGTCCCGGCAAGGAGCCTTAACACGATGAAAAGTCGACTTGAACCGGTCATCCGACCAGGACATAAGTAAATCGCCGATATTACAAACAATCTCACCAGTCCTAGCCTTAACCTTGGTCCATTCATCACCAACACCGAACTCAGTTACAACTTCGCGACCGGGACAGATCTCTAGCCCATCCTGGCCATCCTTTTGGAAAAGTAAAGTCAGAAAGTCCCAATCGACATGTGCCCCTGCGCGATGATACGCCCCGGCGACCGGTATTGCAAAGTAATGCAGTAGACGCATAGTGGATTGCGCGTTCGGTCGTGAGATGTCGTGCCCTTCGATGAAGAATTTCTCAAGGAATCCCAGACCCCGCGCGAAGCATCGCATAAACGTTCTGATACGAGTTGTGTGCGGTTCATGAAACTTGAGACAGGTGGTTTAGAATCGGGTAGGTTGTTGTTCTTGATCCAGAGGTTGGTCATGTTCTCGCAGAATTGCAGTTGGTAGGATTCATTATTGTCGGGTTGGCCGGCGGATGGGCGGATTTGTGAGTTCTTTTCCCAGCCTACGTTGTTTGGAGTCGGTTAAGGTGAAAAGTCAAACGTTCTCGGCGGCGTCGATTAGTTGGTCGGTGATTTCTATCTTTCTTTCTAGTACCTCGCCAACCAATGACAAGGGTAGGTGCTGAACTCGAGTTCATGTGCCACATAGCTGCCGTACGATAGTTACCGGATGATTTCAGCCTTCTCGATATCCTCATAATCCGACCTTAATTCAGTATCGATGGAGTGCCAGAATCGTAATATAGGGAGTCGGGCAATCCACTTTGACTAGCATGCATTAAGCAATATATCTTGACGTCCAAGTTTTTGCTCAAGGCATTTGATATCCGAAGGGATGAATTCAAATTGTCGATTCTTTTCTGATCTTATTCTAACGAATGATATAACATCAATAGTGCTGCAATCTCCTGCAATTACCACTCCAGAGCATACTTCGTCTTCGGACAGGAGATGCCAATACAATCAATGTTCACAAGCTTATCACCAAACAAGATCCACCGGTTCTTTGGCAGCAAAGAATGAACTTCAGTTCTCAAGCGTCTGCATTGGACAGGACCTAGCGTATCCATCCATTGTTTCCTCAATCCAATTCCAGTATTCGGGGTCTTCCAGGGCGGTGGCCCCGGAGTGGCACATCTTACTGTCGGTAAACGACAGTAGAAGCGATTTGTGCTTCCAGAGGATAGCCGGGATACGCGTGCCAATCTTGCTCGCACAGTTAGCAGAATCTCTGCAAATATCAATATGGCTCAGGATTAGCGATTCCCGTGGGAACACAGCTCTGCAGGAGTTTTTCAGTGACAGTGTCGGCAAACTGGAGGAGCTGCTCTTTTTCATCCTCTGAGCCATGACGGTGAGGAAGATGACGTTCATATAGACTGTTCAACGCTGGGTAGATATGCTTGGTTCTGATGGAATCGTGATAAGCATCCATAGTGAGAGCACAACCCTGGTTGCAGACATGAGCAATGAGGGCTTCGGCAAATCGATCTGTTTTGCGAATTCCGTTGTGGATAGTGCGGAGACAGGTTGGAGTGAGGATAAAGGCATTGCTACATGCAATGAAACATACAAAGTGAAGAATGCGCCTTTGATATTGAAGATTGTATGACCAAAAAGTGTAGGATATAGGTGAGGCTAGTTGAGAGGGGACAGATGGTAATGGTTACTCTCGCTAGAGTGATTTGACCTGCTACTTACACAATCTGACCTTGGCTTTGCGTGGGAAGGGTGTGAACTGGCGAAAGTAGTTCTGACTCCATTTGCAATTGTTAGCCAGACAGAGCATGGTACAACCTTCGTTCGCCAAGCTTCTTGGGTCTGTGAGATGCCTGGCACAAAGTATAGGTATAGGACTCCTGATCCACGCCGCATACTAATCCGTTGCATGAAGCCTTGGCACTCAGAACTAGATGCTAGACCTACCGATATTGTCCCATGGCTGCTCAAGGCCATCGATGATAGTGACGTCTCAGCACCACCAGGCACTCAAGCATTACATGAAGATGGCCGATTGATAGTCACTGCTGGGAGGTATGTTCCAGACATCAAAGCGCTAGGATTTACCTGCCATTGGCCCGGCACTCACCTAATTCGCATCAGTGATACCGTCACCAGTACCATATCGAACGCGCTGTACTACTTGGCATCTAATCCATCGGCGTACCGCGAGCTGCAGCTCCAGATCGACAAGGTGACCCTTTCCTACCCCGAAAGCCACGCTTCCCGCAGAACTTTCAATGCCAACGAAGTATCACGCATACCATACCTCGATGCAGTCATCAAAGAAACTATGCGTCTCAAGCCGGCATCAGCGAGCGGTCAGCCTTGCCAAACTCCACCAGAGGGACTGTGGATTGACGAGGTCTGGATCCCGGGAAATGTCACCGTCACGGTTCCTCAGCATACCATTCAGCGCGATGAGCGCTATTTTCCTCGCGGCAATGAATTTCTGCCGGAACGGTGGATGGAGACGGGCTCGGCCATGGTGTTTGAAGATGCGTTCTTCCCTTTCGGCATTGGTAAGTCTCCTTATCTATTTTCGGGGTGGTTTGAATCTCATGTTTTAGGTCCGTTGTCATGTGTCGGGAAGCGACTGGCCATGATCGAGATGCAAGTTGTACTGTCTAGCATTGCTCGACGGTTCGATCTGGAATTTGCCCCTGGAGAGAATGGTGATGCGTTTGATCGGCAGGTGAAAGATACCGTTACTCTGTCTGTGCCTCCGCTGCAACTGGTCTTTCGGAATCGACATAGGGTGCAATAGGAAATGCAGGGTAAAGATTTGTTGCAGTCACAGCTTGATAGTTTTCTTTTCCCAGTACTCTCCTTCTGCAATCAACCCTATCTCTTTGTCGTCTGTTGGTGGCTCTTCGGTTGCCTCAATTGTTCCGCTGAAATCATGGATATAATTGATTAGCCGCAAATGCATTTTGGAATAAGAGATGGGGGTTTATATAGCCGAACCAAGAATTACCTAGTCATGACTGTATAGATCCCAGGAGCTTTACATCTTTCTCCAAGGATTCCTCGACGGATAGCATACTCAAATTTCGGCTTTTGACTCAAAGTTATGGCATTGCGGAAGAATTGAGGTCCTCATTAGGGGTTGGCCGTAACATTTCGCTCTTCCTTCCGCGCTAGAAAACAAGCCCCGCTTAACAACCTGGAACTATGTAGTTGCTGGACCAATTTCTATCGCACCTGCTCATTTTTACCCTCGCTGGGCCTTTCGCATGACGGTGACACTAAACGCGGGACTCAGATTGCTTTGGGTATCAAGGTATCTCTATTAAATATGTTCGGTTCTCAATTAAATGCCACATATACACGCAAAACAATGGGGGAGCGCTTGGTGCCAAAAGAGACAGTGCATTTGGGCCTGAAACCTTTTAGCCAGTAGGTGGTAAGGTTAGTCCAATACCAACGTATGGCATCATTCAACCTTGCGCACTTGGGTCACAGGTGAACGATATACTCGGCGACCGTGCACAATATACAAAACAATTGCAAAGATGACCACCGCGCCGAACACAAGGATAGACCAATTCATATCCACCGGGGTGGGGTGATTGGCGGTTGGGAAGAAGGTGAAGATAATGGCAAAGCAAAGCCAAGCCAGTGAGAAGACGTTGATTGCCAACCCAAAAACACCAAGCGAAAAGCGCGCAGGCGGAATACCACCCGGCTCGAAACGAACCCGAATGACGGCGGCAATGGGCAATATGTAGGTGGTGAAGAGTGCAGCGATCATCACAGATGCGACAGCATTAAAGGCGGCAGTAGATCCAATGTTAATCAAGCTCAGCAGCACGGTGATAATGGTGGATACCAATACGGAGCACACGGGGATTTGGCTACCTCGGTTCACGTGAGCCAGGTGTTTGGAAAACGGCAGGGCTTCATCGCGGGCGAAGGCAAAGGTTTGGCGAGAGACTGTTGCAAGAATACCGATGGCGCTGCAGACTTCCATGACAAGGATGATAGCAGCCACGCCATTGGTGGCGGCCACTGAGCCGGTAGCATGATTAACTGCTGGGAGGAAGGAGAACCCACTGGCCGGGGCGAGCACATCTTGGATATCACCCATGTTATACAATAAGGTGATTAGCATAATGAAGCCGAGACCGCCGTTGATCAACGCGGTCGAGACCATACACCACGGGACCACCAAGGCAGCATTCTGGACCTCCTCGGCTAATAGACGTTAGGCATCGCCTCGAATTAGGGGGTTTATTGGGTTTAACTTACCCATATGTGTAGCAGCATCCGGGCCTGTCCAAGAGAAGATTGGCGTCAGCTGGCCGACCAGACACGCGAGGCCCATACTCGGCCATTCGCCAGAGTTAGTGAACTCCTTCCAGACAGACTCCCCAGAGGCCTGTCCTGGAGACATGACCCACATGGGGACAACAACAGCGACAAATCCGAAGATGTGGATGGCAAGGATGAGACCCTCCATGGGAGGGAGAATCTTATATCCCCAGGTATTCACCACGGTTCCGACGGCGGCGATAGCGATGGTCAGCAGTGTCCCGTGCCAGCGCTCGAAGCTATACACCCAACCGGAGGGGTCCGAGTAGTTGAAGACCAATAGTCCTTGGATCAAAGTACCGCAAAGGTAGCAAATACTAGCAAAAGCGGCTTGCCAGCCTAGCACCGAAAGCCATCCTAGATCTAGATTAGCGCTGAAGATCATCGGGTTCGATTCGAGGTATCCGCTAACCGGTGAGGTAGCTCAGGAATCGCTGACATCTCGGCCAAGCGAATTCACTGACCCAGTGATATTGTCCGCCCGACGTTGGGGAGCTGGCCAAGTCAATCTCCATGCGCAACATGCAGGTCGAATCGAACTTACATGGACGCGATCTCAGCCATGGAGATCACTGCGGAGAAAAACCCAACAAATGATCCAATATACACATAGACCATTCCAGCTCGTCCGCCATCCGTTAAACCGTAGGTACTCGTGCTGCGCATTCCCCATTATTCGGTGTTCTCTCATAATATCGCGCGTCCAAACTCACAGCAGAATCGACTCCCATGTGGCCATCAAGGTGGTCGTGAAACCTAAGATCGAGTAAAAACGGAAGTTTCTCTATTGTTGATCAGTATTTAGTCCTGTTCTAGGCAATGCGCGACTCACCTTGAACTGTTGGGTCTTGCCCAGGCGCTGCATGTCCCAATCATCCTGGTCGGTCGCGTCGCCAACCTCCTGGGACACCATCTCCTTGCCGAATCCTCTCTTCATGATGTAGATGTCAGAAGAAAAGAAAAGAGAAACACGAGATCGATGCCGCCTGGGCAGGGGGCCGTCGAGGTCATGATCAAGGGGGGCCGAAGAAAAGGGCGAAAGTGGAGCCAAAGAAGTTTATTTACGCACCTGTGCACCCATTGAGGTACAAACATACAACGTACAACACATATGTACGGAAATAAGTACCTTTTTATTTCTATTTATATAATATTCTATGCATTTAACCTATGATAAATATGATATAGCTTGGTTCTACTGAGAATTGGCATTGTCTAGAACTACACATCCGAATATTTTCAAAGTTCTGCTAATGTAGAATACTCGTATATGATTCGATCCTATTAACTCCGGAGGATCGGGCCCTCCACGTGTGTTTCTTCAGATCAAAGCCCAAAATTTAAATGGCTACTATGTACATACAAAATCGTATGAATTTACAATACTTCAGGATTGATTCTGTGTTATTCCTATCTAATTGTAAGGATACATGTATCTACTCAACAATATTATATATTATTAGCACTTTTAATGTCCACAAATAATAATCCGAGAACTGAATAAAGTTTAGATGGTTCACATAGAATTCAATAGTATTCTGTTCAAAGATATTCCCATTTTCCCATTTGATATTTATAGTAAAGGCTGACACTTTCATTCGTGGTATAGAACTGTGGATATACGGTATACTTGATCCAGTTGATTATTCCGAACTCAAGTGATGAAGCTTTTCAGTCAATTTTATTGGCGTTCTATGTAGTGTGTGGCTTGCTAATAAATAAGTACTATGGAGGTCGATTCCAATAGTTTCCAAGTTTCTTCCCTCGGATTTTGACGCTAAGTCCTAATATAGTAAGGTTGATTTTGTCTCCTGTTACTGTTTACCCCGCCCCCTAAAACACTATCAGCACAAGGAGAGGAAGCACAAACAAGGCAAACAAGGCAAACAGAGCAAACATGTATTTATTGAGAGCATAGTTACGGAGTAAACATCATATGTAAAATGTTTGAAACAGCCTTCTTACTATGTAAGACTCCCCTGTTGTACAACATGGGACTTGGCATCAAAATCGGCAAAGAAACTATTGGAATCGACTCCGTACACCGTATGTAATTATCTCGGGAGATCTCCCTCGTAGCCTAATTTATGTCTCTTAACCCAAGTTATTAGAATCATTCGCCAACGGCGCTACAGAGTAAATATAATGAACATACAGTTAGGCCCACGCAGATTACCGAGATTATGTTCCTTGGCGCTGATATTTTTTCCGGACGCAATGCGACCTTTGGTTGCGATATGGAGATCAAGTCCGCTCTGTTGATATATATATTTCGCAATATGATATTCCACACTCACCACCGTGCTCTCATTACGGAGAAAACGTACATATATGTATGTAGTTCGTATCAAGGCATTCTTTAAGCCATTCTGATTCATAGATAAATCCTCCGCAGGCACAACACAATACTAACCCCCTACTGACACCCCCCAACACTATCTTGGTCAAAACGCCAAGAATAAAATTCCGACTAAACCAAATGGGGACATTGAGGCCGATCTTTAGAGGCTTCATGAAAAGAAGAAAGATCAACATAAAACATTGGACTTCAATGCTGATATTGAATATATTGCTGATGAATTTCTTCCCTTGCATACGACATACTATATATAACAATGCTGTACTATGTTGTTATATATTGCTGGAACACTGCCCAAGTGAATTCTCTTATCTGATCCCAAGATTAAGCGGATCCGCCACAGGTCAACGCCACGTTCTGAATATGTGACGCGTGGGCTGTGGGGTTGCAGTTCTCTTCAAGGAGATCTTCGAGGCCGTCTTCTCACTCGATGATTGATGAACAATTACCGCCGCCCCTCCCGGCAGATGTCCTCGTCACTGGTTGGCGCAGACGCGCAATTCTTCAGGGAATTTTGACCCACGGGGAGCTTGGCAGCCCATGATTCTTCTATGGAACTCCGGCAGCCACCGAATCACAATACGCGTACAAACTCAGTTCCACAGTCTCTCTCGCTAAGACTAAGTGGTTCCTCTCAAGGAGTCTCCGGGATAGACGGCGGGGAACCGACGTTAAATGAGGATGTGAAATAAAACCATGGTGTCGCGGCCGCCCCTTCGTCTGGCACAAAAGACTCCCACATTGTCCCTGTTCGAAACTCTTCTTTCATCCGCGATGCCCTAATGTTCTTGCGGACTTCTTCTGGCATGCGTCGGCTGAGCTCCTGGCTTCGCAATGATCGTCTGCACACCCGTTTTCCCTTCCGGCAGATTGCTCTGATTCTCGCCGCTGTTGGAGGCCTCATTGTATTCTATCTGTTTGCTGTGCCACAACTTCTCAAACTCAGATTCCGCACCGACCTGAGCTGGTATGATCTAGGAGCTCAGGGGTTTGGTCCAGACCGAAATTACTTCTCCTTCGATCAAGAGTCTCCCATTGTCGAAATTACTCCGTCTGGCGCAAAATGCGATCCCCGGTACACTTTCCTTGCGCCTCGGGGCGATTCAATTGCACATCCCGGTCCGATGATCCTGAATCCTGAGGGGGAGCTTGTATGGACGAAATGGAATAGTGGTACAACACAAGATTTCAAAGTGCAGCGGTACAAGGGCGAGGACTACCTTACATATTGGCAGGGAGATAGTGGCGACGGTATGGGACGAGGGTCATGGTACATGGTGGGTTGTACATTGATCTAACTGACCAAATTTTGGTTCTCTAATTACCTTGTCCAATCACAGCTTGATTCAACTTATACCCAGAAGTATGTGGTGTCTCCAATCGGCATATATGACGGCGACCTGCATGACTTCCAAATCACGTCCAACGATACCGCAATTTTGGTGACGTATGACCGTATCCCGAGGGATCTGAGCTCTATCGGTGGCCCGGAGCTGGGATGGATGTATGATGGAATGTTCCAGGAAGTCAACCTTGACACCGGAGAACTGCTATTCCAGTGGCGCGTATCCGACTTTTACCACCCGAGTGATAGCTACTATCCGATTGAAGACCCCGCGGGATCGACGTCGGGGTATGACCATTCGCACATCAACAGTGTGGACAAGGATGACCAGGGTCGGTACCTGGTTTCGATGCGTCACCTTCATACTGTTGCATGCATAGATGGCACCACTGGTGATGTCCTCTGGTCATTAGGAGGGAAACGCAACAACTTTGCCGATGCTTCGGATGGAGCTGCCACGCAATTTTCATGGCAGCATGACGCTCGATGGGTAGGGCCCAACCGCCTCAGTTTGTTCGACAACGCAGCCTACAATAACGACAACCTCTCTTCTGTGAGCCGCGGCATGATCATTGATCTAGATACGGAAGCACGGCAGGCAACACTAGTTCAATCTTTCGAGCATCCGCACGAAATTATGGCCGTTTCCCAGGGGAATCTGCAACTTCTAGACACAGGGAACGTGCTTGTGGGCTGGGGTCACTCTGCAGCCTTCACCGAGTTCTCCCCAGAAGGAGATGTTGTATGCGATGTGCACTTTGGCGCCTCTGCTTTCTTCACATTTGGTCGTGTCGTCTCTTACCGAGTGTTCAAATTTGACTGGGTTGGTAATCCTCTGACAGCCCCGGACACTGCAATTACACCGGAGAGTGTCTTTGTTAGTTGGAACGGTGCTACCCGGGTAGCGGCATGGCGAGTTGAGGCTTGGGACGGCGAAAATCTCAGAAATATGACCTTCACGGCTGTTGATCAGGTCCCTCGCGATGGGTTCGAAACTGAAATTCCACTCGCTTCTGACATTGATTCGTTCTTTCGTGTGCGCGCAATTGACTCGAACGGAGAGAGTCTCGGTGTAACGGAGCTACTCCAGCGACTACCAGCGTCAGATGGCTCTTTTAAGAGCATATGGGCCCTGGTGTTTATTATGTTTGTGGTACTCGGTTGCCTTATTTGCGGTGTTTCTTTCATTATTCACCATCGGCTTCGCCAGGTGTTCCGCTCCAATTGCCCCTATCAATTGGTGTCACACAAGGAGGAAGATGAGGGTGATGATGAACATGTTCGTCTGCCATTATAGGATGCCGGCATCCGATTCCCCTTTTGCATGTATATAACTTGATCTGCACATATTTCGGAATAGATTCCCATACATTCTTCATTCGTTTTCTGCGTCTTTGACCATAAGTTTGTTGCTGACTGGAATTTTCTCACCATATCTGGTCCCTGCTTGTCCCTGTTCATCGTGGCTGTCGGCCGATATTGAATGCCCATTATCTGAGATATATTGCTCGGCAAGTGACCTAATATTTTCTACGAGATCATGGCCCTGACCGTTCCTGCCAATTCGAAGTACTACATGGGCAAAAAAATACCCGAGAAAGCAGCAGACGCTGGTCTGACTGAGTTCAATATTAAGAGCTTGTCGGACTTAGAGATCTGGGTGCAGCTTTTATGGATCACGAAGCTCAAGAGAGGCGGGAGATTGCGAATGTCCATCTTCATCTTGACCTCCTTGTCTCTGCCCATTGTGGATCTTGGGGCTTTCCAACACCGGTTTGCCAAGGCTGGAAAAACCTTCTGGGCACGTGGGATACACGGGGTTTCGATGCGAGACTTGACTTCGTAACTGATGCGAACCCGGATATCTTGCCTGTCTGAGGCGTAGTATAACAATTTGAGTCGTCATAGCGTGAAGACCAACCTACGCGACTCAACAAACATCGAAATGACGTTTGCCAACCCGAGGCCCGAAAATCGCGCGTCGGGCAAAGAGAGGCCTCCGAGAAGTCCCCTTGGCGCCAATGTTCGCTCGTGATCTCTCAACTGGGGGGCTTGGGGCGCGGGCGACCTTGGCGGCCCCAGGGTCCCGCTCCCAAGCCAAGCCAAGGCCTCAAACACCGCTCACAAGAATTTCCCAAGCAGTACTCAAATACCTTTCCCGCTCCCGGCAAGCCCCATTGCTTCAGTTACACTCGCTTCACTTTCCTTGATAATCTTCCTCGGTGTATCATTGGCCAAAAAGAGAAATGCCTCTTCTCCACCCCTCGCCAGGATCATGACATGGGTTCCTTCTCGGCGAGGGAACAATTCTGAACCTCGGACTCCCCGAGATTGGGAAAACCGAATTAACCGATATTTTAAGCACAGATATATACGAGTCATAACCTTGGGTCTTCTCTGGCTGAATGCACACCACTTCCATGCTCCAAAACTAGGATGTAGGTACATCATTGTTGTGTCCAACGTGAGATCAGTGTCTCAAGGTGCTGCAGTCACCCGCAAAATTCAAAATTTCTCGCTACGTACATGGCGCACCTTTCCGTCTTAGCATCACGTTCTTTGAATTCTGTTTCACCGGTTCGAACCCAGCGAATCCTTGGCTGGCTGGCCAAGCGCTATAGGCATATTGGCGCTCACATCCATATCCTTGGCCGCCCCTGCGTTATTGACGCAGGATGAAAAACCTAGTTCTTTTGACTGCGGAGGAAATTGCGCCGAAGTTTCGACTATAGCGTGGTCGAGATTGGATATTCTCCTAGTTCAATGCGATATCCAAGTGGATCTCCATGCACGTCGCTTTGGTCTGTCCATACTCCGCAACTGAATCCCATGTCCCCATGGGGAGCCCGTGGGAAAAGGTATTAAAGGGCTGCTTGACCCCCTACATTACCTAGTTGTCTTGCTTCCTGAATCCATCTTCAGACCAGTGTATTTTCTTTTGTGTGCATTGATACCCACGGTTGTCCACACTACGTACCTTGTGGAAGATAATAAATAACGGCTGCTTGGCCTGGAGTGGACGGAACGACACTCATTATGTCTGTTCCAAAGTTCTCCGGCCTTTCTGGCAAATGGCTGCTGCGCGCCGTCACGACCTCGGCGACCATGGGCTTCTTGCTCTTCGGCTACGATCGTACGTTAATCTATCTATCTGCTATCTGATGTAGATACTAATATCTATGGCCTATTTCAGAGGGTGTTATGAGTAGCATCATTGACGCAAAGCCTTTCAACGATGTCTTTACAGCCACACGAGGCAACTCCACCATGCAGGGCGTTGTAACCGCTATTTACGAGCTAGGTATGTGCTTCATCCTCTGATACAAAGGCCCGAAGCTGACACCATGAGTAGGTTGTCTTGCTGGTGCAGTATTCAGTCTTATATTTGGTGATTGGCTAGGCCGACGTTGGTCAATCATCCTTGGTGCCTCTATCATGATCATCGGCGTCGTGATTCAGGTTAGCTCTATGGTGGGGTATATCCCACTGGCGCAATTCTGTGTTGGACGAGTCGTCACTGGCGTTGGTAACGGCATGAACACAGCTACGATCCCCACATATCAAGCCGGTAAGTAGAAACACTTAGTATCAACTTGACACTACTCGTTATATCGGGAACACATGAGCTGAAACCGAACTAACCTCGTTTAGAAACTTCGCGCTCAAACAACCGTGGTCTACTTATATGTATTGAGGGTAGTACTGTCGCCATTGGAACCTTAATCTCCTACTGGATTGACTTCGGGGCCTCCTACGGACCCCCCGATCTCACCTGGCGCTTCCCAATTGCCTTCCAGTGTGTTTTCGGCTTTGCTATCATCTTCAGCATGCTTGTTCTGCCTGAGTCACCGCGATGGCTTTTTACTCGGGAGCGGTATGAGGAGGGTGAGGCCGTCATTGCCGCACTTGCAAATCAACCCATCGATCATCACGAAGTCCAACTTCAAAAGACTATTATTCTAGACTCGATTCGAGCGTATGTTATCCCCACGCTCCAACTGCCCTTGCGCTACTATTGAACATAGCACTGATCTCTTTTAGATCTGGCGAGGCAGGCAAGAACACTCCCATGTCGGCCGTCTTCACGGGCGGTAAAACACAGCATTGTCGACGTATGCTCATCGGCGCATCTTCTCAATTCTTCCAACAGATTGGTGGATGCAACGCCGTTATCTACTACCTCCCAGTGCTGTTCAAGGAATCCCTCGGACAGAATGACTTCATGGCCATGATCCTGGGAGGTGTCAACATGATTGTTTATTCTATCTTCGCTTGTTCCTCGTGGTTCCTAGTTGAACGCGTTGGTCGACGGAAACTATTTTTGATTGGCACTGTTGGGCAGTCTCTTTCTATGGTTCTGACATTTGCCTGCCTGATCCCCGGATCCGACAGCGCCGCCAAGGGTGCCGCACTTGGTCTTTTTGTCTACATCTCCTTCTTTGGAGCGACATGGCTTCCCCTGCCTTGGCTTTACCCGGCAGAAATCAATCCTATCAAGACACGAACCAAGGCCAATGCAATCTCAACATGTACCAACTGGCTGTTCAACTTCCTCATCGTCATGGTTACACCGATTATGATTCGCAATATCTCGTGGGGTACCTACCTCTTCTTCGGTGCTGTCAATGCCTGCTTCTTCCCTGTGATCTACTTGTTCTACCCCGAGACTGCTGGTCGCACACTTGAGGAGATTGATTTGATCTTTGCCAAGGGTTATCTGGAAAACATGACCTACGTGCGTGCTGCCAAGGAGATGCCTTTCATGACAAACGAGGAGATTGAACGCACTGCTGTGCAGTATGGATTTGCTCCTCCCGATGCTGTGGTCCAAGGTGATAGTGGTAGCAGCAGCGACAATGGCGAATTCAAGCCTACTCAATAAGACCGCGAGAATGTCAGGAGTAAATCTCGAGAGTTAGGCCTTCTTAGGTACCAGGCCCGAGTCACCTGTGATTTGGTCATCTGCAGAAAGCTTATATATAGAATAGGAATATGATAGTGCTAGTTAAGCTGGGTCGCGATGTCTAGAACAACGTGATAATTTGTACATTGTATTGATATTGGATTCTCCTAGTTCAAGGAAGGAGATAAAGAAATAAACTCTGATGTGGGATCACTTGATAATCGGCCAGTCACGGCCCATTAGGTAGATCGAAGGTGAGACTGAAGCATAGAGTATGCTAGTTAATAAAGATATACGGAGAAAGGACAACGAGGATAGAGCGTAGTAATGCTACCGTAGAGTTGATACCGCGGAAAATGAGAAAGCAGAAGTGTGACCGCGACAATTCACAGACCAACAACTCTAGGCCAAAGAATATCGGGGATGTTTTCCTTTCCATTTTGCTTCATCGGCATATTTAGAGCCGGAAAGTGACATCGGAATCGCGGATATAAGTGTACTCGGCAAGCAAGTAGTAGCAGGGAATCTCAACTAACCACACCGACAAATCTAACAATTAGTCTAAGAAGTACGGCCCTGGAGATCCATTAGCTACCACCGAGTCCCACTCATCTTGAAGCACTGACACCTGAGGATTCTTAATTACGGTTTATGTTGTGTGAATTGTAGAACTGATAAAACACCGAGAACCTTCAACAATGTGGCAAGATAAATGACATTGTGTAAAGTGTAAATAACATATATACCGGATAATCCCTGTCCCTCTAGATCTTTCCTTTTCCATTTTAGTGCTCACCCCTTGCCGCCTTTTGATCACTGAGTAAAACTGTGTATGTCCCTAAGTAACTAACGTATTTCACTACCGAGCTGCGCAGCCCAGAACACATAGTCAAAGCGAAAAATCAAGACATGATATTTCAGCAACCAACGCTTTTATTTGATTTCATTACTCACTGATAGCAATGGATAAAGATCTTTAATATCATATATCAGTTTTAAATAAATCGAGAACTTCCATTGTTGTAGTATCGAAAATTGCATTGCTAAACTCCAGAAACATATATATCTCAGTCACTAATTTGTTAAGTCACTTAAACACTAATTAACTAACAAGTGGCTAGATATCATATAAAAAGCATTTAGTTACAAGGAAAAACTCATATAGACAACCGTTGTTGAAATAATATATTGTAATTTATCCTTTCCACTATACATATGTTCTGGGCTGCGCAGCTCGGTGGTTTGCGCAGGTTGGTAGTAAAATAACTACCTGACTTGATGACTGACCATTACATAATCAGCGTGACTGCCCAGGTGCTCACTGAACATCACCTGATCATCCTCTAAGCACCCTGATCCACTCCCTGATCATTATCTGACCACTCTGATTTGCTCACTGAGTGCTCACTGACTGGGTATGGGGATAAGCGGCCTGAGTAAGCGACATCAAAAACATGCGACACGCTAATCCTATAACGTACAACCCTTGCCATTTTAACCGCATATCAAAAAAGGACTAGCGCCGTTAAGGTGGCCGTTAATCCTCGCGGTCTCGATCCTATCAGGTAAAAAAACTCACAGTGGGGCTGTTCATTTTACGTGTATTGTATTATTTTCTATTTTCGCCGGTGGTCCTGGTAACACCCTCGATTTTATTCGCTTACTAGCCTGGCGATCCCCTGATCGGGCTTTGGACTACTGCCAGGGCGAGGGCGGTTGGATATATTGCCTTAAAGATCTAGAACTAGACTGCGGCATATCCGCTCCAATGAATATCCGGTTCATATCCAAATCCGCACTTGCGGATATAAGGAATCGATCGGTCTGATATCAATTGGAGCGGATATACCGCAGTCTACTAAGAATTATAGTTATAGGGATCCTATACCACCTAGTCTCTGGGCTATTACTTTATCTGGGCTTGAGCGGGATTCACCAGTAGAAACGTATAGGGTATAAATTACCCTATGTCCCCTCTCCTCTTTTACTCCTTAAATTCTATGAATTAAAGTTTAGTCTCGTATATACATAAACACTTGAGACCCGTAGGGTCCTAGTCAAGTAGTCCGTGTTTGTCTTAAATTATACTTTGCGTTGTAAGCCGTCCACATTATAGAGGGCTGAACCCAAAACCCAATGGGTTAAGTCTGGTTGGGGTCGGAGCCTCCGACCCAAAATGGGATTTGCCGAAGTCTACTAGAGGGAAACACCCAGTTTTTGGTTGAAGAGACTGCGCCGCCGAAATATGTTGAGAACGAAAGTGAGACCGCTAATTTCAAATCAGCCGAGCCACTTACACGCGATGTAGGGCTTCCCGTTAAGAGCCGTCTTGTTAGCATTATCACTATCGGCAACAACGAGCTGCTTGCTAGGAGTTATTTCGGCCTCATCATGGATCTGTCCCTGATCAATCAACGTCCTAGACACCTGACTAAATCGGTATACGCGATGTGCTATTGCAAAACCCACCCTCTGTCGGTTTGTTGATTTCCAAAGAATAGTTCCACCCTAAGCTTTTTTTTCCCCGAGAGTCGCATCCACTCCTTTAGGGCTTATCTGAGAGATTAGGTAATGACCGACTCATTGAGCTGGTAGTTAACTAGTTTCTTGAGATTGGGAGAATATTGAGATAATCGCCGGGGCGTAGATTAGTTTCGCTCGGGAGGCAGAATTCTACATGTCGCTTTCTCGGTGTCCCAGGGGATGTCAGGACCCGGGCGTCAGTCATAGTCGCCTCGAGTAAGCCTAAGTGCAATTTCACCCTTGTAGGTCTTCTGAGTTGGAAATCCCTCCATTGATGCCCTTCACTCAATGTTCCCACGTCGATTTAATTTATCTCAAACTGCCCGGGTTCCACAGCTCCAGGCAGCCAACGACTTTGCCGTTCCAATTTCCGGTTAATATAACAATGCTTAAAATTAAAGCAAGACATCTAGGATCTATGATACTGTAAGAGCAGGCACCTTACATCGATCAATACTATAAAAGGCTCACTTTTCCCATGGAAAGACTCTTTTTTACAAACAGTCATTCATCTCTCCAGTTACTCAGTCATTCATTTCTTCAGTTACTCAGTCATTCATTTCTCAAGTTACTCAGTCATTTAACTAATATGGTTACCTTCTCGGGGCTCTTCTTGGCTGCTTGTGCCTTCGCAAGTGCCTTTGCACTTCCCGCTGAAGTCAATGTGGAGAAGCGAGCTCTCTTTACAAGCCAAACTGGAGAATGCAATGGCTACCACTACTCTTTCTGGACCAACGGTGGTGGTAAGGTCGAGTACAACAATGAAAAGAACGGTGAATACAGCGTGTCTTGGGAGAACTGCGGCGATTTCACCTCGGGCAAGGGCTGGAGCACTGGTAGTGCCCGGTAAGTTCTATTCACTTAGCACTCTGCTGACAAATGTTGACATTTAAATAGCAACATCCACTATGCTGGAGATTTCAAACCCTCTGGAAATGCCTACCTTGCCGTGTATGGCTGGACTAGGGGCCCTCTTGTCGAATACTACATCTTGGAGAACTACGGAACCTACAACCCCGGCCCTAGCTTGACCTACAAGGGAACTTTCGCCAGCGATGGATCAGTCTATGATATCTACACCCACTTGCAGGTCGACCAGCCCTCCATTGATGGCCCAAAGAAAACCTTTATGCAATACTGGTCTATCCGCCGCAATAAACGCTCGGCTGGAACCGTCACCACTGCCAACCACTTCAATGCTTGGGCTTCACATGGAATGAATCTAGGCGCTCATGACTACCAGATTCTTTCCACAGAGGGCTTCTCGAGCAGTGGATACGCTCACATGTCTGTTTGGTAAACGTGAGCGTGAGTGACTTGGGAACTCTGGGTCCGTCAATCTAGAGTGAGTCAGCGACAAGTTTCTGTTTGATCTGTACAAAGGCTCTTGGTATGCGAAACAAGCATATTGAGGCTCTACAAGACCGCCAAAGGAAACTTCATTCTTTTATTTTCTTTGAGCGTACACTACGCAGCATTCTCACCAGCAAGCCTTTCCTCTACGCTGTTACCCCGCCCCTCTGCTCCGATCGTTATTTGGAATATTTTCTTCTTGGGCTTGGCTGTTGCCCAGTTTCGTTCTCCCCTTTTCTTTTCTTTTGATGACTTGATCCCTTTGACCTCTATAGGTTTGCGGGGGTTGTCGTCCTTTTTGGCCCTGCATGATGCTTGCGGGTGATTTCCTAGGTTCCATCTTATCTCGTTCCTGTGTGCTTCGGACTATATAGGCCTTCTTCTGTTTCTTGGATTTTCTACTCTTTCTTCTAGACTGTCTTCGTCAGCTTGTTTTAGATAGACCAATTGACTCAGTCTCCCTCTTTTCGCTTCCTGTGACAGCAGTGCCGTCGGCGCTGTTATCTTCGTCTTGCATTGCTACCTACATTTTTTTGGCTACGCACTTCCCTTCCAACTTTTCATTAGGTACCATCTCGGTTTCCGCGGGCTCCGAACGATTGGAATGCCGAGGATGATGGCGATATTGGGGCGGCAGAGCTGGTGGAATGAGGCGGGGCCAGCGGATGTGTCATCTGGAACGTTATATTAGCATTTCGTGCTTGGTTCTGTATTTGATCGCTCACTTTGGTGCAATGGATAGAAAAGATAGTTCTCGGTAGCTGCTGACTAAAATTTGGATGTTGTTCTAGGTAGAAGCACTTGCGCACAGAGACGGATAATCTGCGCTAGCCTGATTAGAGTATCTATTTACTATACATTTCTACATTGAACATAACGTGCAAATATTAATCTTTTTGGATCTGTGTTAATAGATGGATTCTGGTAGAACCTTTCGAACAATCTACATCATCCACCTAAGACCCACATGGCTGCTTACTGCGATAGCCATGGCTCGTGTGGAGAATCGAGAATACCCGCAGTCCCACATCGGCCACCGACCTTTCCGGCTCGGACCACCAGCTTTCAGCTTGCACTCTCGGAAGCTTCCCTACACAGCCGTGTTCTTAGACACGTTTTGGTTGGGTGTCCATCTCGCTTACCGAATACGTTACATGAATTCTTTCCAAACCCCTAATTCGAAACACACCAATCTATAATTGACTTAGCTTGATTTGGAGGGTCGAATGGTTTTTTTTTTTTTTTGGGGGAGGGGGGGGGATCACGTGACACCGAGCTCTGTAACTTACTAGACATTCTATTACCATAGAACTTTTACCCCGTTGCCCCTCAAGCCTCGGTCCTATGTACCCATCACTACCCTCTAATTCCTGTCATCACTTGCAAAGTCGTTTAATCATCGAGGGGTCATATTAGATCATTGCATTGTCAGCCAGTGCCCGTTACTACATATATAAATTCTATTACGTTGCCCCTCTTTGTATTGGTATTCAACTCAGTCGGACAGGCTTTTCACTTATTCAAGAGCACCGTGTACGATTCAGATATATAAAGACTCAGAAGTCTCGTTGCTTCCTTCACTATCGAATTCATAGTTTGACCGGGCTTCTGGTCCCTGCCGAGTCTCCTGCAAACCCTCGTTGGATTGATCTTCACTGTTTGAATCTTCATCTGTGGAGCAATGCAAAGTAAATCCAGGATCTACTTTTGGTTCCTTCTGAAGACTGAAGTATTTGGAGGAATTGCTCGAGGTCATCATCAAAAAATCCTGTCCTCGTAAGGAGTCTCTTCCCGGGCCTTTTTCCTACTGTTGTCATCTGAACTGCTGGACGAACCCTCGTATGACCGAAGACTCTGTCCCGCTTTTGACCAGTTCTCAGTCTGTTAGTTATATCACTATCCAAAGGTACATTAAAGTACTAATGATGATTTTCAATATTTGCGGGTGGATAACACTGCTCTTGCTCAATAGTTTTGATGATTCTTGACTCTTGGGTGATCTTTAGAGGAGCAATTTTGTATAAAAGATCCCTTGCATATGCTGCTGCAACCAATGCGGCGTACCCTTGCCAAGTATCATTCTTATTCTTATGCGTGTCGACATAGTTACTGATGCCTCGGATAACAATGCAAGGAAAATTATTGATCAACCCAGCCGCCTCCATTTCAAAACACAGAACTTCTTTTTGTGTAGCTAATCCATCTCGAAGTAATGCGTTTTTCATCAACGTATTAGCCGAGCCAATCAGACCATAATGAACAGCGGGATTAAGACCATCTTCGGTACGCACAGTTCGTGGTATTAAGCAAGACAAATCATCGCCGTAAATCACAGCGGAAGGTCATTGCCTTGTGGATGGGCTGTTTGGCTTCGGTATAGACGATCTAGCCATCAAGTGGGGATTAGCGTACTATATCAACTCCTTCGGTGACTGGCTAATATCGTGGTCGTATTCATTACCCACCTGGCTTGCTAGCTATACTATGTTCGAAAGTATTTACAGCGCTAGTGACGGACAGGAGCAAGCCATACAGACCCCTGAAGTGCGCGGGTAGGGAATTGTTTTCACATACTTTTTTTTTGCTTAATTCCGGTGTCCTGCTTATTCACCGGGAGGAACGCGACGAAGAAAATTGTAAGAGGAGATACGACGCCGACTGGAAGCGCTATACGTCCATCGTTCGCAGCCGCATCGTCCCCAGTATCTACCAGTCTACGAACCGGAGGGATTGTCCCCGTAGCTGGGTTATTTTGCAGTAATATCTGTTCTGACAGCAGGCACTTGCTGCTTAGGAATGACGCCGCAACATCGGAAACAATTCTTACTCTATGTGTGAGACAAACAAAGTTGATTGGAAATCCACTCAGACTACGCGCTGTATATATACCCTCATGTTTTCCCTCAAGAAGATGAATTAAGCTTCCTTCCATACTGGAACTAACCCGACAGCCTATCTTAACCTGCCTGCCATTGAAAAGCGTGTATCATACACTCGAGTAGTGGAGAAAGCTACTTCGATGGTGCCGAATATTCTTTTAATAATATGAAGTGCGCTCAAGTGCGCTAATTGCAGAATACCTATACCAAAGTTCAGCTTTACGCATTTCTTTGGAGAACTCAGTCATCTAGTTTGGATCTACCTAGTCCTGCAAGTGGCAGGGGAATTTTAGGTTGCGTGGTGTGTGCAAATGACCAGCGAGGTGACCAAAAAATTATGCTCAGATCTGGAATTTGGCTTGGCCATTCTTATGCCTCGACTAGAGGCTCATGAGCATATCAATATTCAAGTGAGACGACAGAAACTCACACTTATTTCGAGATTTGGTGTCGCTAATTCCACTATCAGCTGCTAGCCGGAGTTGGTCTTGTCCTGGCCTCTGTACTTGGGTCGACATCTTCCAATCAAAGAAAACCCGATATTGAGTGTTGGGAAATCACATGTGATGTCCCCGTTTACTTCCAGTACTAGTAGACCTTGTACAGTGAGCACTGGTTGGTTGATTCGAATGTGGCGCAAGTTTTGTGACCATGTATAGAAATGATACTGTGGCCCCTCCTCCTTATTGGATGAATGCTGTCATCTTTATATCCGCATTATCGACGGGAAATTGGAGCCACGTCGATTTCCCTCGATCCGACCTAGGAGTATGGGGATTTGATAAGAATCTTTTCGAACAAAGCTACCTGTTATTGAAGAGCGACATGGCGGTCTGTATATGTGTGGTGGGATATAAATCATTGAGCCAGGAGCTGGGCAGACAGATTGGGATACTGCGTGATCTTCGCGCCGACTGCATAGCCCTGACTAGTCTGTCGCTAGGCGAAACGTTGATGCCTGCATATTGGGCGCGCTTTATATCATCGTCATAGTCGCTAGCACTCTGGTGGTTGCTAATAATACCAACATAATGAGTATTAATATTTAGTCGGGGATGCCGGAGTGCCATGCTATAAAGTGACAAAAACGAGCTTGTTTCCATAATTGTGATCATTACTAGCTATAACAGTGTATTCAGTTAGGACTCTAATATCTATTAGAAATTATACTTCGGATATTATACTATAAATTTACTATGTTTATCGAAATACTATGTCTAAAGTATTATTATCTTAATTCTTTAAGCATTAGAAATACCTAAAAAAATAGTAGTATTCTTGATAAGTTATATAGGTAACTTTTTCTACATATTTATAGTCCTATAGGAGACCTACCAAAGTCCTATAGGAGCGGACTAGACCCTCTAGCCCTATTCTTAGCACTCATATAGGACTTGGTAGGACTCCTATGGGAGTTAGCAAGGTCTAGCGGCAGCTCAAATAGGAAAGCCCCACCTGCCAGGGAAGATCCGGTACGTATAGCGACGTAAATGACATATATTAAACGATGAAAAGAGTGGCTATCGCAGATATCGCGAAATTCAGAAGGTCCCCAAGGGCTGACTAGGATTCATAGAAATCGAGATAGGCGATGAAGGACCCTTCTGACGCATGTACAATCAAATAAACAATTTAAACAGCTGTAGCAGATTGCAGACAAAATTACAACCTTGCTACCTCGAGTAGGCGAGAGAAGGGCTGGTTAAAGCCTTCCCATTGAACCCATTTCCTAGTTGCACCAGTCGTTCTTGCCACTTCCGCCATCGTGGCAGGTGTTATCGCAGTACCTCTGGAAGGAGATTTCACCTCCCGGACCGCCGGTGCACACGAAAAAGGACTGGCGCACATGTTGGCTATCAGTGGGTTGGTTGGCGCCACTGAGTGCCTCAGTGATCTGCTCAAGATAGTCACCTGAGTTCTTATGTCAGTAATGTGCTAATAGTTTCAAGTGATTGGTATGTATAATATATCGAACACCCACCTTTGGCAAGGAGATTGTATCCACAGTAGCGGATTCCGGGAGTACAGTTGTCCGCAAGGGAGAAAGGAAGGCTAACAGCCATGAGGGCGATTGAGGCAAGGGCGAACTTGACCATTGTGGTTGATTGATTGGGTGGTTGGTTGGTTGGTTGACTGAAGAGAGGCTTTGTATAAGAAAGAGAATGGATTGTTGATGACCCTTAGACATGGCAACAGGCAGGTTTATATACCTCGAGATGTACATACTATACACTGGATTATTCCAATATTACTATTCAGCGTTGCAGCCTTGTAGTTTGCTGCTAAACGACACCACCAATTATGTGCAAGTAGTATGTTAGCTGTCAACCACCTCCTTCCCTCTTAGGTATCCAACGCTGCCGATTAGGCCTCCCAGCCGATTAGGCCCCCATGAGTTCCTGGTTCCTGATAGAAAAAGCAACGTCAAGTAGCTCATGCGTCCTGGGAATGAATGACCAGATTGTCTTCTATGCTGGAGGCCTGGAAATCAAATGCAATGCAAGCACCATCCGAGATTTCCGCAAAGCCCAACTTGCAATCTGGCCGGGTCGAGATTATAGTAATGACCTGAGGTGACATCCATATCTAATGCTGACTCTTATTACAATTAATATTCAGATATAGATCAATGATGGCCACCGACTTTGTCGAGGAATGGTGCAGAAACTCCCACTCAGTTCTGATACAGTTTTTCGTATCTACAACGCGGAAATTGACAGCGCGTTTTTATTTTATTTCTGTTCTATAGTGACTAGTACCGTTGATTCGAAGTCAGGGTTCGGGTTTTAGGGTTCCGGAGAGCCCATTTCCGACTGTGATCGTCGCGGGAGCTGAATGCTTCGTTCATGCAGGGGGCCTAAATAAATGCTTCATTTATGCCGGGCGCCTAACCTAATGCTTTATCTTGTCTGCACGTTGCTGATGTAGCTCTATCCATATTTAGCGATGCGAATTTCAAATTCCTTGCGCATGAAGCGGATGTTCACCAGATTTGGGTGACTTTTGGGAGGCCTAGAATAATGTGCCGAGCATTAGAGCAGGCTCTCAAGTAGCCTCAGAATGATCCTGTAGGTTGTTGAAAAGTGGCTTATTTCCTTTCACTGCTTCTCCTCTTTCCTTTGTGCTTCTTATGAAAATGTTTCAGCAATAGGGTCAATCTGGGTAGCTCCCAAAGCTTTTTCTTTTGCCCCTGATCGGCTTAATTACCCAGAGATTTGGAAGGCTTAGAAGGGTCACATCTCTGAGATCCACTGCCAACAACGAAGTGTTTTTATTCCTGATCCAGCTTCAAGACGGTAGCTACGCTAATGACAGGGTGCCAGGTACCTGGGAGCACTTGTACACAAAAATGCCAACAAAGAGACAAACCATGCAAGCAACTATCATTCACGGGAGTAGAGCAATTCTTCAACTATCGTATGTCTTCATTTCTAGTTATATAGGTTGAGCCCAGGAGAAATAGAGCAATTATATAAAAAATTATCACAATCGGCGGTGAGCCAGGCGGTCAAAAGGCATGAAATCCAAAGCTGGTACTAGCCGTGGGGTAGTATGCCCGTAAAACTTGACACCACATTTTATCATATCTCTCCAATTCTCAGTCGAGACCAGTACCACGCTGCTATGCGGCCGTTAAGCCGCGCTACTTTTATTACGACAGTCTAAACAGTGGAGATGTCGTCTCCACATCCCAAGCCCATCGTGCTGGGGTCCCCGCGCAAACGGTCGGAGAGTGTTGCATCTCCGAAACGGAATGAGCCTCCACAGCTAGGACAAGGAAATTCTGAGACTAGGGATCGAGCACAGTCGATCACAAGTATTCAGCAGCCAAGTGCTGACTTTGAACCCACCGAGCGTGTGTTCCCCGTTCGGTCGGTTGTTTCGGTTGATCCTACCGCCCCTCATTGTTCGGACTCGGCGCATTCCCGGGATGCAGTATCGCCAACCCGAGAAGGAGCTCGACAGTACACACTCATCGATGAGCAGACGTGGAAGCAACTACACTCGCAGTTTTCTTCCGATCACCTTCATCGCCCCGATCCCGAACACGCCGAACCTACCATACCCACCGACATCCCACGCCACGAGACACATGCTACAGATGCAAAAACCGAACTTGGGGCACATTCTTTGGCATCGGAGGTTAATCAGCACCCCGAAATTTACGCGAAACCTGCCCCAGGCGATACTCAGGCTAGAAGCGGATCCACCGCGCCCCCTTCCTTGCATACCCAGCGCGGCAACGCTGAAACCCATGATCATATCACTGCTCGCTTCAAACATGTCATGACGGATAATGGCCATGCCGTGATCACAGGACGAGATGGAGAAGCATTCCAATACTGCGAGGATGAGCCCATTCGCATCCCCGGTGCAGTTCAGAGTTTTGGTTTCATGATTGCCCTTCGTGAAGAGTCACCAAATCAGCTCGTAGTCCGCATTGTGAGCGAGAACTCGGCTGACTTCTTGGGGTATTCGCCCAAGCAACTCTTCGAGTTGAAAAGCTTCTGTGATATTTTGAGTGAGGATCAGGCGGACAATCTACTTGACCACATTGACTTTGTCCGTGATGACGCACATGATCCATCGATTGATGGGCCAGAAGTTTTCAGTATGTCCATTCGCACAGCTAATGGGGAGCGCCGCAAGCTTTGGTGCGCCACACATGTCCCTCAGACACAGAAGGATCTGATTGTTTGCGAATTCGAGCTTGAAGATGACCAGGTGAACCCGTTGAATGTTGAGGGTTCTGACATTCCGGCAGTTCCCACAGACACCCTCGGCATTATTCCAACAGCAGATCAACTCGCTGAGAGCACGATCAACATCAGCCAGCCTCTCCGTGTTCTCAGGAATGCCCGCCGCAGGAAGGGCGAGGCATCTTCTATGGAAGCTTTTAGTATCTTAACTCAGATACAGGAGCAGTTGGGCCGGACGAATGATCTAGACCAGCTGCTTAATACAACGGCGGGATTAGTTAAGGAGCTGACCGGCTTTCACCGGGTCCTGATCTATCAGTTCGACAGCAGCTGGAACGGCATGGTTGTGGCCGAGTTAGTTGATCCTAATACTACTATTGATCTCTACAAGGGTCTTCATTTCCCTGCATCCGATATCCCCGCGCAAGCCCGAGAGCTTTACAAAATCAACAAGGTCCGGCTCTTATACGATCGTGACCAAGTCACCTCTCGACTTGTGTGTCGGACCTTGGAGGATCTCGAATCTCCATTGGACATGACTCATGCCTATCTTCGCGCGATGTCCCCAATTCACGTGAAATATTTGGCACACATGAAAGTGCGGTCTTCAATGTCAATAAGCGTCAATGCTTTCAACGATCTCTGGGGGTTGATCTCCTGTCATAGCTATGGCAATGCCGGTATGCGTGTGTCATTCCCGATACGAAAAATGTGCCGGCTCCTCGGCGACACTGTGTCTCGAAACATCGAGCGGCTTTCATATGCCTCTCGCCTTCAAGCCCGAAAACTAATCAACACTGTCCCAACTGAGGCCAACCCATCAGGCTACATCATTGCATCATCGGATGATCTCCTACAACTATTTGATGCGGATTACGGTGTTCTGTCGATTCGAGATGAAACAAAAATTCTCGGTGACAACAATAACTCCCAGGAGGTGCTTGCATTGATAGAGTTCCTTCGTGTACGTCAATTGGATTCAGTGCTTGCGTCGCACGACATCGCCAAGGATTTCCCTGATTTCCATTACGCCCCGGGATTGAAGGTAATCTCCGGTGTACTATATGTGCCCCTGTCTACTCGTGGTAGTGACTTTATCGCATTCTTCCGCCGTGGACACCTCACTGAGATCAAATGGGCCGGCAATCCTTATGAAATTGAAAAGCGAAAGCAGACCGCGGGATATCTAGAACCCCGGGAAAGTTTCACAGCATGGCGGGAGACAGTTCTGTCACAAAGTAGAGAGTGGACGGAGACGGACGTGGAGACGGCGGCAGTCTTATGTTGTGAGTTCTCTTCCTTGGACATCCTGAATATTTGTCTTGATTGTTCGAAAGCTAACATACCCCGAACAGTGGTTTATGGAAAATTTATCAAAGTCTGGAGGCAGAAGGAAGCTGCTATGCAGAACTCGCAACTCACTCGACTACTTCTGGCCAACTCTGCACATGAAGTTCGGACCCCTTTAAATGCCATCGTTAACTATTTGGAGATTGCACTTGAGGGTGCGCTAGACGATGAAACCAGAGAGAGTTTGACCAAATCTCATTCAGCTTCCAAATCGCTAATTTACGTGATCAACGATCTCCTTGACTTGACGAATACCGAAAAAGGCCAGGACCTCATTAAAGATGAGAAGTTTGACCTTGAATCAACATTCAGAGAAGCGGCTGACATGCTGTCTGGTGACGCCAAGCGGAAGAACATCTCATACACTGTTTCAGTACATTCAGGCGTTCCGAAGTCAGTTCTCGGCGACCAGCGTCGGGTGCGGCAAGTCCTTTCGAATGTTATCTCAAATGCCATTCAACACACCAAATCTGGTGCGGTCACGACAGAAATACGGCGCTCTGCAACTCAAAACATTCCAGACCATGTGGGAGTAGAGATTATGGTTGTTGATACCGGGGTGGGCATGTCGCATGAAAAGTTGAAGACACTCTTTCACGAACTCGAACAAGTATCTACCGATGACAATTACCCCGAAGAGGAAGAAAACACGCAGAACCCACCGCAAAAACGTGTATTAGGTCTGGGTCTTGCTCTCACAGCAAGGATCGTTCATAACATGCAGGGTCAGCTCGCTGTGAGATCAGAAGAAGGGAAGGGCAGTCATTTCAAGATTCTATTACAATTTCGGTTGCCAGAGGGAACAGTTTTGAATGGAGATGCAGATGAAATTTCTCTTCAAACCGATGTGGTTTCTACCACGCCTCTGATTTCAGACAAGGAGTTTACCCTAGTTCCCGGAGCACCCGACTCTTCCGACGCCAGACGGCGAAGTACAGAAAGCCTTCGCAGTGGGGCCAGTTCCCGCAGTGGACAAAGCGGGCGCAGTGGGAGAAGTCACGCCGATCGACTCATTAGTGCCATGCAAGAACCCCCCCTCAAGAGAAGCACCAGCCAGGATTTGGAACCGAGACGGCCGAATCTTTTGTCAAGTCCTGCCAGCGCCTGCAGCAATCATGTGAACCCTCCTCTTGCTTCACCATCTACTATAAAGGGATCATGTGCCCCGCAGGACATGCATTCAAGTTTGGCTACAGTCACGCATACGCCGCCACCCACACTTCAGCCACATGCCACTCCCCCTCTTCCGGGTTTGGAGAATGTCACAGACTCGGGGGTGCCGATGAGTGCTCTACGAATCTCACAACATTCTGTCAGTCTCAAATCACCACAAATCGACCCTACTATTGAAAATAGCTCTTATTTCCCGAGAGTGCCATCAGTCACAGAAGCATCACAAGCTCCCTCCTCTGGACCACCGTCCTCTGCCGTCCCAACTACTGCACCCTCAACAACAGACTACGAACCACTCAATGTTCTTGTTGCCGAGGACGATCCAATCAATAGTAAGATTATACATAAGCGGTTGACGAAACTTGGCCACACCGTTGAATTGACAAGCAATGGTGAAGCCTGCAAAATTGCTTTTGCCTCAGCCACCAAAGCCTTCGATGTAGTGTTGATGGATATTCAGGTATGATGGAGACACTCCTCCCATTCTCTTCACTCGTGCTAACCTTCCCCAGATGCCGATCCTTGACGGAATGGCAGCCACTCGAGCGATTCGCGAGTTTGAATCCAAGATACCCAAGGAAGCACTCTCCGACAAAGCTATACGCAATAATCGAGTACCTATCTTTGCTGTGTCCGCCTCCTTAGTTGAAAAGGATTTAAAAGCCTACATTGATACTGGATTTGATGGTTGGGTCATGAAACCTATCAACTTTGCTCGCTTGAACGTTCTATTGGGCGGTCTATGTGATCCTTACGCCCGAGAAGCAGCGACATACACCCCCGAGAGGGAATGGGAAAACGGTGGATGGTTTAATACCAAGTGACGAATCTCTGATCGTTGACAACACGAAATGCCCATTGCCTGTCCGAGTATTCTATCATGATTCCCACCTTTCCAGTCATGCTCTTGCATTCCCCCCTCATATCGGACCTCTACTGTCTCCGATTTTACCACGCATACAGATTAGATGACTGTGATGCACCCGATGATTTTCTTGTCTCTGCCTGACAATGTGTTTATGTATCTGCATATACAGGCCCGGCCCGGTGGATTTTCTTTGGCGTTTCTGGTGATTTGTATCAGGAAAATATACGGATACCCAATTGGACATATCACATGCATGTTTGTATTTATTTATTTATTTTTCGTTTTTCGTTTCATTTCCCTCCTCTATCTATCATACTGTTCTAGGAGAAGAAAAAGTGCAAAACTGTATACCCCCTTATAGTTGTGGGGAGTTAGTGTATTAAAGCCAATCAGGCGCTGACGTTTTGACAGAAATGCAGTACAACACACTAGCAAGAAGATACCCGCGTTGAATGGCCCCCATCACGGAAGACTCAGTACACGCACTACAGAAAGCGTTCAGGGATGGCCGGCCTTTTGGGCCAATACGGGACCACAGGACCAACCAACTGGCATTTTACAACCCCAGTGAAAGGCACATGTGCAACTACCGCACGTCCATGTGCAACAGAAATCAAGGTACTACTTTTTAAGGCCACCGCCACGGCCATGAAGGAAGCATTCTTTATAGTGGCAATAGTGAACAAGTCATGGTACAAGTCAATTTATCAATTTGGAATGCGCACTTGATGGATTTGTGGCATAATATACGGAGTACATATAAAACAAAATAAGGCTGTTAAGAGCTTTAAATGAAAGAAAACAGTACGTTAGAAAGTTGGAACTTTCTTCGGACCCGCAAGGTTACGATCCTTCGGTCTGTGACCGCGCGTGTAAAGCACAATGTCTGATAGCTCGATCTTGCTCGAGCTTCCTAGGACCGGTTGACAAACTTGCTGAGGGCAGCGTGAGTGGCATAAAATTCACTCTTGGGCTTGTAGCACTGGTCGAACATCAATGGCTTTGCGCCCTCCAGCCAGGTGTAGGCGTGCTTATCTGTGAAGCCCCAGAAGCTAATCTCGGTGATTCCTGCATCAAGGGCCTCGGTGATAACGGCACCGTAAATATCAGTCTCGAGTGCGTTGTTAAGCGTGTGAACATCCATTTCAGCAATTGTCACCTCCAATCCGAGCGCGTTGTAGTAGTTGACCATCTCCGTGAGCACGCCCGGCGTAGGGGCTACTTCGGTGATATGCATCTGCAGGGCGACTCCGTCGATTGGGACACCCTTCGCCACGAGGGCGGAGACCAGGTTGTAGAGTTCCTGGCGCTTGCCTGGGAGCGACTCGACGAGATTCTCATTGATGAATAGCTTGGCATCTGGGGCTGCTGCTCGGGCAATGCGGAAGGCATCTTCGATGTAGCCGGGTCCGAGCACTTTGGAGAAGGTGTTGTTGTTCAAACCACCACCCTGCGTTTGCAAAGCTTCAGTGACGACATCCCATCGGTCCATTTTGCCGTCGTATCGGTGCATGACTGCCTCAAAGTGAGTCTTCATCGCAGCACGAATGGCTGCAGGTTCGGTGATGTTGAGCAGGAAGTCGGGGTTACAGCAGCTCGAGATGAGCCCGTGTCCCTTAACCGCCATGTTGTTTTCTTCCGCAAAGGCAACGAGGCGGTCGATCGCATCCCAGTCGTAGTGCCCTTTGCTCGGGTTGATGAACGACCATTTCAGCTCGTTTTCGGGGGACAGACTGTTGAATTGGTTGGCAAGAACGTCTGCGAACCTCGGATCCTTGAGATACGTCGGGTTTATCGCTCCAGACCCGATAAGAATATCCTTCTTGCTTGCTTCCTTTCTCAGCGGAGTGGTACCGGTGCTGGGAAACGCGAAGACTCCTTCGGCGGCAACGAGGAGCCCGGTGATGATTGTGGCAAAGGTCTTCATGATTGTATTTGGCGATCTCTTTTCTGTCTCTTCGTTACTGAATTATTTGAACTTTCAACGGTGGGAGATCCAAGGACTTTATAGCTGGGAAAATCGATGGAAACAAGTAATGAATGCCATAACTCCAGGACACATTCTGGGCCGATGTCCACACGGCCTCAGAACAATGTACGAACACGATGGCCCTAAACGAGTTTCATGCCCAGTGAGAGGAACCACTTAACTGCAACGCCGGTGCCTACGGTAGTTGAAGAAAAGCGGTAGTGCGGGAGCCGCCTAAAGCCGAAGCCAAAAACGTATACTATTTTAGGATATATGAGTAGACCCACTAGCCGTTAATACGAGGTGAAATCGACTAGGGATTGCGCTTATCCGTATGTCACAAGTCTTCTAGTTGTAGATCAACCAGACTTCTAACTCAAAGGAGACAGGACTTACAGGCGACTATTTATGTCATTATTAATGACCCATTCTACGCAGCGGTATAGACGCCAGGGGCCAAACCCCAATTTCTAGGCAATATCGATGCCCTGATGCCTCATTTTCTGAAGGCTAGCAGAATATTTAAGATACTTGAATTACTATTACAAGCTAGTCGGCCGTGTAAAGGCCTTCAGTGGTCTTTTCAGTATTCTCTTCGGTGGTCTCCTCAGATATTATTCTATTTAGATATACTTGTTTTATAGGTGGACGGTTATATAAACGACTTTTTGATGTATAACCTTTATACCACTTCGTACCCATTCCGTATCCAGTGGCGGTGGAGCTTCAGTAGATCTCTATTCATGCTGCCTAGATTCGCCACTTTTTCCGAAATTTTTTTAAAAAAAAGAACCTCACCCTTTTTTGATAAAAAGTTAACGTGCCGTATACGAATACGCCCCACTTTCGTGGTTAAGCTTAAAGTTAGGCTGAGATTCAGCCAAACAGGCGAAGAAGCCGCGCCGTATTCGTTTAATATCGAACTTTAATTGCAAGCCAATGATCAAACCTTATTTCTAGGTCCATTCTGCATCCATGGATCATTTTCACACGTCATTTTTGGTGGTAGTTCTCTCAACTTCACCTTCACTGAATACGAAAAACTGCGCGCTGTAGCGAACATGGCTAGCAATGACCTTCCGGAATGCGTATTCGAGCTACCTGCCGAACCAATCACACAGTCACATACTACTAGTCCTCCCGCTGCTGATATTAGTGGTATCAATTTGAACGGTGCGTTTACTTTTCTTTCGACCCCTTTTCACTATCCGTGAGGGTATGTTGATGATGGACTTGACGTTCCACTTGCTAATATTTGACTGGCGAGAATAGATACCGGCCGCGTTGATATCGACTGGGATTCAAAGGTCGTACGCAGTCTTTCGAAGCTCTACACTAGCCCCCTTTTCAGACCTTCTACACCTCCGCCTGAATACTCCGAACTACCGACGCCACGTCCCGACTCTACAGCCGTTAGACCTGATCACATATCGGAACACTTCGAGCCAAGTCCTTCAAAACGCTGGGTTGTAAAATTGAACGTTGTGATCCAAGTTGTGGGAAGTCGGGGTGATGTCCAGCCCTTCATTGCCCTGGGAAATGAGCTCCAGCGATATGGACATCGCGTGCGTCTAGCCACACATGATATGTTTGAAGATTTCGTTAGGGAATCTGGGTTGGAATTTTACCCAATTGGAGGCGATCCAAGAGAACTGATGGCATACATGGTCAAGACTCCCGGACTCATCCCTAGCATGCAGAGCATTCAAGCGGGTGACATCCGTCGCAAGCGCGTCATGATTAGGGAGATGCTAGATGGGTGTTGGGAATCATGTATCGAGCCAGACCTAATAACAGGACACCCATTCGTGGCTGATGCTATCATCGCCAACCCACCCAGCTTTGCACATGTTCACTGTGCTCAAGCTCTCAGCGTTCCGGTACATTTGATGTTTACCATGCCTTGGAGCAGTACAAGGGCTTTTCCACATCCCCTGGCCAACTTCAAGGCAGACAGTCCAGACCAGGGGTTCAAGAATTATGCCTCATATGATCTTGTCAATTGGCTTACATGGCAAGGGTAAGGCTCTATTCTAGCCGAACATATGTATATCGTACTAATGTATTCTCTTAGAGTAGGGGATGTAGTCAATGGATGGCGGAAAGAACTTGATTTAGAAGAAGTGGCTACGTTTGAAGGTCCTCAACTTTCTGAAATCTTGAAAGTTCCATTCACATATTGTTGGTCTCCGGCTCTTATACCCAAGCCGTTGGATTGGCCTTCTTATATTGGTGAGTCCCTTTCGAAGGAGCGCACTAGGTATCGACGAACGTGGCTGACAATATGTAGACGTCTGCGGTTTCTTCTTCCGTGACACCCCAAAATACGACCCCCCAAGTGACCTCCAGGCCTTTTTATCGTCCGGTCCACCGCCAATATATATTGGCTTTGGGAGTATTGTGCTTGAGGACTCGATCAGGATTAATGCAGCTATTCTTGACGCGGTAAATGCTGCTGGTGTTCGAGCTATCATTTCCAAAGGCTGGTCCAATCTAAAGGGAGAACATAGCGACAACCTATACTTCATCGGTGATTGCCCTCATGAGTGGCTCTTCCAACACGTGGCGGCGGTGGTACATCATGGAGGTGCTGGTACAACGGCTTGTGGCTTGCGGAATGCAAGACCTACGATTATCGTCCCGTTTTTCGGAGAGTGAGTGACTTGACACCTGATTACTTTCAAACGAGCTCGAGACTTACTTCTTAGCCAACCATTCTGGGGAGCTATGGTCGCTGCAGCGGGTGCTGGCCCAGTCCCCATCCCACACCAAGAGCTAAGCGCTGCCACATTAGCTGAAGGAATTCGATATTGCTTCACAGAACAAGCGATAACTGCTGCCTCTGTGATTGCGATGAAAATGGCTTCCGAAACCGGAGTCCAAGCCGCTGCCGCTTCCTTTCATTCACATCTTCCCTTGGAGCGGATCTCCTGTGATATATGTCCAGGGGGACCAGCAGTATGGTCTTACTCCACGGGCAATACGGAAGTAAAACTGTCAAAAGTTGCGGCAGCAACGCTAGTCGCACAAAAGTCGATTGATCCAAAGCGACTGAAACCGTACGTGAAGCTTCTAGTCCTGTGCACCTACCTAACTAACCAATATTCAGGCATGCAATTAAGCCCATTGTGATAGAGAATCGTCGATGGGACCCTGTCACAGGCGGAGCTTCTGCGCTTATGGGAACCACAACAGAACTCCTTGATTCCGTCCTGGGAACGTTCTATAAGCCCTTTGAGGAATATAAAAACTACCAAGTTAGCCACAGGGATCAGCCTTTGGCGAGTGCCTCGAGTCAAGCTGTACAAAGACCTACAACCAGCTCTACCGATAAGCGCTCCCTGGAAATTTCACAAGAGGGGGCCGACGATGCGAAGAGCATAGTTACCATGGAAAGTACATCGTCAGCTTCAAGATCTCATAGAGCTCGGCTTGCAGGGAGAATGGCCGGATCTTCAGCGAAAAGTCTTGCCAATTTTGTGCCAACTGCGCTAAAAGGCATGACTGTCGACATCCCACTCGCCATGACGGAGGGACTACGCAATATCCCTCGACTATATGGCGAAAGGCCACAGCACGACGGCTCCGTTACTGACATCAAGAGTGGATTCGCTCTTGGTGGCACAGGGTTTGCATTGGGGATGGTGGAGGCAGTGAGCGATTTGGTCGTGAAGCCTTACGAAGGAATAAAAAAGGATGGTGCGAAGGGTGCTGTGTCTGGCATTGGCAAGGGCGTGGCAAATATGACAGCTAAAGCGGGCTGCGCCATGTTTGGTGTTGTAGTATACCCTGGTGTCGGTATTGCAAAGAGTCTGAGATCGGCTGTCTACTCTAGGACGAGGAAGAGGATCACCAAGGCGCGTCACGCTGAGGGTGCATGGTTGTCGGAGAGTTCTACACATGCAGACATTGACGGCTACGTTGCCAGCTTCCAAAGGATGTTAAAGGGCAAAAGGAGCTAAATTGTTAAAAGTTTATTTACAGGAATGGCATGGCAGCCTAAAATATATATTCACTATAGCTTTGTTCCTACGATCGCCAATGTATATATATATATCATTATGACCGACGAAGGGCAAGTAAATTTCAAAACCTATATTCATTAATTAGGTTTTAAAATGCACTGAGGAACTTTACTGGGCCACTGGTTTAATCTTACAAATGAGTCGAGCTAGCCTCCCAATTTTTCTAAGAACTGTAAATTCTTAGGGTTGATGGAGGGAAAAAAAAGAAAAAGAAAAAAAGAAACTCCGATAGGGGGAATCGAACCCCCGGCTGTCGTGTGAGAGACGACGATGTTAGCCACTACACCATATCGGATGGGGACTGTGAATTACTCACTTAGATTTAGTCTTGACCGTTTCGGTTTAGCGCACCTTATCCATATGCGTTCCCGTGCGTGGTTCTATAAAGTCCCCTACTCTTCCCCCTCCATCCAACAAACCTATTTTCTTTTTCGATTTCCTTTCTCCGACGCCTTGTAGGTGAGGTATTTTTGCCATTGGCCCGAATCACCGAGCTCCTGAGCTCCGCCACCCCCTTCCCCTTAGACAACTCATCTACATCACTTATTATAGGGTGTCGGCGACAGTGTGTAACTTGCGACTCCCTCGCTAAGACGGCTATTTCCCCCGATGTTCTAACACCACCCGGCACCCACCTCGGACTTCGATTAACCGGACTCCGGCTGATTTCCTTGTTTAAGAGGATCGTCGCGAGTAGCGGGGCTAGGAATCTGCCTCGTCATTGACGCGTCAAAGCCTGTATGATTTTAAATGGACATTGCCTAAGTATGAACAGAGTTGGGAGAGTTCCATGTAGCCAGATATCTGGCACACTTATTTGAACATTGCGGTATTTCGGCGGATAATATTCGCCGCGGTTTCGGAAAATGACAACAAAGATATATAACTTGAATTTTCATTCAATACCTCCTCTCTCCAAATTTCAGCACCCATATCTGTCCATAAGGGCTCTGAATGAAGGATCGCAAAGGAGCTCCTTTGCACTCGGTCGTTTCTCAGGGTGAAAAGTAAAGACCTTTAACATGATAGATTCCACATGCTGCCGCTCGACTGGATCGGCGTCGGGACGGAAACGTGCAATTCTTGACGCAAGGGAGTACTCAGGGTTGGGATTTCGAGACTGGTCGTACCAGGAGTCTAGCCCACTACCCTGGTAGATATAGAGGCCTTTCCACCCCTCCGGCAAAGGGCCTAGAGACTCGACCAACCCAGTCACAGGCCCCCCTTCATGAAACGTAGAGAATGGCCCAAAAGTAAGGTAGAGCATGGAGAAAACAACCATATAGCTCCATATATTGCAGGCGAAACTTGGCTCTTGATTATGAAGCCGGTCAGGGGAACAATATTGTATTGGTGGGTAGCCGTGCTGATTGATTGGATCGCTGATCTTTTTTGATAGCCCAAAGTCGCCGAGATAGAATTCCTCAGTGCATAGTTCCCATGGGACCTTTACAGGGCTCACAAGCTCGCCCTGTTTCCAGAGATCGACGATAGACGGTATCCTTTGCTTTAATGGCCGACCAAGTGCTTTATATTTAGCACTTCTGCTAAGACCATCAAGAGAAGCCATTCCCCACATACAATTCCTCTCGTTTAGATCTATATGATTTTTTGTTCTTCTTAGAATGTAGCAAAGAGAGAAATGAGAGGCAAAAAAAAAGTCTACTTACCGCGGTGTATAATTCCAGCGTCATGTAAATTTGCCAGAGTTTTGAGTAACTGATGAGCGGCAGACATGCGAGTGGCCATAGGAATCGTTTTCAGGTCAATAGGGTCAATGCATGGGCCCATTAAAGGAAATACCAAGACCCTATAGTCGCGGGGAAGAACGAAAGTCGCTATGTATATCACAAGATGAGAAGGGTCTTGGATTTTCTTGATTTCGTCCTGAATCCGAATTTCGTTCACTCCCCACTCCCCAGGACGCATGACTTTGAGGGCAACATTCTTCTTGTCTTGAATGTCAAAGGCCATCCAGACAGTCGATCCACCCCCAAAGCCAAGTTTATGTTCAACCAACTACCTTCCGTTGAGCATCTCTCCGAGGAAAATAGGATAGAGGGAATTTTCTTCGCCCTCTGTTTTGTATCTGCACCATGGCTCAACAAGCTCCTCGAGGTCGAGTTCTTCTTCTTCATTCTTCACAAAGTCGCCAAAATCAGACTCATCTATAGGAAGTGTTCTAGTGTCGGTCATTTTCGTAGCGGAGGTGGTGACAATGGAGTTGGTGTTGGAGATGTAGTAAAATGAGGAGTTTGGCAATGGAAGTGAGAGACATCGATCCATGTTAGAGCTACTGGCCCGCCCGACCGCCCAGGCGCCCACCAAAATCTGGAGAGTACTAGCGAAAATTGTTTTTGTCTCAGAATTCCACTCTATCTCAGACAAGCAAAGGAACGAGCCGGGGGTGATCGTCAGTTTCATGGTTCTGTTCTAAACCGCCTCTTCCTGCTCGAGTGATCTCGCCCTCAGGGACCACCGATCAACCACTTCGTTTCCCGCCCGCTTTATCCTCATGATATCCGAGAATTTCATATGTTGTACTTCGAAAATACAGAAACCAGGAAATAAAAATGAATAGCGATACAAAAAGATAAAAATACAACATAAACATTGAAATCTTCAATCTTCAAACAGCCTTGTCTATACCTCGGCGGTGGTTTCCTTTTCCCTGCCTTCCTTCTCATCCTTGATTCCATACTCCGTCTCCAATTCGGTCCGTAGTATCATCTCCTTCTCAAAGAAGGTAATGATGAATCCCAGAGCAGCAAAAGCTAGTGAGACATACCAAACTAGCTTCAGGGTATCAGTGTACACACTGACTACCTCCCGTTGAACTTGAGGAGCAAGTGACTTGATAAAGGTTGAAGAGACGTGAGAGTAAGCTTCTCCACCCGCAAGTTGCGCCGAAACAGCGGGGTCTGAGATACGGCCTGACAGATGCGCGAACTCGGTGTTGAAAATAGCAGCTGGAATTGCAATTCCCCAGATAGCACCGTAACTGCGAATAAATGCCCATGTCGCCGTCGCAAGTCCAACATCCTTCTCTTCTAGGGGAGCCTGCACTGCAGCTAGAGTGGTTGTGAGAAGAAGACCCAAGCCAATTGCAGTGATGATTTGGAAAATGATCCACTCTGCTGGACTGGAGTCGGCATCGAAGAGAGTAAAGAGACCTAATCCTAGAAGAATCACAGCCGTAGCGACGATATGGATAGGCTTATAGCGGCCCCACTTGGTAAGGAGGCCACCTGCGACAATGGCAGTCGGCACGGCGAGAATCACACTAGGTAGAAACTGTACACCGGCGCGAGTAGAGGTAGAAAGCTTCACGGCCTGGAAGTACACCGGTACAAAGTAGATCACCCAGAAGGTAAGCATATTATGGATAAAGGATACAACCAAGGCAACGAACGAAGTACGGTGTCGAAATATGTGTGGTGGCATCATAGGTTCTCGACACCATGGACTGGCCTCAAACGAGTGGAATAGAATCATACCAATGAGACCGAGAACCAAACAGACGATGATTCGCCAGTTTGACCAGGCGTAGGTAGTACCGCCCCAGGTCAGAGCGAGGAGAATAGAGACAATAGAAGTCATGAGAAGTGTGTTGCCAATATAGTCGATCCGCTTGACTTTTTCTTGCCATGGCTGTTTTTGGTAGTTGACATGGAGAAAGAAAAACAGGCATATCATCGCTGTTCCACCAATAGGAAGGTTGAGATAAAACTTTGATCAAACCGTGTTAGCCTTGTCATTCTCTCAGATATAAACGGGGCTTGGATACTTACAACCCATCTCCAGGAACTATGCTGTACAATAACACCTCCAATAAATGGACCAAGGGAGGTGCCGACGGCGAACACGGCGAAGATCATACCCATGAAGTTTCCTCGCTCGCGCAATGGAAGCATATCGCTAACGATCATATCGATCATTACATTGATACCGCCACCTCCAATTCCTTGGATTGATCGCCCAGCAATTATCATGGGAGAATTGATCGCGCCACCGCTGATGCCGCTGCCGAGGACGAACACGGCCACCGAGCCGATCATCAACCATCGTCGACCAAAAAAATTCGCAGTCTGTCCAAAAAGGGGCTGAAAGCAAGCACTTGCCATTAGATGTATTGTTAATTTATTTTCTTCATTGACTCGGGTTGAAAGATGGTATCTGACTTACCTCGTCAAGAAGAAGGAGTTGACAAACCAAACGTAGTTCTTGCCTGCATGCAACTCATCCGCGATGAACGGCAACGCGGTCGACGTGACCGTTGACTCGACCGCAGCTAGTAGTATTGACATGCATAGTGATAAGTAAATTGCCCAGAAGCGCCATCCTCTACCCTGCTTCTTCTCGACAGACTGGGTACTAGTATCCGAAGCATTGGACATGTTGACGTTGAGTACGGAGCACAAAGTCAAAGTTGATTGAGAAGTATGGAAGCTAGAAACCTGAAGTTTTGATTGCAGGAAATGGCCATGGTCAGAAACTGATTTCAAAGAATAGGAGGTCTCTTTGTCAACATCGCCGATGCTGAATGGGTTCGGTCATTGTATATAAGTCAACTTCCCCATTGGGCGCTCTGGCCTGTGATTGGTCCTAGGTCGCCGAATATTTGGTAACCTTCCAAGGTTGGAAGCAAGATCTGATTATAGATTGTGGGGTTAATCCATGGTAATTTATTGCATATATCTACAGACGCTTTACCCGTGGACGGGTAGGGCAGCGGTATTGATAATATCATTGATGCATAACATCAACAGAAGGCAACACTTATGGAACACGTAATTCGCTTTCGCTTCGCTTCCGAAATCACAATCAATATCTAGGGTCTACCTACATCGACGATCTCCATTTAGGATTAGACTTGCCTAACTTAGCACGTCCTGTTTCGTAGAGCCATAGGGACCCTCTAACCTATAAATTTCAGGGTTAGCAGCGTCCCCCAGCAAATATCCCATAAATCATTTTCCATGTGAAAATAGGGTACTCTTTTTTTTTAGTTTTATGTTGGTGAGGCGATATATATCAATATCCCTCGGATTTGCGTATTGATTTTCTACTTACTGGTGTACTTATGTACTTGTGTACACAATTCCTTCGCTTTTTTGCCCAAGCTGTCGGTCCGGATTAACCGCCTTGAACTCGAATCCACCCTCCCCTCCTCAATATTTTTTAAGCTTGTCTCTCAAAATGTACGAAAAACCATCGCGACAGGCTTGCGATCGCTGTCATGACCTAAAACTAAGGTGTCACCGCAACGAGTCAGGGGAATGCAGCCGCTGTGTGAGAGCGGGCGCAAATTGCTTGTTTAGTCCTTCGAACCGCGGGCGTCGGCCCACCCATCAGGATCGCCGTAACGGGTCCCACATATCCAAATGGACCAGCGACAGGCCGTTGGCCATGGGACTGGCGTCCCAGGTGGCTTGTTCACCGAATGCGCATTTGGGAGATATTGACTTGCTGAACAGGTTGAGTACCCCTGACCCCCTAGAACACACGGAGTCTGACCACTAATACCGGGGTCTGCTGCAAAGGGAAGATGCAGAAGATAATCGTCAAGCATTCACCGTCGACAGAATCCCCATTGCTGGTATGGAGACCCCCGAGCCGACGCTGTCGAACCTATGCATGGGTGTCGACCAGGACATTTCCTTCCCGGCAAGCTTGACACTGCCTATAAATCTTCCCGGAGCACCTTCGGGATCTAGCATGTTCTCACGTTTTCCTGCCCACAATACGGCTCCTTACGCTCAAATTCCTGATCATCAATTCTCTTTACTCGAATCGTTTCCCGGGCCAACTGTGCCCAATGGAAACAAAATCGGCCCGGACATCCCGCCACTGCCGTCTCAGAACTCGGAGCGATCGTTGGGACCTACTTCCCATCGCAAGATCGGTTCACAGACTCAATTTATACAAAATTTTATGGAAAATCTTTTGGAGCTCGACATTGACTTAATTCGACTCACGTCGATGGAACCCCTGCTATATAACCCAGCCCCGATGACCTCCGAACCAGATAGCTCCGATTCCCCTTCGTCATCAGAATGTACGATCGACATCATCTTCCTTCTCACGCAACGATTGATCAAGCTTTTGCGAGTAAATAGAAATTCCTCAGTTCAGTCGCCCGCTGTGCAGAATACGCATTGGCAAATACCGCTTTCCGCATCCTCCACATTTTCCTCGCGGTTCCAGCAGCTTATCGCCACGCCTCAAGGCACGCCTGTAACTTCAGATACGGAACCACTACAGCCAGGAACAAGGCTCGACCAACTGTCACTGCTGCATGCCTTATCTACATACATGCGGCTGATCGAAGCTTATTATAATATTTTCTCGCAGACCGCTGAAAAGTTCGGTCCTGCATTGGCCAAAGGCATGCCCATTCCACTGCCCTCGCTACAAATCGGGGTGTGTTCCGTCGATGATCCGGCGAGTCACATTGGGTTAATGATCCAGTCAGCCTTGCAACTACTAGACAGCCTGGGGGACTCGGTGGACAAACTTACGGCGTCTTTTGTATCTAGCGAGAACGCCGAAATCGACACCAGTCGACCGTCTAGTCCATCCAGCGAGGATAACGCAATCAAAATGGTGATGAAGACGGTCCGGGAAAACGAAAACCGCTTAATGCAGGCTGCAGCACAATTGCAAAGCTGCTGCCATAAAGGTCGACAATCGCCTGAATAACGCTGGTGGTGGCGAACACAATCGGGAATGTCTATATAGATATATAGAAGACAACGTCATCACCAAGACAGTAACGACATTTATTGATAGCACTAGAATAATTTGTCGCATGGCCAAAGGGCGATACTACAGTATACCAGCATTGACACATTTGTTCGGTACTACCGTGTTAGTTTTCCCGTTAATACTTAGGCAATTGTCCGAGGTACTCCCGCTGAGAAGCGGCTTATGCGTTTTGCCTGGGAACAGAGCAGCTAAGCTGAAGAGAAGCTAGACCTAGAGTCATCTGAATCCCGCTCTCAATTCCAATATCCGCAGTATGGAACCGCTTGTCCAACAGAATTCAATCAAAGAACCAAGCCATTGTTCTTCAGTTGTATCTATATGATAGCTGAACCCAAAGCTAGGAACCTTGGAAAAATGTGGGCACCTGCCAAATGACCCTTTGAAGCTACATAGCTACCTATCTATCTTAGAATATCGAAAGCCTGATATGCCGGAACAGGCCTGTATTCAAGTAGGATGGTAAAGCTGAGATGCTTCTTTATTCGATTTCATATGGACTCCTCGAGTACTGGTGTTTTCAATCATATCAACATCTACATAATCTCTGCTATTTAATAATATCAGACTTCGAACATTTAAAAAGGACAATGCGCAGCAAAATATATAGAAATTCTAATAGAGAGAGCGTGGCATGTCGGAACCACGACCCGATGCTTTTGCCGGTTACTTCGCGGTTATATGGCAAAGCAGAATTTCACCGAAGGGACTAATTTGAGGTAATGAGAAATGATTTGGTTGGTATCTTCAGAGTTGTGTAAATAGGCCTCAAATATTTCCAAGTCTTTCCACTATTGATCCTGTACCGTTCGCCCTGGGCCTTTTCGCAGCGTTTCGATGTATAGAAAAGGGTACTAAATCTCTTTTCTTTGATTTCAATCATGTTTCTTCTTGGGACTTCCTTGAATAAGCGGGCTGGACGCCTGCGCGTAAGATGTGCCAGACAGGCAATTAAAGCCCATCGCACGAGGCCATACCAGCAAACTTATACACAAATTCGACCCGTACGCTGGACTTGATCTGACCCTGCTTGAGGATTATAGAAATGCTGACTCTAAAGTTTTTATAGATTCACCTGGACAGTTTTCTACAGGGAAACTCGGCAGATTATATGGATGACATGTATGCGGAGTGGCGGAAGGACCCTGCTTCAGTTGATATCTCATGGAAAAGATACTTCGAGGCAATAGAAGCTGGGAAGCAACCACCTGAATATTTACTCCAGCCTCCCCGGTACATACCATTTCAGTGTGGTCCGGGGTCCTCGCCAATGCTTCCGGGCCTGAATATTGATACTAACGCCCTGCGCATCCCGTCCACAGTAGTTGACGATCAAGTTAGAATTCAGCGGCTTGTTCGAGCATTTCAAGAATTTGGTCACCAAGTAGCAAACACTAATCCCTTGGATCTTCCAGGTAAAGCGCCGCCACCACCAGAATTACTACTGGATTTTTACGGCTTTACCGAGTATGACTTGGACCGAGAGTTTGCACTCGGACCCCAAGTTCTTCCTTCCTTCAAAACCACAACCCGCCAATATATGACCCTTCGCGAGATTCTCACGACATGCAAATCCATTTACTGCGGCTCGATCGGAGCTGAATATTCCCATCTCGCAACCAATGAAGAGCGCAGCTGGATTCGGGAGCGCATTGAATCCCCCGAACCATATCAGTTCCCAGCAGAAGAAAAGAAGAGGATACTCGATCGGTTGGTGTGGTCTACGAATTTTGACAAATTCCTCGCTGCCAAATTTCCAAATGCTAAACGATTTGGACTGGAGGGCGTCGAGAGCCAGCTTCCAGCAGTGAAGGCAGTGATCGATGCCTCGGCAGAGTACGGTGTGCGCAATATCATATTTCCATGCTGTCACCGTGGGAAATTAAATGTCTTGAGTAATGTCACCCGAAAGCCAAATGAACTGATCTTCAACGAATTCTTGGGCGAATTGAAATCTCGACACGGTATTCCAGGAGATGTCAAGTACCACCTGGGAATGAACTACGAGCGTGAAACACCTTCGGGAAAGAAGGTTAATATTTCTATTCTCCCAAATCCCTCTCATTTGGAAGCCCAGAATCCCGTTGCCCAGGACATGGCCCGAGCTGTGCAGCAGCAGAACGAAGAGGACCGGGCATCGACCATGGTCTTCAACAGTCACACCGACGCTGCATTTTCCGGGCAGGGGTTTATTTATGAGACTTTGGGACTATCTGCGCTGAAGTCGTACGAGACTGGTGGCACAATCCATTTAGTCGTTAACAATCAAGTCGGATTCACTATAGATCCGGATTCCGCACGAACATCATCCAATGTATCCGATATCGTGAAAACCATCGGTGCACCTGTTTTCCACGTAAATACAGATGATGTCGAAGCTGTCGTGTTTGTCTGCAAGCTTACAGCCGGTTACTGTGCCAAATTTGCAAAGGACTGTTTGATCGATATGATCTGCTATCGGAAGAATGGATACAATGAGATGGATTAGCCGTCCTTTACTTAGCCATTGATGTAATAGCAAATTGCACATAAGGTCACCCAGTTAGAGCTTTACAGCAGCAAGTTAGTACAGGAAGGGGTGGTCACTCGCGAAGAAGTGATGCAGATGGAAGCAGAGGTGTAGGCGAAGCTGAGCGAGAGCCTCGCAAACAGCAAGAACCCGCAAAGCCTCGAACGTGAGTATCTTACAACACAATGGCAAGATATGAAAAGGCCGGATGAAGTCTCCCAGGAAGTCTTTCCTGCCAAATCAACCTCCATCACCCAAGATGTCGTCGATACGGTGGCAAGTAAGACGGGGGTCCTAGAGCAACTATTCACTGTGCACAAAAGCCTACACAGAATTCTTCAAAAACGGCAAGAGAGTCTTATTAAAGGAAGGGAAATTGACTGGGGCACAGCAGAGGCGCTGGCAGTGGGAAGTCTGTGTCTTGAAGGTCACCATGTGCGGATTTCAGGCCAAGATGTCGAGCGCGGCACATTCTCCCAGCGTCATGCAGTCATCCACGATCAAAATAGCGGTTCAAAATTTACTCCGCTCGACTCACTAAGTCCCACCCAAGCTCGATTTACAGTAGGGAACTCTTCTTTGAGTGAATACGGCATTATGGGATTTGACTACGGATACTCTTGCATGCACCCTAATGCATTAGTGATGTAGGAGGCACAGTTTGGCGACTTCGCAAACAACGCCCAATGCATAATTGATCAATTCATTTCATCCGCTGAGTCCAAATGGTTACTGAGATCTGGTATTGTATTATCCCTACCGCATGGGTTTGATGGACAAGGATCTGAGCATTCATCGGCTCGCATGGAACGGTTCTTACAGTTGTGTAATGAGGATGCTCGCTTCTTCCCATCTCCAGAGAAGTTAGCTAGACAGCACCAAGATGCCAATATGCAAGTTGTCTACATGACTACCCCTGCAAATATGTTCCACGTGCTCAGACGACAGCTACATCGTGAATTCAGGAAGCGTAAGTATCTGCCTTATGCACAATATCGGAACTTTTTCTTACTAAAACACATGTCTAGCGCTGATCATGTTCTTCTCAAAATCTCTTCTTCGGCATCCGATGGCAAGATCTAACATCGGCGATTTTATCGGAGAATCGAAGTTCAAGCCTCTGATCCCAGACTCAGCCCATGCCGATGGAGCGTCCATTTCCAACCCCTCTGATATCACAAGAGTGATCTACTGCACGGGACAAGTCTACATGGCACTAGCAAAATATCGTGAGACCCACAACATTACGGATACAGCCATAACGCGTATCGAACAGCTTCATCCATTCCCTTGGCAAGAGGTGAGGGAAAATCTCGATCAGTATCCTAGCGCCTTGGATGTCGTATGGTGTCAAGAGGAATCCCTCAATGATGGCCCATGGGCATTCACTCGGAGTCGACTCGAGACTATCTTTGATACGACGGTACAGCACAAGGGCCGTCGGCTACGCTTTGCGGGACGTGAAGCAACGGCTAGTGTGGCTACAGGGTTTGTCAAGGAACACCATGCGCAAGAAGCTGTTTTGCTGAGGGATGCTTACCAGTCTGTTTGAATTTGATATAGTGTAATTCAATTATTTCCATACGATAAGCAATGAATATAAGAATATAAAGTCCTTTCAGGAATTTCTCACAACGTTAAGGCCCGTTCCAAATTGAGAGCTCCGTTATTTAGTAAAGCCAAGGACATGTTCTCAAAAAGAATGACATGCAGTACTAAGTACACATTGTCTAAGTTCACCCTCTCTTTACTATTAGTTTTGTCATAGTACCTATACCCGAGGACTCCTATAGTCACATAACATTGATCCGGCGAATTTGAAGGAGCCACTGGTCACGGTCTCGGCGATTTCATGGAGAAGCTTCGTGCAGCATTGAACGAGGATTGTCAAAAGCGTGGGATCTATAGTACCCATTTTATGTGCCACTCTTTATATCACAGGTATGCTATTCGGGCCATTGCACCTCGAGCAATGACATGACATGACAAGCAACTAAATGTTTCCCAACCTCGTCGAGTTGCCCCGCAAATCATTCCACAGCGTCTTAAACGCTGGCCATGAGATCGACACGTAAATAAGACTATTCCAAAAACCCTGTAAAGGAAGCACAAAACTCGCTGCATAGTTGAGCCCGAACGAGAAGTCATTGGGGTGAGCAAATGCGTATACTCGGTTGGCCGTGGAGGGAACCTGTACCATATTAGACTTTGACGCTGCGTTGAAAGGAATTGAGTTAAGAATGTAACCACTTACCCACGTTACAAGCAGCGCGATAAAGAACAATATCGCGTATTTCGTATACGCCCAAGCCGCGGAGCTCGCCTCTGTCGCCTTCCGCCGCTGCGCATTCGAGTCCCCGCTTTCGTGCCGCGCCGACTTGATAGACCCCTCTGTGCGGAGCGGAGTTGGGTCCGATTGGGGGCGACTCAGACCCTGAGTAGGCGAGGAGTTTTCCTCTAGGTCATGCTGTATGTTGAAGGAATCGATCAGGCCGCCCTCGATCGACACGGAGTATGGGCTAAACGAGGAGACTGTGAAACTCCGTGTATCACTGACCGACACGGGCTGGTGCATTGGCGGTAGGCAGGTAAATTCGCTGGTAACATGGATACCCGAGCTTATGACGAGGGGGGCATCGGGCTGCGTGTTAGAGCTGAGAGACTCGATACCACTGAAGTTACGCAACTCGCGGTGTTTCTGGTATATGACGGATCCTGCGCGTAGGTAGATGGCGAAGGTGAGGATGATAACGAACCACACAGGGCCATAGAAGACGGCAATGCGAAGGTAGTCCCATGGTAATGCGACCCAGCACCAAAGCTATACAACTAATATTAGGATTTTTGATAAGGGAAAGGTACATGGTTCTATAGATGGTCTCACAGTTGCGGAGCCGTAGACCTGGCCTCGGGCATGGGTGTGGATGAAGAAGTATGTGAAGGATGGGATAAAGGGGAGGCCGTAGCAACACACGACATACACCCACTCGATCTGGCGCAGTTGCTCTGAGCCATATTTGTGAAAGAAGGTTAGATAGACATTGCACGCCATGGCGAATGTCCACAACGCGTCAGCGGGCATGAACCTATCTGCATTTAGAAAGGCACGGGAATATGGATACCCAGTGAATCAAGCAAAAGGGAGGAAGATCTAACCACTGAATGAAAAAAGCCTGGAGCTGGCACAAGGAGCTACTAGACCCAGCCTGAATCCCCGATTGCGAAATCATAGTCGCTATATTGGCCATCATATTGCCCCATGACGCGTAGAAAACGAGGCGGTTGATCGGTTTCCGAAATGAGCGTGAACCGATGAAACTAGCTATGATAACAAAAGCGCCAACTAGTGAGATCGCAGAGCAGACGCGCTCTGTGACTGAGATAGCGACAAGCTGTCGCTGCGAGGGCGTATGAGCCATGATGTCATGACCTAGATGGCAGTTGGCGTGGTGAGGGATATTCCTAGCACTATAGGGTTCGGTAAAGATCCCATGGCCACGAATTCTCTATAGAAGGAGGGGAAGGAAGAAGGTATGCAGATGTTTCTACACGGTACAAGCGGCAAAGTCTGCCCCAGACAATAATCGCATGGTTTATTTCTGGGGAGCACCCGTGTATAGGAAGTCAGTGATACAACACAAACTCCAGGGCTCCGTGGCGCAACCCGATTCACATGACGTTTTGACGACTACGGATCCATGGTAGGTAAGATACCAAGCAAATATTGAGACACGGCTAGACGAGCCACGCCAGCACTAGAGCTGTTGCCAATCATACTCGTCGGCGTTAGTAATATTCGTTGTTCGTCTTCGAAAGTGTAAACACGAATAACATTCGCAAGTTTCACTCATGAATGAATAGACGTGCAAGAGTTAAACATTCTACAGACCGCTTTCGAGGCCTTTTGTATCGTTTGGTTGAATTCCACCTTACCGCCTGAGGGTAGTTCTGCCAGACATACCCCATTTTCTATTTCTCTACGGAGTACTCTGTACTTAGGGATATTTATTATTTGCCACCTTCCTTCAGTGTGACTCGTCACTTCTACGAACCCGCCACAGTCCGCGCTGCCTACCCTATTCAGTCCCTTTTTCACGCCAGACATGAGACAGCCTTTTTTCCTTACACTATTTATTACGCAATTGATTTCATATACGTACGCTATCTACCTCGATCTATATTACCGAAGCCGCCTTACAACCGAAGGCTTCGTTGGCTTTATTATGAATTGACATAGAGGGCCTCGGGAGTAGATAGAAGGATAAGGAACAGGTCATACAAGCGAGAGCTAGAGTGGGTCTGTACCCCCGTGCTAGTCTACCAACGAGTTCCATGAACCTATGGGTTGCAAATGAAACACAGACATGTTCACGGCATCATTATGGTATGATTGTTGGACCAAGCGGATAAGCGGGATAGTGGAGACACAATGAGGGGTTTTCTCTTCGCATGGCTTTTTACTTTTGTTGAATTTCGTTATTTGTTTCGGTGCTACTCTTTATGACTCCTTTGCCTGGTTGGTGGTGGGGACGGGCACACCACGTCCACAAAATCTATGTAGGTGCTAGCTTATTGGGCAGGAGATCTCCGACTATGTCTGTAGCCAATTGTGCTCCCATCCCACTTCCCGATCGCCAGGGGAGATGCAGTGGGGCTTTACTCTCGCCCTATAAACAATAAGGTCTAGATCTCCAATGGTTCACGCCGATCGACGGAACCAATAGCTAGGGGATAGATGTAGGTTATAATGGGGAAAATTCTTGAGAGCAATACTAGCTACCAATCAGCTAATGAGCAATTGCACCACTTGGCGCTTTTACTTTACTTAATTGTATATATTTGAAGAAGATAATAGTTATTACTTGTGGCTGACACTGGCTCAGGCTGTCGTATTTACATCAACACCAAGCAATTTTTCGAGTAAATTATCTTAAGGTTATCTGCGGAGAACCTTAAAAGCCCGAACATCCCTTAAAAAGCCCGATGTTCGGGCTTCTAAAAACGATTGTGGATGTGTCAATGAGAACATCGATCTCCGTATGCGGTGTGATTGCATGTAGAGAAGTGGATAAGCGCCGTTGAAGTGCCCTAATCTTGCATTGGCACGAGTCAGAATCCTCAACAGATCCAACTATTGAGAATACCAACGGATTTCTTGGTACCGTTTCCTATACATACCGGTCCGGTACACGATGGAGAGTATGCAGCGCAGCCACCCGCAGCAAAGCAACAAGCCCTTCCTGTAGACCAATAACGTGTGTTCTGCATACGGTACCTCGATATTTTGTGCACTTTTCATCTTCCTATACAAAATCCCAAGCATTTCCCAGGATGCATATTGCTATTTCTGAGTACTAGTACGTACTATATTCCTCGGAATCAACATTCTTTATTGTTACTATTAGCTCAGAATGTTGCGTAGCACTTATTATATGCCATTGCGCTACTTCATACCGTTCAAATCGAAAGATTCAAATATGCTGGGCCGATCACATCGTCACTGACCTATCACGCAGATCTATTGAATTTACCACACATTACTCCGTACAGATGTGTGTTCTCCGTACCTAGCTAGGTACCTAGAGCCTACGCAAAGAAGTGGATACTATGGGATTTATACATTTTACAACATAAGATTAGTCGTTGAACGCCTCAAATCTTCAAGCTGATCTATCCGCTATTCAAACCCCGCTTCTTCATGGTGTAACATAATATAGTCATGAGACATTTATTTCTATCTTGCATCTGGGCAGCCAGTTAACAGTCTTCGACGATCTAGGCGATGAGGGGCAAGGGAATAGTTAATGCAGATTTTCAATAGCTGCGTAGATCTCCTAATGTTGTGGATCGTTTGTGTCTTGGATTCGGAGGGCAAAAATGCTAATAATTAGTAGTCAACTGCGTAGAATACACGGAGTACTCCGTAAAGCTGATCTAAATCAACTAGGGCTACCCTTTCCCACATGAGACCAGGACATGGTTTGTCTGAGCATAAATACCACGCCAGCTCCCTCCCATCATGGTATCAATCTGAGCATCTTCTGCCTCAATCCTCCTTCATTTGCAATTTCGTCAATATTCCTGTCGGAACCACAGCCTATCCACTCACCTGATACGAAAACACCATGAAGGTTTCAACTATCCTCACGGTAGCATTTGCGAGCGCCGCATCTGCGGTTCATTACGGCATCTATTCAGTCAAGGAGGAAGGTTGGTTGGTGCAGTACCCGAACAATAACTTCCTAGGCTTCGATGCCACTACCATCAGGCCTACGAAATGGACTATCCTCAATCAAAATAACGATGGAGATGTTTACTTTCAGAGCGTTGCTACTGATGACTTCATCAATTGCGACGTACCACCGATATGCTCGCGTGATAAGCAGCCTGTGGTCTATACCATGGAAGGCGCAAAAGAGGATGGGACAGAACTCCCCGATGACACCTACTTCGTCCGAGATGCACAGGGTGACTGCGTCTGGACTGCCTATGATAATGCTATGGTGTGTGGAGAAGCTACGGACGCGGAAAACCAGCAGTTTAGGATCATCGAGATCTGATGACTCTTTCTGACTTGAGTGGTACGTATTATTCTGCGAACCGCATACATAGTATATATCACTAGGTATGGACTTTCGACACACAGTATACTAACGCAATACCAAGTCTAGATTAGACGGAATACCACTAGTCGCATGCTCCCAGAACGGAGGTGATCTCATGACTTGGTGGCGCGTTGGTCCACTACCTGCTGGGTGTATCTGCTTCCTGTTGAATTTGTGTTGTTGAAACTGCAGGTTCATCCGATCAATGATCAATGGAGAGGGAACAATCTCCAGGTTGCTAAGGCTATATGAACTACGTTGAACCCTGATATTTGTTAACTCCGAGATGCTTTGTTTAATTGAATAACCTTGTATGATGTGACGAAATGCATCTTTAAATACGCGTCTGTCGTGGATGCCCACAAGCCCTGTAATTTAAAGAACAGGCTGGCCGATAGGTTGTTCATAGGCTAGCAGTGAGCTAAGTCAAGGCCCACCAGTGCGAAGTGAAGATCTTAGAAATCCATCATCATCACAGTGAAAAGCAACACTGTAAATAAAGATTGAAGAGGAAGATGGGGCAAAGCCCGTTGCGTGGGAGCTTGCCTGAGAAAAGATTTCAGAGCTAGCGATGGATGTGATATCAAACCCTGTTCAATGTTGTCTGCTATGCTGTTTTACAGCGGTATAAATACCCTGTAACTTGATAGTTTCTGCAATACAGATCCAATCCTCTTCATCATCGCTCTCCCTCAACACATGCTAAACGCTGATGATGAGATTGATGGTTTGACTAGGTGATGACAGGATAAAGCGGAATGAAAGGGCGAAGAAGTCGAAGAATTGGAGGAGGTGCAAATTGTCAGTTGGTGGTGAAGAAAGATTTTATATATGTGCGGAGGGGCAGCAAGTGAGAGAAATATGACTATTCTCTGGCAATCTCCCCTCTGTGATGCGCCTCAAATTCGGCAGTCTCCTAATCACCACGAATCCTCAGGCGATGATAAAAATGACTTCATCCTATTGCATATGAGCCGTTAAACGATTGAAACCCTATTCAATCTAAACAATGAAGCAATTACCCTTACATTTAACTATCCCTCTTTTGATCTCGATGAGCAAATTCTCCTAATCAAGATACCCCGTCTCGCATATTCGTCAGCAATCAGTCCCGTAGGCGACGCAATCACGGCCGCTCTCTTATCAATCGGGCTATTTGGCCACCTACAGAAGAAACATTGGCGCGACCATCCAAGGGGAAAGGAGAGGAAAGAGACATGACCATGGCTAGGGCCCTAGAATGCCACCGCCTGGTTATTCAACGCGGCCCTCGGTTGTTTTGGATGTTGCGCCGTTTGAGTTAGATTCAAAATTCACTTCTGATGCTAGATTCTGACTGAACCCCCCATATAAAACCCAAGGTTCTTGCCTAAAACTCTTAATGAAAAAGAAAAGAAAAAAAAGTGTAGTTGTAGTCTATCGCAGTCTTGGAATCATTTGTATACAATTTGGAAGAACATTTAAACGCGCTCCACCCCGACACTGCTAGCAATTTTGTCGTCTTCCTGCTGCTCAATCTGAATATTTCCATAAGCCTTGATTTCCGCCGCCATCTTCCTCGCCTGCTTAACTGGGTCCCCGCCCCGTGTGAAGATCAAATCGATATCCTCAAGCCGCAGGTTGCTAGTCTCGGGGTAATAGAAGTAGATAACAGGAACGAAAAGGAAATTTGTGATCATAAAGATCAAGTACGCTTTCCATTGAAGGCGGTTGATAATCACAGGCGTGATCATGACAACGGTGAAGTTCCAAAGCCAGTTGGAGCTAACACCGATCGCTGTTCCCTTAGTTCGGGCTTCTAGCGGCAGGATCTCAGGTACGTATACCCATGGTACCGAGTTGATTGACATGCCATGAATGAGCATGTACAGGAAAAAGAACGCGACAGATGCTTCGGCGTATGACTTTCCGTTTGGCTGCTTGACTTGGGAAAGCAATGCCGCTACCATCATCATGCATATTCCTAGACCTAAAGAGCCGATCATCATTGTCTTCCGGCGACCCATGCTGTCCAGTTTGAATGCTGGTAGGAGGGAACCGAGCATGAACATGATTTGGATGCAGCCACCTAGGATCAGGGAGAGTTGGCTAGTTAGTCCGACATTGGTTCTCAGCACAGCTAAGATTGGTTGGTTAGCGCGGATATTTCTTTAGCAAAAGACTTGATTACATACTCGGTACGAAGTATACAACCAAATTGATTCCGCCAACCTGGTTCATGAGCTGAATGCCCCAAGCGAGAAGTACTCGCTGTCCAGTCTTCACTTCGTCGTTCCGGAAGATCTTCCAGAAAGACTGCTTGCTAACAGAATCTTCCAATTCAATGGCGGACACGATTCCTTTATGCTCATTGACGATGAACTCGTCTTCTGGTGCACGATCATACACAGCACAGAGGACTTCCATGGCTTCTTGTTCCTGTCCGTGGTTCATGAGCCACCGAGGAGACTCGGGTAGGCCGAAGACTAGCACAATGACGAAGATGGCGAAAACTATCTGCATGGCAATAGGCAGTCGCCAGGCGATAGGTCCGCTAACAAACGACATGCCAAAGTCGAACCAGTATGCCACGACTATTCCGACGGCGGTGAAGAGAACTTCAGAGGAAATAAGACGACCTCTGGTTTTACCCTCGCACATCTCTGCCAGAAAGAAAGAAAAGTGATAAGTACGTATTGCTTGGGTATAAGACGACTCCACGGAATTAGATCTGGCTTACCGGCCTGGTACATGGGGACGGTGCTCGTCTTCAAGCCGGTGCCCGCACCAGTCACAATTCTTCCAACAATCAAGTGTGGCACATTGAAAGCTGTGGTCTGCAGGATTGCACCGACAATCACTACACCCATTGCAAGCCAAATAGTTCTTCGGCGACCGAGTGTTTCGCCGATGCAAAAATTAACTAGCCATGTCAGTCAACTTCCATCCTAATCAGATACTTCATATAACTCACTCAAACACCCGAGAAGACACCCCAGATTATAGCAACTGACAATGATACCCTCTTCCGAGTCATTGGGGTAGCCGAACTGTTTCCTCCAGTCTTCATTGCCGATAATGCCACTAAACACACCTTGGTCATAGCCAAACAAAACGAAAGCCACAAGACAGCAAGCCGTGACAGCGACCTGAAGGGATCGACCCCTTCCATACCAAGTACGCATGATGGGTGTAGAAAGTCGGAATCACAATCCGGGGTATAAAGTAGTCGATGCAAGGGGCTATGGAAAAAACCAACCACTTAGCCGGGGTCTTCGCGCCATGTTTATAGTCTGCAGAACATGCTCCACTACGTGCAGAGCCTGGCACCTTCTGTCATAAAGTTAACCCGCATCGTAGGCGACGAATAAAGCAGTCTCAACCAATCAAGCCAGGTTCCTGTGGACCCGGGAATTGGGATCTGGGGTATCTGGAGTTAGCCATTTACGCGGAGTTTGGGCAGGATGCATTTGTGTGGAGGACAAGGGTTGGCGCCACAGTCGGGGATCCGGAACCGGACAAGCCAACCGCACTCTTGCCGGTCGATGCCCGAGTTAACTTCAGTGACTCGGCAAGAGCCGACCGTTTGGTGGTTTAAGTTGCCTATTTGGGATTTACGGAATATTACTACTCCGAGATCATCCGGTATACTAACCTGATTAGGAACAAAGTCCAAATTAGGTATCTGCAACCACTGGCTCCACTATCCTGAGGTCTCTCGCTTTCAAGTTTACATAAGTATAGACTTCACCCGTGGACCTGGGCATGACAGTCGTCTTCTAGTATGATATAGTGGCTTAAGTTGATAATTTAATATCTGCCTAATATGGAGCTATCCTCAACAACAATAAGGCCACATTCTCAGAATAACTATATTCGATCTAAACTAATCATGTAGTCTAGTAAATAGTCTTGCTATAATGAATGTTAAAGTTGTGCTTGCAGGCAATTCATGTTCCAGAAGAGTGCATTCAGAATTTCAAAAAGGGGACGAGGAGGAATGGTATTGTTGCAGACGAGCATCCTGTTAGGGGCTAGTTAAGCTCCCAACCTTTGCGTAATCGCATCCCATCGAACCAATCCTGCACATATTCCAAACCCGCATGAGGACCATAAATTTCGGTTTCCCACTGAGGTAACGGGGCATCAAGTCCGGTCTCGCGCAAACACGCTTCGCGTAATTGCTCGAGGCTTCCTCCACGGTCATAGATGGACGATTCACTAAGGTGGCTACGTGCCATCCGCATCTGGGCCCGCAATGCCTCTGTCTCAACTTCATCCACAGTGAAATCGTCCTTGACAACGGTACCATACGCAAAACGAGCTCCCTCAATTGTGACCAGCTTCCGATGTACTTCCAATGCCACCTTTCTTGCCGGACGTGTCAAAGGATCACCCAATCCACCTCCACCCCAAGTCACCCACTCAAGAAGATCACCCGGATCGACACGAATATGATCACATTTTGAAGGCAAAATCTCTGTTGGAGGACTGTCCTCAGACTTAGAGTACCGGTAGAGCATTTTTCGCGATCGTTGTCCCGGCTTTCCACCCTTCAACCCCCATGGCTTGGTGAACCACCGGTCATCGTGGAGACTGAACTCCCCACGAGCCAGGAATCGGTATAGCGTGCGCTGAGCATTACCGCCCCGGTAGTATCCGGCACCACCACTATCAGCAACGCTCTCATTGGCTTCAATGCGCAACGGGTAGTTGAGCTCTATTATCTCTGTGGGAATGGATTTGATAGCAGGGAAGAGACAGTGGCAATCAGGTCCATCGCCGGCTTGTCGTGCAGGAACACCTCCAAATCCAATCTGGTAGAGCTGATACCACTCCCCATCCGGCTTAAAACCAGAGTAAAAGAAATGGGGTGAGTCACTGAATCCAGCTGCAGCCTGGTAGGAGTCTTGCTTTTGGCCAATCAGAGCTTGTACGATGTCCAAGGTGCGTCCAAGGAAGTGAGTGCGGCATGAGATTGGCGCAGGGCGAACAGGCTTGAGAACAGATCCTTGGGGGATGTGCACATCAATCAAGTCATGGAAACCGTCATTGATAACAGTACCCGGGGCAGCGGCTGCAATGAGGTAGTAGCCAATGAACATCTTGAACATTGTCTCCGAGAGATAGAAGTTGATACTATGCTCGCTCTGTGGGGAAGTGCCACTCCAGTCAAACTGAAGCCCGTTGCCCTCTACCCTTTTCATAGAGCAGGTGAGTGCCCAAGGTCCAACACCGTGGCCATCATCATCGACGAAGTCTGTGAATTTGCTTTCCAGATCATCAAATTGGCGCTCGATAATCTTTGCAAACCCAGTTCGGTTCCGGTACAGCAGCTCCGAGCAGGCAGCCAGGTATACTTCAGTGCCGAAACGGGTGGTCAGCTCTCGAACTCTGGTAGCAGCCATAGAACAGGATGCTACAATAGCAGTCAGGTCAGAGCGATACCATGCCGGTTGCCGAGAGTTTCGACAAAGAAGATCAACCAGATCCGTGTTCATCACACCACGGGTGTACAGCTTTATGCATGGAATCTGCACACCGTCATCGAAGACAGACGTCGCGTTGATTGACATACTTCCGGGAACGATACCTCCCACATCAGTCAAATGCCCAAATTGCGATGCGAAGCCAATGATCTGACTGTTGTGAAAGATGGGCAAGAAGGCGATAATGTCATTGAGGTGGCTGATGGCACCCTGCACTTGGTAGGTGTCGTTAGTGATAAACACATCCCCCTCTTCGATTGTACCGTCCCAAATATCGAGGAACTGTGTGATGAAACTCCCAAACTGACCAACCAGCATTTTGCCCTCACGGTCGGTTATTACGTTGAATTCATCCTGCTGCTCTCGAATAGCAGGGGACATGCTGCATCGTAGCATCATCTTGTCCATCTCGCCACGAATGGAGGCCAGAGTCGCGGATATCAGTGTAGGAATCAACGGGGTGCTCTTGACAAGCTCTTTGGCTGACTCGCAAGTGTGTGTGGTAGCAACGGTGGGCTTCTTTTCCACAGGGTTGATCAAGATATTTCCGATGTGATCGATTTCACCATAGTACCCAGGCAAGATGAGTGTGTTGCTGTCCATTTCAGAGATGATACACGGACCCGTTACTTGAATACCCTGCTTGCTAATCTTCTGGCGATCCCACAGGGTTGCCAAATTCTCCTCGCCTTGGACGATAATATTCTGCTCGCCAATCTTTGCATCTGGAGGGGGAATTGTGGCTTTGCCAACTTGAGGAATGTCAATACCAGGCGAGGCGTCTTCTAACACAACTCCCAGTCTCATCAATTCAAGTTCAAAGTCGGGTAAGCAGTAAGTGAACATCTGCTGATGCTGTTGATCGAACTTTTGTCGCAACACGTCATGCCATTTCTCAGTATTCAGGGCCAAGTCATCTTTAGTCAGAACAATCGTTATCATCAAAGCTTGACCTTTGTACCGAAGATCTGCTTGGTATTCAGTTTTCCATGACAAGGGCCACAGATCACCCGCCGTTCTCGATAAAGTATCCTGACACTCTTGCGCTAGCCTTTGGTACTGTTCCCGTGCCTCGACAACAGTGGTCCCGGAGACAATACGAATGAAGGTGGCAGATTGTTCGTGTCTAAGTTTAGTAGTCACATCACCCTGTGCACATAAGACTCCAGGCGAAGGCGGGATGATCACAGGCCAGGCCCCAAGAAGTTGACCGACGGCATTTGCATGCAGAGGGCCGGCACCACCGAAAGCGACCAGAGCAAATTCACGAGGGTCATAACCCTGCTCCACAGATACAAGACGCAAGGCACCATACATTGTCTCATTGATGATTGTGATTATATCCTCCGCTGTTTGGATGACCGGAAGCTTCATCCGGTTCGCAATATCCTCGACGGCATTTATAGCAGCCTGGACATCCAACGCGAACTCACCACCTAGCAAGGTTTTGGGTAAATATCCCAGGACCAGATTCGCATCCGTGACAGTGGCTTGCTTTCCACCTTTTCCATAGCATGCAGGTCCGGGTGCTGCGCCAGCGCTCTCGGGGCCTACCCGCAAGGTCTCCGTGAGCTCCATATAAGTTGTGATTGACCCTCCACCAGCCCCTACGGTCTTGATATCAACTGCGGGCGCTCGAACAGATAGACTCCCTACAACAGTCTCCCGTCGGAGCTGAGGCTGGCCATCGTAAATTAGTGCGCAGTCGGTAGAAGTTCCTCCCATGTCCAAGGTAATCAGATTCTTGTACGGAGTGCTCCGAGCCACAACATCTGCCACTCCCTTGACGCCTCCTGCAGGTCCCGACATGAGGATGTTGACCGGCAACTCAGAAGCGAGAGTCAGACTGGTCAAACCACCATCGCTTTTAAGAACCCGAATGGTTTCACTTTCTGTTGCAAGCGCCTCAGACAGATTATGCAGGTATTTCTCAACAACCGGCTTTACCAAGGTATTCGTGCAGGTTGTGACCGTCCGCTCATACTCTCCAACTTCACGCAGGACATCTGCAGAACAAATGATAGCGATATCAGCCCCCAGTTCCTCGCGGACTATTCTTGCAATGACTCGTTCGTGATCCTCGTTGCTATGCGAGTTCAGTAGCGAGATAGCGACTGCTTCTGGTTTCTGTCGCGCCAGATCTTTCAAACCCCGTCGTAGATCCTCGATATCAACTGGCGTTACTGTTTCGCCCTGCACGGACATGCGTTCTTTGCATTGAACAACTCGCTCAAGTGGTACTATAGGGTCGGGTGGTGTCCAGTGCAGCCATGCACCCAATCCACCTGGGATCTGGGAGCGACGCAAAGCCAATATATCCTTATGGCCAGCCGTCACAATTAACGCGGTGCGGGCGCCCTTCCCTTCAAGGACTGCATTTGTTGCGGTTGTCGTGCCATGGTGAATGAATTGGAAAGTCCCCGACCAGCCGAATTTTTCTTTGACCAATTCACGGGCTTTGGCGATACCCTGTTGGATCCCAATGCTTTGATCTGGTATGGTTGTTGGGACCTTTACTCGCACTGTTTGTTCATGGGAGGTGAACACGTAAACGTCTGTAAATGTCCCGCCAACATCAACTCCGAGTTGGTAACCTTTCTCTGAGGCTTCTTGCATGGTGAGGTTTTGATGTGTTTGGAGAATCGATTCGGGGGCGATGAGGGATCAGGGGGATGACCCTGATAAGGGAGTTCGGCATCAGTAAAACTCTTACACATGATTGCCTAAGATTTGCACTTGAAATTCACCAATGCTATCGCATCTTGGGTGGGCTTACCAGCTCGCTGTCATAAAAGAGGGGATGAAGTGTCGTTCTTTACCTTATTCGATTCAGTGGGGCGCATATTGCCAATAAGGTTGTTCATGCATAGTGGGTGTATATGCAACTAGTATGCAACTAGTATGCAACTAGACAGAAACTGCAAGCCAGGGGTAGTTTTTTGACATTGGACTTGTGTAGATTGAGTCTTCTATATGAACATGTGTCCATGGCAGTCAAATACAAACTCTGCTAGGTATATATACACTCAAAACAAGCAGAGATTATAGTCCGGGGAATGGTTCAACTCCTAGCGACTTCGAACTAATCTAATTCGCCCAGGTTTGTTCCTAGACTTTAGGAGAATCTACTCCGTATTGTATCTTGTGATAAAAGTACTCAAGTGGTTATGAAATCCCAATATAATCGAACCACTTCATCTTCATAGACATTAAACCTTGTTTACGTTCAACTACATAGTAGCGACATCAGTAGGGGGAAAGATATTTACTTTCAGTAGCATCGACAAGCTGTCAAAGGAAGTTCTCAGCCAATGACATACTCTCCGAATACTCGCCGGCCAACCTCACACACTAGTGCAATATGTAATGTTATCAACCATTCTTAATTTCTTATCCTTCCATCTCATTATATAGTATGCACGAACAGCATAACAGTGATGGGTGGTTTCCAAGCATTTCCAAGCCTTTTCAGAGCCGAACAACCGTTGAATGTAATGGAAAGCATTCACAGACTACGATCCTAGATCGACATCCGATGGACCCCTTGGGACCGGAATGTGCGACCAGAACACCAATTGAGAGGAGAGTAGATTTTATGACACTTCCCAGCCACTAAGTATGTATGACGCAGAAGTTCCCCTTCGAATTTCAATCGCGTTTCACGTCCGACGTCATAGTCGTTCCAGTTATTCTTCCCCGCCAACCCATCACGGTACTGCAACCATGGAATGAGAATGGTTATAAAGATTAATAAGATGGGTAAGATTAATCAATGAGATCTATGGAAATCCAGTGAGATTTTTCTATATTTACTATCGAAATTAATAAAGATGCACTTACTCTTGAATATATATATCTGTACTATGATAATCTGTCACCCCTTGAACGCCCCCCCCGGTACTAGGCTAGATCAGTGGCGGGCCGAGATCTTCCGAGGTGAGCTTTAAACTAGAACATGCATAAAAAGAATGTATTAATCAGCAGGTTTATGAGTGCCAATACTAGATTTATGCATAGAAATGGGCTTTATTGGGCTCCGAAGGTAGGGTCTATAGCCCACTGCTGGTTGGGCTATGGGCCTGAGCTCCGGGCCCAACCCAGCCCATTGCAGAGGTCTAGTCACAAACTACCCTCATATCATACCATTTGAAAATTCATTCCTCCGTCCACCGCTATACTTGAAAAAGATATTGAGATCTCACGACAAGCCCTTCAAGAGATTGTAGAGAGAACCTGGGATATTCAGGGCTTCTAAGGCTCTTCCCTTCGGAAGCCTGACTGGAATGGCGACAATTCTGGCTGGCAGTGGTAAAATAACTTGTTGCTTCTGTGATATTATTTGCTCGTTCCCTGTACTCGCTTCTACTGCTCCATGGATGGAAACTGTACTCTAAAAAAAAAGAAGCGATCAAGCAGAACTAACACGATAGAATCAAAATTCCACAGTTCCAACATTTGCCAAGTTCAGTCATAATTTATCAGACAGAGTTGTATCCATAGATGTATACAACTGGTGACGTTCTGGGATCTGTCGTTCAATTTGCGGAAGGCATAAATGCCAATCCCTAGAAATATGGACCACTTTCAAATATTCAACCATGATTCTACTCCTTTATTCAAATTGCGTATGACAGAATCTACTCCAAATGATCTATCCTCCAAACCTATACATGAGTCAACCGAAGACATATTGCGGGATAGGTCTAGGCCTTATGAAAACCAATTCTCCGCATAAATTTAATTAGGCCACGCCAAGTGTTATCAATCTCCCAATTAACCAAAATAAAACATTGGCAGTCGGTACTCCGAAGGGAATTCATTGAAGAAAAAATGTAATTGGCTGTGGGGGTGATAAGTATAAAACACGCTAGCGTGACCCCAACTAATCAAAGCAGCCATGGGATACGAACTGCCGAGGCCATCGTCCTTCAAGCCAATAAAAGTTCACACAGGAGTTAAAAATTAAAGTCAGCCATCACGGGAGGCAGTCGGGTGGCTTTAGATGTTTCAAAGTCTGCAAAACACGGGAAACTAAGGGGGTCACTGTAACTCTGCGATGTATACCCACAATCTACATGAAGTATTCCAGTTCCAAGGTTGGTGGCATTTTGCGAAGTCCCTAGGTGGACAGAAAATTATAAATCTTCAACATGCGCACTTCATAACCTCCTCAATTCAATCTCATAATCCCATAAACCAATCGCCACCATGTCCTTCAAGCTCCTGATCGCCGCCCTCCCAGCCCTGGCATTTGCCTGCACCGGCCCTGGAATCAACGACAACGGCCTCCAACTTATCAAGAGCTTCGAGTCCTTCCAGCCTAACGTCTACGATGACGGCTTTGGCAACCCCACCCTTGGCTACGGCCATCTCTGCGGTGACGCCACTTGCTCAGAAGTTTCATACTCGCAGCCATTGACCGAGGAGACTGCTAGTCAATTGCTTGCCGATGACCTGGTGGTAAGTCTCTACAAGCATCTCCCTCTTAGAAACATTAAATCCCATTATCTACGTGGGCGCTATGTATGGAATAAATGATCTAACACGAATAACAGAGCTATCAAGATGGCGTGACCAACGCCCTTGCCACCGCCGTCACTCTGAACGACAACCAGTACGCCGCGCTGGTATCGTGGACTTTCAACGTCGGCAATGGAAACATGGCATCTTCCAGCTTGATCAAGCGCATGAATGCTGGTGACGATGTGGGTACTGTGGCGTCTGAGGAGCTGCCCAAGTGGAACAAGGCCAATGGTGAGGTTGTTGCTGGGCTGACCCGCCGCCGGGCCGAGGAGGTGGCGCTGTTTGGCGAGGCTTCTTCCACTGGTGCTTTGCCTGTCGGCTGTTAAGTTAGGGATTTGTATACTATCTTTGATGGAGATATAAACAATGATGGCAGTCTTAAATTAATTCTTGATTACTAAATGAGCAAGCTACCTTGTAATTTCCCATGTTGTGACTAACTTTTAGATATATTAATTTTCTTCTCTCTTTTCGTTGCTGTCATGCTTCTTCCACGGTTACTTACTCTGTTAAGGCTATTTGGACCTAATATGCAGGCAGAGCAAAATGTTTTACGAGACAATGTTTGTAGCCGTGTATTGCCACTGTTGAATCACAGCTGATATTTACTCCACAATCTTTGTATCCGCAGCAAGGAGCAAACTATCCAATCCAAGCATTCTATAAGCGCCCCGTTCATCGTCATGGATGGGTTCAGGCTCAGGCATATTGTTAAGACGGCTTGTAAATCCATGAGAACGCAAAAGTCCAACAATCACTGGGTGAAACGATCAGGAAAAGCTGCTACCTGACCCGCCACCGGGCCAAGGAGGTGGCACTGTTTGGCGAAGCTTCTTCCACAGGTGCTTTGCCGTTAGTTGTTGAGGGTAGACCTCTGCAAAGCCCATAAAGCCCATCCCCCGGCCTAACCCAACCCACTAATTGGTTGGGATTTAGGCCCCCATTTAGGCCCATCAGGCACCAAACAATACAAAATATATGAAGTTGAACCTCTTTTTATTTATTTTTTTATTACGCTCTGTTTAGCACCGTTTCTCACTATTATACCTAAGGCAATATTTTATTAATTTAATAGTTTAGAATCAGTTACTGGTTATCTTTTCATATCACGTTTAAAAACGCGAAAAACGCGTTGGTCTAGATAGTTTAAACATTGAAGGTTACAGATGTTTATAAGAAAGTAGCGGTACTCCCGTATAAATCTAAAATATATATCTGATATCGAAATATCAATATCAAAAATTTCCCCAATATTTCGACTTCCGGTGATTAGATTTCGCTTAAAATTAAAATGTATACTTATACAGCTACTACTATTTAGTACTTTAACCTTCAACTCTATACGATCAGTGGAAGGTTGTAATACAGCAATTACAGAAGCCAATTACTTAGATACCGATGGGCTTCAAAATGGGCCGTGGCCCACTGCTGGTGGGGCTATAGGCTTTGCAGAGCTCTAGTTGACGGACTTGCATACTATCTTTTTGGTATAGGCTATGATAGCCTCAATTTTGTTGTAAATGTTGATTCATAAATCCGCCGCTAATAACTCCACAATCTTTGTATCCACAGCAAACCATCCAATCCACAGTACTAGGTAAGCGCCCCATTGCCACGGATGGGCTTAGGCTTAGGCATGTTGTCAAGACGAATTGTAAATTCATGAAAAGCAGAAGTCCAACAACCATTGCAAATTAATGATCTGAATCGTCTCCTCACTCCCCCCAGCTAGTGTAGACAGAGTGTTAAAAAACATGCCTAGAATTGCATAATTTTTCATATCGAATCCAATCAACCTTGAGCTGATATTTGCTCTTTGCTCATGAACTACTGAAGCCAATGTAGCTTTCTTCAGCCTAATGTTACCATTAGCCCGGTCAACGCCAACAGCCCAGCCGGGCTAGCTCAATCGGTAGAGCGTAAGACTCTTAATCTTAAGGCTGCGGGTTCGACCCCCGCGTTCGGCTATTCCTAAAACCAAACCTGAGATTTTTTTTTTTTTATTTTTGCCTAGGTGGTAGGGACTAGGCCTTCGTATGGGGACTATGAGTGGTACTGACTCTTCAATAATTATTGGGTTGTCTATGTATATGAGCAGTCACAAATATCCTGGACCTGGTGTCCAAAGAATTGAAAAAAACGGGGTCAGGCAAAGAGCTTCAACAAGTTACTAACGACTCTTTGATCTGGGGCCAGTACCTCGAAGCTCATTCATCACATAAAAGATTCGAGTGCTCTCAAACCGCATTATATCCCTTCGTAGAGACATTGGTGATGTCGCTAATGATGAACTGTTTCTATGTGTTGGATTCCTGCCGAAGATTCCTTCCTATCCAGAAAGTGCATTTCCTATGGGAGAAATTTGATTTGGAAGCTAGCCTCCTGCAAGTCATAGTGTACATAGAAGTCCCAGGAGCATACTTTCCAAGAAACCTATAAGCCATGGTTTTTGAAACCAACTTCCACCGGAAAGTAACCATCTAACTCACGAATCCAGGTGAGTGTTGGGAGTGATCTGTCTACAAAGTATCTACAACACATCTATATCCATGTATCAATATGGAGAGAGATAGCCGCAGGGGTATCCGACAAAAAGTGTAATTAGATGCAAAGAAATGATGTACTGCCAGTCACCGGTGGAAAGGTCCCGCCCATGTTACCCAGCTCTACGAGTTCAAGACATCTCTCATGTCCTTGAATGAGAGTGCCGAAGCCAGGTATGGTCGACCTTGGTAATGATTTGGGTATAGTCGCATAAAAGATGTGGTGTGAAAGAGGCAAAGACGCAAAGATGTCAAGATGCAAAGATTTAGAGATATGTGAGAGATGTAATTGGAGAGATGAGTTGGGAAAGATAAAAAGTACGAGAAGGAGCAGAGGTCGGGTGGAGGAGATGAGATGAAGAGTTGAAACGCGAAATGCCAGGACTGAATTTGCTTCACTGAATCTTGACTTTAGCTCTTCACTCTACTCCAGCTTCTGAGTTATCAACTTCAGAGGTCATCCTTCTTTTCGGATACTTCTATGACAACATTTGCTCTTTAGTTATGGAGATTCTAGCTATTGAAGATCTTGTAGCCCCAACAACTCCCCCTCGGGTATCATCGAGACTATGGTAGTCTCCCCGCCCGAAGTTGACAAAAATTGCCGTGAGAACGTTGACGGGCGTCAAGAGGCCAAACATCATTACAACCAACATGAACTTGAGGTTGCAGATCTCCCAATTGATGAGCTTCAAAAACCCAAGAATCATCGCGAGACGGACAAGATTAAGGCCCAAAAACTTCTAGATGATGGACAACAAGACCCCAGACAGCACGACAATCCGGACGGCCCCAAAGTACCTAAGCTTTCGCTGGATAACGAGACACCGCAGCGTTCCTACAATTACCAGATCACAAAAGCTTTGAAAGCACTTGCCGATAAAGTATCTGTCTTGTGGAATACGGGACTCAAGTCCAGTTCAGATGCGGCTACGAGGAGGTCCCAGTGGTGAGTGAATTGGAATCTTCTACTATGATCAAGGGACGACTCTATTAATAGAATTCTGATAGGTAGTCGAATGGGCAGTGCCTGACGAGCAGTTGTCGCTAGCTTCGCAAATCCTGATCGAGAACCACTTTCCCCGCCTCTTCACTGGAGCACAATCTTGGTTTGGGTACTGGGAAACCGGATGCCTGCGACATGACTTAGATGGTGCAGGCTGGATGTGTGCGCATCTTCTCCCGCTGTCGTTGGTTGGTTTTACACTTGAGGATACATCTGAGGTCCCCTCGATGTTCGCCTCCGAAATCAGAATTCTCACTCCAAAGCCCCCTCGATACATGCTCTCCTTAATTCACCACCTTCGAAAGCTCCGAATAGGTGACGCTAGCCGATTGCGAGTTGAAAAGGACCTCTTAACTTTCATATCTTCTTACATTCTTCATGGTCCGCCTGGAAATATCAATCTCGAGCTTCTTCATCGCCTCGTCGAGCAGCAGAGCAATGAATAATTATTGGCGAAATTGGATGAAGGTGTCAAGTTCATAAAGAAATGGGACTGGGGCAACGTGGAGGAAATGGACCTGGTTCTTGCTGAACGTGTTGTTCGAGATTGCCAGTACGTCGGAAAGTTGACGGATGTCACCCGGGATCCCGCAAGCCCTTGCACGACCCCAGAGCCCATCTCACCCGTTGAGTAATTTGTGAGCGATCGTTTTCGGCGACTCTTTCGACCCTTCAATTTTCCACGCGATGGAACTACAATGCGGCTTGGTTTCATCCTATCTAAACTCATTCAATTTCATTTCATACGGCATTATTCATCCTTTTCATTCCATCTTTGACCTAACTAAACAAGATTGATACATAGGTCTAATATCAAAATCAACAAAACTCGCGCGTATTCATTTCATCGTCTCCACGTATATATTCGATATGCTCAATCTAAACACATCCTTCTATGTTTTGTAGATTAGGTCGAGCAGATGGGGCTTTATACCCGAGATATCAACGGTGTAGAGATATCATAGAACTAGATATATTCAAAGGGCAATGTTGTTCTCCGTCGAATAATGCTAGAATGTCTTTGACCTGCCTCTACTACCGCAAGGTCAGTCAGCGGCATTATAAGCGGGTGATCTTGCGCTTTGATGACCGTAACAGAATCCTGCTCCTACGCATGCCCTAATTGTAGAAGTGTTGATTCATCCCATCGGGCAATGACAGGAAATATTCCAAACTTGTAAGGTTGTAAGACGGCATTCTCCATGTCGGCAATACGAGACCAGGCCATGATGTTCTCTACCCACGGGACTTCGAACCTCTCGCTACGTAGCTATACTAGTTACTTCCCACGGGTGTGCCTCCGCAAAGAGTCCATTCAAGCAGCATATGGAGAACCAGTAGTTACCTAGGATCGCTGGAGCCATAGTAGTGTGCGGAGACGAGGAGAGTGTCCCATTAGTTTGAGTGAAGGATTTGGCGGACTTCAGATCCCTTCGCTAATGGGCGTTGCAAAAGCTGTTCAGGTTCCTCATCGGTTAAATCAGTAGTTCCGGTCTCTACAGACCTTACCTGGTTGTAAGTACATGGCCAGCTTCAGTACCATCGTGTGGTTTGGGGCAACGGGATGGCCATGAGAGGTTCGTCCGATGGAAGCTGGCAATGAAGGCAACCATCGGGGGCTTGGCTCCTTGGGAGTAGTCATGGGAACATTAGCTTTTAATGGAGGTAGTAATTGTGGATTATGTGACGATGGCGATAAATTTTCTGATTTTTGGGGTATCAACCCTGCTGGTTGCGATGCTGTTTGGTAATGTCTCTCGCCATACATGACAAGAGGTACCGAGCAAGACACTTGGCATAGGAGTTCGATAAGAAATGACAATTTTCCGAAACAGGCTACCTACGTAGGTATTTACCGTGCTCATGTAACATAGACGTCATCCTGCTGTCTCAGTATAGACAAAAGTAGTAAAAGTTCCTCCTTCAATTTTTGTTTTTCCTTTCTAAGCACTGCTCTTTCCCTGAAATTCGAATGTCTGATACAATGGCCGCTCCTTCTTCATCTCCTCCATCCTCGCCGGGCAACACTCCCCTAGGACGGGTCATAATAGATCCCTACCCCACAACAAGCCTGGAGTTTCGTTATAAAAATCTTCAGCAATGTATTGACGATATTTCATCAGCGATGACCAGTTTCACGGATGGTTCTCGAGCTGATGGATCGTGGATGATTTTTTCCGGCGTTGATGAACGTGCATTTGAAGATATCTCCAACTCCGAGAACGCGATTTTATCAATCTGTTCAAAGTTTTTCAACCCGACTGGAAACCTACTCATTTTCAAAATGGAGTCCCTATGGCACAGTACAACAACCATGGCTGTTACTAGATGGATTGACCGAACGGCGCATGCAATGAATGTGGAATCCGAAATGCTCATTACTGGAACGGGAATTCACAAGCTCTCGGTGCTGGATGAGGATGGCCGGCCTTCGGTGTCTGAGGGAAGCGTCAGCACGATCCAAAAAAAAGCCGACCAAACAATATATCCATTCACCTGTCCTACCTCTCGGCCAATGAAATGGCCATCGTTCGTGCTTGAAGTGACATACACCGAACAGAGAGCCAGAGTCCAGGAAGATATGCGGTTGTGGCTAAGAGCTACAGAAGGGCAGGTCGAATTCGCGATGACTGCTAGCGTGCAACCGACTAGCAAACGAATCACACTCGAGCAGTGGGAGCTGAAACCTCAGCCCACCAGAGACCACCCCAAGCGACTTATCGCACACCCAGTTCAGAAAATGTGGATCCAAAAACCACGACAGACTGGCCAGAAGCCTATTGTCGGCGGGAGGTTCGAAATTCCGTTCCGGAGCATCTTCCTTCGAGAACCACAAGGTAGCGAGGCTGATTTCCTCATGACTAATGAGGAAATTGAAAGGATTGCTCGGGATGTATGGAGGGTAGACACGATCATCGACGCCAATAGATAGCAGTAGAATGATGCCGGTGTTTGAAAAAAATGTAGCATGACTAGGCCGTATAAGTGGCTGATTATTATTCGTGCCAATGATGTGTTGCTAGTAGCACAAATCTATTTCTTGGCCGTCATTTCTGAACTTTTGCCTTCCCTGTTGAAAACCCAAAAGTATGAATTAAGATCGACTGAATCAAATTATCATAGGAATGTTCAAAATATTAATATATACACAGAACAAAAAGAATAGTTTCCCTGGGAATCGAACCCAGAACCTTTCCGGAACATCTGCTAGTCGCATTTGTTAACGGAAAATCATAACCGCTAGACCAGGAAACTGTTTGATGGAAAAAGAGGGAGATTTGAGCATAATGAACGGACTGGAGTACAATGAATATTCAGGTCAACAATTTCCAACAACAAAGGAAGCGATAAGAAAAGGCAAGGGATTAAAAATAGACAAAGAAAAAAAAAAAGTTCGCTCGGTCGCAACATCGCCCCGCCACGATAACAGAGGTTGATAACCCCAACAAGAAGAGTGAAGAACAACAGAAGAAGAGGCCCCCGAAGGACATCTCCAACCTCACACCGATGGCAAAGTGACTGAAGAGAAGTAAGACAGAGAGCTTGAGGGGAGAGGTTGATGGAGAAGTCAGAGTAGTTAGGAGGTATACTACCGGACGCGGTTGCTCCAGGGAGAATGACCATCGGATCTTCAGTTTGAGTATCCACTGGCGATCAAAAGTCTGATTTCATTTTATGAAATATCGGGTATTATACCAGAAGGACTCCCATATACCAATATAGGGGTACTCTTCAAATCTAAAATTCCAAAGAGTTTTTGCCGAATCATCAAACCCATATCCATTGGAACTGGTAGCCCCAATATGCTGCAGTAAGGATGGGACCACCGCCCAGCGTGTCCATCCCTCTTGATCTGCAATCTTCTCTACCATCATATCCACCAGCCAATTGGTCACCAGGTCTGTCCGCTCGAGAAAGTCGGGTATGATAGAGCGAGGAAACACAAGACCCTGCGAACAGCAACCGTATCTGTTCATCTCATGGATGCCGGGATAAATGGGCCACATTGTCTGTCTCCCTGCCATAAAGTGGAGTGCGATAGCGGCGGGGATAAAAACACAGGACGTGGTCACAATCGCACTTGCTGGAAACGTCTTCAGCTGGTGCTTGAATACTCGTTTGGTAGCCACCATCATCCCCGTAAGCAATGTCCAAATCGCGAACGACCAAGCCAAGTATCTGGGTCACTCCTCCGAATTCCAACCAAGGAGGTCTTCGACGTAGAACAGACGCAGGTATATCCACCTCCCATTCGCGGTCCGTTGTTCGACGCCATCGAGAGCCTGTAAGACGGATGGGAGCCAGCCCTTCACTGCTAACGTATCGTCCTCGATTATCGCCACATACTGCGCGCCCGTACTGTAACAGTCCTGCAACAGACGTGTATAGTCATAAATCGTCTTATTTCGATACCAGCCATCCTCCTCCCCATTTTTTATACGCTCAAGGTCGGGATCGTTTTGTCTGTATGTCAGTACGCGGCCTGGCAGTGTCTCGATCCATCTTTCCGAATATATTGGATGTTGCGATGGCTCTGCGTTGCCGATGAGAATGTTCAGGAATATGCTCGCTCTCTCTGCCTCGGTTAGGCCGGCTAGGAGGGAGGCCACTGTCAGACCCACATATTGCTCTCCTCTCCGACGGACAGTTGCTATTCCAACACAGATTGTAGGGACTCCGTTCTGTAGTCTTGTTGGTTGATCGATGGTACCAGCAACACGCAAAAATTCCTCCGCCTCTGTAATTCTCCTCGATGAATATCGCCGCTCGAAGGCCCGAAGGGGGTTGAAAAAATAGGAGGTGGGATCTCGATAGCTAGCGAAATGATAGTAGGCGAGGGGGAGAGAAGGTAAAGAAGGGAGAAGGTGTAAAATAAGATGCCGGTCTTCGACCGAGAAATTCTGCCAAAGGGACGAGGGTGCAGGAAAGTAGCCATGGCCACTTCCACTTGTTCGAGCGAAAGGCATATGGGGAGAGATAATTAGTTGGGTCGGCGCGCAATAACAAGAACGTGTGTCGGGTGGTTACAGGGTTCAAAAAGAGAGGTGTATCAAGCTCAGAGCGAACAAAGAGTGCCAAGTATTAGGAATGACGTGTATCTGTAGCCTATCGGGGGCGAAGGTTATGTAGGTTATAAAGGGGAAGATCTAAGATGGAGATCCGGGGATCATGTGGGCCAGGAACATTAGGGTGGACCAATGAGAGGGGGATGATGGGGCGAGGTGACCCGCAGTTCGTAGATCTAGAGATGTACAGTAGAGACCTCGTGAACATTCAATCTTCCCAGTCTTCAATCGATTCCATATCATAGTGGTCGAGGTTACGAAAGGACTCCTGTTCAAAGCTATACAAAAATTTAGCCGATATCGTGAGCATAATTAAGTACGACCCTTTTTATCATGAAAAGACATGTTTGCTTCGAGTTGTTTGTTTGTATTTTTAACGTCGTGGAAAGAGATTAGGTGGGGCTGGAGGGCGCTACATATTTTCCTGAATGTCTGAAATATCCCATGGGGTATATCGAAGGACTACTATGAAATTACGTACAAACCCCTAGGCGGGGTGCCTAGGTGACGTTCTACCATTATACAACCTTGCCGGCAGAAAATTAAAAAAAGATAGAGATAGCATGTCCTGGTTTCGATCCAGGGTCCTATTGAGAGTCAGTTTGATGTCCTTGTAACTGATTTGGGGGTGAAACATACCTCCGGGTTATGAGCCCGGCGCTCTTCCACTGTGCTAACATGCTGGGTTGTTGAAATACTAGGTAATAACACTATTATATCACGCAGTGTTGTACACATCCCGAGATACTAACCTATTAATTTAGATATCTTCTTTATACTAGGGCCAGTAAAATTGCATAAAAGCTTAGAAGCAATTTAGGTTGAAGTCGTCCAAGTCCTTACTTGGTCTTTATCTTGTTGACTCTATGTGCCTCTACTAGCTCCCTAAAATGTAAACTGGCCCTTTAGGTTAGAAAGTGTATTTTTCACACAAATCTAGGAGGGCAAGGATAGCTGGCTTTGTATCCGGTTCTTCGGGTTAGGGAATATTCTTCAATACGAAAAGGATTCTTTTCCACTTTTTGATAACGCACCATTACTACAACCAACCGAACCTAATCTAAATTGTTGTCCTTTTAGATATCGAATCAGCTAAGCTATAATACTGGTTAGGGGGATTCTTTCGGAGACGCTGAGGACATGGCAGCTGTTCTCATAGAATGCCGTAGTCCAAGTACTGAGTCATATCCATGTGTTCTTGTGATGTACTATTTAGACTGTTTCCAAGGTTGAATGTTAGTTAGGTAAGACTTAAGGTAGTGGGATCAACAACCATGTTTCATTGATCACAAGGAAAACAAATGTCAGGTCATCAAACGTCATACCGTAGGCTGGAATTTCCCTTGCCAGCTTCTGTGTCAACATGTAGATTTTCTGACACATGATGGTATGACGTCTCGTTCACATCAAATTAGACATGATAATCCTTTTGCTGGTTTACAATAAACCACCAATCTCTTCATATGCCCTCATCCACCCGCGGGTTCTCGCCAGCAAGAACCCGCCAATCTCCGAATTGTTTCATCCCCCCCTCCCCATCCCCCTCCCCCTACCCCTTTCCCTTCACCACCACCCCCACACCCACCCCCTCACACGCACCCACAATGTAGGTGGTGTAGATGGTGTAGGTGGGTCCTCCTCCACCTGGACAACCTCCCGCAAGGGAGAACGCAGACGCCGGAATTGAGCTTGGCGGCGGCGGGCGCGTTGGCGCGACATCCGCGGGACGCTGCCAAACTTGTGCTTGGCAATTTGTTGCCTGCACACGGCGAGCTGCTCGTTGACCTCCCGTTGCATTTGCTGCAAGCTGCGGTAGGTTACCAGCAGCTTGCGGAGGTCGCCCAGGGCAGGCTTCTGCTTCTTCCTCGCCTGAGAGAGATATGTTAGTATCTTGGAGAATATAGTTAAAGGAGGAGTATGGGCTTACCCGCGAGGAATCGGCATCCGCCGCACGCTTTCTCTTCCTCATGCCTGAAGACTGTTATGTGTTAGAACTTGTGCACGTCTGTGGGAATTGGGGTGGAGACTTACCAATGAGGGGCTCTCATACTCACTGTCGCTGGCATCCATGTTTGGTATGGATGCGAAGTGAGATGTGAATGTGAAAGAAAGGAAGTACGAGTAAGGTGGAAATTATCTGTGAATTTATACTGATACTGCAGGCACCACTATTAGGTCTGTGGTTGAATAGCTATTGTGTCCATTATGTAGGTAATGAATATAGGATGCCGCTAAGTGAATAAGAATGACTTTCCTAATTAGCGAGGAGAATACCGAAAATTAATAGAGGAAGACAATGAGAGAACATGTCTGAAAAGACAATCCCTTAACAACATTGAATCCTATTGAATCGGATTGTTTGCCTAAAGTGAACAATGTATTCAACTTTGAACTGAGACTGAAGACAAATTAAAAGCGACGAATAGTGATTTTGATAAAAAAGTAAGAGATAAGTAATCGAGAAGTAAGCAACTCACTAAACGTAAATGAATAGAATATGAATAGTCATATCGAGAGTACTTTCGCATATATATCTACCGGTCTATGCTCTACAACAACCCATTCAATACAATATCTCCGCCTTTTCAATTGTATCATACTGCTTGCACTCAAAAGCAAGGCAGAAATGGACTCAATTATGGTGCCTATTGAATGCTCCAATGAACCCCCATGGTGAGGATCGACGGGGAGGGAGTGGAAAGGAGTCATGGGATTCCCCAACAGGTGATCTAATCCAGGTCACGATATCGACGGTCTTCCCACGCCAGTTGTCTAACTGGTGGACGAACCCACTCCCAGCCACGTGTTGAGGAACCTGACCGAGACCTATCCGCCTTCCGCGATACATCGGGACGCTACTCCGGATACCTCCTGCGTGAGTTGAGCCTTGCGCGAGCATACTAGCATGATCAGACCGTGGAACTCATCCATCCCATGAGACGGTGACCACCACTTTGAATGGATGATTTTCCACTCAGAGGACCATCAAACCCCCGACATGCCACTCCACAAGGATATTGCCCTCGACGATAGCAAAAACCTCCACCTCCTGCCGAGATCAGACTGTCAGATTCGAATCTCTTACTTACTGTCATACCGAAAACAAACCATTAGGCAGTGGAACGCTAAGCCTGCAGACTTCAACACCGAGTGGTAGTAAATGTGCTACCAAGGCGAGCTTTCCTCAACCACCTCCTTCCTTGGTGCGTGTATTACAAGAAGACACGGACTCTAACAATAAGCATAGAATATCAACATCACAACTGAGAGACGCGGGAGATGCGTTGAGCGAGATCCCGGAGATCACTTGGTCGTCTAGTGAGGAGTGCTATAAATACTCGTACTGGAACGTTCGCGCCAGCATCTCAGTGTCCACCCTGTTACAACCTGCCCCTGGACTGGCGAGCTACAACCTAGGCCAAAACACCACTATATCTGAGCATTATCCTTGGATATTCTAGGCTCCGATATATATATAATGCATGACATGACACACCCTAGGGGGTGAACCGTGGAGCGTTCCAAATCCCCGAACTGCAGGAACTCACACCATATATCTAGACCTGTTGATCTTTGTGAGGAGTAAAGTCTTTGTCATTTAACACGGACTATTTAATAACATATGATATAGTCGACATCATCCATCACTCCGTCCCCATCCTGACAAAACTAAAGGCGTGGGAGAGTGAGCTGGATAACCCATCATTGTCTGGGCTTTTGATTCACCTGGTCATGGAGACTGGAGATTATCATCTGCTGTGCGGAACACCACCTCACCACTATATGTGGTTGTTCAGCCGGTCAAAGCAAAACCTCGTATCCTCGGCGAACTATGCCCGGGTGAGGCTCATGCTCCAACACCCCTTTCGCTAGAGCTGGATCCGGATCTCGAAGGTGTCTCAATTCCCTTGTGGGTGGACGTGCTAGCGCGGTGTCGTCTTCATCATGCCCATGAAGACGATCGGTACGAACTCTTGCATATAACGCGGAGGAGTCTTTGAGGATATGGTGACTGGTGATCACCAACCGACAGCCAAGATCCTGGCAGGATTTAGCGCAGTAGGGAGCCTTTATAACTTCGTCACCTATCGATGGACAGTAGTAGAAAGATTTCCCGGGATTGGGAACTCGCGCCCACACGTGTAGCTACCATTGTCGACATCAGCTACGACGACCAACCAAGCCGCAAAAAGATGGTTACAGAAGAGCAACTCAAGAAACAGTTGTGGAGACTTAAACTGGCAAGACTCAACCATGGCTTCATGGATTGGGAACTTGCGTCCCCTTCCCCCCCAATTACTTCTTCTTTTTTCCCACCATTCTTTTTCCCATTCCCTCCAATTTCGCACAAGTCATTCTGACCGGCCTTCAATTTTTCTTAGTCGTCACCTCTACTTTCCCAAATAGACCATTTGACACTCGTTAGATTTTACTCTTCTCTTGCTATATCTACCAAACCATTATGGCGTCCACTTAGCAAAGGGCACTACCCCGATCGGGCCGGTCCATCCGCTCGAAGGGTTCCATGATCATTTCGATAACATACTGTGTGGACGGTCTGACACAAGCGGAGAAGAGCTCGTCATTTTGCAATATCAGAAGAAAGATTAATATACGATGAACCGTTAATGGTATTGTTTGAATAGATCATATAGATCGTGGTAGATGTCTAAAATGGTATCGCTAAAAACTCCGTCTAAAGGTATGAAATGAAAACCGAGACGCTAAATGACGCTGATAACCCGAAGTAGAAACAAAAGACAGAAGCATAACATATATCCCAGCAATATGTTCATGTAAATGCAAATAAATGACTAGAAGCTGAACAGACCAGTGCGCTTCTTGCCGTACGGATAGACAACCAAAGCCGCGATAAACAGTCCGACAGTGATACCAATCGCGACCTGGATCATGCCGAAACCAAGACTGGCGACTGAAGTTTCAGAACCAGCACTGTAGGCCGCAGTAGTCCCGTTATTATCGAGGTTCTGCCGGACTTCGTCGGCGTATCTGATACCAGCAATCAAAGAACCACTAGAAGCAAGGCCTGATGGAACTAGCACAAATATACCGGGAAGAATAGCTGTGGCGGCATGGCCGTGCCAGAGACGACTGTAGAGATTGCCTAGGACACCGATCGTGAATGCGCCGACGGTATTGGCGACTTCTGAATTGGGGCCGAGCTTGGTGGTGCTCCAGTAGTTGGCGACGTATCCGGATAAAGCGATGACTACCATGACGGGCATTTGTTTCCATTTTCCGTGGTTCACGAGGGCGAGGAAGATAGCGTAGATGGCAACGAAGGGGAATGTGCGTGCGTAAATCGATCCCCAGACGTCCATGCCTGAACATGTGGATGCGGATGTCGCGTTGCCATCCATCAATCCATAGATCGTGGTCCCCACTGTGATGCCGTAGCCCAGGAAGAGGGAGTAGATGATGGCATACACCATGCGGATTGAACCGGCGATTATTTGATGAGATTGTAGCTCTAGACTACTGCAAAGGACCATGAAACCGGGAAGAATGAGAGCAATCGAGGACTGCGCCATGGCGGAGAAGCAGAAAAGTGGTTCGGATTTGCCGTCGCGGGTAACCATGATACTACCGAATGCGCGGGCGAGGAAGGATGTCAGGACAGCAGCCGTGACCTCGAAGACGTTGGAGTAGAGGGTAGAGCGTGGGGCGATAACGTGCTGCATCAGCCCGACAATGCAGCCGAGACAGAAAATGATGGGCATATCGATCGGACGCGCCATGAAGGCGAAGGGACCGACGGTCGCACTAGCAAGACCGTACACCAGGACTAAGACCCATTTATTGACTCGAGGCTTGCGCTGCATAATCTCGTCCAGTTCTTGAGTCGCCTCTTCGACACCGATGAGATCGTGAACGACATTCTTATAAACGTTGTGTGTATCTGCAAGGCGACCAAGATCGACTCCTTGCACCATTCGCACGAGCTTGACTTCGGCTGTGCGTGTAGTTGGATCGTCAAAGGACATGATCATACAACCGGGTAGATATAGGAATTGACCGGACACTTCCAACACCCGGGCGGTCATTTGCATATACTCCTCGAGACGGTGGGTCGGCGCGCCGTATCGCATAAGCGCACGACACAGCTGCATGATGTACCGCTGGCGTGCGATGATCTCTGCGATATGGACGGTGACACGAATCTCATCCTCGAGACGGGTCTTGCGCTTCTTCTTTTTGTGTTTCTTGTGCACACCCGTGGCGACCTCTGCCGCAGCAGGGAGACTGGCGGTGCTGAGGTTCATGGAAGCATTGACGAGCGACGCGGTGGACCGATGGGCGGATTTCTTGTACCATTTAATCTTCTCCTTGCGCGGTGTCGCGGCACCAGAGACTGTCGCGGACGCAGGGAGAGAGAACGAACCCTTCTTGGGGGTGGAGATACCGGAAGATACCTGTGTGTCACTATCCGAGTCATCTGTGATGACACTTTCGGGACGCGAAGAGCTCCCGTTCTGAGATGCCTGGAGCTTTAGCAGCTGTGACAAAATGCCGCTGCCACCGTTAAGTCCACTGGATCGTCTCCGCTGGGTAAAGTCCTTGATCAAGTTCTCAGGGGTTGTCTGGCCGGACCGCTGGTATGCGCTTTGTGGTTTCCGCTTCCGAAGCTGGTCCTGAACCACGGTCATGCTGCGAACCAGGCGATGGGCTTCGGCGCTGGGGGGTGGCTCGTGGAAAGTCTCGCCACGCTCCAATGCCTGCTCCCGATCGGCATCATGGCGGGCGCGACGTGCCTGCAGTTCCTCAAGTGGGATGTCGAGATCGTCTGGGACGAATGAGGCGTTGAGGGGTTCGCCCTCATCCGTAGGGCGGCCGAGGCGTTCCGTTAAGCGGCTTGTTTTTTGTCGCAAAAGGTGACCGGTAGCCCTAAATCGATCGCGCGCGGAAGTGGTACGGTCCATATGACCCAAGACATCGTGTTTCTCTGACTCGCTAAAGTCGTCGCTGACCTCGTGGGGGGTGCGCACGTTGGCGAGGCCGGAGCCTCGGCGGGAGTGTGTGGGGGCCGGAGGGGTGATGGTTCCGGAGAGCGGGACTTCGCGGAGGTCTGGTTGTGGCAGTAATGGGCGTGACGCATGATGTGAGGCAGATTGACTTCGGCGTATGCTCATTGAGCGAAAGCGAACCCGATGAGATCGGTCGCGACGGTTTGCCGGTGGCTCGGGCCGAGTGTCGTAATGGTCGTATTGGTCGGCATCGACGGTGGCCTCACGCTCGAGGCTTTGGCGATCACTAGGGTTTGAAGAGGGTGGAAGAGGGTATTCTGTATAGTCTGCATATTCTTCATTTGGGCTGGGATGTGGATTGGTGATGCCCGACATGAAGGGAAATTGGGTGAGCTTAGCTCACGGGAGATTAGCCGATAGCTGCAGGCCTTTATGCAAGTCACACGGCAATAGAGAAAATGAAAATATGTTTGAAATGAACAGTTGAAGGAAAGAGAGGGAGGCAAAAATAAAAAGTATTAAGGCTAGGGAATAAATGGATAAAAAAAACTAAGGAATCACCAATTCCCTCATAACAGATTTAATGGAGGTCTAGATCATGAAATCATATCTTTATCCCTTTCATATTTAGTTAGACAAGACCATGGACAATTGACATCTCTCGTCCTATCATTTGTCCACCAGCGAATAAACTCATTCTAGAGTTTCTAGGGTTTTCTTGGATTCGTATGCGAATCATTCAGTGGGTCTCAAAAAGGTGGCGATCTTTGTTTTTATCCAAGCCGGTTTAAAATAGTACATCTAGACTCCGTTTCGGTACTTTATATAGTTCAATTTGTTTTTTTATGTCTTTTGTTTTCATTTACCTTATCTTTAGCAACCCCTTAGGCCGCGTTCAGACTGCCCAAAACGTCGATCCCGACCCACGTCTTGGGCATTGATAACGTCGATCCCGACCCACGTCTTGGGCATTGATTTTCAACCTCCTGAGAGTGGAGTGAAAACGAGAGTCCCTTGCAAATCTCACGCTATTAAGGAGTATCCATATGATATGAGGGAGAGAAAAGGGATAGAGCAGACTTGTACAAGTAAGATCCACCAAATTCTTACGAATCGGCAGCCCAAGGCCGCCACCTGGTGGGGTCAAAATGGCGTAAATCTTTGCGGTTGCACATGATTTAATTAGGGTCGAGACCCCTCTAGCTTGTACAACAAGGCTCTTCTTCCGAGGTCGTTATCTCACATCTGACCGCTGCCTATTAGAAATGGCTGAAGCCACAAAGCACAACATACATGTACAACAATGTACGTTGTATGCCGCGCATGGAAGCCATGCGGAAAGGGCGCCAGAATGTGGTCCATGCTGTTGTTGACCCACTCTCGGCCATGGCCAAACTGCCAAGTGAAAGGTCTGGTCTCTGCAACCCAAAAAAAAATGTACGGCGAAGAACCGTCAAAGTCCCACCGCTTGGTGTAGAGTGTTCGGTTGAATTAACATTACGAGGAATATTCGAGGAATACTGCGTAGCCGCCATGAACATTGAAGAACATTCAATGTTGTATTATAATAAGGGTAACCCACGTAACACACCCACAAAGGAGTCTCGGCAGGGGCAAAGCGCCAGCCCAATGGGGAATATGATTGAAGATGGCTGTAGGTCTCACATTTTTGTTTGCCCGCAATCGTCAAAGCCCATGTCAAATTGTAATCGACCAATACGATTGGTCAAGAGAGCCACAATGGATCCAGTGGTGATAAACATTTGCCACCACCAAAAGGGGCCGGGCAAAGATTGGCCGAGCGAGAGCGAATGATTGGCGCATAGTGAGAATGATGTACAGAATCCTCCGTACAGGGAAACAATCAGCACAAAGCTCAGGGGATGACAAATGAAGTTTCTGTTTCAGAGTCGTGATCATCTGGAGATATCTGGAGGTTCTGACCCTCACTACGTCAACGGGCGGTACTGTGGGGTTTGTTTGCCAGCATAGTAAGGAACCAATAACCTGATTATGTTGAATATTAGAGATAGCAGCTGTGCATAAACATTTTGCAAGCGGAAAAAGCGGATCTAATTAATTCGGCAAGGGAAATGTTGAGAGGGAAAACACTTAATCTCCCGAGCCTGAGCGGCGGTTTGATTTTGCTTGCTAGGCTGAGGTGTCGTCATCGTCGTGAATTACAGCAACCAGTACACCAGGCAACATGAAGGGGCTTAGAGCTGATATGTAATTGCCTCGAGGGCTGTGATAAGGGTGCAGCTAGACCATCATCATCACAAGGAAGAGCGAAGTCGTTGGGAAATGAGTCGGATGGTCCAAGGAGTTTAGGGACGAACCAGACTAGCCCGTCACCCGGGAGAAAGTCCCCATCGTGCCTTCCTCCCCTGGAAGAAAAGGGCAGGAAATACGAAGATTGCGACTTTGAGCAAGATAGTGAGCTTGAGAGTCATTGATCAGCCACTAAGCCTTATCAGGGCATTTATTAGGTGTTGAAAAACATGAGATTCTGGCTGCTTTACAATATAATCTCTGCCATGCTGCCACACTTGGCATCAACTTCAAGTCTATTGCCAGTTCCTGGGATGTAAATAGAAGTGGCAACGGCGACTAGTCCCATTTAGGTCTGTACTTCCCGTTTGGGAAACAGCCATACTGAACGAAAGGATATTGCAGGCTTTCAATTAGCATTCTTTTACAATGTGATATGACCTGCCTTGGCACACACGTTCAGCAACCTGGAAATATCAATTGGTCATACCTAGCCGCCGTGGCTTTTGTGGGAGTTTGAAGATTGGATCGACATGTCCGTGCAACCGGCAGCTTCACCGAGCTTCACCGAGTTCAGGCAGAAGGTATTCTGTCTCCTTCCGGCGAGTTTCAAGGCCCCTGGTCGTTCGTGCATATCGATGAATTGAAGCCGAACACTTTTCCGCCGTGGGTTGCTGGTTGCCATTTTGCCACAAAGGAAGATATAAAATGTCGCCGGCAGACATGACAATCACCATGGCAAGTCGCAGTGATTATTGATGACAACGGTGACTTCTGTTCCATATCTGTCGATAGCTACCCAAAATGCCACTACGATTCTTGTGTCTCCATGGCTGGGGGACGAATCAGAAGGTAAGCTACCAACTCTGCCGATAGGGGATTGACAGCAACCTAATTTCCCAATAGATTCTACAGTCGCAATTGAGTATGCATGCTCCTGCTTTAGTGACGAGACACAAAACTCTAATTAAACAGGTGGTCTCATGCGTGAACTACAACGTGATAATACCGCAACCTTCTCTTTCCTGGAAGGGGACGTCGATTCTGCTCCCGGGCCTGGAATCGCCGGATACTATGAGGGTCCGTACTACAGTTACTACCGTTTCCCACGCACCTTTTCCCACGAGGATAGCGATGAGTCCGACATTCTGGAGGCGTACGAGCAACTTAGTGAAACAGTTGCTTTAGAAGGGCCGTTCGATGGGGTTCTAGGCTTCTCCCATGGCGGCACATTGGCTGCTGGATTCATGATTCACCACGCCAAGATGAATCCGAATCAACCTGCGCTGTTTCGATGCGCAATATTCATTAATTCCCTACCACCATTCCGTATGGAGCCTGGGAAGAATCCTGTTGTAGAGGAAGGATTAGACGGGTTTATTTCTATCCCCTGTGTGCATATTGCTGGGGCTAAAGATCCACTCTTTGAGTACTCAATGGTTTTATATCGGCTCTGTTCTGCGAGGTATTCGACATTTGCCGTGCATGGGAAGGGCCATGATGTCCCTAGTGATCGAAAGAATATCGCCATAATTGCCACTGCAATTCGAAAACTTTGCAGGCAAATCTCGTGAAACCAATGGCAGAGGAAGCTTCTTTACTTCCACTGTGCGACAGAGGGCGAAAATGCGTGAAGAATAGTCTCTTGTAAGAGGGGAGTAGTATGATTGCGGCTGTGGAACATAACTTACAGGATGTTGTAATGGCATATGGCAGATTCTTTGCGAAGGTAGAAAATGTGTTTCAGATCCAGGCAATCACCGGCATTGAGTTTTATTTCACCGTTGAGGGTTGCACCCGAATACTTACCTCACGGCGAATAAGGTGAAACCCTCCCACATGTCCGATGTAGACTGCTACCGAGAAGGAATGACGCTAGAAGGTCGAGTAGACGGATCGCTCTGGTACAGGAAAACCCATTGCCCTGGCCTGACAAAAGCTAGCTCTTTCGCTTTTCCCTAGCTTGAGAAGTATGGTTATTAGCCGAAGTTAACCAAATCAAAATAAACAATGTCGCCTCAAGCCAGCGCCAACCACCTAAAAGCGATCACTTCAGAAGATGATCTGGAAAACTTGGCTGTGGAATCATGTACACCGATAGCAATTGTGGGGATTGGATTTCGGGGACCAGCGGATGCCAAAAATGTCGAGAAGCTGTGGGAAATGATTCTCGAGGGTAGAGAAGCGTGGTCCCCAATCCCAGCTACGAGGTGGAATAGCGCAGCATTTTATCACCCAGATCATGCCCGCCATGGAACGGTAAGTCATACAAGCAATTTGTCGGAACAATCAATAACATGGGAGTAGATCAACGTGGAAGGTGGCCACTTTCTGGAAGAGGATATATCTGTGTTCGACGCGCCTTTTTTCAACATGGCAAGTGATGAGGCCGCGGTGAGTCCAAATTCGAATATTGTCGAGGTCTTTAAGTGTTGACAAGTAAGGCCATGGACCCACAGCAGAGATTGCTCTTGGAGGTAACATATGAAGGTCTTGAGAATGGTAGGTCATTGGTTCGAATCCAGCTTTCGTAGCTAATGGTGTATAGCTGGCATTCCCCTGAATAAAATCATGGGTACAAAGACCTCGTGCTTCGTAGGGTCTTTCTCTGCGGACTATACGGATCTACTACTCCGGGACCCCGAGTGTTTACCTATGTATCAGTGTACAAACGCCGGACAGTCTCGTGCGATGACGGCAAACAGGGTGTCTTATTTCTTTGATTTGAAGGGACCCAGTGTCACAGTAGACACAGCCTGCTCGGGAAGCCTTGTGGCACTTCACCTAGCATGCCAAAGCCTACAGACCGGGGACGCGTCAACAGCGATTGCAGCGGGTGTCAACTTAATCTTGAGCCACGAGTTTATGTCAACCATGAGCATGATGAAGTATGTAAAGCGGCACCAGAACCGGAAATAGTAGACTGATCGAATATCAGATTTCTGTCCCCTGATGGGAAATGCCATACCTTTGACGAAAAGGCTAATGGGTATGCGCGAGGTGAGGCAGCTGGCTGTCTCATTCTTAAGCCCCTGGCCAAGGCGTTACACGACCGAGACAAGATCCGGGCCGTGATACGAAGCACGGGTTCCAATCAGGACGGGCGCACGGCGGGAATTACACTGCCGAATGGGGCAGCCCAAGAAAGCTTGATCCGGAGCGTATATGCGCGGGCTGATCTGAATCCCTCAGAAACCGATTTCGTGGAGGCTCATGGGACAGGGACATTGGCTGGAGACCCAGTTGAGACAGGGGCAATCGCTCGTGTATTTGGAGCTGGTCGTCCACCTGACAATCCTGTGAGGATTGGCTCCATTAAAACCAACGTCGGTCACTTGGAAGGCGCAAGCGGGGTGGCTGGTGTTATTAAGGCTGTGCTGATGTTGGAAAACCGCTTGTTTCTGCCAAACAGAAATTTTGACAAGATCAACCCACTTATCTCCCTCGATGATTGGAAACTCAAGGTCTGAAAACTCATCCAAGTTGAGAATTGGAAACTAATGTTAATTAGGTTCAACTGTGTCCTGAGCCATGGGAAACAACAGGGCCTCGTCGTATTTCGGTGAACAGCTTCGGATACGGTGGAAGCAATGCGCATGTCATTGTCGAAGATGCCCAAGGCTTTCTCTCTAGCTGGGAACTCAAGGAAAACCAGAGCATCTCGACCCCCACGATGGAAGGTCATGATAATATAACTTCTAGCCCACCGCTTGGTTTGTGTCGCATATTTATGGTTTCTGGTTTCGATGAAACAACCTGTGCTCAGCAGATGCAGGCTCTGGGTAATTATATTCTCAATAAGGAGCATGGAACTGATCAAGAGCAATTTCTGGACAATCTCGCCTTCACCGTAAATGAGCGGCGATCCGTCTTTCCGTGGAAGGCAGCCGTTGTCGGAGATACGACGGCGGGTTTGGCGATCTCACTCTCTCAGAGCGTCAAATCTAGGAGCGCGCTTAGGAAGCCAACACTTGGGTTTGTCTTTACTGGACAAGGTGCACAGTGGGCTGGGATGGGGAAGGAGCTCCTCCGGGCCTACCCTGTCTTCAAAATATCAATTTTGAGTATTGACAGATTTTTGGAAGACATTGGATCTCCTTTTATAGTGGAAGGTAAACAGATATCAGCTTTTCAAACCTTTCGTGGACTGACATAGTGAAAATAGAGGAGATCACAAAGCCTCCTCAGGACTCACATTTGAACCACCCAAGTCTAAGCCAAACTGTGTGCACAGCGCTACAGATTGCGCTGGTCGACCTCCTGAAATCATGGAGTATACATCCAGACTCCGTAACAGGTCATTCCAGTGGGGAAATCGCCGCTGCATATGCTGCTGGTGCACTCAGCATGAATGATGCAATGTCAGTTGCATACTACAGGGGGGCTGTGGCAAGCCAGCTTCTGCAGCACCAACCGGACAAGGGTACCATGATGGCAGTTGGTATGTCTGCCGAAGAGGTACAACCCTACTTGGATGTATTCGAATCCAGACAACTGGTGGTCGCGTGTATCAACAGTCCATCGAGTGTGACAATTTCAGGCGATATCCTTGCGATTGATGAACTCGCACAAACACTTAAAGAACAACAAGTGTTCTGTCGACGCCTTGAAGTTGGCGTCGCGTATCACTCCCCTCATATAGAACGGATTGCCGAGCAGTATCACACCTTGATAGAACATATCCAACCCCAAGGACTAGATCAAATATCGGAAGACAAGAAGGAAAGATCGGGATCGTTCTTTTCCTCTGTGACAGGGACGACTGTTCCGTTGGAAAGATTAGATGCTCAGTACTGGGTGTCAAATTTGGTCGGGCAAGTGAAATTCGCAACGTCCTTGAGGACCTTGTGTTTTGAAACAAATGGTCGGCGTGCCGGGCATACAGGGGCCTCCAGAGTAAGAAGAGCCAGGGCTGCCCAAAAGCCATCAGTGGATTGTCTCATCGAGATCGGCCCCCATGCGGCACTTTCCGGGCCAATCAAGCAAATTCTGCAGGCTGACGAGAAACTCAATTCTGCCGATATAAACTATATTAGCGTGCTAACACGGAAGGCCAACGCACTCACTACAGTACTCAGCGCAGTCGCGACATTAGCATCACTTAACTACCCCGTTGACTTTGGTGCAATCAACCGCCCTGTGGGGATTAAGAAATCCAGAACACCGCAGTTGCTGGTTGATGTTCCATCATATGTCTGGAATCACACAAAGTCATATTGGGCAGAGCCACGAGTGAGCAAAATGTATCGGAACCGAAGCTCGCCGCGGATGGATTTACTTGGCGCACCAGACAACATGGCATGTCCATTCGAGCCTCGCTGGAGAAATTATCTTCGAACCTCAGAACTCCCTTGGCTTCTCGACCACAAAATACAGGGGAATATTGTTTTCCCTGCCGCAGGCTATCTAGCCATGGCAATTGAAGCATCCATACAGTTTAACAAGGACGACGACAAGATTGCTAGATATGTCCTGCGAGATGTGACAATTCAGTCAGCGCTGGTCCTCAACGAAACCTCTGCCGTCGAGGTTATGGTATCTCTTCAAAAGTCGATACAAGACCAAGAAGATTTGTACAATTTCCATATATACTCTATCTCCGAGGAGAATAGGTGGACTGAGCACTGCACTGGCTTGGTCGGGACACAAAAAAGAGTTGCTCCTTCAGGCGATACATTTGAAGAAACTGATGGTTATGCGACGGTTCCATTGGGGACTGAAGTTCATGGAATATCGCTGATTGACGTCGCTGACTTTTATGAGAAGCTTCAAACCTCAGGTCTGGAGTACGGAAAATGTTTTGCGAACATGACAAAAGCACGTGTTACTAAAGACGGGGCGTGCTTTGCAGAAGTCACTATACCAGATACACTATCCGTGATGCCTGCATCATTTCAGCATGAGCTTCTGATCCATCCATGCATTCTGGATAGTCTATTTCATACCATTTTTGCTGCTTTACCCCCGGGTATGGGAATCGAGGAAGGACCTGCAGTACCTGTCTTCGTTGAAGAGATGACTGTATCCTCCAGTCTCATATGTTTACCGGGAGAGCTTATGACCATTTGTACCCATGTGCGCCCGATGCCAAAAAAAGAGGTGACGGCATGCATAGTCGCGGTGAATTGTAACGAGACACAATTCGAAACCGAACCAACTATTTCACTTCGTGGGCTACGATGTGCGCGGCTCGAGCGTCTTGAACCGGCAGCGCAGCTAAAAGATAACCGCATCATTTATGAGATTGACTGGAAACCAGATGCAAGCTTGCTTTCCAGCAATCATGCGGCATTCCTATTTGACGAGAATAGGGGTGCTCAAGACCCTACGTATCAAGGAGAGCATGACGAGAGCGCAGCCGGTTTTATTAGAGCTGCGTTGGAGGAAGTCAGCACAGCGGAGGCAATGGAATTCGACCCTTCTCACCGCAGATTCCGGTGCTACCTCCAAGATGTACTGGAACGACATGACGGTCAAACCCCGATATCAGTATCTCACTTGGAGAATATACATTCCATCCCGATAGGAGGCCTCCTATCAGTCATCGGTCACAACCTAGTGGGTATCATTCGAAACCAAGTAGACTTTTCGACCTTAATGAACGAAGATCGCCTATTGGATGAGTTCTGGGATATATTCTCAGCGGATGCTTCTTACCGGGCTGCTGCAAAATATGTTGAGTTGATTGGCCACGGAAAGCCAGATATATCCATTCTAGAATTTGGGGTCGGCACAGGCCAGATAGCGGAGATCTTTCTGAAACATCTTGTGACACTCAAGAAAACACCTCATTGCGGGAAATATACTTTTGCCCACGAAAGCGAGTCTTTCCTTGAACACGCGTCCAAGCGACTGGAGGCGTGGTCAGAATGGGTTGAATGCAAGCCCCTGGATCTTGGTAAGGATTTCCCCAAACAAGGATTTGGAAGAAATTCCTTCGATATCATAGTCTTGCCTCACGGCTTGTGTACTGCACGTTGTGAACAAAAGGCCCTCGCCAAAATTCATGACCTTTTGAGCCCATCCGGCTACTTGATCGCAATCAATCCTTTCGATCCAAAGAAGAATGTTCTAAAAAATCTCTTATTTGGTGCCATGCACTGCCTGTCCACAGACGAATTCTGTTTCGGCCAGGGTGCGTGGACAGAGGACCAATGGGAAGAGATCTTGCAAGATGCGCATTTCACCGACGTTGATGCCTACGCGGAGCAAGACTCCAAGAAGAACCATCAGTTCATCGTGGCTAAAAAGCGGAAAATTCAAAAATCGGCTAGAAAGCTTTCCATTGTTTGCGAGGACAACGCCAAAACTGTCAGGCATCTAGTCACTGAGCTCAAGAAGAACTCATGTGAGGTGCATGTGACACACCTCGATAATCTGGATTGTCAAGATCAGATATGTTTGGTCTTGGATACTTCAAGGTCCTCCTTGCTGGCCGCTCCCAATGAAGTTATATTCAGCAAGATAAGAGCAATATTTGTGCAGAGTGGAGGCGTTCTTTGGATAACAAAAGGAGCGACGATTGAGGCTGTCAACCCAAACGCGGCCTTGGCTGTTGGATTTGCAAGAACAGCCCGTGCCGAATCGGGTGTCAACCCAATTGTGACCCTTGACCTAGATGCGCAAAATCCTCTCTCAGAATCTCATGCCGCCAAAATTATTGCTAGACTTCTGGTTTCTCGGTTCCTCTACGAAAATACAGATCAAGATACAGAATATGCGGAGAGAAATGGGCAACTGCTAGTTCCACGAGTCCTAGAGAGTTTCAAGGCAAACAAGAACATGGGCAGCATTAACGACATTGAGAGTGTCTCCGAACAGTCTTTTCACCAGCTTCAGCAACCTCTCCGCCTTTCCAGGAAGATTGATAACCCACGTTTTGTTAGTGACTCGGAGATCACAGATCTTCCAGCCGGCTACATTGGAATCAAAGTACACTGCTTTACCCTGAATCAATGCGATATCCAGCACAATCATTTTGGCTGGAGCAGTGATGACACCCTAGGGCTCGAGTGCAGCGGCATAGTATACAAAGTCGGCGCCGGGGTCCACGGCATCACCGTAGGTGACCGAGTTGCATGTCTTGGAGCTGGAACTGCTAGAAGCTTTTATCACGATCGCGCATCTGCGTTCCAGAGGATCAATGATGAAATGCCATTACAGCTGGCTTCGGCCTTACCTCTAGCATATGCAATTGCGTATTATGTTGTGAACCGTCTGTCACTGATCGAGTTCAATGATACTGTTCTCGTCCATGACGCCGGACGTCATTTTGGCCAAGCACTTCTGGAAGTGTATTTGCTGAGGGATGCTCGCATTTTCGCGACCGTGCAGAGCCCCAATGAAAAGGACTTGCTCGGCTCAAGGTACGGGATACCCCGGGAGCATATCTTTATAAGTGGTAAAGATGATATAGCAAAGGGTTTATCACGATTGACCGATGGCAAGAAAGCAAACGTGGTAGTCACATTCGAGACCGCAGAGGACACAATCCTCCAGAACTGCACGGCACCGTTTGGTCGATTTATTCGACTTCGAACAAATAACCTCAAGACCCGACCGTTACCATGTCTCCAGAACATGTCCATGTCTACTGTCAATATATTTGAGCTCCAAAAGGAGAGGCCCGACCTTGCCAATCAGATATGGCCACAGGTCTTTCGCTTGTTCCGTCAAGGACGACTCAAAGGGCCTGGCTTTATCGACGTATATCCTGTTTCACATATCCAGGAAGCACTAACGGCAATTCAAACTCGCCAGCATGTTGTGGTTCGCGTGGAAGACGGTAATCTTGTAACGGTACAGTTTATCTCATATCTCAGAAGCTACTTGCCTGCAGCTAACACGATATAGGCCACACTCCCTAGAGTAACCCAACCGTTGTTCCGCGCCAATGCATCATACATGCTGGTCGGTGGGCTTGGTGGCATCGGGAGGGCGGTTGCTTTGTGGATGGCACAAAATGGAGCGAAGAGCCTAATTTTAGTCAATCGAAGCGGCCTCTCAAAGTATGAGTCTCAGGAGACAGTGAGAAATCTGGTGGAAAGGGGCATACAGGTAACCACCCGACCTTGCGACGTATCCGACGAGACCGAAGTCCAGCGAATGCTTCATGATCTGTCAAACTGCGTGCCTCCAATACGGGGGCTGATCCAGGCAGCCATGGTGCTTAAAGACGTTCATATCGAAAATATGAGATTAGACGAGTATCGGGATGTTATGGGCCCGAAGTATTATGGCACTTGGAACTTACATCGACATCTCCCCGTCGATCTTGAATTCTTCCTGATGCTATCCTCTATCAGCGGGGTTATTGGAAATGCCACACAAGCTGCCTATGCGGCCGGCTGCATTTTCATGGACGCATTCGCTGGTTATCGAAGAAACTTAGGTCTTCCAGCAATATCTTTGGATCTCGGAACGATCACGGATGTTGGCCATTTGGCTGAAAATAAGGATCTAGCGGTAAAGATGGAACGACAGGGATTCCAGGGGACTGATACGCCAACTCTTCTATCCCTAATCCAAGTTGCAATCTCTCAATCGACGAGCGGAGCAGCGCAGCTTGTAACTGGCCTTGGCCAATGGAGAGAAAACGAATCGCTTGGAAACTTTGACGCACCCTTGTTTGCCCATTTCCGGTACAAGTTCCAGGGTTATGGCAAATCCATTTCGCTCGGCAACTCCATGGAAGGGTTGAAGGATGAAATGGATGCCGCAAAGACGGTAGACCAAGCCACCATTGTAATCTGCGATGCGCTCATCAGGAAGATTGCCTCTCATCTCTCTATCCCGGTCGAAAATATTAATCCTTCTAACCCGGTCTCCGAGTATGGAGTTGACTCCCATGTGGCCGTGGAGCTACGTAACTGGGTATCAAGATCCATGGATTGCACTATCCCCATTTTGGAAATACTGGCAAGGTCTATGTTGGCGTTATCTCATAAGATTGCTAGCCAAAGACTCGAGGGCAAGTCGGAGTGAGTTACCGTTCAGACTTAGCGATGGGATAATTTAGAGAATACACTGCTCCTCAAATTCAAATCCTTTGGTACACATTCATAACTTGAATAAGCCCTCAATACCAACTTTAAAGACCAGTGAGATATAGGTGGGAAGACATTCTACGAAAGCCCCTCTCTATAGTACCATCGAAGCCATCTCTCAGTCCCCCTACCCATCGATGACTATATTTAGCCTTTGTAAACTGTATTTTCTCCGCAAAAATGAGATAATCTGACCGTTATGGCGTATATATGATCGAGGATGATGGGGAGTGCGTTCACCAAGAACCCTCCCACGAAGGACTCGAGGTTGCCGATAGTCCGTGTAGGGCAAAGGTCGACTGAAATAGCCGCTTTAGAAACCAGGATTAGCTGATATTCATAAAATTGTACAGTAACCATACCTTCCGGTAGAGGCTTTATTTGTCCTATGTTCTCTTGCAGGTAGAAGGTCACAGTCATCGTGATACCGTGATACCACGGTGTATATATTCAGCGGTCTTTTGAATAGCTTCTGATTTCTTATACCTCTGAGTACAATCAAGATGCTATCCGCTGATTGGAGTGCGAGGGAGGTCAGAGAGCCGAGTGCCTATATACTGCGCTAGTATAGGTGGCGAAGACATTGCTAACGAAGGTTGTGCTAACGAAGAATTGCCATAAGGATCCAAGCTTATTGTGACAACAGAATAACCAACGCTTCCACCTTTCACTATATACCCTGAATGGCTCATTTGCAATTTCCCACTCCAAAATTGCAAAAGGGAGATGCTCGCGGGCTGTATCTAGAGTCAAGACTCTCACGACGTTGAATATCGCGCTGTTCATCCGCACTCAATTAGGACGGTTGGGCATCAAGATCCAGCATTGGCAGCCGAGAACACAGAGGTTGCCTCCTTGCAAAATATTGCGTTGTTCGAAAGATCAGGCCTTGATAAAAAGTGCGTTGTACGGGGATATGCCAATTTTTAAGGCACAGAGTCGATTCATTGTGTAATTAACACCCCCGAGAAGATAGTCCTACACATAATTAGAAATATAATACTATGTCATAACGGCAATAAGTGGTTCAATCAGAAGTCGATATTTGATCTCAGCAACTCCACCAAGTTGCTTTTCGGTGTACGGCGCAGTTGGATCCTAGACCACACCTTTGGACGAGAGATAAGTGGCGACAGGTTTGTGCTCTAGAGCATCTGCGTGAGAGCCTGGGGATGTTAGCAGGATATAATAAAGCGGGATAGAATATTACGCACCAGGTCACAGTGGGAAAAAAAACAAAAGAAAAAGGGAAGCAACGTCACTTCTTGGCCAAGCAAAGAATCTCCTCCCAGATCCTGGACATGCTTGAAGACGCTCCATCCTCGGAACTATCGACCCAACCTTTGTTGATAACGGCACACTTCATCAGATTCAGATCCTCATATTTCTGTATTGTCGTGTCTTTCTCCGCAAGCATCTTGGCGGAGTGAGTTACCAGCGCATTATACCAACGCGCGTCACACGGGGACCCATGGGCGGGAGACTATTGAGAGCGCCTTAAATGACACAAGTAACACTACGGCGGAAACTGATTGCTGCGCTGGACATATAGTGAACACTGCCCTTATTATCGATAGACCGTACTTGTGAAGGTAATCTGGGTAAGCCACACAGTGCTGCTAGTAGTCGCGGAGAGACGGCAGTGTCAAAGACAAAGTCAATGGATCTAGAGATGAAGCTATAGGTGAGAGAGTTGGCGTGTACTCGTTAGGAATAGCTTTCTTGCCTTCATGGTTCGGGGTGGCGACTTTATCCCCGTGAGCTAGAAGAATGACGTGAGAGTATTAGCAAAATTAATAAGAATGGTTAGGGGGGTTCACCACCCACTCGCCGGACCAGCTGGTATATATTTCGACAATCTCAGCACAATCGACTGGATATCGTCCTTTTATCGGTGGAGGATACGCAGCTGCTTCATCCTCAGCGGAATAGGGATGATATTTTGGGCTAGAATCCCTCTAGCCCATAGCCCATGACCAAGAGATACAAGAATAAGTGTTTCAGTCTCGCAGTGGACGCCCTTTTGCCAAGGTAATCTTCCTGTCTTAACATGCCTAGGACACAAACAGGAAGGAAGCACGGATACATTATTCACCCTTCGTGTTAACCTCAAAACCTCCAGCTGTTTCGCCCCTTGGAACGAGTTTATTCCTATGGACATGACTTGGTATTAACACTAGAGGCTTTAGGAAGGGGACCAGTTCACTTACCGGGTACAACAACAAGACTAGCCAAGGAAGTGGAATCGAAGTAGAAAATTTGAGACAAGATTCAAAAGGGAAGAATGAAGAACAGAGAAGTAAGAGTGTTCATCTGGAAGCCTTGCTTGCTAGATAAGCCCCCAACCATCAGTCGTGTTGTTATTTATAACTTCTGGATACTCCGGTTCTCCACGCTCGCTGGTCCATCACATGGCGCAAAAGGATCGTATCGTCGTACGTAGAGTGGAATCCGTAAGCGACTTTCCGATCGAGCATGTACTCAACCGCTTGACCAATTTTTGGATGTAAATTCTCCATAGGGTTGTACCATTTGTCTCTATCCATGGCATCTCAACTCCCCCATAGCCAGGAGTTGACTCGGCGTATCCCGAGATACGATTGCCACATCTTGGGTCTTGTAAGTATCGCCATCCGAGATGTAAGCTTGGAAGCGGATGGTCACACCTCCAGCCACATTTTGTGCTTCAGAGAAAGCACCAAGATGAGACAGCACGAGGACATGCCCGGCGGCCTGTTCGAATCGTACCACAACATCATGGATCATCTCACTTAGGTCAATTTATCAGGTATGATCTAATTAGTCCCTGTTAGCCTTTGTTTCACACCAGCATGTCCCGAGGTACTCCAGTGGAGTACCAACCATGGACGAACCAAAAGTTCCATAAGCTGAAGCCCATAGCATATATATACCCAACGATATCAGACTATCGAGAATTTCATTCGAGGCGCTACTGCCGTGCTGATGAGATAGCAAGGGAATGCTGGTCAAAGGTTGGTTAAATAGAGCCAGGGAGGCCATCGATCTAGCCATGTCAATCACGCAACATGCCTCTGTGACCAAGATTGTGAAAACCCCGATAATAGTGTGCGGTCTGTAGCCGGATATGGGATAACTGCTCTTGAACTTCTCCTTTCTGAGAGTTAGGATATGCCTGTTACAAAGCCCTCCTCTCTTGTTAGCTTCATGTTAACTACAGTTGAGTACGGATCATCGACGGGAAGGGTGGTATCTTACTGGTATATGTAGGCAGATGGGTTATGTAGGCAGATGGGTTATGTAGGCAGATGGGTTATGTAGGCAGATGGGTGATGCAGGAAGATGGGTTATGTAGGCAGATGGGTTATGTAGTGAGAAGGGCGTGGGAGGAAGAGTAGGCAGATGGGTTATGTAGGCAGATGGGTTATGTAGGCAGATGGGTTATGTAGGCAGATGGGTTATGTAGGCAGATGGGTTATGTAGGCAGATGGGTTATGTAGGCAGATGGGTTGTAAATGTAGGCAGATGGGTTGTAAATTTTGGAAAGGTTCATGAATGATTTCGAAGGATTCAACTGAAAGTGATCAGTATTTGTTAGCTGCTGCTTTATCATAGGTCTCGTTTATCATTGAACCATACTTTTAAAGTCTTGCCAATGAAATTGGGGATGACAGAGTTTGAAGAGAAGAAGGGGGGAGGGAGAGAGGAAGTGGGGGATTTAAACAGCAATTGCTACGTGAGAAAGTGCATTGTCACAAAGAAGGAAGAAAAAGGAAAGGCTAAAATCATGACAAACATTATGCATTAGGTGATCCCTACTGTTTGCCGGTCTGGTTTTAGACTGAGATCTTTGTTTGCTAGATTGTTTGCTACATTGATAGGGTAACATATACATGAACATGTAGTATTGTGGGCCAGCAAGCATTACGTCTTTGAAGACCTCTCCTTAATACTATGCAGGCTTGCAATCACGAAGCAGTAATGACTACATTTTGGTGAAATAATTCCCAGCTACTCATAAATGCCTAGTTGACCATACGGTCGTGTTGATTCACAAGCATTATGGTCGCAGCTAGCTAATTTTTAGTTGGTTCTTGCTTGTCCTTGGGATTATGATTCATTGGTTTTCTATGGAATATCATCCCAGCCTATGGCCACCGTTCATCATTCTTTTCTTCGAGCTTTGTAAGAGCGTCACGTAATGAAATGCGAGCTTCGAGGCCTGCCACCGTCAGATCATTAGCAACTGATTGCAGCATTTCGCTTGCCCGAATGTCACTTTTCTCGGCAATTGTCGAGAGTACTCTTCCATAAGCCCAGCAGTCTGTAGCAATCCGCATTCCAAATGGAGCGTTGGCAGCTGCTATTTCACCATCTTGTTGAAGGTAAATATGCATCTCTGGAGAGATCCATTCCAACGTATAACCGCCGGTCCCACTGATATCGATGAGGATGGCATCTTCGCTGTCATCAAAAACAATATTTGAGGGCTTAATGTCAAGATGACTTCGACCTCTCTTATGCAATGATTCTAACGCTCTAACAATCTGTAGAGCCCATTGTATCAATAAAGAACCATTTCGGAGTTTATCCTCCGCGATGATTTGCTCAAGTGACCCTTTGGGGTAGTATTCGAGAAGGAACCCTCTAACCACAACTGGTAGGTCGGTTGACTGGTATGTCTTGTACGGGTTGTCCGATACGACTAGTCCTACTAATTGCCCAATGTTTGGCTGTCCGTGGAGTTGTGTAAGGGCATCGATCTCGTCTAAGATATGATCAGTGTCTCCGGGCTCGTAAATGGGGTGGTCGATCGTTTTAAAAGCAAATTTCTGCTGCTTAAATATAACTGTGGAGACCCTTGGAGCGATGGCCTCGATATTCTGCAGAGAACTAGCCTCAACTGTTGGTAGGCATTTATTTCGATCTAAAGTCGGGTACGTGACTCTCTTTGGATCTTCCGTGATCTCGTAGCACATTTGACCAGCAGCAGAAATAAAATAGTTTGCTGAGGTTTGATACCCATCTCGTATTGTGATCGAGTTTTGGCTCTGCTTAGTCAAGTTCAAGGTAATCATTGTCACAGTATCCTCCAACAGCCGCAGTTGGCCGAAATCAACTGCTTCAAGAAATCTTCGAGGGATAGACCGGCGTTGGAGATAGCCCAAATCCACTATCACTTGCGGCAGTGACCAGTCCACGACAACTTTGATCCACCATGAAGAGCCATTGTTATGAAATATCAGGGTTTGTACCGGACGGTCGCCGTTATAATCGTGGTAAGACTTGAATTCCAGCTCGGAGGAGGAAGGGGGAGACTTTTTGGGCATTGCGCTTGATTAGTGGAAGTAAACTCCCCTTCTGCCATGAAAAAGAACAAAATTTGATAAGATACATTGGTGGGAAGAAGGGGAAAGGGGTGATGTTCAACTATTACTTGGGTCACGTGTTGTTGACAATTTGGAAATGACTGGTCGAGTCTTATGTCAATTGAATCTGGGAAATTGCTCCATATTCCAGCTACCGTTGAGTTTCGAAAGTCTCCTTCAAATCATGGTGTGGACCCTCGACATGGGAAGTCGTGCTCTTGTTAGGGGAAAAGCCGCCGGAGGCATGTCTCTCGAATATATATAGTCCTTAGTGTTCCTACGAAATTATATATTCACACATAATCAATTCAATTAATGATATTCTATACTCTCATTGTATGAAAATAATGGGTTGCTAATATCCTCAACGCGAATAGCCTACAAGCCCGTCACAGTTTAGTTGCATGCGCCCAGAACAACTGCATTTCGCCCCGAGCGCCGGGAACGGGTGATGATTGATTGGCTAGCATAGGCTGGGACCTTCCACAGCCTGCTTGTTCAAAGAGAGAGAGTATCTGGATCCTTCAGAAGCTGCACACTTCCCGGCCGCAGTCTTTTAGCAAGACATTTGGTGGTGGAAAAGACGTAGGTTGTAGACTCCTATTGGCCTATCTCAATGGACCGAAGCAACGGGACGTTAGGCACGTGGAGCTCGGAGAGTATCTCAGCAAAGTCTCCGAGGAGCGCCATCCAAATTTCAAAGTTTGGAAAAGCAGATAGGAGAGACCATTCGGGGACTGATTAGTCGAGCCTGCTGTATCTTAAACTTAGAGGTACCTCCATTGGTTCTTCTGCTTAATTGGTAAAGATTGATGACGGAAATGTAGTTGTTCAGTAACCTAGGTGCGGCCGATCAGAAAGCCCAAAGCTATATGGACTCAGATTCTGATGCAAGATTCAGTTACTTAATTAACTCAGCAGATTCCTCTCTCGCTGGAATTGGTCATTTGACCCCATCAGGATGGTGGATCTGATTTGTTATCATGGTGGCCTGGACTATATTTGATGTCCGTCACTCTAGAACGCCTCTGACGAGACTGTAGCGGGTATGGTGCGGACAAGGTACTGATTAATCCTACTACCCAGGTACCCAGATTACGTATTTGTTGCCAGAGGATTTGAGACAAAGGGGTCGTTTTTCGAATATATATAAGACCACCCCTTGAGTATCTCAAGTGACATGAAATTTTGAACTTCAATCACAACATCAAATCGGCTATGACCATCTTCGACGTCCTCATCATCGGCGGAGGCCCGGCTGGGCTATCAGTTGCCACAGGCCTCGCGCGCCAACTGCATAGAGCTATCGTGTTTGACTCCGGGGTCTATCGCAATGCTCTCGCAACTCACATGCACAATGTGGCCTCGTGGGATCACACGCCACCAGAAGAATTCCGCCAGACTGCTAGACAGCGTATCATATCCTGGTACGATACGATCCAATTTGAGAATGTCGAGATCAAGAAGGTCGAGCGGAACATTGAAGGGGGCTTTAATGCCGTTGACTCGCGAGAGCGAGTGTGGACGGGAAAGAAGCTGGTCTTTGCGAATGGGGTCCGCGATATTTATCCCGATATTGCGGGTTATGGAGAGTGCTGGGGCCGGGGAATGTAAGCATCGTTCAGTTCCTTCTGAATTTCGTTTCTTTTTCGCTTTGCTGTTTCCATTGCTTATGCCTCTTGATGCTCGGTAGTTTTCACTGTCTCTTCTGCCACGGCTTTGAAGAGCGAGGATGCAAGTCCGTCGGAGTACTCGCCATTGGAGATATGGCTAGTATAAAGCCAGCGATGCACGTTGCACGGATGTCCCGGCGATTCGCCACGACCGTCACCATCTATACCCACGGTGCGGAAGAGCTTACCCTGGCTCTCGAGAAAGCCACCCATGATACGGGGTTCAAGGTCGACAGCAGGCCTATCACGCGATTGGTCAAGGGACCGGGTTTATCGGACGTGGAGGTAGGATTTGAGGACGGTACTCAGAATATGGAAGGATTCCTAGTGAGCATCACCCCCACCCCAAAGTTCACAGTGTGCTGGAAACTGACCATATACAGGTCCACCGGCCCAAGACGGAAATAAATGGCCCTTTCGCCGAACAACTCGGATTGCACCTCACCTCCGATGGCGATATCAAGACAACTGAGCCGTTCTACACCACGTCCATCCCGGGAGTATTCGCGGCGGGTGACTGCGCCATGCCCCTCAAAGCGGTAGTAATGGCCATGTCGTCGGGGACATTAGTAGCGGGGGGATTGGCTGGACAGCTGCAGGCGGAGCTGTATCCAGAAGCGGAGAAACTAGCATAGGTGGGAGATGGCAACCTGGGTTTCATAATGGAACATTTGCAATATTGTGGATAGGTAGCTTCCTTCGAGGTGTCATTTGACATAAATGGATTATTCATCACATCTAGACTAGGAAATGAAAGTAAATCAGACCCGGGAATTAGAAACCAAAAACTGTAATCGCAAATGGAAACGGGATGGGAATTGAGGAAAGGCATGGGGGAAAGGACCTATCGTGTTGGATCGTCATAATATCGAGTCCCTTAACTGCGCTCATGAGAGTATGAATAACTCGTCCACTCACCTCCGAGTGCCCTGGAAGCACAATATCGTTGGTTTGGATATAATGTACGAAGCTGTATCACATTCCATGGCCCTGTCAGTAGTAGTTCGTGCGTTGCGTAGCACAGGGATGTATGAGACGAGTATCTTGTTTCCCGTCTTCTTTCTCCAGTTTGCAGCCTACTGTGTGGGCCAACGAATTCCAGCTGTCGACATTGACTACGAATTTGGCCACTTGTTGATCTTGCCCAAGAAGGTTTCACTATCGCCGATCATCTTATTGCATCAATTGATCTCTTATGTTGTATGGGTTTAAAGGACTTGAAGTCGGGAAAAGGTTAGTTTGCTTAGAAAGACATCTGGACATATGTGTTCTGTGCAGTATCTATCATGTTTCTGTTGTTCACAGTCATTATGGAATTCCCAGCCGGATCCTAAATGTAGTATCGTCTGTTGCTGATATATCATTTAGGGGCAATTTGCCAACGTGTAGTGGGAGGTAGCCCGGAGAGTCGGAGTCGGAGATATTTAACTATGCCGATAACTCCGCATCTGATAATCTGGGTACAGTCAGAATGTGCAGAATTATAATCCATAACAGGTAAAAGGAGGTGAAAACAAATACGAAGTCGGAAGGCCGGGGCAACCCGGGGCTACAGGCAGCAACCAATGAGAATTATTCTACGTGAGAGAGTAAGAGCAAATAAAGATCGTATTATTATTGTCATTTTACTATGTTCCAAGGTCCTGGAGGTCCCATTGAAGCTATTTCTTATTTGAAAAATTTTCTACCTATAGCATTGGGAAGAGAAAAGTCGGAGTGTTGTTCTTCCATGTCATCTCGAATCAGATAAATTAGCCGCCTTATTGTGGGGGCCACGTGCCAAGATCCAATCGGAGGTTTGGTGAAGCGAGCAAAGCGCTTAGTCAGCGGCTCGGATTCCAAAAGTCTATCCGAACCCATTTTTTATCGATAATTGATGACTCCTAACAGGGATTCTAGAGCGAAAATGTTGTTCTATCACTTTGGGTCCGCCCATAATGCTGCCAATGAGAATACAGTGTTAGCTTCGGCCTCGGGTTTTCGGGGTTGCTGTATTAGCTTATCACTTCCGGGGCTCTCATAAAATGGTAGAATTTCCGATGTTGAACAAATCTGTGTCTAATCGGCTTCTTTGAACGTTTACCACCTCGCTTCTTCGCCATAATGGATGGGCCAGAAAAAGCCCCGGGCGCAAGCTCCGATGATATTCAGTTCGACACTGAAAGTGCCATGACGATCATGGGCGACGAATCTCCTGGCAAGGAGAGCTCCAACCTCAAAGGAAATGACTGGGGCATGATGGCCAAGCTCCAGGAGGAGAATGATCGCAATCTGGCTGCTGGATTCAAAAGGCAGGAACTTGGCATTACTTGGCAGAATCTCTCTGTGGAAGTAATAAGCTCAGAGGCCGCTGTGAACGAGACTGTTCTCTCCCAGTTTAATATCCCAACCAAAATCAAAGAAGGCCGACGAAAACTTCCTCTACGGACCATCCTCAACAAGAGTCATGGCTGCGTCAAGCCCGGTGAAATGTTGCTGGTGCTGGGCCGTCCCGGCTCTGGTTGCACGACGTTACTGAAAATGCTCGCCAACAGACGCGGGGGATACAAATCAGTTCAGGGCGATGTTCGCTTTGGATCTATGGACCCTAAGGAGGCTGAAAAGTTCCGGGGCCAGATTGTGATGAACACCGAAGAAGAGATTTTCTTCCCAGCCTTAACTGTTGGTCAAACCATGGACTTCGCAACCCGCCTCAAGGTGCCCTTTCACCTGCCAGACGGTATGACAGCCTCGGAATACCAGCAAGCATCGAAAAAGTTCCTCCTCGAATCTGTCGGCATCTCTCACACCGAGGACACTAAGGTCGGTAATGAGTACGTTCGTGGAGTTAGTGGTGGTGAACGTAAGCGAGTTTCTATCATCGAATGTATGGCCACTCGAGGATCCGTCTTCTGCTGGGATCAATCGACCCGCGGTCTTGACGCCTCTACCGCCCTGGAATGGACAAAAGCTATCAGAGCTATGACTGACACACTCAACCTGTCAACCGTGGTTACTCTCTACCAGGCTGGTAACGGTATTTACGATCTGTTCGACAAAGTCCTTGTGCTTGATGAAGGAGAGCAGATCTTCTACGGCACCAGAGAGCAAGCCAGGCCATTCATGGAGGAAGCCGGATTCTTCTGCCGCGAAGGTTCCAACATCGCCGACTACCTCACTGGTGTCACCGTCCCCACCGAGCGCAGAATTCGAGATGGTTTCGAGAACCGCTTCCCACGAAACGCAGAGGCGCTGAGAGCCGAGTATGAAAAGTCACCTATCTATACTGAAATGGTAGCGGAATACTCTTACCCAGATTCTGAGCTCGCGCGCGAACGGACTGAGGAGTTTAAACAAGGCGTGGCCTTTGAAACCTCCAAAAGCCTACCCAAAAACAGCCCCTTCACCGTTGGCTTTGTTGACCAGGTTAAGATTTGTGTGCAACGTCAATACCAAATCCTTTGGGGAGACAAAGCTACTTTCATCATCAAGCAGGTAGCAACACTGTGCCAGGCCTTGATTGCCGGCTCTCTGTTCTATAACGCCCCTGATAACTCAGGTGGACTGTTCATCAAATCCGGTGCCCTCTTCTTCTCTCTTCTTTACAACAGCTTGCTCGCCATGAGTGAAGTCAACGAGTCCTTCTCTGGAAGACCCGTATTGATTAAGCACAAAGGATTCGCTTACTTCCACCCGGCCGCCTTCTGTCTTGCTCAAATTGCTGCGGACATACCTGTATTGCTCTTCCAAATTTCCATGTTTGGATTGGTTCTTTACTTCATGGTTGGACTTTCAATGTCCGCGGGAGCGTTTTTCTCCTACTGGATTATCGTGTTCGCAACGACAATGGTAAGCCTTTCCCGATTGATCGAAATGGATTTAAGCTAATCAATACACAGGCTATGACTGCTCTTTTCCGAGCCGTGGGCGCTCTCTTTTCTACCTTCGATGGAGCCTCTAAAGTTTCCGGTTTGCTCATCATGTGTACCGTTTTGTATACCGGTTACATGATCCCAAAGCCTGCAATGCACCCGTGGCTCGGCTGGATCTTCTGGATCGATCCGCTTGCCTATGGATTCGAGGCTTTGCTAAGCATTGAATTCCATGATAACAAGGTCATTCCATGCGTTGGCACGAATCTGATCCCCAATGGTCCCGGATATGAAAATGTCCAGGCATTCCAATCTTGCGCCGGTGTGGCTGGTGCGATCCAAGGCCAGAACTATGTGATTGGTGACAACTACCTAGCATCGATGTCGTACAGTCACTCGCATGTTTGGCGTAACTTCGGCATCAACTGGGCTTGGTGGGTTCTGTTTGTTTTCGTTACCATCGTCGCAACTTCGAGGTGGCAGTCACCCTCCGAGGCCGGTAGTACGCTGGTCATCCCTCGTGAATACCTACACAAGCACATCAAAAATCAGCAAAAGGATGAAGAAGGCCAGAGTTCACAGAAGCAGGTTTCTCAAACCAAGGATGAGGCCCCGAAACTTGACAACCAGTTGGTCCGCAACACCTCAGTCTTCACGTGGAAGAATCTTTCATACACAGTTCAAACACCAAGCGGTGACCGGCTCCTCCTTGACAACGTCCATGGATGGGTCAAACCTGGTATGCTCGGTGCTTTGATGGGTTCCTCTGGTGCCGGAAAGACAACCCTACTCGATGTGCTCGCCCAGCGTAAAACCGAAGGAACTATCAATGGTTCTATCATGGTTGATGGTCGCCCACTACCCGTCTCGTTCCAACGCTCAGCCGGCTATGTGGAGCAGTTGGATATCCACGAACGTATGGCCACGGTTCGGGAATCGTTGGAGTTCTCTGCCCTATTGCGCCAACCTGCTACGACTCCCCGCGAAGAGAAACTTGCTTACGTAGATGTCATCATCGACTTGCTCGAGCTCCATGATCTTGCTGATACCATGATCGGAAGTGTCGGAGCTGGATTGAGTGTCGAACAGCGCAAGCGTGTTACCATCGGAGTCGAACTGGTTTCCAAGCCTAGTATTCTCATCTTCCTCGACGAGCCCACCAGTGGTCTTGATGGCCAGAGTGCGTACAACACCGTCAGATTCCTCCGCCGTCTTGCAGATGCTGGCCAGGCCGTACTCGTCACCGTGCATCAACCGTCCGCCCAGCTTTTCGCCGAGTTCGATCAGCTTCTTCTTTTGGCCAAAGGTGGCAAGACTGTTTACTTCGGTCCCATTGGAGAAAATTCGCAGGGTATTAAGAGCTATTTCTCGCGCTACGGAGCCCCCTGCCCGACTAACACCAACCCTGCTGAGCACATGATTGATGTCGTTTCGGGCCAACTGAGTCAGGGCAGAGATTGGAACAAGGTCTGGTTGGAGTCGCCTGAGCATAACGCCATGCTCAAGGAGCTCGACGAGATCATTGACACTGCTGCATCTAAGCCCCAAGCTACCACCGATGATGGTCGGGAGTTTGCTACTACCCTCTGGGAGCAGACCAGTCTCGTTCTGAAGCGTACCTCTACAGCTTTGTACCGAAACAGCGACTACATTAACAACAAGTTTGCTCTCCACATCTCATCGGGCTTGTTCGTTGGATTTAGTTTCTGGATGATTGGTGACTCGGTCGCGGATCTTCAGAGTGTCCTATTCTTCATCTTTAATGCCATCTTTGTCGCTCCCGGTGTGATCAATCAACTGCAGCCTACCTTCCTTGAACGTCGCGATCTGTTTGAAGCACGCGAGAAGAAGGCCAAGATGTACTCCTGGAAAGCATTCACTATCGCCTTGGTTGTCTCAGAGTTCCCATATCTGGTTGTGTGTGCCGCTCTCTTCTTCAACTGCTGGTATTGGACGGCCGGTATGACAGTCGACTCCAGTAAGAGCGGCAGCATGTTCTTCGTCTTCTTCCTCTACGAGTTCCTCTACACTGGAATCGGTAAGTCAAACATCCGTTTTTGTTTTCCGAGTGGCCCGAACTAACAATCATACCTAGGTCAATTTGTCGCTGCCTATGCACCGAACGCCCAGATGGCAGCTATGATCAATCCTCTAGTATTGGGAGTAAGTCTTCTTCATTCTCGGTCTTCTTGACATACCGGCTAACACTCCGCTTCTTAGACAATGATCTCTTTCTGTGGTGTCTTGGTCCCATACGCTCAAATCGTCAGTTTCTGGCGGTACTGGATGTACTGGCTCAACCCATTCAACTACCTGATGGGCAGCATGTTGGTCTTCGGACTCTTTGATCGCGACGTCAAGTGCAAGGATCAAGAATTCGCCATGTTCAATACACCGAATGGACAAACTTGCGGTGAATACTTGAGCGATTTCATGCAGACTATTGGCTCACGTATGAACCTCATCAATCCCGATGCTACCGAAGGCTGCCGTGTGTGTCAATACACCTATGGATCCGATTATCTCACCACCATCAACCTGAAGGATTACTATTATGGCTGGAGAGACACGGGCATTGTGGCTCTGTTTGTGGTCAGCTCATATGGCCTCGTCTTTGCTCTCATGAAATTGAGAACCAAGGCATCCAAGAAGGCCCAGTGATCGGAGTTGGACTTCCCGGTGTTCCCACTTTCAAGGGTGTGGGTTGGCAACCTTTCCAACATCCACCCTCTATAGACTTTCTTTTTTCTTCTTCTCTTCTTTTCTTTTGAATGTCCATCCTACATAGACTTCCTTGTTATTTCCTTTCCCTTCATTATGCGAACACCAAATGGTGCGAGTGCATATATTCTCCCCCCTCTTTTTTACATATAGCTAGAGAACCTACCTGTACATCTCTACTCTTATATATACTCATTTAACTTGAATATATATTAATTGATATTATCTTGAAAGCTAAGGGAAAGACTACTGTGTAATAGGTATGCCGAGGATATATAAACTCATTCCGAGATAGGAGTTGCGCCGGCCAAGACCAGCCACACGGAGAAAGTGCGAGAACTTCTTTCAAGGGATGAAAGAAAAGAGAAATCACAGAGACAAGTGGGTCCAGTGATCGGCCCATGGGCGCGATATTAGACAGTCTGTTTAGGTGGTAGTCCTCATTGACTAGGCGAGATATCGCTTGGAGCTCGGCTGATCACGGACTTACTCCGAGCCGAATTCAAGAAATAGCCAAAGCTGAATCCCGAGAGCTTAGCCTTGGCGAATTATATTGGGCAAAAGGCGTATAGCCATCTTGAAAATCTGAATGCCACAGGCTAATTATGACTCCACCGTGGGTACGTCGTGGGGTTCATCTTCCTATCATACATCGTGAATCTCGTCATACTACCGGATGGGCTCATATAATTTCCTGATTTGGACTTCCCCGCAAAGCTATACCCCCACGTTTCTCCGGAATTGACAATTCACGGGGTAAATGCGGTCTCCCGACTTACCGCACTAGGTAGCCCGTTAACCCGTACCGTGTGTATTATGACATTGTCGATGCCGCTCTCTATGCCGCTCTCCGCATATAAATGGGCGGGACCCCCGGGATTTTGACCCTACTTTGTACTAATCATCTGAGCACCATGGTCGAAACACAAAATGCCATCAGCGAGGCGGAGTTGGGTCCTAAGATGGACTTGAGCCATCAGGAAGTTGTCCACATGGCAGAGCTGAGTCCGGAAGATAAGGTCATCGAGAAGAAGTTGCGCAAGCGCATCGATGCCTTGATTATGCCACTGGCCATTCTGGTCTACTTGATGAACTATATCGATCGGTACGTTTCGCCCATCCATAACAGTTGAGCCATCCTAATGAAAGCAGCAACAATTATGCCGCAGCGAAGCTCCAAGGTCTCCAGGAGGATCTCAACCTCGACGAGACAAAATACCAAACCGGTCTCTCTATTCTCTTTGTTGGATACATTCTCATGCAGGTGCCTTCGAACATGCTTCTGAACTACATGGGTCGACCCTCCCTATACATTGGATTCTTCGTCACCGCTTGGGGCCTGGTCTCGGCAGTCACAAGTCAAGTCACAACCTATGGAGGCATCGTGGCCTGTCGATTCATTCTTGGTTTGGTTGAAGCGCCCTTCTTCTGTGCCATCCTCTTCTATCTGTCCAAATGGTACACAAAGAAGGAGTTGGCTTTCCGAATGAGTATTTTCTACTCCGGCTCCCTACTGAGTGGAGCTTTCGGAAACCTCATTGCCGCCGGTATTCTCAACGGTCTCAAAGGCCACCGAGGACTTTCGGCCTGGCAATGGCTTTATATCATTGAGGGCTCCATTACCTGTGCTATCGGACTGGTTATTTGCTTCGTTTTGCCCGACTTCCCCGAGACATGGAAACTTTTGGACCCGGAGATGCGCCGAGTGGCCCAGCGACGTCTTGCTATTGAGGCCGGTCAGGCCGATGTGGATGAAGGCGGCAGCAAGAGCCAGTTCGAGGGATTCAAGCTCGCCATGACCGACATCAAAACCTATGCATTCGCCTTGGCGTATATGTGCATCACCGGTGCCTCAGGTTTCCAGAACTTCTTCCCGACTTTGGTCAAGACTCTCGAGTTGCCTGAAACTATCACTCTGGTGCTTGTCGCACCCCCATATCTCTTCATGGTTGTATACTCCCTGTGCCACTCGGTACTTTCTGATAGGCTGGAGAAGAGATTCTGGTTCTTCGTCTACCCGATCCCGATCACCATCATTGGATTTGTCATCTTCCTGAAGACTGACTCCTTTGGACCACGATACTTCTCGTTCTTCTTGATGGTGTTTGTCTTCGCCCAAAACGGAACTCTATACTCCTGGCTTGCGAGCTCCATTCCTCGTCCACCTGCTAAGCGAGCTGTCGGTAAGTCATAATCCTTTGGTGTGTTCTATCGGTCATTATACTAATCAGTATAGCCTTTGCATTTTTCAATTCCATTGGAAACAGCGCTTCGATTTGGACGCCCTATACATATCTTAAGAAAGAAGAGCCTCATTACATTACGGCCATGGGAGTTTGCATTGCTCTGCAGATCATCGGCGGTCTGGCCGCACTCTTCTTGTACTTCAACCTGAACATGCTCAACAAACGCCAGGAGCGTCTGGAGAATGAGGAAGTTCAGCTTAGCGAGAAGGATATTCGTCGGCTGCAGGCTACTGCTGATCTTGAGGGGATTGATATTGCCGCTGCTAGACGGCTGCAGAAGGGATTCCGTTACACACTGTAGAATAAATCTAGCAAATGCTGGTACATCTTATGACTTGATTTGAGATCTTAATTCACAACTTTTTGGCTTCATATGCATTTCCCAACTGTAGGGTCAGAGCAACCTCGCAAATCCGGATGTGGTAATAGAATGGGGTCAGAGTGGTACGATCGTCCTCTCATATTGTCCGAATTTCCCAATGCGTCCAGACTATGCAGACTGGTGATCTTGTCCAATCAGGAGATACCCGCATCAACCCATAGTCAGCTGACTCGCCTATGAAGTCATTAACATTTAAATAGTCTGAACTGCTTCACTCATTTCTCTATATCATCTCTCAATTCAATATTCGAAGCAGACTCCAAGTACATTATCAACATTATCATAGTGTGATCAACAACCTCGGCATCTTCTCCATAACTGATCGACATAACCCACTTTTCACCATGCAATCAACAACTTTACGACCCATTCTCCGCATCACAACCAATTCAGCTGTTCTCCGATCTCTCTCCACTACCCCAAGAATTATGGCTGCCGGTGATATTGCTTCAGGAAAGGCGGGGGCTGAGTATGGGACTTGGAGACTACAAAATGGATGACGTCATATCTGACCATCACTAGGAAGGACTCTTTCGCCAGACGCGAGGCTGCACAGGAAGCCATGTACATTCGAGAAAAAGAAATGGAAAAGTGAGTTACAATAATTACACAAAATTCAAGATGTAAATTAACTCGGTGATAGGCTTGCGCGCCTCAAGGCAAAGATCCAGGAGCAGCGCAAACATATGGATGAACTTGACAAACACATGTAAGGATATTGGAATTCCCCCGCATAGCCGAGACTAACAGGTCACAGTGACGAATATACCAAGGGCCAGGGAGGCGAACAGAACTAGTGTTGCGACTTTGTTGCGAGCATCTCCTGGACGATCGGGACAGCGACATACGCACGATAATCAATGCAACTGCGACTAATAACAGTGCTATGATAATTTTCAAACTTTGGCACGCGATGATCTACTATACTAGCATTATTATGGATTGAAATACAAGATCAATTTCAACATTCATGATATCTTTCTCTATTTTCTTCCTCGGTTCTAGATCTTTGCTTGCCACCTCCAGCGGTAGCTCAAACAGGCCCATCTCGCCATCACAAACAACCCAAGTGTGACTATCAGAACACTCCCCAAATATGCCACCATAGCTCTCTTCCCAACTTTATCGAGCATCTCACCACCAATCGGGATACAGATTAGTGTGCTGAGTTCCCATTAGCGACGAACGGCCAACTGGATTTCCATGACTTACGCAAAACTGACAATAGAATATGTCAGTCCGAATCTTCCACCGACCTCGCTCGCTTTTGAGATCTGTCCAATGCAGGCGGGTGCAAGACTGAGGAATGATCCTGAAGCCAGGCCGAAGATGACCGAGAACATGTAAAGGCCTATCAGGGAGTTGCCAAATGGCAGCCAGATTACAAACACTGCGAATGCACCAACGGCAATGAGTGCAGTCTGCGTGTTGATTCTACCAAACCGATCTGCGACACCCCCAGCCGCCAATCGTCCGACCGTGGAGGCTCTGTACCAGAGTCAGTGCTTCCCTGAGACCTCCAACATCCATTGCCACTTACATATTCAGCACAGCGAGAAGGATAACGCTGGTACTGTTAGAAAACCCCTGCATGACCACATAGGTTGGATAAAGACCCAGACCAGCGAAAACCTCGAGCTCAAGACCTATCACGGGTCAGCATTCCTTTCTAGCATCCAGACTTTCAATAATCAGAATGAACCCACCAAAGATTCCCAATGTCAACCATGTAAACCTCGCATCTTGCAAAGAACGCAAGTTAACAGTTGACTTGCTCCTACCCTTCGGAAGACGCGCCTTCACCAGGACAATTCCAAGCACACACAATACCAACACCACCAATGCCAACAACCGAATTGTCCACTTATATCCAAGCCTCGTGAATCCAGCCCTAAGCATAAATGGAAACACCACACCACCAAGACCAGCGCCCGCCATCGAAATCCCAATCGCAAGTGCCGCCTTCCGGTTGAACCATTGTGGTACACTAGCCAACGCGACCGTACTCAACAACGCAGCACCAGTTCCAGAAAGGACACCAAGTGTAAGCACAAAGTGCCAGTAAAGATGGCTTTCGGCCAGAAGAAGAAGACCAGTCATATAACATGCAGTGCCGGTTATAAGAATAGCCTTTGGGCCGTATCGATCAAACATCGGCCCGACTTGGACGGAAATACTCAGACCGAAGAATGTGAATAGTCCTGGAATCCAGCCGATTGCACTAGGTGAATAGCTGGCTAGCTGATTGGTTGCGAAATACTTTTGCAGAATTCCTGTTGTGTTCATAACCCCAAATGTTGCCATTAAGAGACAGAATGAGCCTGCGACGACACACCATGCTTGGAGCCCACCATCTGGGAATGTGTCGTCGGTGCTATGGCCGGTGAGATGGGTTGTAAGGGTGGATAGTTCGGCTGGGGGTTCGATGACGGAAAATGCCGACCGGGGGGCTTCTGCGTCGAAATTTGCATTGTGGGCAGTGGGATCAGTCGAAATTGTCGAAGTAGATTGCCATGGCTCTTGCACTGGGTTTTGGATAGTTGTGGTCGCGGACATTTGTATGTTCTTCGGCTTTGATTGCGAAAGGGATGGGACTGGGGCCCGGGGTGAGCTTGTGTTGAAGCTTCAACCAACGACTTATTTTAGAGAAATTGCGAAATCCAAATTAATTGGAAGTGACTCACTACTATAATAGCTTGCATTAGTGTCCGGAATTCTATGGTGGGGAATATGAGATCGTATCTTAGAGTTTTATACATCGGGATCGGATTCCGATCTTTAGCATGCCGCTTTTATGAGGGCTTAGGCTGAGTAGATGTTAGTACAGACTCAGATCTGTGATCATGCTCCGTTCAAAGGGGAATATATGGAGACTCCAACGGTTTGATGATATTACTTCCATCTTCTAATTCAGAGCGGCTCGAGTAGTTCGCAAAGCCCGATTTTGGGCCCGAGGTCCGGGTTCGAAACCCGACCATCAACGAGCTATTTATATTGACCATGCCAAATCCGCGGGAGCGAGTGAGTGGTCGGCCCATGAAGTAGATACAAGCTCCAATCTCACTAGCTCAGGCATCGATCCGTTGATTTCTTGAAACCAGTTGTACCAATTGTACGGAACGCAAAGCTGCAGTCGACTCCATTCTCGACCTTCCGAGAGAGTTTCCCATGAGTTGAGGAACGCCTTGCCTTTTTCAGAGGTATATAAAACTTCTTGAGCCTCACAAGGCGGCATTTGGAGTAGCACACGTAGTTGGTGTACGCCGCGGAAACTCGTCTCAATTAACCCAAAGAACGCGTAATAGGTTGCCATCCAGTCCTCCTCAGCTTGGCCAGGTTCCCAGAAGCCAGTCACAAACGAGATATCTATAGATGTTATAAGAGATGTACAAGGCGGTGGTAAAATCCTTGATATCACAAAAGGGGTGGCTATAGCCTCGTTCATCACAAAGACATTCGTTCCATAAAGAACTTCCAATGCTTCTTTATATCTATACGAGAATAAGTCAATGTGTAGGTAAAAATACATAGTAGTTTACCACTAGAGACAAAAACCAAGGTACTTGTATAGCCTAATAAGGCCATATCTGCTGTTCGCATAATGCCCTGACAGTGGAAGGATACCGACTTACCCAATTTTGCAACATCTCAGCCACTCCACGCCGCCAATTTTAGGCCTCGGGATGTGCAGGTACCCCTCGCGGCTCGCGATTGAACATATATCCTCAACAGGATCATCGATGAATCCATCAGAATGTTGACAAACAGCATGCCACCAGCGCCAGCGAGGCTCGCCGTGACTATGCGGTTTCGGCCACGGCTTTCTCCAAAAATACCGAATATGCACTCGCTGATCGCCTATAAGTTCGAGGTATATTAGCCTCCTGATCTCAACCGGAAGACGAAAGAGTGGACTTTGCTGTTGGGAGCTTTTCTGTCGAATTCCCGGCCTGCGCTGTTCGCGTGGGATCGGTAGCTTCCATTGATTGAATATATCGCCGTTGGTCTCACAGGTAGAATCCCAGATTCCTATAGCGTTTGGGGAGGTTTCTTTTAATGTAAACCTTGGCTCTTTCGCTTTCTTTTTGCGCTTGAAAAGTTTGAAAAAAATGGGGCGCCATGGCGTGGAGTTTGGAGGAGCGTGATACAAATAGGAAGGGTTGTAGGTGGTAGGGTTAGCATATCATATTTTATTGATGAAGCTTACTCTGTACCCAGGCCTACCTATCCCTACACTTAGCACTCAGTAAACAAAATTCAAAAAGCGGCAAGGAGTGAGTACTAAAACGGAAAGGGGAAGGTGCCCACCATTGGTGCTTTCATGATATTCCTTCGGCCCCCTGCCCGACACTAGGTAGTCGGGGTCCGGAAAGGGAAATTTTGTCCAATGCAGAAAGATAAGCTGTTCACTTAGGAAGTCCATTCTCATTATTCTTCGCTATTATTTATTAGATATAGGTATACCTAGGTAGGCATATATGCAATTTGTCTCCGCGGAGTCACTTGCCCAGTATATGTATTGGCTGCCCTATTTTTTTTATGGAGAACTCTTATCATAAATACAGAGTACAAAAGCGAGGAACCTGTCCTTATAAAAAAAAAGATAAAGGTCCTGGTACAGAAAGCTATGATGGTAAGGATGATCCTATTAGACTATGTCTGCTAAGGTACATAATGGGGGCTTCCACTACGTGACCGTCTCGTCATCTGATGTAATCCACGCTAACGGTAATAGGCGCCCTTATCGATAAAAGCCTCGTCCTAAGGCGTAAGTATACCGTAAAAAATGAAAGGATAGAGATAGTGTAGATAGAAAAATAGCGGTAGTATATACTAGTTAGTACAGCTTTAGAGGAAGCTTATTAAGGTATTTCTTATAAATTTAACTCGAAGCGATTTAATTTCCTATTTTAGCTCCTTAACGTTTTTCACTATATTAGCTTTCGATATTAAGTAGTCTTTATAGTTCTAGATAAGCTTATAAGCCTTAGCGATCTCTTCCTAAGTACTCTCCGAGTCCTAATCTATTTCGTCTAGGCTAGTATTCTAGAGGTTTTCTATCTTTATAATTAGAACGTATATAGTTAGATTAAGATTCTTAATAGTGTCTAATTATATACTTAGTGTATTATTAAAGGTTTAATCCTTTACTAGCTTTTTTACTAGTGCTTATATATATTTATTAACACTTTTATTAACTTTAGTAGTTTATATTTATTTTACGCTATCTATATTTATATAAGTAGTTATTATAGTAGTATTATAGTTAAAGTTAAGCTTATATTTTAAGAAAAAGGTTTGTTAGATTTTGTCTACCTTACCTAAGGTATTAATCTGATTACTATATTTAATATAATAGCCTTAGATTCTGAAGAATTATTATAGCTTTATTTTAAAATTTTTATTTAAATTACTTAGGATTAAGGTATAGTAGTAGTAGTTAATATTAATAAGGTTAATAATATTATTGTTACTATATTCGCTTATATATTAATAGTCTCGTATATATATTTAATATTAGTATTTTAGGGTATATTATATTTATATAAAGGATTTTAAAGCTATAATAGCTCTAAAGATAAAGGTATTCTTAATACTTTAAATAGTAGTGTTATTCTTAAGTCTAAAGTTCTTAATTAATTCTATATAGGCTACGCTAACTAGTAGGATACTACCTTTTATAATATAAATTAAAGGAAGATTATATATAAACGCTAGTAGAGCTAGGTCTTTAGGTATCCTTATTATATAGATATAACTATTTATATTAAAGTTAATTAAGTATCTTTTACTATAGTTGTTTACTAATAGAAATTTTATTACTAGGTATATACCCTTATTACTTAATTTTATACTATTTAGTAGCTAGACTTAATTTCTTTCTAAATTAAATTAGATCTTAGTAGCTAGTAGAGCGATAGATATTAGCTTAGTATTAAAGAATAGTAATAGTAAAGGGCTGTCTAGATCCTTATCTTAGATAGGGTATCTTATTTTTATACCTTAGGTTATTTATTATACTTATTTATTATATTTCTTTTTTACTATATTAGTAATTCCTTTTATTAGGGTCTATTTATAAATATACTTGTCCTTTAATATATAAGCTATATTAGAGTTAGATATATCTTTTATACTATTTTTTAAAGACCTTTTTATATACTTTCTTTTAGGCGGTATTATATAGTTAGGTAATTTTAGAATAAAGTAAAAATATAGAGGAAATGTATAGATTAGTAGTATAAAGTAATTCTAGAATAATTTTAAAATATAGTAACTTCTGAATAGGTTAGTAGCTTTAAGTAAGCTCTTAAAATAGAAATACTATTAAGATAGATTAAGATAATTAATTATTTTAAGAGTAGGAGTTATAAATATTACTAGTATAAAGTTATAGGAAGAAAGATAAGTAAAATAATTAATAAAAACTTATAAGGAAGAATTAAGATAGTTATAAAAGAGAAAATTAAAATAATTAGTAAGTTTGTATCTATAACTTATACTAGAGATTACTTTATTTAGATTAGCTTTTAGTTAGCTACTTATACCTATTTATAGGTACTAAATACTTCTTTATAATCTAGCTCCGTTACTTTAATCTATTTATCAGTTACTAGTCTATAATCTTTATAGTAGACTAAATATTCCTTATATATAGTTCTTATTCCGTTTATATATAGTCGGCCGATTACGCGTATATAGTAGTTTAGGATCTTATTAATAGCGTTAGGTCTAATAGGTAGTAACTCTATTAGTTCGGGGCTACATTTTTAGAGGTTTTCGCTAGGGGGATCTAGTTCTAAGTATTTAACGCTAATAATATTATAGATCTTCTATAAAGTTAGTAGGTTAATTTTATATATAATTAGTCCTATTCTTTCTAGGATTTTAAATTTACCTATAAAGCGCTATACTAATTTTTTTAGTAGATTTTAGTTAGCTTTAATATTATATTTATAGTTAAGATAGAGGTAGATATAGTCTTTTAGCTTAAACTATTTATAGATATATATTTTATTATAATAGTTCTTTATAGCTAAAGTTATATACGCGATATTTCTTTTAATATTAAATTAGATACTAAAGTTTTATTCTATTACTAATACTTATCTTATTATATCCGAGAGGTAATATAGTTAGATATTATATATTAGTATATAGAGTAAGTAGCTAGTTAAAGTATTAGCGGATATATTTAAAGTTACTTAAATAAATAGGAGAGCTTTATCCTAGTTATTAGTTACTTAGTTTTTTAAGTATTATTACTTATTTTAGCTTCTCTAAGTCTAGATATCTTATTAAGTATACTAATAGTATATTATAGTTTTAATAGTTTAATTTATTCTTTTAGATTACCTATTAGCTTATAGGTAGTACACTATTATATAAAATAGGTTAATATTAAGGAGTAGGAAAATTCCTTTCTATAGTCCTTAGGTAAATTTTAGGTCTTAGTTAGTAATAATAATACTTAGAAATCCCTAGTTTACTATTTACTAGAATATAAGGATAGACTTAGCCTAGTTCTAGCCTTATTATATTATCTTTCCCGCTAT